TAAATATATAATATATTTTATCATGTAAATGTTAACATTAAGATTTCACATTAATCTATCTAAGGTGTTGATTAACCAAAAAAATAATTACTTTTGGTTTTTTTATATTCATCCCACTCATATGTATTTCCAAATTTAGAATATCCATCATTAAAATTAGTCGATATGTACAATTCATGATTATAACCAAATTTTAGTCCTTAATCCTTTGGACCTTAGATTGCAGAAGTCGATAATGTATTATCATCAACACAAAAGTTTGAAGGAATTAATTACCATATACAAGGTGAAAATCCTCCAAAAATATATTCACTTTTCAATTTAAATACGATTAATATATTAGATTTTCATTTACAGATTTACTAAATGAATCATCATTTAATCAATTTTTTTCTTAACAATATATTAAATATTAATTTCTTATTTTCTTTTTACTTTTCTCCTCTATTGTTTTTAATATTTTTGAATAATAATCATCTTTTAATAATTTTAATTTCCATATTAAATGTCAATTTTATTATTGATTTTTATCATTATCTATTTATCAGTTAAATTAAATATAAATATAAATTTTATTATTTATTTAATAATTAAAAACTATATTTGTGTCAATATTAATTATAAATTATGAAATCCTCCTTTTTATTCTAATTATTAACTTTTTTATTAAAGTTCTTATTAGTTACTTCTTATAGTTTAATTCAATTTATTTATTTAAGTTTATAATTTTTAAGACTTAGTTTAATTTTATAAATTTTCTAATTATTTTATAATTCACTTTATTAATTTACATGTTCTTGTAATTTTTTTATAAATTTTATTCTTCTTATTTCGTTTATGTAATTTACTAATATTTAATTCAATCTATATAAAGACAAGAATTAAAGATTAAATGACTATCTATTGATTTTCGTTTCTATTCTAGATCTACTCTTTAAATTATGCTTTTTTCAAAAGTGTTTCTTGAATTTATTAACAAAAGAGAAAATCCTAATCATTATGTTCGATATATGAAGTAGAAATAAATACTATTCTTAGATAAAAAATAAAACTTCAAAAGAAAATTTCTTATTATTTAAAGCTTCTTGATTAACCCTATTCATTTCTTTAGATGCTGCATTTCTATTATTTTACAGTTTATGGATGAAATTATATTTATTATAATTAAGTATAATAATAATAAGAAATTGAAATCCATTTATTCTTAAAAAAGTGCTGAATCATCTTAATCTTATAAAGTTAATATGATTTTGTTTATTATTATTAAACAATAGAAACAAATTCTAAATATTATAATTTTTTAAAAAGTCCATGAAAAATGAATAAAATTGAATTTCATTTCTTTATTTTAAGGATTCTGATTTTACTTTGAACAAATAGTTATTAATAAAATAACTTTCAGTCTTTTTTTTGATGATTTAGGAGGCATCTTGAAAACTGATAATTTTACTAATATCGAGAGTAGAAATGATTAATAAATTATATTATTGAAAAATTTATATAGTTTTTCCATAAACATATGAAATATACAGAAAGTTATATATAAAAACAATCAACAAAATTTAAGAAATTTGATGATCCTACGTTTCTCTAATAAATTTGATTTGTTTAAAAAAAACTGTTATCTACAATTTAAAGTCTAATTTATTAAAGTGTTATTTTTAAATTTAATTCTAAAATTTCTTTTTGTATTATATCACAATTATTCATTTATAATACTCAAAAGAAAGAAATAAAATAGAGTTAATCTAATAAATATAAAGAAATTCTAAATTTAGGCCAATTTTTGAATTAATATTTTAATTAAGATTGAAATGAGGAAGTTTAAAAACTTAATATACTTGGCAATACTTTTATTTATAATAGGTTGCAGTTAATTCAATGAAAACTTGTTAATTGATAGCTCTAATGCAATTTAACAAGTAACCCTTCAATATTAGTTTATACCAATTCAAATGGAATTTTGGAGTTTTTACATTACAGCATGGAATATGGATTCTTATCCTTGGTATGATTAACAACCAATAATTGGTAAACAAAATCAATTTCTATTGTTTTTGATTAGAAATTTATAAGATCAGTAGATTTTTGCATTTATGTATTCTAATGTAATAACGGATTCTGATGTTATTCATTATCTTAGTGTTGATGGATAAATGGTTGAATTAAGATATAATCCAAATGAGTATGAAGGGATTTGGATATGCAATTTGATTACTATTGAATGGTCTAATGTGATGTTTGAAACTATTGCATAAACAAATAAATATATTTATGATTATAAGCAAAATCGTTTTTAAGTGAGTAAAAATTTATACATATTTGAATTTTAAGTAGGAGGATAAGAATGGGTAATTTTATATTAAATTATTTAAGATTAACAAGTAATATATAGCATCTTATTTCCGAGGAAGATTATCTCAAATTTTTGTTACTTATTATTATAGATTTTTATACAAAGTATATTAGGAAAGAATAAATTAATTAAGATAAAATGAATATGTATAAACAATAAGCTTAATTCCAGATGTTGTTAATTTTGATGGATTATTATAAAAATAATTTTAATTTGAATAATTTGGAAGAAAATTTAGTATTTTTGGATGGGTAAAATATTATATATATGATGCTTATATTTTAAAAAAGTATTTAGTATTAAGATTGACAGCATATAGAAATTACTAAGATGAAATTGCTTTAGGAGATGAATTACTTAAAATAATTGCTAATATAAATTTATCAGATGAATAATAATGTGGATACGATGTTACATCCCATCATTATAGAATGCCATTTCCTAATTTAATTAATTAATATTCAATTAATGATAGAGTAATTATAAGTGGTGATTTACCATATTTAGAGATATTATCAAAATGGCATTTCATTTCATTTGAATATGGTTTAGATCCAGAAAATGGTTATTATGGACCATATTAAAGAACATAATTTTAAATAACTTATTTTGAAAATTACGATTTGAAATCTAAAACTAGTTATTTAGGAGATGAATTATATAAGAGTTTATTTATAAATATTAAATATAATGTAATATTTGGAGGTGATTTTACTGTATATGAAAAAATGAAAGGATATGTAGCTAGATTTTATTTTAAATCAAATTATTAAGATAATTTAAATATTTAATTTTGTAAAATTTATAAATATTTTTAGATTGTCATTATAGTTGTCAAACATGTTATGGTCCATTATTATCAAATTGTTTATCTTGTAATGTTAATACACAAATGATATATTTAGAAGAATTACATTAATGTGTATGTCCAATTGGATATTAAGAATAGAATTAGAATTGTAGATCATATGAAAATATATATCCAACTTTATATTAAAATGAGATTAAATTACAATCATCTAATTCTTAATGTACATTTGGATACTTTTATTTACCAGTAATTTCAAAGTGTATAAAATGGTATAAAATAATGATATATCTATTTATAGTCCTTAATCAAATTCATATAATTTATTATGTGTAGATTGTTTATTGAATCCAAATAGCTGGTATTTAAGACCCCTTTGTACAACAGATTTTGTTACATAATAAGTAAATAAAGATGAAGATGCCTTTACAGAAAAAATAAGAAATATTATAGACTATGATGTTTATTATATTAATAATGAATATAATTTGATATTATTAGAAGGAGTATCAGATTATTGTGATATTAAACAAATAAATACTTAAAATTGTATAGATTTAGATGTTTAACATTTATAAAATTAATTATTTGGTGTTTGTAAAGAAAATCATTATTATTCTAATAAAGCTTGTAAATTATTAGATATAGCTTGTATTTAAATGAATTAAAATGAAAAGAAATGTCTTTAATGTTAAGATAGATATTATATATCAGATGATGGTAATTCTTGTTTGCAATGTCCATAATAATGTTAAAGTTGTTAGAGTTTAACTAAATGTTTATCTTGTAAAACAGGTTTTGGACTATTTAATGGTGAATGTATAAAATGTGGAATCTTTTGCAAAACATGCGTATATTCAATAGCATTTAATATTATGAGATGTTTAAATTGTATAGATAATCAATTATATTATTTATCATTAAATGCTGAAGAGTGTAAAATAAATAATTTAGAAAATTGTATATATGCATATGAATTTGTTCCATTAGAATTAACAAATTCTTTAGATCTTAATTTTCCACCTACTTATTATGGTGTCATTTTAAATAGATGTGCAAAGTGTAAAGATGGCTATTATTTTCATAATAGTGATTTTTAGTGTTATTAGGGTGAATTAGCAAATTGTAATGAATTTGTTGTAAGTTATGATAAAGGTAAATATTGGGAAATATGTTTATTTGCACCTTATCAACAAGGTATTTTAATATATTCATTTATTGATAAATGTTCAGAAATTGCATTAAATTGTATATATTGTTTAATTGACTAATTAAAAATTTACTATCCAGTTTATGACCAAATTGGACTTTAAAAAGCATCATATAAATGTCTTGTTTGTTAAAATGGCTATTATGCAGAAAAAAAAACTGGATTATGCTTAGAATGTCCAACAGAATTACATTGTTTGAATTGTTATTAATAACATAAATATGCCAAAGATAATTGGAAAAATGAAATACGTGCCCATTATAGATCCTCAATAGATAATTTACGTTAAGATCATAGATTTACTGAATATGCCTTAAGTTAAAATGATTAAGATTATGAAATACTTTGTACCTTATGTGAATTCGGATATGAACCTTATAAAGACATATGTATTAAAGTATGTCCTGAATCATGTTTAGAATGTGTTATAATAAACAATAAAAATATTTGTGTTAAATGTCCTTTGGATCTTAAAGGAAGAAATAGAAGCTTAATAAATAATTAATGTGTTAACTGTCCTAATAATTGTGAATTATGTAAATAAAGAGATCAAAAAGAAGTACTTTCAATCAATCCATTATTCACTAATTAAGAATTTGCTTATTTTTCATATTATTGTATTTTTGGATTTACAGGCATTTTTGATTAAAAATTAGGATTATATATTGATTGTTAAGATGGTCCTTGTTTAAAATAAATAGTTATAAATTTAAATTTATTTTGTAATATTCAAGAATATTAAACTTAAATTAACAATTTGAAAAGTGATGAAGATAAAATATAATTTTAAAATTAAAACATTTTAAGTGATCATTTGTTTTCCTAAAAAAGCTTTTTCTAAGTAAATAATTTTATTTTACATTTTTAGTTTGAAACTAAAGAGTTTTATTAAATGGCTAATGAAAAATCTATTAGACAAATTTTGATTAAAATTGTTAGTTAATAAAAATAACAATGTTATGTGAGTGATTAATAAAAAATCTAATAAAACTTTAGCCCAAATATTTTTTCAGCTATGTAATTATTATTTATTATATTAAAATTAGAGATGTTGATCTTGAAATATATGGCAATGGCATTACTACTTTTAAATATTAATAATAATTATTATTTGTCAATTTTAGAAAAGTGCATATTGAAGGAGTGTAAATTGAAGTAGAATATTTTATATATGGTCCAAATTTACTTAACTTCACAAGTGTTTTTGAATAAACTGTAGAATTAGTTAATATAAATTATAACCAAAATGTTAATTTAACAACATTTTATATCGTTATGGAAAATGCTAAAAATGTTATAATTTAACACTTTTCCTTAATAAATTATGCAAAATCTTTTCCCATTTAATCTATCATTAAAATCGAATAAATTTAATCACTTTAGACAATCAAAATATTGAATTTTAATATTAGAAATAGTGAATTTCTTAATTTACATTTATTGTGGTTTGAACTTAAAGAAGATGATTTTGTAGAAATTGAAACTGTAAATATTGAAGAAACAAAATTTAATTAGGCTTTGATATATTAAAGTAAAGGCCTGTTATAAATGAATTAAATTCGCATTTATAATTGTGAAATATATTCTTAAAGTGGCTTGTTTTTAATAAATGCTTTAAAGTATTATGAAATGAAATCATTAGATTTTAATTCAAATTTTATATAGTCTGGTAAAATATTAAATATGAATTAAAATAGTAAGTTGATATAATTAAATTTTACAAAAAATAATATTTACAACAATTCCTTATTAATTTATAATGAAAAAGAGGTTATTTAATATATTTTAATGGAGAAAATAGTATTTGAATTAAATAATTATACTAAAAATAGTACATTTATTAAATTAATTACTAATCTTTAATCTAATAAGTAGATAGTAATTAATTAATTAACAATGTTAACAAATCAACTTCTCTCAGTAGTTAGCCAAACAAATTTTGATAATTTAGATGTAGCTTTAATCTATTTGGATATATAAATAGTAGAGATAGATAAAATAAATATTTAAAAAGCATATGGAATCCCTGATTTAGTAATTGTAAATGCTGATAAATTACAAATAAATTCAATAACAATAGAATAAAATGAAAATTACATATTCAAAGGACTTTATCAAAACTATGATTGTTTTTTGAATTCTGTACTAATTTAATATGATTATAATTCAATAAAAATTCTTGATGTGCAAATAATTGAAATAAATTAATTAGTAATTTATAAAGCTTAATCCATTAATTAACCCATAATTGAAATAAAGACTTCAACTTTAATAACTTAAACGGAAAAAATTATAAAATTCTCTGAAATGCAATTATATGAAAATCTAATTTTGACTACTAACAAACTAAATTTAGCATCACTAATTAAAATATTAACATAAGAAGTTTATTTAATAATTATTGAAAATTCAATATTTGAAAACAATTTAATGCATCAATACATCTAAATAGATTAGATTAATTCAGGTTTAGTTTTCTTTTTTGATTGTAAGCTTTGTACAATACTATTTTAGAATCTAGTTGTTTAAAAAAATATTGTTACTAACTCATCTAATAGCATTTTCTATATATAAACTCAAAATATAGAAATTTATAATTGTACTTTTAATTAAAACAGTTAGTTTAATTATTTAATTTTATAACCATTTCTTTTTTGGGGTTATCAAAAAGAGTAGGAAATTTATCTGGAATAAATTATGGAAACTTTTCCCATAAAAGTTAAAACAGGAAATGGAAAAATTGAATGCTAAAAAATAGTATTAAAGAATATCATAATTTCTAATTCAACAAGTTCAGGATTTTCTTTTTATTTAGAAAAAGATGCTACTGTCTTGATTTAAGATGCAACAATTAGTTTTATTAATTCTTTATTTTAGAATGAAGATGAAAATGGGGGAGTATTTTTAATTGATACACAAAAGTCTATATCTTTAAGGATAAATATAAAAAATATATATGCATCAGATATTTATATAAAAAATAAAGGTGGATTACTGTATATCCTTTAAAATTATATAGAGAGTACACATATTTAATTATCAGATATTTAAATTGCTGATGTATATTCTTCGAAAGGATCAATATTTTATGTTGAATTTTCATCAGAAATAAATTTATAATTCAAACTTGAAAATTTAGAAGCAACATATAGCGAATAAGGTTTTCTAAGTTTTATAGCAAGGTTTAATAAAGTAACTAATTAATAATTAACAGAATTAAGACTTGAGAGAAGTTTATTTTAAATTACTTATGCAAAATTAGTAAGCATAAAAAAAATAATAGTTTAATCATTATTATATCAATCCCTTGCTATATTAACTTAAATATAATTTATTGAGATTCAAAATTGTAGAATATAAAACTCAACAATTTAAAATTCTTTAATTAGAATGAATTCAATGTAGAGCAATTCATAAATTAGAATATTAGATTTTTAAGTAACGAAAACTTAAATCTTGAATCGAATACCTATATATCAAAATTGTGCTGGCTTTTAATAAAAAATTGAAATGTAAAGATAAATTTGTTCTTAAGACCCAAATCTCTTATTAATACCTCCTATTACATTATTAAATAAATATTCTAATTAGGATTTATAAAATAGTTATTGTATCATTAATTAAATGAATATGTTTTAGAATCAAATATCAAGTTTAATTGATATAAATCCTTAAACAACTTAGATTTAAATATCTAAATTACATTTAAAAAATATTAATTGTACTATTTGTAATAATGGTTTGATAAATATTAATATCTAGGATGATTAAAGTAAAATAATTATGAATTCAATTAATTTTCACAATGATTAATGTGGAGAATAAAGCTGTCTAAATGTAATCAAAACTCTTTCAAAATCTAGACTTTTATAATCTTTCGATATAAATGTCTATGAAAAACATTTCGACTTCAAATTACAAAACTTTATATGTATTAACAATATAGCCTAGAAAGGTACTTGTCTTTAAATTAAAGATATTAAAACTTTGATTAAAGATTCAATTTTATAAAACAATACAGCTGAATCATATGGGGGTTCCATATATGTTATTGGAAATTAAAGTTTTTACTTATTGAACTCTTTGATTTAATTTAATAAAGCAGAATTTGGTGGAGGATTATTTTTAAAAGATTAAATAATATAAAATTTAGATAAACAAGGAACAAAAATCTATAATAATATTGGAATTAAATTTGGAAATAATTTAGCTCAGCTTGCTTCGTAATTGGCAGTTTCTATTGATTTATAACATCATCTGCCTAAAATAAAGATTATAGAAAAGGAGAATATTTTGATAGAATAAATTCAATTAGAAAAATATCAATTATTTTTAAACACTTATTCTAGCATGTTATATGTTCCAAATGGATAAGTATTGTCTGAATACAAATTTTTTGATTGGAAAATTTAAAACTATGTCCCATATAATTTACATTTAAGATTAATCCCATTAGACTTATTCAATAATGTTTAATAAAATTTAGAAAATTCCTCATGCTAAATAAGTAGTAGGATACTAACTTAAAATGAAGATTCGAATTTTACTTTAGATTTTACAAATTTTAATTAAGTCAAATTTCAATAATATGATTATAATTTCGATAACATCATCTTTTACTTAGATAGTGAATTAAATCTTACTTTGTAATTATAATTTCATTGTGATTCCATTTTCACTCCTATATATGGTAAACAAAAAGAAGTAATTGGATATCATAATAATTATTTCTTAAGAATGAATGTTAAAACATTACCTTGTTAATTAGGAGAAATAAAAGTAAATTTTGATAATTCTTGTTAACCTTGCAACGGAACTTAAGGATTTTATTCATTAATTCTTAATTCTTATAATTGTTCATTAAAAGATGATTTTTCTATTAGTGAAGTAAAATCAGCTTAATTAAAACTTAAACCAGGGTTTTGGAGACCTTATTTTAATACAGATTTTATTAGTTAATGTATCAATTTACTAATAAATTGTAATGGAGGATGGATAGAAGGAGATACATCTTGTTATGATGGTCATATTGGAGCATTATGTGAAGAATGTGATATTTATAATATAAGAGGATTTGGACATTTTTCAACAAGTTCTAAATATTCTTGTGGTTCATGCATCTAGAATAATCAAAATTATGCTGCTCTCACTGCTATCAGTGTATGGTAAAATTTTATTCTATATGATTTAGGACTCTTATTTCAATACTAATTTCAGTAAAAAGTAACATCAAAATAAATGATCAGATTTTACTTAAAAGAGTAATATCAAAATTAATTAATATAAAATTTTAATATCATTCGAATCTAGGAATCTTAATTAAAATAACAAATAATCATTTACAAATACTCTCTACTATTTTTACTTTTCATTTTTAGACAATTGATGGTATTGGTGATATTGTAAATGCTGTTAGTAATCCAATTTAAACAATGACTCATTCTCTTGATTGCTTTTTAAAAGATTTATTTGATATTCAAATTCATTATTCAAGAATAATATGGCATCTGATCATGCCATTTATTTATATTTTGATTTTTATTATTTTATTTTGGATCTCCATGAAATTTAATTAACTCAAATACAATTCAACTGTTATTACTACAACATTAATCTATATGTACATATATCTCTAACCATTTTTGGTTGGTAGATTAATATCATTATTATCATTTAGATAAATTTCTGGTTTTTAATGGATTTAAGCTAATGTTGCTTTTCGATATGATACACCAAATCATTAAAAATGGTTATTTAGCTTTTGCTTACCATTATTAATTTTTATAGGTTTCATTATTCCTTTATTTTTCTTCATTTCTTTGTATTCAAATAAGAAAGTTTTAAATGAAAAAAAAACTAGAAAAAAATGGGGATATTTATACAATGAATATAAGCTTGAAGCTTATTATTGGGAAATAATTAAAATTGTTAAAAAATAATGTTTAATTTTGTTCATATCTTATTACGATGAGTATGTTGTTAAAAAAGGAATTCTTATATTGTTAATAATACAAATATATTAGAAACTTAGTTAATAATATCAACCATATTCGTTATCCCTGCTAAATAAATTAGATGCTTACTCCGCAAATGTATGCTAAATTTCCATCGCTTTAGGAATTGGAATTTATATCGATCAATAAAATAAATCATATGAAATTTAGATACTCTACTTAATTATACTTTTTGCACTTAATTTAAATTATTTGTTTAGAGTTTTTAATGAAATAGTATCTTCTTTTTTTGATGAAAATGCTATTTTAGTTGATAAATTTAAATATTATATCCTTAATAAATTACCTTGGGTTTAATAATATTAAGTATGCAAAAAATTGTTACAAAATCGAAACATATAAAAAAAAAGAATTGCATGGAGATATCTCAAATTAAAGAAATACTTAATTGGGTAAGCAAAATATATTTTACAATGCAAGAGTAATTATAGTGTTAAAATAGTGTCTTAATATTCTTCCAATTGATTAATATATAAAATAAAAATAAATTATATTTATATAACAATTTTATAAATAATACAAATAATTTGAAAAATTCTACAAAATCTAATAAAATATTTTCTGAGAGCGAATAGAAGATTGAAACTCAATTATATAAATTAAATAAAATTAAAGAATTTCAGGAAGGATGATGCCAGTGTCAGATTGTATTGAAAATAAATATAAACTTCATGTTTAAATTGAAAATGCATTTGATACTAAATAAGATTAATGAAAATTGAGTTCTGAAAAAATTTAATTTATTTTTGTCTAAGTAGATAAAACATTGATATAGAGACAGTTCAATAATGTTCCTCAATTAATAAAATAACTTGTTTCAAACTTGAATTAGTTATATAGTTAATTTATAAAATTAAATATGAATGAAGAAAATGAAAAGAGTTAAGAAATAGCAAAAGAAATGTTATTAGTAGGCCTAAACAACCCTGAATTAAACGATAACATTGATAAGGAATGGAATTCAAGGAGAAATCAACCAAGACCAAAGACAGCTTTACATGATAGAAGATAATAATAATTATAAGAATTGAAAGAGTAATTTTTATCATCACATAATTTATAACAAAAGTAAGTTAAATAAGAAAAAGTGGTTTAATAAGTTCATAATAATTTTTAACCTTTACCATAAAATAAGGAATTAGGAGCACAATTTGTTAATGGAATAGAAAAATTTAATGAGAACTAAACAAGAGATTCTGGTGTAGCAATTTGTTATAATTTGATTGAGAAAAATAAAGACTTATAGTCAGTATAAACAATGATAGAATGTTTGTATAGCAGTTCAAAAAAAAATATAAATCCAAAGACAAATAGTTAAAATACATTAGCAATAGATATGGAATTGATGACTTTAGGAGAAATAATAAAACAGAATGAAGAGAACTTAAATGCGTATTTAATTGATAAAATTTTTCAAATAATAAAAAAGCACATGAATGTACTAATTAATTATATATAGAGTAATTCAGATACAACTGTTTAAGCTATAAGTTATGTTTTGATGTAATTGTAAGCTCATATCAGTATTTCAAATACATATTAAGAAATAAATGAATTTATTTATGACAAAGGGAGATAAGTATAAGTGGCAACAATTTTATCTTTATTATGTTATTATTTAAAATAATAAAATAAGACAGATGATGTGATTATTTTAGGATAATTAATTTTTGATATTTATAAGGTNAACAATTTTATAAATAATACAAATAATTTGAAAAATTCTACAAAATCTAATAAAATATTTTCTGAGAGCGAATAGAAGATTGAAACTCAATTATATAAATTAAATAAAATTAAAGAATTTCAGGAAGGATGATGCCAGTGTCAGATTGTATTGAAAATAAATATAAACTTCATGTTTAAATTGAAAATGCATTTGATACTAAATAAGATTAATGAAAATTGAGTTCTGAAAAAATTTAATTTATTTTTGTCTAAGTAGATAAAACATTGATATAGAGACAGTTCAATAATGTTCCTCAATTAATAAAATAACTTGTTTCAAACTTGAATTAGTTATATAGTTAATTTATAAAATTAAATATGAATGAAGAAAATGAAAAGAGTTAAGAAATAGCAAAAGAAATGTTATTAGTAGGCCTAAACAACCCTGAATTAAACGATAACATTGATAAGGAATGGAATTCAAGGAGAAATCAACCAAGACCAAAGACAGCTTTACATGATAGAAGATAATAATAATTATAAGAATTGAAAGAGTAATTTTTATCATCACATAATTTATAACAAAAGTAAGTTAAATAAGAAAAAGTGGTTTAATAAGTTCATAATAATTTTTAACCTTTACCATAAAATAAGGAATTAGGAGCACAATTTGTTAATGGAATAGAAAAATTTAATGAGAACTAAACAAGAGATTCTGGTGTAGCAATTTGTTATAATTTGATTGAGAAAAATAAAGACTTATAGTCAGTATAAACAATGATAGAATGTTTGTATAGCAGTTCAAAAAAAAATATAAATCCAAAGACAAATAGTTAAAATACATTAGCAATAGATATGGAATTGATGACTTTAGGAGAAATAATAAAACAGAATGAAGAGAACTTAAATGCGTATTTAATTGATAAAATTTTTCAAATAATAAAAAAGCACATGAATGTACTAATTAATTATATATAGAGTAATTCAGATACAACTGTTTAAGCTATAAGTTATGTTTTGATGTAATTGTAAGCTCATATCAGTATTTCAAATACATATTAAGAAATAAATGAATTTATTTATGACAAAGGGAGATAAGTATAAGTGGCAACAATTTTATCTTTATTATGTTATTATTTAAAATAATAAAATAAGACAGATGATGTGATTATTTTAGGATAATTAATTTTTGATATTTATAAGGTAAATTGATAAAATATATAGAAATTAATGATTGATAGTTTAGAATTATTGAAATGTATAGAGTTTCTACTATGTTTAAATTAAAACTTGAATCATGAAATAATAATATAGAGAACCTTAAAGTATTGTTAGATGCCAATTAATAAGAATTCAAAATATTATCTGATAGTTTGTTAAGCATGTAAAATAATAGAACATATGGGATCAAAGACTAGAATGATGTCAAATGAAGTATTAAAGGAAATGGAGAAATTAGTGAATGATAGAAGAGTAGATGTACAAGTTGCAGCTAAAAAAGCTATAGCCGCTTGGAAGGAATAAGAAATAAAGCTAATAGAACATTAATTGGATTAATTTTATAATAAAATTGGTTTTTGTTAGACTCCATAAACGGAATATTAAAAGAGAGGATTTTAAAGTTTAGTAAGGGCAAGTTCTTATGTAAGAAAGAATTCTAGATCTCCAAGTTTACCTAAGAAATTAAATAATTAGATAGTGAAACCTAAGATTAGAGAGAAGATTAATAAAATAAGATCAAATTCACCAAAATTTTAAATGTTGGAGGAAGATACAGAGGAAATGAGAAGAAATTAGGCTTTATAGTTATTAAAATAAAAAAAGGTAGTAAATTAATAAAAGAAAAATGAAGATGAGATTTTTGAAGATTCTTTAGAAACAAACCCATTTTAAGGGATTCCATTATAATTCTAGGTTGAATAAAAGGAAATAATTTAAAAATAGGAAATAGTGGAATAAAACGATGAATTGTAAGATAGTTTAATGAATAGTTCAAAAAAAAAAGAAGATGTTAAGTAACTAAGTAAAATGCCAAGTATCTAATATATTGATAATGTTTAAACGATAAAAAAGTCATTACATTAAGAGATATAATTGGATATTTAAGAAGAAGGAGAACATATTGAATAAGTTGATTTAAATATTTAAAAAGAGAATGTATAATAATTGGAGTTTTAGAAGTAAGAAAATAGAGATGAATACTAAAAGAAAGTTTTGAATGAAGAGAATAAAAATGGATGTTTTAAGGGTTAAGAATAATTAGAGATTAATCATTTATAAGATTCTGATTAAGAATAATAATATTAGAGAATATAGTAATAGGTTTAAAAGGTTAGAAGTGGGAATGTATAAAAATTAGAGGAAGATGAAATAGAATTTGAGGAGATAGAGAATGAATAAAATAATTAAGATAATTATTTAAAACCTTTTTAGATAAAATAAATATCAAATTTTGATGCATCTTAATAAGAATTCTAATAAGAATTTATATCAAAAAATAATAATATAAATTATTAATAGGAATTATTATAGGATAATAATACAGAGAATTTAGATGAAGAATAAGAAATAATAAATGAAAATAAATATGAGAGGAAAGAGAATGAAATAAAAGTGAAATCTGGTTAAGTGATGTAATAAGAAAATATAGAACTTGATTTAACAAGTGAAGATATTTAATAGGTTGATATGATAAGAGATGATTAAAAATAAAAAGAGAATGGTATGTAGAATGAAATATAATAAAAGATAGATAATGTATAGTAAGGAATATAATAATAAAAAGATAATTAAGATAATAGAGAGAAGAAAGATAAATAGAAATAATAAAGTGAAAATGAAGGAGTACAATAATAAAAAAGAGTAGAGGGTAGAGTGATAGATAATAAAGTGATAGGAAATATAGAGAATAAAATAGATAATGATGAAAAAATAAAGAAGGTAGGAAATGAAGAATATAAAGAGAGTATTGGAAGTAAAGGTAGTGTTGAAAAAAGAAGTGAGAAGAGAGTAAGATATAAACAAAATAGATATTATTTTGAATAAGCATTAAAGAAAGCTAAAGAGAATATAAATGAAGGATATGAGATATTATTTGAGAATTGTGATGATTTATAAAAGATACAGTATATAAATGAAAGTATGTTAGATTTATGATGATGGTGGGTCCATAGATAAAGAAATTAAATAATAAGATGATGAATAAAATAATAGAATTTATGAATGAAATGAAGGAAGCAGAATTATTAAATGTTTTAGGGATAAATTTATATAAATAAATATAAGAATGTGAATATATGGATGAAATAAAACATGAAGATATGTAAGAAGTGAAGAATGTTTTATATGAGATAAGTGGAAGTAATTCTGAAGGTATTGGAATGATGGCAGTAAATATATATAATGAACTTTGAAGTTCATGAATATTAATATATAATAATTATTATTTAAAATAAATAATGGCTTTGTGGAAAGTATTTTAGAAAGCAGGATCAAGATCTACAATGCCTGCTGCATTTAAAGAAGGACTTTTTGAGAAACCAGGAGAATTTGAATATAAAGTTAAGAATATAGCTATAAGCTATGAAACATCTTCTTGGATGTTAAGAGAAGGTATTGTAGAATACAATCCAAATAAATGGGGATATGTTTTAAGTAAATCACATAGAGATTTTAATGATTATTGGACTAGAAGTAATACTATATATATATATATATAATTATAGCTATGTTTACAAGATGTGGATTATTTTTGACTGGATGTTGGTTATTTAGTTGTTTATACACAAAACCAAGATTTGATTGGTAAGATTATCATGATCCTAAATTTGAATAAAAAACATATGGTGATTTAGAAGAAGGAGGTGATGAAGGAGGAGATGATGATTGAAAAATAATCAAGATATTAATATTAAATAAAATATAAAATTTATATAATTATATATGAATTAGACATAGTTATCATTTAGAATACATAATTATCCTGGTAAAAGAGTACTTAATTATACATTTCTTAAAGAATTAGGAAAAGGAGCATTTGGTTAAGTCTAATATTTATATTATCTAAAAGGTCTTCTCAGCTAAAGTAGATAATACAACAGATTTAGTTGCTATTAAATGTGTTCCAAAGTCTAAACTAACTGAACATAGAGGAATTGTTGGATAATTATTAGATAGTGAAATTGAAGTTTTAAGATAAATTAATAGTGAACATGTTATCAAGTTCATTGAATTCTTTCAATCTGAAAATCAATGCTATATTGTATTAGAATTTTGCAATTGTAAATTTTTAATTCTATTAAATAGCTGGTGATTTTGAATAATTATGGACTAAAAGAGGAAAAAAAATACCTGAAAATGAAGTTATTGCTTATATGAAATAAGTTCTTGCTGGAATGTAAGCATTACATGAAAAAAACATTTTACACAGAGATTTAAAATTACCTAATATTTTAATTCATAATTCTACTCTAAAAATTGCTGATCTTGGTTTTTGCAAATAATTAAAAGATTAGAATCAACATGAAAACTTATTTCTAGGCTCTTTAGGTAATATGGCACCTGAAATTGTTGAATAAAAACCATATGGAATGTCTGCTGATATGTTTTCTATTGGAAGTATGTTTTATTAGTTACTTTTTGGATCATTTCCATTTACTAATATAAATGAAAAAGCATTCCTTTAAGATATCAAAACAAGTATATTTTTTTATATTATTAATAAGACAAACCTGATTTCAGAAAAAATGGTGTTTCTATTTCTACTTAATTATAATTACTATTATCTAAAATGTTATTAAAAGATCCAAAAGATAGATTAAAATGGTCTGAATTATATTCACATCCATTAATGAAATAAAAAGAGATGAGTATAAATTCTTTTTTTATTTAGGATATTAATAGTTATCTCTCAATCTTCTATAGGCAGAATAAATTAATCTTGAAAAAATTGGAAAATTCTATTAGAATAAAGGTTAATTTGAAAATTATGAAAATTCAAATGATTTTATTCAATAGCTAAATGGTTTAAAATAATAGTAAATACTGAAAAAAGATAAACCAGTCGATATAGTTGAAACAGAACTTTAATCTGATCTCTAATATGAATAATTTAAATAATAAATCTCAGAAACTGAAAAATAAATAGAAGATTAGAAAAAAGTTGAATAACTTATTGAAAAATATATGAGATTAAGGGATTAAATTGTTTATTTATCAAGAACATTAAATGAAGTAAATTCATTAATCTCTGAAGAGTATTCAGCCTTTCCATTTTTATTACTTATTAAAAAGATATTCAAATTAAATAACTCATTAACTAAAGCTTTATTAGAAAAACAAAATATTTTTTAAAGTGCAGATCTTTTAGATAAATTATATAATCATCCTCATTTTTAAAAATTTATATCATAAATGTTAGATGACTAATAATGTTATGAAAGCCTCCTATAATATGCATTAAGTCCATTACAAGAAAGTAGATCTTTGAAAAAATAAATGCAAGATTATAATTGGCAAAAAGAAATAACAGTTGAATATTCTGATCAATTTAACAAAAATTTTAAAGAAGTTTTGAATGATTTCATTATTAGAACTTTATCAGAAATGAAAGAAAAAGAGAAGGATCCTAAAATAATTGAAAAATATATTGAATTATAAATACATTTAATAGATTGTTGTTGCTATGAAATTGTTTATTAAAATGATTAAGTAAATTTTATTTTAATTTAATAGACAATTAATATAATGGAGTAATTCGATGCATTATATGAGAAACCTCTTAAAGTAAAAAATGATATATTTTCAGACAAAGTGTAGTTATTATTTTTATGAATTATATATATATATAAATATATAATTTATTAATATTATTATATAAATTAATTTCAGTTTCAAATGGCTGATGAAAACTTGGATTAGATTATTGACATGCCAGAATAATCTGATATGATAAATGATGCAAAAACTTAAGTTTTAAAATAATAGTATAATTATAATAGGCAAGATATGCAGTTGAACATTTTAAAGTAGAATCATAGATTTCAAATTATATAAAGAAATTCTTTGATGAAAAATATGGACCAAATTGGCATTGTGTTGTTGGTACACAGATTGTTAATAAATAGGGAAACATTTCAATTCTTACACATCTTATGAAAGCAAAAGATATATGTTCTTTTATGAAGGATAAATGGCTATTCTACTTTATAAAATGGGCTGAAGAATTTGAAATAAATATTATCATTTATTAAATTTTAAATTAAACAATATCTCTGCATAATCAAATCGATTAACTATTTTCATTAATCTAAAAATAATTATTTTTCATTATAAAGTTATTAAATTTCTAAGTATTGATTCAATTTCTAATCACTATTTTAATATTCATATTTTAGAATATTTGTAGATTCTTGTATCTAACAAGTCTTTTCTTTTATAATCAAAGTAAAATCTAAACATAACACAATCTTCAAATTCTTCATATTATTTCAAATAACCTTTCTCAAGTAATGTAAATAAAAATAATTTCAATCATTCATCCTTTTCTATAACTTATCAATATAGAATTATCATTCTAAATAAATACTCCAAATCCTATACCTGGATCCATTATTTTATATATCAAAATATTTAATTATTTATAAATATGTCATTTACAAATACTCATTTATTAAATCCTTCACCCTATAGCAGTATGATTAAGAAATAAACTAATGGAAATTAATCCCATTCATCTTTAAAGGTAAAAATCACATTTTCTTATACATTAGAACTTTTAGAACCTTGTTCCATAAATAAATGTGTAAATTAAAAATCAGATGCAATTAAATTTTAATTGTTAAACCTAAAGAGAATACAAACATAAATAATCTGATTTAGAAACTAAGAGAAAACAATAACCTCCAAATGTTTAAAGGTTCAGTTAAGCAAAAAATAATAATTTCGTTTCAGGTTATTATTCGAATGGAAATGCATAATAAAAAAATATTAACTTAATTAAGCAATAATTTTGTTATTAACTCAATTCTGTATAAGATTTAAAGAAAGGATTAATAGAAGAGAAAAACAATCTCAAGAAATAATCAAAAACTAAGTCTTCTGAATAATTATTATCAAAATCACATAAAATAACAACAGAACCCGCTTAGAAAGGATAAAACAATTAAAATTTGATAAATAAAATCAAAGAGTAATCAAATTAATAAAAGATTGGAAGTGTAAGCAGTCCAATTGAATTTAATTTTAAAAAATTACTACAAAAATATCATTTAACTTTAAATAAAGCTAAAAGTACTGATAGATTAAAAAGTCAAAATGGAAATGATTTTTTAAAAGAATCTTTTAAGTAAAAAGAATAATTGTAGGGATCATTATAGCATTTCATAATAATTCATCTTTATGATTAAGAGAAAACTATAGAGATAAAATATGATTGTTTTGAAAAGAAGACAGATCAACTACTTGGTTATTTGATTGAAATATGTTAAGATAGTATATATTTAATTATAAATAAAAGATGAGAATATAATTGGATTTTCATCAGTAGATAATAACATAGCAGTAGAATACTATTTAAGTTTAAGGAATAAAGATTTAATGATATTAGATAAATAAACAATAAAATTATAGCCTTTATATCCAGAATATACTTAAAAATTATCATTAAAGAGCTTCCATTTTTTACTATGTGTAGGAATAGGAGGATTTTCAAGAGTATATTTAGTAAGATCTAAAAGAAATGGAAGATTCATAGCATTAAAATTAATATCAAAATAATTTATAGTAGAACATTAAAAATAATAGATAGTATAAAATGAGAGAGATGTTATGGTATAATTAAATTTAAGCGATTAATAAATGCCAAAATAATTTATTTGTTAATTAGAATGTGCATTTGAGACTAAACATTGGGTATGTTTTGGTATGGAATATTGTCCTGGAGGTGAATTATTTAATTAATTAAGAAAGGTTTAAAGAATGAATTAAGATTAAGCAAAAGTTTATTTTGTTGAAGTTTGTATTGCAATAGCATTTTTACATAGTTAAAATGTATTGTATAGAGATATAAAACCAGAAAATATTTTAATAGATGAATTTGGACATTTAAAAGTAGCAGATTTTGGATTAGCTAAACCAAATATGGGTTAATTTGATGAAGCATATTCTTTTTGTGGTTCTCCTGAATATATGGCACCAGAAATGTTATAATAATAAGGACATACATTTGCAGTTGATTATTATTGTTTAGGAGCATTACTTTATGAATTATTAACAGGATTACCTCCATTTTATTCAAAAAATACAGAAGAAATATTCTAAAGTATCTTAAATGATGATTTATAATTTCCTATTAAAGTTTGTTCTCCAGAAGCAAAAGATTTATTAAGAAAATTATTACATAAAGATCCTAATTAAAGAATGGGTAATAGAGAAGGAATTTAGGATATATTAGGTCATTAATTTTTTGATGATATCAATTTAATTGATATTTTAAAAAGAAAAATATAACCTCCATTTTTACCTAATTTAATTAAATTTAATTTTGATCCTAAAGAATTTAAATAAGGTGAATAATAATTCAATTTAGAATTATAAAAATCATTATACAGTGATTAAGAAACATAATTTGAACCTATGTTTGAAAATTTTTATTTTATAGGTGAAACTTTAAAAACAAAAAAACCAAAATTTGATAAATAAACTAATAGACCTTAATCATTAATTGAAGCATAATAAGAAACTATAATGATGACTGAAAGAATGGATAAGAATTTTAATTTTAATAATTCTGCCAATTTTGGTTTAAAGAGAGGATTTTCAGCAAAATAATTTTAGATTGAACATTCTTAAAAGATTGAAGAATTAAAGAAAAGAATTTAATAATAAAACACTCAAGTAAAATCTTATATTGATCCATTTGATCATTTAGCTGTAAATTAATTAATATATAAAAACAAAGCCAAAACATCAAGACTTAAAAATAATAAATGAATATTTAATTATTCTCGTATGAATATAATATTAATATCATAAAGAAAAATATGAATGTAATTTCAAAAATCTTTATATTATTAAGAACTAGGAAATGATCTTTTAAGTTGTTACTTAATATAATTTTTATTAACAAAATCTGCTTGATCACAAGAATTAGCTGTAAGGATTCTTTCAGTATATGATTCATTTAGTTATTCTTAAGTTGAACATCTTTCAAAATTCTTTTTGGATAAAAACTTATGTTATTATTTTTTAAACTCATTTTTGTATTATTAACAAATCTACATATCGACACTGAAAATTTGAAAAGCTTTAATCATTTTACTGGATTTAATACGATTAAAGATTGCTTCAAGTAAACATTCTGAGTTATGTAATTATTCAGATTTATCTTTATACTTATCTTTACCTTCTCTATATCCAACATGTTCTAATTCATGTTAAAACATTAATTCAAAACTAATATGAATAATATATATAAAATATACCATTATTCATATGCTTCTACAATTTCTTTTTTAGTATCTTAATAGTTAATTTTAAGATTAATAATGAATTCTGGTTGACATGCACCTGGTGGTAATCTTTATATAATTGGTATTTTAGGTTTTACTAAATAATTATAATAGATTACAAAATTGTCTTTACATATCTGGTAATTACATTAATGTGAATGAATTTGGATCAATTTATGCATTTACTATGATAAGATAGAATAATTTACATATTCCTCTAAGGTTATTCTATAAAATATTTCCATGAATTATTTAGATAGATGATTAATTAATAGTAACTTCATAAATGTGAGTATTATCTTGGCTATTAAAATCATATTATTATTTATCTCCTTAACAAAAATCTATATAGTTTGTAAATACATACTTCCCATTTATATAATAAATTAAATTAATGAATAATAAAAAGGTTTTAGAGTTAGTATCAAAAATATTAATCTTTAAAACAGATAATTGTTAACATAAATACTCATGTATTAGAAATACATTCTAGGGTGCTAGTGAAGCATTTATTAAAGCATTTATTGCAAAATTATGTTTAAATGGATTGATGTTATTATTAAGTTTGAAGAAGGTTATGAAATCTGATAAGAAATTATTAAATGCGTTTAAAATCCTTTTAAATAAGTATAATATAATAATTATAAAGAACTAATTTCTAACTTGGATTGTTTATGGGATTATAGACATTCTTACTTAAATCAATTTAATGTTCATTAAGGATTATTAGAAATAAAGAAGATGGAATTAATGCACTTGTTTCTGGATTTATTGCTGGAGGTTTAAGTTTTATGACTTAGGAAGAAAATGTTAAATACTTAGTCAGAGTTTATTTATTCGGTAGAGCTGTTGATTGCATCTATTAATCATAAGTAGAAAAGTATTAAATCTCTATATATTTTATAGAGGACGATTCAAACATAGAAAAATTATACCTGTTCTAATCTTTGCTCTTATGTCCACTTTAATTTCCTTTGCATTCTTCTTTGAACCTGAGCTTCTACCATTAGATACATATAAAATGTATTAGAATTTTTCAGGTGCTGAAATGAATGATTCATTATGGCATATGTGTAATGTTTAAGCTTGGAGAAATAAAATTGATGCAGCTAAATCCTAATGAAATATTATTGTTATTATTTTCACAATTATAATTTATTAAATATTTTATATACTTATTATTGTTATATAAAATAAAATTATATATCTAATATCTTTCATTTCTAAATCTATTATAACTATTCAATTAGACTTTTACTATTTATTAAATTAATAAATACTTTATTTATCTAATTTTTTTAATGTAATTATATTAATGAATCTAAATATAATTATAATTAAAATAATTAAATCTTATCATTATAATGATTTTTCACGCTATAATATATTTTATATTTAAACAGAAGTAATATATAATCGTGTTATGATATATATTTAATTTATATCTATGATAGATATCATCATTGATTCATATCAATTAAGCTCTTCTATTTAACCATTACCTTAAAATTATTGTAATTGTAAATTCCTAAAGCTTTAAGAGCATTTTCATGGATATCTATTACTGGATTACGATCACCTCCATTTCCAATATTCCCTTTATAAGCAATAATAGTAATCTTTAATTTATAATTATGAGCTTTATTGCCAACTGCATAATTATCCTCCATCTTATAGACTATTGTCATGATGATTTCCTGTTTTATGGTTGAAGCCAGAAGCAAGCACAGTTCTTTTTTTATTCATTTAATTCTATTAATGAAAATAGAGATTCAGAACGATAACTTATATTAAGACAGGATATATATTTCATAGAGATTCTAGCATTTTTGTTTTGAATTTAATAATTTTTTTAAATTAATTTAGAAAATACTAATAGAAAATTTCTGTTATTATTTAAATATTATAAATTAAATGATTAAGAAACAAGATTAAAAAAAATACTTAGTTGTTTAGAATTCCATTTTGTTTTTTTCAAAATGAATCTATATATTAAATTTAACAAATATAAACATATGATTAATTATTCTTTTAGTTTATAAATAATTTATTTCTTAAATAATCTTAATAGTAATAAATATAGAATAAATGTTCAACTAAGTTTAAAAAAAAAAGAATTTAATATGATCAAAAAATATTTGAATAGAAAGTAAAAATTCATATTATTTAATTAGAATGAAAAAAAAGAATAGGAATTGAATTTTAAGAATGGATTTAGTAAAATGAATATAATATTAGTTATTATATTAATATTATAATATATAAAAATGGAAATAAATATAAAAATAGAAATATATATATAAAAATAAATAAATATAAAAATGGAAATAAATATAAAAATGGAAATATATAGAAAAATGGAAATAAATATAAAATAGAAATAAATATAAAAATGGAAATAAATATAAAAATAGAAATATATAGAAAATAGAAATAAATATAAAAATAGAAATATATAGAAAATAGAAATATATATAAAAATAAATAAATATAAAAAAAAGCTCCGCGTCCGGGAATTGAACCCGGGCCTCAAACGTGACAGGCTTGAATACTAACCACTATACTAACGCGGATTCTTAATTAATAAAATTAAATTATTGTATAAATGAGTGTTAGAGTAAAATTGGATAATAAAGAGAGAGGATATTATGCGTCATTATATTAAGCAGTTGATGCAGCAGTATTTTAATACATAATGATATTAGAATATAGGATAAATAGGAGGAGCTTAAGCAGTCACATTCTTTAAAAGATCAGGATTATCTATAGATATTCTGAAGAAGATTTGGTTAATAAGTTCACCCAATAATTAAACTTTAAATAAAGAGGAATTTTATGTTGCACTTAAGTTGATCAGTTATGCATAAAATAATATTGAGGTTTCAAACGAATCAATTTAAAGATGTATTCCTAGTCCATTACCATAATTCTAATCTGATACAGAAGAAGTGTATAAACTTAGACCAGAATAAGAAAGATTATATTAGAATTATATATAATAATTGGATCATTCCAATTCTACAGTAACTTAATTTATATTTATTAGGTCTCAACCTAAATGGCAATTAATTTATTCAAAAAAACTTAACTAACTTAATTCTAATTATAAAGCATCATTAATCTTGTTGATCCAACCCTATAAAATAAACCAAGAATGACAACTCATTCTTATATCATTATTGCCCATCTTATATCTTTAGCATCATAAAGTGTTCCAATACCATAAAAATTACCGAATTCTTTATAAGAATATTTGAATTAACAAATATTGATATCTTAAAATCTTAATCCATAGATTCCTAATACACCTATTAATAGTATACCTACAGTGATTCCTAAATCTAATGATCTATTAGATTTTGAAGCTAATTTCGATAAATCTAAATCTCCTATTGATAAATGTATCTATTTATATTAAGTATTTAGATAGTGCTTTTAATTATATAGAAATGCCTAATCCTATTATTGAACAACCACCTGTTCATTAATAACAATAACCTTAATTGACTACATCTTAATCATTTAAAATACCTTCCACATCAACATAATAACCAATTTTAAAATAACAAAAATCATTTGATTTAATTATAAATGATAATGATTCACAACCATAATCAGTTGTTTAATAGACTAATCAATCGTAATAATAATCATAATAATAATAAGTAAATATTTCATTAAATACAACAACTTCATAATAATAACCTATAATTCCTCAAAAACCTAAATAAAATTTAGACTTTTAGAAATAAGTCTTGCTTCAAGAATAAATGTTAATATAATAATAGTAATTAGAATAAAATTATAAAGAAGCTAATGATCTACTTAATGAATTTAAAGAATCTCATGAAAAAATCTTAATTTCAACCTAAAGTTAATTAGAATCATTATAAACTACAAATGAATAATATAAAACTTTATTAAAAAAAATTTCAGATGAAAATTATTTATTTTAGGAAGAACTTAAATAAATTGAATAATAGAAAAAAAAACTCACTGAATCTTTAAGTAAATAAGCTATTGAAATTAATTAAAAATTAGGATTAAATATATAAATAAAATAAGAATATTCTAAATAAAGTACAAATACAATTAATACGGTATCAGATTATGCAAATTAAATAATTGGAGATTTAAGATCCAATTATGAAATTGAATAAGAAAGAAAAAAAAGATAAGAATAAGAATTTTTAAAAGAAATTAAATAATAAAGAGAATAAATGAGTTCAATATTTGAAGCATTAACTGCTTTATCCAAAGATATGAAATCATAAAGAAAAAATTCAACTCCTTATTAACAAATTGAATCACATGAAGGATAATAATTGAATACATTTATACCTTTTTAATCTGTTCAGCCAACTTAATAAATTAAAACTAAATAAATATCATTAGATTAATAATAATTTGGAGAAGTATTGGAAAATAAAAATAATGTTATTGATTTTACAATCATTAAACCATTAGAATAATAATAAGAATAAATTAAATAAGTAGACTCAAAAAATAAAGACTAATTTGATGTATTTGCATTATATAATGATTAATAAAATAAAGACATAATTAATTAAGTAGTTTAGCCAGAAGTGAATGATTTAAAATAATTAGAATTATTAGAATAATAATAATTTAAATCAGAAAAAATAGAAGATTTTGGATTTACTGATAATGCTTAAATATAATAGCCTCCATCATAGTAAAAAGAAATCAAATAATTGGAAGATATTGAATTTGATAATAATAAATAGATTGGTTTTGATAGTAATAATGTTGGATTTGATAATAATAATAATATTGGATTTGATAATAATAAATAGATTGGATTTGATGATAATAAAAATATTGGATTTGATAATCAAAATATAGAAGATCATCAAGAAATCTAATAAAAGGAAGTATAATAAATAAATATTGAATTTGATCAATCTAAATAATTTGAAGATCAAGAAGATATAGAACATAAAGTATTTGAGATAAAATTTGAAGATGGATTTGGCGCTAATTTTGATAATAGAAACTCTATTGAATAAAATCCATCTATAAATTTTGATTAAAATTTTGTATTTGATTAAGGATTGAAACCAAATGATGAAGTTCAAATAGATTTTGATGCAAATAAAGAGTTTGGAGGAGGAGATTGGGGAGGATTTGCTGAGAACTTTGTTTAAGGATCTCCAAATTAATAATAATAATAATAATAATAAGATTAATTTGAAACATTTAAATGGTGAAAATTTAATACATATATATAAAAATATACATCATGAATTGTTATTGATAAATAATCATATTTAAAAATGATTTTTAAAATCCTCATAATATATTTTTCATATAGATCAGGTGTCTATAAAATTAATATATTTATTAGAGAAGAAGTAACTTCATCTTTATCAATTTATAATTCATTAAATCTCCTCTAAAAATGTAAATAATTATAATAATAATAATAATTCTCTTAATTTTCTAAGGCATGAATAAGTAAATGCAAACTTATATTTATTTATGAAAATATTTAACATAATGAAATTAGAGATTATAGATTTTATACTAATTTTTTACATTTAGAATAATATGCTTATAAAATGATTATATTTAACTTAATTTAGAGAATAATTGGTTATATTATTTGAACATTAAATAAAAAGGATTTTGTTTTCTATGTTTAAATAATTAAATTGATGTTTTTATATCACATTCATTTCTTTATTATCTTAGTCAATCTTAATATACAGATTATACTAAATATTACAGATATTGATTTTATTTACTATTCTAAATTTATTTTATTAATAAAATTTAACAAAATTATGTCATTTAGAAATTCTCCTGCTTTAACTTAAGATAGATCAAGAGGAAATAGTTTAAATGGCAAATCATATTTAAGAAACACATAGGTTTTAAAATAAACTGACTAACTTTCATATCTATAGAAATAAAATAATTCAAAAAAATCTTAAGATTACTAATTTCAAAACAAAAATTTGACTTTAAATTAAGATAACTATTTAACTTATCTTAATTTTGGAAAAAATACTGAGAAATAATAAAAACCTCCTTAATTTATCAACCCATAAAATTTGAGATATTTAAGTCCATCTAATATAAATACTGCTAAAAATGATTTTGAATAGAATAATTTATAATAATAAGATAAGTCATATTAAGAAATAGCTGATTTAAAAATTAAAAATGATAAAACTAGAATGTTCTATTAAACCTAAATTGTAAGTTTATAAAATGCTCAAGATTAATTACAAATAGAAAATATTAGCTTATCTAACACTATTAAAAGTTTATCATAATAATTAAATGATGCCAGATATATCATCTAAAGATTATATTCTTAAGTTGATTTTAATTAATAGCAAGAAGATAATATTACTCAAGAAAATAATACTATTTTTTATGAATATTAAAATTTCATTTTAAAATAATTAAATGAATTAGAATAATAAACACTTTAATCTTTAGAACTTAAGGAAGAAAAATTGTTTAAAATTATGAAAAAATTAAATAAAATAAATAGAAAATAATAAATTGATGAAGATTTATTAAACAGTGCAAGATAAATAGATTCTAAAACTATTATAAATGAATTAAAATAAGATAAATTAAATTTATAATAAAAGGTTAAAAATTTAGAAATGTAAATTAAAGTCAATTAAAGAAAATCAAGCAATGAGCAATTAATTAATTAGACTTCTTAGATTGAAGAATAATTTAATGAATTTAAAAAAAAACATTAACAGATTATATATAATTTGGAATTAGATAAAAAGACTATATTAGAAAATGAATAATTAATTAAGAAAGAAGCATAATAAAAAATTAAAAAATTAGAAAGCCAATTGATTAATTTAATGGATGAATTAGAAGGAAGAGATTAGACAATTTAATCACTAAATCAAAATATTAATTTAAATAAAAATTAAGTAAAAAATAATATAATATTTGTAGAATTAAAAATAACAAGATGTATAATAGTTTATAAATAAATTAAAAGAGCATGAGTTAATTTAGTAAGATTTAAATTAGTAAATATAATTAATGAAAAAAAATAATGGTACTATTTTAAATGAATTGGAAAATTAGAAAATAGAAGCATAGAAAATTAAAAAGGATAATTAAACTTTATAAATTTAATGTGATTAAACAAAACAAGAAAATACAGATTTAAATAAAAGAATTCAAACTATGAATTAAAAGTAATAATAATCATTAGATTCTATTAATGATTAATGGTAAATATAGAATTAAAAATTATCTGAATAATTAGCAATTAATGAGGAAAAATATATTACATTAACTAACAATTTTAATCAATTATCGAAATAAAAATAAGATTTGGAAATTTAATTAGAATTGTAATAATAGGAATTTTAAAGTAAATAAGAAGAAATGGCAGAATATGAATAACTATAAGTTAGAGTGAATAAATAAAATTAAACTATTCAAAATTTAGTTTAATAAAATTAATCATATGAAAGCACATTGATAAAGAATATAGATGAAAAGAAATAGTTAGAAAAGTAAATTTCAAATTTGACAGATTCTTTGAATAAATTATCTAAAGAAAAATAAAATGAATAGTTGTTATCAGAGTAGATATAGAAATATGAAGAAGAGATTCTTTCATTGAATTAATAAAATTAAACATATTTAAATGAAAAGAATTTGTTATAAGAATAAATAAAAAATTCAATAATTTAATCAAATTAATTAATTTAAAAAATTGAGATATAAAATGATGTCGAAAATTAATTAATGTTAGCTAATCAATAGCTATAATAATAAAATTAATAATTAAACAAATGTCAAAAAGAAAATTATGATTTATTGAAATAAATAGATGAATTAACTGCAAAAAATAAAAAGTTACTTCAATAATAAAACGATGAATGGGAAGAGCAGAACAATATTTTATTAAAAAAGTTAGCATAAAGTGAAAATAATTTATTGAATTCGTAATAAACCAATATGAATTAATCAAAGATAATCGAAAATTTATAAGCATCAGAAATAAAAAATTAGTAAAAAGATTAATTAATATCTAATTTAAAATAATTATTAGATGAATAATAATAAATAAATGAGAGTAATAACATCTAATAATAGATAATGGAACAACAAAATTAAATTAAATAATATGAAATATAATTAGAAGAAAATAATAAAGAAAAATAGTAATTTTTGAATGATCATACATTACTATAAAATGAATATAACATTGAAAGAGAAAAATTGGAAAACGTAATAGTAGAATAAAGGAAAAATATAGAAAAAATTGAAAAAGAATTATCACAAAAGTAAACTCTAGAATAATAATTAAATAAAAAATTGTAATAAGCATAATAATAATTAGAAGAAATTTAATTTTTATTATAAGAGGAATAAACTAAATCATAATAATTGTTAAAATAATTGCAAAGCATTTCTGATAAAAGTTCTTTTTAATAAAATTTAGATTTATTAGATATATATGAATAGTAAGTGTCCCCTAGAGAAAAGGTTACTGAAACAATATAATATCCAGAATCTATTTAAAGTTAGGATTAAATAAATTTATTATTAGAACAAATATAAAAGTAAAATGAGATTATCGAAGAAAAAGAATTAGAAATAAATTTAGTAAATTAATAAAAAATTGAAATAGAAAGTAGTTTAAAAGTAGCAATAGAAAAGATGAACAATTAAGAGAATCTAATTTTATAATTAAATGAAGAAAAACAAAAATTAATAGAATAACAAAATGTAGAAGCTAATCATTAAAAATAAAAGATTTCAAGTTAAGAAAAATTTATATAAAGTTTGCAAAGTTAAATTGAAGATTTATAATAAGAATTATAAGTTTATGAAAACAAATAAAAAGAATAAGAGCAAAATATATAATAAAGAATTTTAGAATAAAATTAGGAGGAGTCATTAAAAAAGATAATTTTACAGAAAGATGGTGAAATTTAAACTTTAAAGGAAGAATTAAAAGCAATTTATGAATAAATTGAATAAAAATAAAATAAATCAATACTTAGTAATAGATCTAAACGAAGTTAATAATAAATAAAATTTGATTAATTAATGGATTTAAATGAGGATGATAATAATGATGCATAAGAAGATGAAGATGATCTTTAATTTTAAAATTTAATGTTACATTAGTAATTAATAGAGAAAGAGAATTTAATAAAATAATTAGAATAATAAAATAAGATATAAAAATCAAATGAAATGGATGTTGAAAAATTATAATAAATAACAAAGGATAAATAGTAATTGTAACTTTAAAATGAAGTATTATAGTAAGAAATAGATAGAATGTAAAAAGAAATATAAAAATTAAAAGAGGAATTAAAAGAAATTCATGAATAGATTGAATTGCAAATGAATAAATCTGTAATCAGTAATAGATCAAAAAGAAGTTAAAATTATATATCATATGATAAATTTCCAGATGTAAATGATGATAAAAGTTAAGGATCAGATGAGGATGATGATAAAGAATTAAACTAATTTGTTTTGTAAAAGAAAATTTAAGATTAAGAGTAGACAATAAAAAGTTTATAAGCAGAAAATAAGTATTAAATGTAAAATAAGTAAGCTCTTTGTAAGAATAAATTAATATTTTAAAAAACAAAAGTGAACCATTAAAGCCAAATATTGAAGAGATAGATTGGTTTGATTGATAATATTTCTTTTTATAAATGTTTGTTAAATTATATAATATAAATGGAGATCATGTAAATTAGACCGTAGGTTAAGAGCTAAAAAAATTAGTATCTGTGATGTCTTGGCATGATCTTTTTTATATTTGACTTTATTAAGTTGTTTTATTTCTTTAGAATACTTTAAAATTACTATAATGTTAATTATTGCTATTTTTGGTACTATGAACTGGTTTATATGGAAAGAGAGAATCGCAAAGAATAAATCCTTGTTATGATTTAGTTTTATAAAATTAATCTGCAGTCTAACATACAGATTTTGATTTCGAAATAGATGTATGAGATTGACGACTTAAACATTATTTGAGTATTTCAACTTTTTATTAAATTAAAGGGTTTATTATTCTTAATTGTTATTTGGTCATAGCGAGGAATGGAAGATTATTTTATAATTCTTCATCTTATTATTAATTAAATACGATTGGTTCTTTTTATTAAACTTAGGGTAATTGATGTCTTCTAATTTATTCAAGTAAATCTTTTATATCTTTTGAATGTTTACTAAAATAAGGGGTTTTACCTCTTATGATTATTTTAATATATATACTTGGGTTTAGCAGGTTGAAATTATTCGAATTATTTTTCTACTCTGATAAGTAAACATTTTTGAAAGTTTTCTCCTGCCATTTTAAGCATATTGAATTCTTCATTTTTGCCAGCAGCTATATCAGATTTGGTATGTTAATCAGCAATAGACAAATTTTATTCAACCATTTATTATTTAGTCATTTTAGGTTATAATGTAGATCTGAGAATAGGGGATGATTATTCTTAGAAAGAATTTTAAGTTTTTTATTTAATTTCAATTTCATTAATGTATCTTCTTTCAATATTTTTGATTTCTTCTTTTTTATGAAGATTAATATTGGCAATTTTAGTTTATACAATTTCATTTAATCTTTTTTTATACAATGCAATATTTTTTTATTATAGAGATTAGAGTGGAATAATGAATTCAGGAAATGATTTTTTAACAATAGTTAGATTATCTAATTGTAATACAAATACATTGCATTATGTCATAGTTTTAACAGTATAATCTCTTTTTTCATTTTATAAATAGATATCAGTTTCACCAACAAAACAACCACCAGTTAAATGAGCTATCTAAATAATAATGAATTATAAATTTACAGTGACTAGTTCTTTTTGATTTGATTTTTCCTTTTTTGGAGATAATATAATTTAAGTTTATTCAGACTTTAATATTGGATTGAAATCAATAGTTTATTATAGTTATATTTCTCCATCTTTTAATAAAAAGAATCCATCAACAAGATCATTTTATTTCCAAATTGTATAATTAACTGGATATTTGTATTATGTGAAATACATAATTAATTTACTCATTTTAAATTTAGTCATAGTAGGAAACATTTTAAGAAAATAATCAATTTTTTCTTATTGTGTTTTAATTTATTTTTCAAATATTTTCTAGATATAAATAATAAGAATTTACTTTGAAATTACTTTTATTTAATGTTAAAGCTTATACATCAGTTACAGCAATAATACTAGCTGCTCTAGGTTTATCAGTTGTTAAAGCCATATCTCCAAAATAGAGACCAGAATGTACTTATGACAATTACTAGAATTTACATATTCCATTAATAGTAAAATACATATCGAAATTACCTACATTTAATAATAATAATTCAGCTTCAATTTATTTAACTGGTTTAGATTACTTTTTGATCAATTTCTCATAAAATGATAATTTCTAATCTTATTCTATTTCCTCAATTGTTTTTATTTCCATTCTTTCTAATATTTTCTCAATCTTTGGTAACATAGCACTTTCCTCAGCTTCTATTTATTATTGCTATCTTCTTATATAAACACCTGCCCTTCCTGTAAGAATTATGTAAAACTTATCACCCTATTCCCCTTTAATTAAGTATCACTATAAACCTATATGAAATACTGCATTCTCCTTTCCTATTCTTTCATATTACAAATTTTAACATATCAAACGAGTAAACTCAAACAATGTACTTGATTCAGGACACCAAGTTTTAAAAATCTCTATATTTTACATTATACTCGTTATCGAATCTACCTATATTTCTGTTAGATTAATATTATCTCGGTAAACTTATATAACAGGCTCATCATTAATTCAAAACTATACTCCAAACATCGCTTCTTTCTATTTTATTTAATCTTCAACATCTATTATTGCCTCCTTTGCCACTGTTTTTCTTCTATTCATTTATTTATAAATAAATGATTATTTATTTATACACTTTTTTATTAATATATATATATCTATGATTCTTTTATTTATCTATGTATATACATATATAATTATTTAAATACAAAACTTAATTTATCAGTCCTTCTCAAAAATACGCCATCCTCATTATTTTATAGAATCTTAAAAAACAAATACATTTTCTTATTATTTCATAATCTATCCCCACTTATAGTTTTCAAATCAGAAATCAAAACCTTCAAAATAATTTAATTAAAAAGCCTGTTGTTTCTGACTGTTTGCCTCATCCTCTAAAAATTATATAATTAATTAAAATTAGAATAAATTTAAGTAGTAGTATCTATTATTATTTCTTATTTCCAAGATTGTAATTCTTAACTAACTGGAAGATGATTAAAAAAATATCCATGAAATTAGATATATCTTTTTACTATAAAAATTTATAATTATGATGAAAAATGTATGAGTATACAAATATGAATTATTTAAAATATATTTTAATTGTATCTAATCCGATATAAATCATAACATCATGATTATTCATCCGCAAACTTTATATGGACATGATCCAAGAAGCACACCACAGTTTAAACACGAATGATTTGCATCTTAACATTTTTTATTAACAAATGGAATCCAACAAATAAGGAATATAAATATAAATAATATGAAGCAGCAACACCAAGTTCCTGAACCTGATTTATATTCAACCTTTGTAGTCCCTTACTATTTGCAATTTGGACATGTTATAAAAATTGACATTCTTGATTAATTGCAAAGGAGGCCTGCCTAATTTAAAAGCGGTCTAGTATCTTATTACATAATTATTTTTATTAATGATTTTTTTATTTTCGAATTTTGTTAAATTTCAAAAATTTAGTAATAATTTTTTTTAACAAAACAATTCAATAAATATTATCTAGATACATTTAAACAATAAATAAAATTTAAGCAAAAATGTAAATTTATGAAGTTAAAGATAATGTCAGATACTATAATAATTTTATTTCTCTTTCAATATAAATCATCTTCAAATAAGTCTCCTTTACTTTATTTATAATAAACATTTAGATTTTACATTCAGGGAATACAAATCTAAAATTGTTATTCCTGTAATCCAAGCTCATAAGATTATTCAACTAACTACTCTTGTTATTTGTTATAGAAATTATATAATTCATCATACAACATGGAAATTTAAACATCTCATCTTTTTAGTTCTAATTTTTAACAATAAAAATAAAAGTAATGAAATTAGAGTAAGAAAAAATTATATTGAAAGCTATTCAATGTAAAATTTGGTCAATGAAAGTATAATCTTATTGCATTAAATATATGGATAAAAAAAATTAACTGAAACAGGTATACCTCAATTNTATACATATATAATTATTTAAATACAAAACTTAATTTATCAGTCCTTCTCAAAAATACGCCATCCTCATTATTTTATAGAATCTTAAAAAACAAATACATTTTCTTATTATTTCATAATCTATCCCCACTTATAGTTTTCAAATCAGAAATCAAAACCTTCAAAATAATTTAATTAAAAAGCCTGTTGTTTCTGACTGTTTGCCTCATCCTCTAAAAATTATATAATTAATTAAAATTAGAATAAATTTAAGTAGTAGTATCTATTATTATTTCTTATTTCCAAGATTGTAATTCTTAACTAACTGGAAGATGATTAAAAAAATATCCATGAAATTAGATATATCTTTTTACTATAAAAATTTATAATTATGATGAAAAATGTATGAGTATACAAATATGAATTATTTAAAATATATTTTAATTGTATCTAATCCGATATAAATCATAACATCATGATTATTCATCCGCAAACTTTATATGGACATGATCCAAGAAGCACACCACAGTTTAAACACGAATGATTTGCATCTTAACATTTTTTATTAACAAATGGAATCCAACAAATAAGGAATATAAATATAAATAATATGAAGCAGCAACACCAAGTTCCTGAACCTGATTTATATTCAACCTTTGTAGTCCCTTACTATTTGCAATTTGGACATGTTATAAAAATTGACATTCTTGATTAATTGCAAAGGAGGCCTGCCTAATTTAAAAGCGGTCTAGTATCTTATTACATAATTATTTTTATTAATGATTTTTTTATTTTCGAATTTTGTTAAATTTCAAAAATTTAGTAATAATTTTTTTTAACAAAACAATTCAATAAATATTATCTAGATACATTTAAACAATAAATAAAATTTAAGCAAAAATGTAAATTTATGAAGTTAAAGATAATGTCAGATACTATAATAATTTTATTTCTCTTTCAATATAAATCATCTTCAAATAAGTCTCCTTTACTTTATTTATAATAAACATTTAGATTTTACATTCAGGGAATACAAATCTAAAATTGTTATTCCTGTAATCCAAGCTCATAAGATTATTCAACTAACTACTCTTGTTATTTGTTATAGAAATTATATAATTCATCATACAACATGGAAATTTAAACATCTCATCTTTTTAGTTCTAATTTTTAACAATAAAAATAAAAGTAATGAAATTAGAGTAAGAAAAAATTATATTGAAAGCTATTCAATGTAAAATTTGGTCAATGAAAGTATAATCTTATTGCATTAAATATATGGATAAAAAAAATTAACTGAAACAGGTATACCTCAATTAGAAAATCCTTCATTCTAATCATCACATCCTTTATAATAAACATGATCAAACTCCATGAATAGAAAACAAAACTACCAAAGAATCCAAAAAATTAAAAATAATATAAAGTCAATTTTTTGTCTTCATATTTTTAAGGGTAAATGATTAAAATTACTTTTTTTTAATCATTAATAAATTAAAATTCTCTACAGATTCCGCTGAATTTTATAAATTTTCAATTATTTTTTTCTGACAAAAAATTTAAACAATTATACTGAAATAATTAAAATTACTTATGTGTATCTATTATATATATAATTGCATCACTCCCAAATCATATAATTTAATATAATTAATAGTAATTAAAGTGGACTCTTTAATTATTTCATTTCAAAATTGATTTAAGATTCTGAACTTTAAAAATATAAAAGTTTTAAACAAAATTAGATATTTTTTAAACAATTTGGATTGAAAAACAAAATTTGCGAAATAAAAATAAAAGGTTTAGGGTAGATTGAGTTTTAGTAGTTTTTTAGTTTTGATTTATTATTATTATTAATTAAAAATTCTCATATTTATAATGAAAAATTCGATAAATGTATGTTTTAAAAAATAGATTTGATCAAAACATATATAAATATGCATCAACTCATTTTTCATCCACATACTTTATATGGACAAGATCCAACAAGAGCCCCACAAGTGTTACACATATGATTAGCATCTCTGCAGCTATCTGAAACAAATGGAATCCAACAACAAAGAGGGTAACAAAATAGAAATAATAAGTAACAGCATAACCAGGTTCCTGAACCTGCTACAAATTCTATTCTAGTAATTCCTTCTTTTTTGCAATAAGGACAAGTAATTAAAATTGGAAATTTGGATTAATTACATAGCATCACCGAATGTGGATTATCATTTCCTTAATTGACAACAATGATTTATGGTTGACCTTGTTGTGGAGGAGCTGTTTAATCTAAATATATAATAATTATTTTTACAAGGAACGTTTTATGGTGCACTAAATTATTATTATTGAGCTTAAGGAGGATAAGTAGGTGGAGGAGTATAGGTAGGAAGAGGTGGATATTACATTTATTATTTTGCAGGTTCTTAATAATAATCTAATTCTCGTAATAAATAGTTTACCCTATTGTCTTTCTTCTATCAAATAAGCTTTACTGTTATCTTATTACATAATTATTTAATAAATGATTTGTAATTCAATAAAAATACTTTATATATATGCCAAAATTATATGAAATAAGGAAATNTATACCTCAATTAGAAAATCCTTCATTCTAATCATCACATCCTTTATAATAAACATGATCAAACTCCATGAATAGAAAACAAAACTACCAAAGAATCCAAAAAATTAAAAATAATATAAAGTCAATTTTTTGTCTTCATATTTTTAAGGGTAAATGATTAAAATTACTTTTTTTTAATCATTAATAAATTAAAATTCTCTACAGATTCCGCTGAATTTTATAAATTTTCAATTATTTTTTTCTGACAAAAAATTTAAACAATTATACTGAAATAATTAAAATTACTTATGTGTATCTATTATATATATAATTGCATCACTCCCAAATCATATAATTTAATATAATTAATAGTAATTAAAGTGGACTCTTTAATTATTTCATTTCAAAATTGATTTAAGATTCTGAACTTTAAAAATATAAAAGTTTTAAACAAAATTAGATATTTTTTAAACAATTTGGATTGAAAAACAAAATTTGCGAAATAAAAATAAAAGGTTTAGGGTAGATTGAGTTTTAGTAGTTTTTTAGTTTTGATTTATTATTATTATTAATTAAAAATTCTCATATTTATAATGAAAAATTCGATAAATGTATGTTTTAAAAAATAGATTTGATCAAAACATATATAAATATGCATCAACTCATTTTTCATCCACATACTTTATATGGACAAGATCCAACAAGAGCCCCACAAGTGTTACACATATGATTAGCATCTCTGCAGCTATCTGAAACAAATGGAATCCAACAACAAAGAGGGTAACAAAATAGAAATAATAAGTAACAGCATAACCAGGTTCCTGAACCTGCTACAAATTCTATTCTAGTAATTCCTTCTTTTTTGCAATAAGGACAAGTAATTAAAATTGGAAATTTGGATTAATTACATAGCATCACCGAATGTGGATTATCATTTCCTTAATTGACAACAATGATTTATGGTTGACCTTGTTGTGGAGGAGCTGTTTAATCTAAATATATAATAATTATTTTTACAAGGAACGTTTTATGGTGCACTAAATTATTATTATTGAGCTTAAGGAGGATAAGTAGGTGGAGGAGTATAGGTAGGAAGAGGTGGATATTACATTTATTATTTTGCAGGTTCTTAATAATAATCTAATTCTCGTAATAAATAGTTTACCCTATTGTCTTTCTTCTATCAAATAAGCTTTACTGTTATCTTATTACATAATTATTTAATAAATGATTTGTAATTCAATAAAAATACTTTATATATATGCCAAAATTATATGAAATAAGGAAATTTATATATGGATTTTTAAAAATATAAAAACATAAAAGTCAAAGAAAGTGCAAACAATTTTTTATTAAGAATAATATTTTAATTCTTGAAATCAAAGATTTTATTATGATAACACATACATCATCTTAAAATCAGTGTACTTTTAATTATTTAAAATACAAATTTCAAATTTGAACTCTAGCTTCTTACGATTTGTATTATTTGTTTTCAAAATATATAATTCATTTTAATTCTAAATTAATTAAGTAGAATCTATTATTATTTTTTTAATAATAAATCTTATTGATGAAGTCATGTTCAAAAAGCGTAATTCTTAATGTTAATTTTACAATATTATTTATGAAATAAAATATCTTTATATTATTTAAGAAAAAATTATATTGAATGCTACTTAATGTAAATTATGATCAAAAAATCAAGGTATAGGATTAAAAAAATAAAATTGATTTGATTCAAACAGATACAAATATCTTAAATCATTAATCATCCACATGCTTTATATAAACATGATCCAACAAGTGCTCCACAATTAGAACACATATGATTTGCATCTTAACATTTATCATTAACAAAAGGAATCCAACAAAGAATGCAAGAAAATAAATATATTATGAAGCAACAACACCAAGTTCCTGAACCTGATTTATATTCAATTCTAGTTGTCCCTTATTTTGAACAATAAGGACAAGTGATTAAAATAGGAAATCTTGATTGATTGCAAAGAATCTATGATTAAATTTCATTTGTCCCTTAAGCATTTACTCCTTAAGTATGTACTATAATCAATTCCTATTGACCTCGAGGAGCTCCCATTTGATCTAAATTTTACAATTATTATTTTACTTTACTATGGAGGAACAGGAGGATATTATTATTATGTATTCATGGGTTATGAATACTAAGCTAATTTTTAATACAATATCGATTACCATATTGATTATCACTTTAAAGAGGGGTCTAGTATTACTGTTGCCCATTTGTTATCTCAAATGTTGTATTTGTATCTTGTTACATAATAATTTTTTTAATGAATTCTAAATCTATATAAATTTAGTTAAATTTCCGAATTCATAGATTATTATTTCTGACAATAAAGTTTTCATTTTAAATAATATAAACTATATATAAATATCTAACAAAATAAATTTATAAATAAGTTTTCAGAGAATATCTTACTAAATTCATTATTTAACTCTCTAAGATATCAAAAATTTTATAATAAATCTAAAATTAAACCTACTAAAATATTATCTTTGCAATCAATTATCAAAATTTGTTAATTTTTATAGTAAATAAATTGAACAATCTTTCAATTTATGTTCGATTTTATGAAAATCACTTTACCTTAAAATATAGACCAAAAATTTTAATAAATAAAAATTATCATCAATCTTAATAAATTATAACAATCCAATAGTTAATTTTAATAATGCATTTATAGTTTTAAAAATGATAGCTATTAATTATTTTATAAATTTAATGCTAACTTTAATCAAGTTTTTTTGAAAGGTTTGAAAAATGAAAAATATTTTTAGAAAGAGCAAGATGTGGAACTATAAAATTGTTATCAATGATCTTGATAATTCAAATTAATATTAATTTTGGATTAGTTACTTTAAAAATAATGAGAAGAAAAACATTTACTCAATATTTATTTTAGACACTAATATTAATAAAGTATTGAAATTCCATCAGTTAAATAAATAGAATAGAATATTCATATCAAAAGGTCAAAAGTAAAATTAATGATATTATTTGTTACAATTTGAATGCGAAACTGATATAATGAGATAATTAGAAGGTTAATACTAAGAACTTAAGGGTTCAAATGATAAAATTGAGGGGATGTATATTGGAAGATTATTATATATAACAATAAAACATAGTTTTAAGAAACTTGAAATTATCGAAAAATTTGTAAATCAGATTATTACCAACTGAACTTTTGTTGAATATTAAACAATAGGAAATATATAAAATAAAGTGATTAAGTGTATGCTGTATATTTGATAAATAATTAAAAGGATAGGGAGAGTCAATATGAGATTTTATTTTAAAATAAAATGAAAATATATATATTTCAAAATCAAACTGGCTTAAGAAATGAAAACTTCTGATCTATTGGATTGACTAAGTATCTAAGTACAGATTCTCCAGGTTTAAAATTGTAATTGGTTAGGAAATTATGTCTATTTTAGAATATCTTAAATATTTCTTTAATTTTATAACTACTATGACCAACATCATGATCAGAATCTTGAGGACTAATCAATGAGAATCTATCATCTTATGTAGATTTATTTTAAATGCTTCCACCTTAACCCATAACAATTTTCTTTCTTGAGACATCAAATTTAATACCATAAAATTCAAGGAATTTAATGATGTATTCTCCTAAAGTGATATTCTTAATTTAATCTTATTTATTATGTTAGAAGAAATCTTTACGATATTCTCTAAGAAAAGCTAGTATCATTTAAAATAATAGGAATGACCCAACACCTCCACTATAGGTTTCATTTAAATCTCTTTATTTTAAAATACATTTTAAGGTCATCAATAAAAATTTTAATTCTGGATAAATCTCAAAAGCCTTTTCTAATTCTTCAATTTATTTTAATCCATCTAATTAATTGAATGATAAATCAAAATGATATTAAGATTCAACTTCTACAAACTTAATAATAGGAACTTTAGCATTTGCAATTAGATTAACATTTTCAAATTTATTAGTTTATTTCATCATTTTAGCAGCAACCTTTTTATATAATTATTTTTATGAGCAAGATGTTTCTATCATTACCATATCAATATCTGCATTTGGCAAATACATTTTAGTTTTGAAACTACCAAATGATTCAATCTAAGCTTCTGGAGCCAAATCTTGTAAATATTTCTCTACTCTCATATAAGCTGTAATTCTTCGTTTATGTTCTTAATCAGAAGGAGAGATATAATTAAAAAACTCAATCATTTCATTATGTAATCTCAATACTGGATTTTTTATCATCATGGTTTTCTTACTCATCCATGGAATTACATCTACTTTTATTACACAATCATCTTCATCATTTTTTATTTTCTTGGAACTTAAATTATATTAATACATATCTACATTTTAGGTTCATCATCCTCATCATCATCATTTAAAACTATTGCTTCATTATTTTTTGAAGATCTTTAATATTATGCATTCCTGTTCATTAGATAAAAATTATATTGAATTATTAATAATAATAATATTGGAATATTGAAACAAAGCATATACTATTAAACAGTATAAGCTTCCAAGTTAAACCATTCATCTATTTATCATAATATTGATGACAATAACCATAATTAGAGTATTGTCTCAGAGATTATGATTCTATTCTTATTCTACTTTACAATTATTTGAATTACTTATAATCATTGTATTTCTTTATGGGTTTATTAATTAATTAATAATTATTATTAATTGTAATAAATCATGGATTCTAATTAAAATTCAGAGATGTCAGAATAGAAAAAGACATTTCTTAAAGCATTCTTAAGAGTTTGGAAACACAAAAAAGACTAAGAATTATTATAAAAACAAAAATAAGAAGATGAACCTTAACCCGAATAATAATAATAATAATAATAAGAATAGGTTTAACCTAAAAGTTAAGTATTTTCTAGAGAAGAGTATGCTAAAGATTAATTTTGGGAAGACAGATATAAGGAACATAAGGGTAGATTTGATTGGTATGTTGAATGGCCTTAACTTAAATTCTATCTTGAATAAACTAAATTTAAAATTAATAAAGATAATTCAATATTAATGGTTGGATGTGGTAATTCTGCTTTATCTGAATAAATGTATAAAGATGGGTATTTAAATATTAATATATTATTTTTAGTTATCATAATATTGTATCTATTGATATTTCTAAAACTATTGTTGATAGAATGTAAGAATCTGCTATTAAATAAAATATGAACTTATAGTATAAAGTCATGGATGCAACCTCTATGGAATTTCAGGATTAATAATTTGATATTGCATTTGATAAAGGAACTCTAGATGCATTATCATGTGGAGAAGATACCAAAAATTTATTATTATTAAAAGAAATGAATCGAGTTGCCAAATAACTCATTTTTGTTAGTCACTCTTCTCATCAAAAAAGAATTGTAACATCATTCTCTATTATCTTAAGAATATTATGGAACAAGTCTTAGAAAACAGAAATGTCTATGAAACCAAAATCAAATTATCTGGCTAGGCTGAATTAATTAATATCATCAGAACTAGATTAAAAGATAAACCACTAAGTTATGTATTGAAAGATAAAGATTCTTTAGTCTAATGTATTAATGAGTTTAAATAATCTTAAAAATTATAAAAATTGTAATAACAAGAAGAAATATATGAATATATTATAATTAAAAGAGATTAATAAGAATAATAATAAGGATAATAATAATAAGAATAAGAATAATAAGAATAATAATAATAAGAATAATAATAATAATAATAAGAATAATAATAAGGATAATAATAATAATAATAATAATAATAAGAATAATAATAATAATAAGAATAAGAATAAGAATAATAATAAGAATAATAATAATAATAAGATGAATAAGAATAATAATAATAATAATAACAATAATAATAATAATAACAATAACTAGAATAATTAAATTTCAAATAAGAAGAAGAATTATAAAATATTCAATATGATGAGAATAGTAATTTAATTGAAACCATAAATTCAAATGAAATAACAGAAGATAATTAAGTAAATTATGATCCCAGAAGATAATCTCATTGCTATCTATATAAGATTTTGTGATTAGATATAATTTACGGATTGTACAATATAATACATTAATAATAATTAAAAAAAATATAAATATTATGATATCGAATGATACTTTGACTCCTATGCAATAAACTGCATAATTTTATATACCTCCTGGATTAAGTTTTCATAGAAGAAATCTGAAGAAGCTCAACCCTCAAAATGAAAAAGTTGAGATGTCATAAATCTATTTAAACCCAAATTTCAATCTAAAGTCAAATAGTTAGCCAAATTTATTAAATCCTACAAGAGATAAAAATTTTTCTTTTCATTTCGAGTAATAAGAATAATCAGTGTAATAAAACTCAATAAAAAAATAATAATCTCTCTTGGGAATATAGTAAAGATTACTATTTCCAAGAATAACTTTTAAAAAATAGAATTCTCTCGACATTAATGCAAATAATTATATTTCGTCACCTGAGAAAAGTAAAAAAATGCTGATAGCCTTGATAATGCCCTAAAATAAAATATAAACAATATCATCTCAGAAGAATCATCGTTCAACTAGGTCTCAATGTAGAAGTTTTCTATAGAGTCGACCATAACTAAATCTATTGAATAGAATTTTTTCCTCGAAATCATAGTAAGAATTATGACTATTTATGTTAAATTATTTTTTTAGATACTAAAATTTATAAATATAACTAAATAGAGATTGAAATCAATCCAAATTTAAATTTTATTCTCTTCAAATTCTCTTTAAATATTGCTACTTTTATAGCTATTAATATTGATTATTATCAGCATCTTTAGAATTTAAAATACGATATATATCAATATTTTGAAAGGACAATTGATCTTCACTCCCTTCTAAAAAATTATCATTTGAGCTCTGTTCTATTATAGGATTGTTTTAATTTTAATAATTATTTAACAATTAATCTTTGTAATAAGATTCACAAAATTAATTAAAAACATCTATCAACTATTGTGCATATTATTCATTTGATATAAAATGTTCTTAAGAATTTTAGTAAAAATCTGCTTCAGTTTTTTTAATAAATCCCCAAAGTTCAAAGTAATTTTTCAAAAAATCAATTTAGTATATTTCAGACATTAGTAAGTTCTCTTAATAATAATGTTCGTATTTTTGTTTGTAAATTTCATAGAACTTTTCTAGAACTTACATCGATTTATTGTTCAGTGTACCTTAATCGTAAAATATTTCACAAGGATTGCAAATTTCTTTGATATTTATTTGATTCTTTTCTAACAATTATTTAAACAAATCAAAGTTCTCGATATTTGCAAGAGTTATTGTATTTTGCAATTATTCAAGTTGATAATTATAAACTTACTATAAAAGATTGAACATAATTTATAATATTAAATGAGAATAATTTAATACTTTTCATCTCCTTTGTATTATGCAACTCTTCAATTATTTAGACAATTGGTATATATGCCAATTTCTGTCAAATAATTACAGCTACCACTATTCTCTATAAGAAACTTAAAATATATCACCCTTTTCTCTTTAAATTTATACCATTTAATTTATATTCATAATTTTATAAAAAGACCTTAAATTATAAAATAGATAAAAACAATAGAATCCAAAGTAAAACAAATTAAATAATTAGAAGCAAGTGAGGAAATAGAGTAAATCATTCAAGTTTTTAACAGAAGTTGAATTATGAAAAAGCATTCTATAAACTAAAGAATCAGAATAAATATTTAAAGTAGAAATTCTGAGATTTATTTATTTCTGTTAAAGAAGGAACTATAAAATTTGTGATTATCAAAAGTATAAGATGATCGCAATGATAAATTTGTACATAGGAGAGTTACAAAGTATTACAATTATATAATTCTAAAATGTTTTGATGAATAAAATGTGTTTTTTCCCATTCTTATTCAAGACTTTGATTCTGAATTACCACGTTTTGATGATTAGGAATCAGAGGGTGATCTTTTTCTGCTGATGCTTCTTTTTTTAGGTTTTTCTAATCTTTTTGGACTTCGACTATGTCTGTGTTTGTTTCTATAGTATCTGTTTCTTCTTCTTGATCTAGATGAAGAGTATGAAGAATAGGAACGAGAATCAGATCTCCTTCTATGACGTCTAAAATAATATAAATAAATTACCTAGATCTCGAATTTGAATATCTTCTACTTCTACGAGGTGATCTGCCATTAGGACAATCTCTAGCCCTTTTAAGAATAAATTAATATTTATACCAATGACCACCTTTATTGCATTTAAAACACAAATCACTATCTGATGGTCCTGTTTTTCTACTTTTTCTATTGTCTACAATATCAACTTTGAGTTTCTGACCATTGTATGTTTTTCCATTGGTCTCTTTAAGTGCCTCTTGAGCTTCAGTTTCACTATTGAAAGTCTGATAAAATTGATATAGAGTACAACGAAAGAATATGAACCTTTATAAGCAACTTCTTTGACTGAGCCATATTTTCTAAAGATTTCTCTTACATCCCTATCATCAGCCACTTTGCTGCGACTGTATCCAGNTAAAAGATTGAACATAATTTATAATATTAAATGAGAATAATTTAATACTTTTCATCTCCTTTGTATTATGCAACTCTTCAATTATTTAGACAATTGGTATATATGCCAATTTCTGTCAAATAATTACAGCTACCACTATTCTCTATAAGAAACTTAAAATATATCACCCTTTTCTCTTTAAATTTATACCATTTAATTTATATTCATAATTTTATAAAAAGACCTTAAATTATAAAATAGATAAAAACAATAGAATCCAAAGTAAAACAAATTAAATAATTAGAAGCAAGTGAGGAAATAGAGTAAATCATTCAAGTTTTTAACAGAAGTTGAATTATGAAAAAGCATTCTATAAACTAAAGAATCAGAATAAATATTTAAAGTAGAAATTCTGAGATTTATTTATTTCTGTTAAAGAAGGAACTATAAAATTTGTGATTATCAAAAGTATAAGATGATCGCAATGATAAATTTGTACATAGGAGAGTTACAAAGTATTACAATTATATAATTCTAAAATGTTTTGATGAATAAAATGTGTTTTTTCCCATTCTTATTCAAGACTTTGATTCTGAATTACCACGTTTTGATGATTAGGAATCAGAGGGTGATCTTTTTCTGCTGATGCTTCTTTTTTTAGGTTTTTCTAATCTTTTTGGACTTCGACTATGTCTGTGTTTGTTTCTATAGTATCTGTTTCTTCTTCTTGATCTAGATGAAGAGTATGAAGAATAGGAACGAGAATCAGATCTCCTTCTATGACGTCTAAAATAATATAAATAAATTACCTAGATCTCGAATTTGAATATCTTCTACTTCTACGAGGTGATCTGCCATTAGGACAATCTCTAGCCCTTTTAAGAATAAATTAATATTTATACCAATGACCACCTTTATTGCATTTAAAACACAAATCACTATCTGATGGTCCTGTTTTTCTACTTTTTCTATTGTCTACAATATCAACTTTGAGTTTCTGACCATTGTATGTTTTTCCATTGGTCTCTTTAAGTGCCTCTTGAGCTTCAGTTTCACTATTGAAAGTCTGATAAAATTGATATAGAGTACAACGAAAGAATATGAACCTTTATAAGCAACTTCTTTGACTGAGCCATATTTTCTAAAGATTTCTCTTACATCCCTATCATCAGCCACTTTGCTGCGACTGTATCCAGCGACAAAGAGTTAATTAGGGACAATCTCACCCATTAATTAAATTTGTGAATAAGAATTTGTAGGATTGTGGATGTAAAGAATACAAAATACTATAAATAATAATGAGTGTTTCACGATTATAATGTCAAAAACCTCAATTAACTAAACAAGTCTCTTGATATCTATTCCTGATATCATTTTTCAAATTAACAAGCTGCCTAATTAAATCTATAAATATGATAAGAAGACAAACTTAAACTAAGAAATCATCAAACTTCATCTAATACTTACGAATCACTTAATCAGGAATAATAATTATCCACTGTAGGTAAATAAAAATTCAATAATTTTGAATCAATACTTGGAGTAAATCGATAATGGAACTCTAATTTTGAAAAAATGACAAAACTAAAAGAATACAATTAAGAATTTATTCGAACTATGGAAATAATGCTGAAGTCATTTTTAACAGGTATTGAATTGTTAAATTAACAATCAAAACCTAATTAAAATCGCAGTAATCATTTCTGATGATGATAAATAATTTACTCTAATGATTAATCAATTCTATGTAGAAGAGTCTGATGTGTTTATTCGAGTCAAAATTTGGAATCTTAATAAAAATAGAAAAGAATTTGGTTAATAGATATAATAGTGATAATGCAGAGATATTATGTTTACTAAAAATTAATAAATACTAGATAAGATATCTTTCTCAAACTCGTTGAATCCCTTAAATAATAATTTGTATTTAGAATAGAAAATGATTAAAAATATAATAAAACTGCATAATTACTTCAAGTTACATTATATGCAAAACCATAAAATCAGATAAATTACTTAATAATTTTAATGTTACATTAAATAATAAATTAATTTAGTTGGCTCCATTTTTTAATTCGTATTCTTACAGACTAAAATCAAATATTAATTTGAGTGTTTCTAATAATATGAATTTATTATGTAAATAAATTAATTTATTATTTGACACTCCTTAATATCTGTAAGCTATATCATTTTATAATTATTGTTAGAGAATAATAATATAATCCATTAAGTAAGTATTATTTTAGCATTGAGGGTTACTAAAATTAAATCTACTCTAACATAGTTAAAATAGAAAATAATAAAATAATAAAAAAATTAGAAATGAAAGAATAATTAAATAGATTGGATTAGTGTAGATGAAGAAAGTATAATTGGAATTGATATAATTTTGATCAATGAAAATTAAGTACTTATCTAAATAAATTTATTTATTAGAAAGTAATTATCAATAGTATAAGTGGGACACCGATAATAGAGATTATATAATTGGACAAACTAAAAACTACAATTTAAGTTTACTGTTTTTTTGTTTATAGATTTATTTAGTATATATTAATCAATATTAACTTTATTCAGTTTATAATCTACTCTTTATTGGAGGTAATAAAATATTACTTGATCTTTTATTTGTATGATTATTATTGTGATTATTATTAAACTAATTTGGTGATAATTAAGGTAATTTGCAATTACTACTTGATTTGATTGATGGTCTTGCAGTCTTTACTTATTGAATTGAAGTTGATTTAGGTTTCTTATAATTTATAAATAATGGACAACCATCATTATCTAATTATACATGTAAGATCTTATTATTTAATATTTCCTCACATGATGGTCGTTCTCTGGAATCTTATGATAACAATTTTTTTAATAAATTTGTTAATGTCTTATTATCATATAATTCTTCTTAAAGTTTGACCCAATCTAAGTTGCACTCTCTATTTTATTATTTTAAAATCTATGAATTCTATCCATTAAATAATGGTTTATTAGTTATTCTATTATTTATCAAATAAAATTACAATCTATATAAAATACACCCTAAACTAAAAATATCGCATTTCTCATTATATGTCAAATCTTTGTTATTTTCACATTTTATTACTTCAGGAGCCATAAAACCTGGAGATCCACAATATTTTCCAACATCCATATCTTTTTTTATCTCTGAACTAACTCCAAAATCACTAACTACTATATTAGGATCTGCTTATGCAATTAATGAAAATTATTTCAATGCCATTGGTCTCTTTAACAATATATTACTTGGCTTTAAATCTCTATGCATAAATCCTCGTTCATGCATGTGTTTGACAGCTTCAACAATTTATCTGAAAATAACTTTTACTGTCAAAAATGGCAAAGGTTCTTCCAATTTCTTTAATCCTTCCTCCAAAGTTCCCCCTCTAGCCCAATCCATTACTATATAACATTATGCTCTATTTTCAAAATGATCATAACATTTTAATAAACTTCGATGATCTAAACACTTCATTACTTTTATTTCATTATCTATCGATTCCTATATATTATTATATCTAATTATTTACTCTCCATTTTTCAGGATCTTTTTACATAAGCATCTTTTTTAGGAATGCTTTAATCGCAAATTTAATACCATCTGTTTTCCTTTTAGCTATATAAACAGATGCAAAACTTCCACTTCCTATCAACTTCTCAAGTTCGTAATAAGTCTGATAATCTAATTGGGGAATTGAAGATTTTAATTTTTTTTCCCAAGGTTCCGATTTATCTAGAAATAAATATTCTTTAAATTAACAATCATCCTTTTCTAGTCTTAAAATAACAGAAGTAGATTCATGTTTTATTTAATATCTCAATGTACTGTTAAGTGCTGTCATTTTTACAGATTTTTCAGACTTGGAATTAAATATAGAACTACTTTCTTAAACAAAAGATTTTCATGACACATGATTTCAATAGAATTATTTTTTTTGGATAGAAACTTGGATTATAATAGAAATCGTGGTATTAGTTTGATATCTATATGTGCTGATTCAAATATTTTATTTTGCATACTAAATTAATTTATTACTTAATAAATAATTAAATAAATAGAAATTTAAACATCATAATTAAATTTTTTTAGTTTCTAATGCTAATTTATTTATAATATCTGCATTTTAACCAAAAAAATTTTTTTTTTATTTTTCGATGCCTTCAGTAAAATCGGTATCAATAATTTGAATTGAAATTTGGTTAAATTACTTGATTTACGAAATATAAAGTTGGTTTGATCATTTTATTACCTAAGTTAAATTCTCCCCAAAATTGTAATTGCAAAAGCACTAAAGTTTAAATTTATAATGAAGTGATTAAAGTAACAACAATTATTGATCTTAAGAAATATTCCAAATTAAAAAAAAATCATTTCTTGTCAAAAGACTCACATTAATTTTCATTTCTTATGAATAATACATATAAATGAAGTATGTACTGGTTATATGGACTAGTATATATTAAAGATTTTGCCAAAAACATACAATTATTATCAAATGTTATGTTTTCTTACCATAAGAAAATGTCTAAGTTAAAAGTCTTCTATATAGAAACACAATTCTATATAACATAAATAAATCAATAATTTCATTCACATCATAATATGCAGTAGCTTCTTACAAATAATTGTAAAAATAAACTATTATGCAATTTAGGAATAGAAAAGGAAAAATAAAATTAATTCCTAATTCTGTAAAAATTTGGATACCATTAATTTATTAACCAGAATTTATGATTGCTATATATTTATTTCCTTGATTTCAACCAATTCACATATTATTCATCTCATAAGATTATAATAATCTATATAATAATGTTGTAAAGATCAGAATCATCCATAATAACTAAATTGATATCCAATTTTCCTTCTAGTATTCAAGATAATCCAAATTCTAAAAAATTGATTTAAACATTTAGTTATTCAATTATCAAATGGTTTCTATATTATAATTTTTTAATTTTTCCAATATCATTTATTGACTATCTTGCAATCATTCCAACAATTATGAATAATTTAAAAAAATTTAACCAAAAGTAATAATTCCTATTTGTGATCTCTCAAATAACCTTTTCATCTCCATTTATTTCTTACTATTGTAATTTATATCATATTTATACTTTTCTACCTGAAGAATTAACTCTTCCTTTCATTTTATTAAAATTTTAATATTTTTCATTATCTCTAAAACTCTAAACACCCGACTCTACTATGTCATAAAAAGTGCATGCTATCGATTCACTTAGAACAAGATCTCTTATACCTCCTGATTATGATTAATTTGAAGAAGCTCAACATAATTAAGAAAATCTTGTTATCTCAAGTTAAAGAAGTTAGAACCTTAAGAGTATACTTAAAAAATAAGGTAAAAACAGTGTATCCAAGTTAAAGCGTCTTCGCATTTCAACCAACTTTAATCAAGTATTTATTGTGGAAAATTGGAAATAATATAATTCTAATTATGAAGAACCAGCAGAATCTTGCTGTCAAACATTTTGATTCTGAATACAGATACATGAATATATATATAAAAATTAGTTTAAATTTTCAAATATCCATTTCAATATTTGCATGTCATTATTTTTTTCATATTAAATCATATATATTTGAATCTTCTAATTCTTTTAATGCATCCTTCTTGCAATATGATTTGAAATTTACTATCTGATCCAATTACTATATGAAATCAATATCAAAATCTAAATCTTCATTCTTTCTCTTATTTCAAAAACTACCTTTTAAATTAACTGATTAATAATATCTTGCATATCAGAAATATTTTCAGCCAAAATTTTATAATTATAAGCTAAATTCTCTTGAATTTTATGACTTCAATATACTTCACCTATATTTCATTCAACTTATCCTCTTGAACTTTTTTTGAATAATATGGCATAAACATCTTCTATCCCAATTATAAACCAGCTGAACGCTATTGCTATGATCAGAAATATATATAATTTATAATTACTATTTAGAAAATGTAAAAAAAACAGTATCCACATGTCAACTGTAATATTCAACAAATGTTTGTTCCTTTTACTTAGTCTAATTGTTGGTTTTCATAAACCTCATAAGAAAACATCAATGATTTTATTGGTTATATATTAATCTTAAGTAAATTCAATATAATTATAAGTATTTTTAGAAACTTTTTCGGTGGTTTTATTATTACAACTTATTCTATTACTTATGATTTTTATAGCTGAAGTACCAAGAAACCTAGATATAACAGTTATCCAATTATTGAACTTAATTGGTTTGATGTAGGATTTAATCAAATTAACAAAATTAGTATAAATACATATATTTTGAACGTTTAGATAGATCATAAATCTAATAGATGTTTTTACAATCAATTTATTAAGATCTAACAATTATATAAAATATGCGAATTACAGTTCATTCAATTTAATGCTTAAATAAGTTAATGGAGAGCTGTTATAAAGAATTTTGATTACTTTTTTTAATTATTCCTTTAAAATTGAAACAGAAAAAAGTTACACATTAATAAAGTTATTCTAAGTATAAACTTTGACTTAAGCAATGGTATTAAGAGGATTTAATTGATTAAATTTTAAGATTTTATTTGCATTTATTTGTATATGACAATATACATTATTGTAATAATATAATTGAAGAGCTTGAATGAAATTTTAAAACCCTTTTTGTGAAAATAAATAATTAATTAAATGAATAATCCACTTGGGCGCTCTACAAATAAAACTGATTAATAAGGATAGAATAATTAAAAGAATAATAGAGCAAAAGAGTTTGAAAAATAACTTTAGGAAGAAGAGAGAAGTAAAATGTATAAAATAATATTTATAGTGTTAACCTAATCAGGAGGAATAATTACTACTTAATAGACAAATAATCAATAATAATAATAATAATAACCTGCCTATCAATAATAATAATAAGTTGGCTTTCAATAATAACAATAGGTTGCCTAATAATAATAATAATAATAACCTGCCTATTAATAATAATAATAACTTAACCTATAACCATAATCAATGTTAGGATAGATAGGTTCGATGTTAGATGCTCCAAGAGTAATTAATAATATAATAATAATAGAAATTGTTCTTTAGAAACTCTACTACCTAACAATAACCAGCTTAATAAGGTTAAAGATAACCAACAGATTAAAATGAGCCAGAATAGATTTAGAATAATAATACTGTATAGACATATCAAACACGTGATATTAAAAGTATAGGGTTAGAGATTATACAACCTGGAGAAATAGCTTTATAGGAATTACGAGGAACTTGCTCTATTCCTACATTATCATTTTAAGGATTAATAATTGCAACTAATTATTAGGTATTTAAATTGATTACATATATCAATAGATAGTGTTTTTACCAGCTAAATTTCCTAAGGATTATAGAAAGGATTATTTTCAAGTCCCTTATACATTTATTATTAAAGTTGAGAAAACAATAGATAGAAAGTAAAATGATGCTAATTTTATCGAAATTTAAAGTAAAGATGGTAGATCATTCAAATTCAAGTTTTTAAAAGAATTAAGTGATGATTGTAATAGTATACTTAATGTAATTAACAAAAATGCATTTACATTAAATAAATAAACATTGTTTGCATTTACATTTTATAAGGAATGTTAGATATTGGAAAACGATTTTTAAGGATGGAAAATATTCAATATAGAAAAAGATTTTGAAAGAATGGGGATTACTATATTATAAGAGAATTCTTAATAATAGAATGGATTATTTAAATATTTAAATAATGAGAATGGAATAATATGTTCAACATATTACAATAGATTAGTAGTACCAGCAAAAGCAGATTTAGATTGTATATAAAAAACTGCAAAATTCCGATCTAAGGAAAGAATACCAATTTTATCATATGCATTTTGTGTAAATGGAAATGTAATATCAATGTGGAGAAGTTCATAATGTAGAACAGGCATAGGATAAAATAGATCTACAGAAGATGAGTGTTATTTGAAATATATATCATATTAGACAGTAGATGAATAGGAAAATCAAAATGAAGATAAGGAAATTCGTTTAAGAATTTATGATGCCAGACCATATATCAATGCCTTTGGATAATAAGTAGCTGGTAAAGGTTATGAGAATACAATGTTTTATAAAAAATGTAGTATAGACTTTTTAGATATTCATAATATTCATAAAGTTAGAGATTCTTAAACAAAATTAATGAAGGCAGCATTTAGGTATTATTTATAATCCATATATAAGTGAAAATGTTTAATTCCTATCATAATTAGAATAATCAACATGGTATGATCATGTTGTTGCAATCATTAAAGGATCTGCTAAAATAGCAATTACAATGACAAAAGAGAAAATTAATGTTTTAGTTCATTGTAGTGATGGTTGGGATAGAACTGCTCAATTGACTTCTCTTGTCTCTATTATGATTGATGGATATTATAGAACTATTGAAGGATTCATGATTTTAATCTAAAAAGAATGGATTAATAGTGGACATCAATTCTGTTAAAGATCTGCTATTGGTATTAAACAAAATAATGATGATTCAAGATCTCCTATCTTTTTATAATTTTTAGATTGTGTTTATCAAATGTAACAATTATATCCATTATCATTTGAATTCAATCCTAAATTATTATTTGATTTAGCCTATCATCATTTAACTTCTTTATTTGGAACATTCTTATGCGATTCCTTCTTGGTAATAATTTTTATTTATTATTAGGAAATTTAAAAATAAAAAATCATGGAATAAACTGTATCTATATGGTCATGGATTATGAAACAAAAAGATAAATATCTGAATGCTTTCTATAAAAATCCATAATCTATTGATTAAGATGTTATCATTCCTGAATAATTTAGTGGTAAATCCATTACATTCTGGAAAGAATATTTCCTCTATTATTCTTTAGAATCTAATGATGCTTATTAAATACATCCTTAATGTCAATATACTTGGTATTATTCCCTTTTTTTATTATAGTGACAATATTCAAGAAATGTACAAAGCATTATTTAAAGAAAATCATGTTTTAAGATAAGCATAAAAAGATCAAGAAAAGTTGGCCATTCTTCATTAATAAAAATTTAATTAACTTATGCAAATTATCTAAGAAACCTAGAATGAAGAAATTATAGAAAAACTATAGACAATTAAACTTATTTGAGAAAGATTTTTATGTTTATATATATAAAAATTACATATATATATTATTAAAAATATCATTTTCAAAAAAGTAATAAAGAGCGTTCAGTTTTTTATAAGAATTATGATTCTAAATATTCTTTGTATTTTAATGATAATGCTCTCCTTTTTTTAGGTTATGTTAAATTCTAAACTTTATTCAAAAATTCAACCTTTGAATTCCTTTATGAATTTAACTCACTTTATTCACATCTTAAACTTTATTATTCTGGTAATAATAGTTTAGTATTACGATTACTATTATTATTACTATTACTATTATGGTTTCTTGAAGAATTATTTTAATAACGAACTCTATCATCTAAATCATTTAAATAGATTGTAGCCTTAATTGGCCATTCTTTATCAGAGTTCTATTCTAATTTAATTTGCTTTGGTAATTAAACGTAATAAGTTTTTTAATAAAGAGTATTAAAATTAATTGCATTTGTAGGAGAAAGATTGTTCATTCTTTTTAAGATATCCATTTTACTTTTTATAGCTTTATTGAATCGATCTGGTGTTGATAATAAATTTCTATCTTATTATCTATTTGTTAAAAATTAAACTTTTGGTAATGGTTACATTTCATCAGGGGATGGTATATAAATAAAGTTTTTATTTTTTGATTTATTTATTTTTTATTTATTATTATTATTAATCTTGTTATTAATTTAACTTTCTTCAATTGATGTTAAATATTTCTATGTTTATTTAAATTATCTTATTGGACTTGTTTATTATAAAGAATCATGAATTACTTATTCTATTTATTAAGATGATTCACTTTCAATTCCATTTTTCAATTCTTGTCCATTTAAATATTTCTAATAAATTTCTTGAGTTATTTCAATGCTTTTTTCAAATTGCTTGTACCATTTATTTTTTTTAATACACAATTTTTTGAGTTATTTTAAATAATGTTATTCATTAAATTATGATAATTTTGAATATAAGACTTATAAAGGTATAACAATTAAACAACCAAAATGAGAATGACAAGAGACATTGAATTATCGAGGAACATTTTCAAAAGCTTCATAATCTCCAAAAAATTCACCTTCATTCATGATGACTAATTATTTTCTAACATTTTATTTTTATAGATAAGTAACAAATTCTCCTTATTTTATAATATATATAACATCTGAATCCAACTAATCCTTTTTGTAAATAATATCCCTATATTTGTAATCTTGAGTTGAGAAAGAGAACAACATTAGATTTAACAATTTTCTATTTAATCCTTAAAAACTAGGATTTAGAGTAAATGTTTTCATCCTTTTTTATTCTTTCTTTTTATCCATAATTTATATTGCTTTTTAATATACTTCTTTATTGAGAATTACAAGTTAACAATCCATATCACAAACAGCAGTATTAATTCTAATTTTTTGATATTATTCTCCAAATACATTCCATTCCTTTATCTCATTTAAATGTATCAATCTAATTTACTATAAATCTAAATATACTTTTAAAGAGTATGATCTGAATAATTCAACTAACATTTCTTTTGATTATTAAAAACTTACTGTCTTTATTTCATCTTATCGTCTTATAAATATAAAGAGACTTAGCCTGTTATTACAATATATACATTATTAGTCTAATCGCCGATTTCGAATATTACATCATTCTTTAAATAACTTAAAACTTCAATTTACTTTCACAAAAGTCTCACATTGTAAATGAAGTAAACAATAATCATATGCTTCAAATTCATTTTTGTCTGTTTGAAATTATTCGAATATCTCAATCTTCTACATTAGTATCCTCAACATAGACATAATTTCCTATTTTCTCTGCTAAATAGGATATTTTAGAATATTTATCAACAATTTCTTTTTTTATTGAATCGATAACTAATGAATTTATTCAAGCAATCTTGTTTGATTCCTCTTGTTACCTAATTCAAATGTTTCTTAAAATTAATTATTCATAATATAATAGATTAAGATCTAACACATTATTTCAACTATTAAATGTTTATTAGAACTAAAATAAATTTTATTTTTCTCCTCAAATATAACAAGATGAATATTTAAATTAATTATATATTAGTTTCATCAATTTATAGAATATTTCAATAAAAATGTAATTATAATAATAGATATTAATATCATTATTTATAGTGATTATATAATTTTAAACAAATAAATGCATCCAATGCTGCATAATGAATCTAAGCACTTCTTAATGGTCTCTATTACCAATTTGAGATTTACTCTACTTTATCTAGTTCTTTTCCAAAAAGCTTCAAACATTAAAATGATAAATTTGTTTTCTTCTCATTTGGAAATTTCATCCAAAATAATTATGATAACTCAACAAAATTCTTCAATTCAAGATTTTAAGTTCCAATCTATCCTAATAATTATTAAAAATCCTATCTTATATTTTATCCAATCTTTAAAGTATCACTAAATGCATATTTCATTAGAAATTATTAATACTTCTAACTCTGTAATAATTTAACAGTGTTTAATAAAAAAATCTTTTTTGGTAAAGCTATTTAAAATAAGCAAACCTTGCTTTTAGATGAAAATTTGGTTTAAGGTAGTTCTTAATAACTTTCAGTATCAATCCCAGTTTAAGGAGCCTCTAAAATTTCATTCAAGATTTCATCATTCAATTAATCTTCATTCTCAATCATTTATACATTTTCTCTAGATATATCAAAATCTCTTAAAAGTATCAATTAATCCATCCTTTTTGTTCTTAATATTACCTCAGATGGTACTTACAAATAGTAATATATATCATACAGAAATCATCATTTTACAATAATGTATTTTATGTAACATCTATACAATCATTAATCTTATTTTATATATTAGGATTTTGCACTTTAATTTTATTCCTTTTAGCTATTTGAATTGCCACTTATTAATTTGTTTTAAAATAATTCTCAACCAAAAATTATAATTTTGTGGAATCTCCTAAAAATAATTCTTCTACTTTTTCAATTGGTATTTCTGATCTCTAATATTAAATATTTTAATACAAAAATAAAAAATCTTAAAGATTCATCATACAAATAATTCAAAACCTTCTCATTATCCTTAAAATCTAAATGCTACTCTTTAATAATCTTGCTTTACAACTTCATGTCTTTTTTATTCATTAAATTAATAAGTTCCTCATTTATATTCTAAACATTTACCTAATAAGAAACACTCTCATATTATAAGGCATTCATAAATTTATACGCTATTAAATATTTCTTATTCTTAATCAAATCTTCAATATATTCTGAAGTCTTATTCTATAATATCAATTGTTTCAGTTTTGCTTCATCTATCAATTTATCGTTTAAAATATTAGAATGTATAATATTACTCAAAATCTTAACTCTCTTATCAAAATAGATTTCGAATTCCCTTATATTTTTTTTATCCATTATCATCTCATAAACCTTATTCGAATGTACAATATTGTAAGAAATAGTATTTTTTTATAATCTCTAAGTAATTGAACTAATAAATCTAGAGAGTCCTATCATAAAAAACTCAACAATAACTCTACTTTAAATAAATTATTTAATAATCCTACAAATGAATATATGAGTATATTCAATCTAATCTAAAAAAGTATTGATCACAACATTCGATACATCTAATAATCTGTTAGAAATATTAAAATTTCCATTATTCTAAGCATAACTTTTGCTAAATCCCCAATTTATCATTTTTGAACTATAAATATTCTACTTCATAAATAATTAAATGAATATTTGTTTTAATTTTAAACAATAAATTTTATACATAAACTATTCAGATATCTGAAACTTAACCTTTTAATATCAATTTATTGAACTATATTAATTCTAGTAGTTGAAGAAAATGATATATATTAAAAGACTAATAGTAATGGATTACCAACTCGATTTCGACTTAAATATACAGATTTTAATAATTACTATAATTATAAATATGATATTATCAGACTTTTCATTGTTATTCCATTTTTTAATATTCAATAACTTAATTGTTAAAATCTAAACAATATTTTTCATATTGATTATTATTTTAAAAACAATTTAGATAATTTTATGGGTATATAAATATTATTTAATAATAATACAATATTGTGTAATAATAATAATTATATTGTAATGAATCATTCTTCTCCTCCTAAGTTGTCAATTAAACCATATAAAAATTCCTTAGCTTTTTCGTCTAATATCTTATCGAGTAACTTTTAGAATATAGGTAATTTAATGAATTCCATATGAACTACATATTAAAAAATTAAAGATATTGGACAATAAAATAGATTATCTAAAGTGAAAGTTCCTACAAAGATATAACTCCATTAATTAGCAGTTTCAACTGAATCCATCATAACCAAACCTGCCAACATAACATAAGAAATAACACCTGCACTCATTATCATGAAGATTGCTCCAAATGTTCTTACTACTTTCTTTTTATGAGATAAAGTTTTCTCTAAAATGATTTAATATATCTTATTAACTGGAGCAGTTATTAATGCTAAAGCAACTGTAAAACTAATATTGTTTGGTTGATTAAATACAAATAAAACAGCCAAACTACCTAAAATACTTGTGTAAACTATTGAAGCTCTTAAACCTCGAGGTTTCTTTTGATCTGATTTATAAACAATCTATAATAATTAATGGAAAAACTTAAGATATTCAATATAAGCTTTAATTCTAGATATTGAATTCTTAATCATTAAATCTTTTAAACCTTTTGGTTATTACTCTTAATCTTTCTTTTATTATTCATCTGTATCTTCATTCTTATCTTTTTTATCTGGATCTTCAATATTTTTTAGATCATTTTATGATTATGGTTAATCAACATTTTTGATCGAACATTATTTTTACAATAAATGATCAGAACCTATTTTTGCAGGTCCATCAGGATTGATTACAATATTTATATCAAGTTTTGAATCAGGAGTTTAATTGATAAGTAATTCTTAAGGAGAATTAATCATAGAGAGTTTACTCTCAAGTATTACTTTATCATATGATTTAGGATTATTAAATATACTTTTTTTTAAACTTGGTAAATTAGACATTTATGGTATATCATTATCCTTTATTTCTTCAAGTTACCGAAAAGAATGAGATTCCTATTTATTTTCAGTTATTTCTTTTACCTAATCTTTATTTTCTGGATCATTCTCAATATTCTCTAATTTTAATTTTTCTTCTTTTAATTTCTATTCTGCTAATTCTTATTCAGCATGTATTTTAGCAAACATTGCATTATCAACTTTAACTCCCCAATAAACAACTGATATATAAATGCCTGTTATTCCTAAATAGAAATAAAAGACTATTGTTTTATAAAATGGAAATGATCCAAAAGCCAATAATGTATCCAAAGAAAATACTTTAGCAGCTTTATCAGCTATTAAATTTAAAGATTCCATTATAGATGTTGGATTTAAAGAATCACATTAACAAGTTGTTTCTCCATCTTTTTCTACAGTACTGCAAACATCAGCATCCCATTCACCACTTTTAACTTCAGTTATACATTTTATTTATGTATTATTTTCTAATTTCTTTTTTGTTGGAAATTTAAATTTCATTTATGAATTTGCTTTAGTACTATTTGATTAACCCTCTGCAATCAATTTTGGATCCACTGCTTAATATCCACTACTATTCTTTGGAAAATTCTCATCTGCATAATATGGATTATCAATAAATCTAGTCATTGAAAATTTATAGAAATCTGTTGAACTATTTTAATTACTATTCTATTAATCACTCTCTTCCTCCAATAATCTACTTTTTGTTATTGCCTTTGATCCTGTTACTTCACCTGCCATTTTAGTTGTAAGAAATCCAAAATTCAAATTTACCGAATTTGATTAAACCTTATAAAGTGGTTCATTAGCTACACTTATTGCTTATAATTGTGATTACATTTATTAAAGCTAATTCTAAATATCACTTGATGTTAAGTTTTATTAAACTCTATAATTCAGACATGATGATAAGATATCTGAAAATGTATAGTATTGAGATACAAAATTTGTTTTTTCAATATTTTATGCTGAAGTTAATTTATTTGACTTTTATAAATTAAAAAATGTAATCAATTATGCATAAGCTAAATTTATCCTATAATTCAACTAATTAAGTAATAGAGATTCATTTTATTTCAATAGAGTTACATTAACACTCAATAATTTAGATATAGATCTATATAAACTTTCTGTTTAATTACTTTAAAATGTTTAATTCTAATCAAAACCAATCAATTTATAGAATAACTCTTCTTTATATTCTGATGAATTATTCACAGTCTTTAATCTTTCTGTAATTAAATTATATCCAATTAATTATTAATCTAAACTAATAATTTATTTTTCATAATTTCTAAATGTAATCTCATCAATCTATAAATATTATTTAACATCAAATGTTTATGTTATATTAATAACTCCTCCATTAGAATCCTATACTTGGAATACAAGAAGCTACTACTTATCATTGAAATATGGTAAATATAACTTAAATGTATTTGTTAATTAAAATGGTTCAAGCAAGAGATAATTATAAAATTTAGATTAAACTAAATCTGATTAATAAATTGATTAATTAGGAAATACCCAAACACTATATTAAAGAGGTAGATTATTATCTGTACAATTAATAACTGAAATATTAAGGGCTTCAATGAATTCAACAAATCCTTGATTGTAATTTATTTCTAAAGCACAAAATTGTGGTGGAATATTCATTGTTAGCATTTAAGTATTTAATGAAGGCATAATAAAACGAGGATCATAAACTGAAAGTCTCAATTTAAGACCATTACCTAATGAATCCTAAAAATCAGTAAAATAATTTTAGACTTTAAATTTAAATTCTAAATAATAAAATTAGAAGGTAGCTTGAACAACTTAATCATAAATAACTGCACCAGCATACATTAAAACATCAGGATTGATTCCAGGATATATTAATTTATAAATGAATTCATCATAATAATTATGAACTTCTAATCCATCAACTCCTAATATTGTTAAAGCAGGCAAATCCATTTCAATTAATTATATTGATATTTTAGTAGAATAAACAACCTCTTCTTTTACTATGCCCACTTCAAAATTAAATACTTAATATGGAGCAAATGTTCGAGGAGGTAAATATTAATTGCAACTCTTATCAAAAATTATTGTCTAATTTTCAATATTAATACAAGCTGATCCATTGACAATATCTTAACAACTCCAAATACATTCATAAGTTATCTTGGATGCTTCCTCTTCTGTCAAATCTTTATCTGTAATTGTTGTATTTAACATTAGAGCTTCTGTAAATCCAATCATTCTATTACCACCAGCTATTGTAAGAATTGGATTTGATGGAACAATATAAATTTCAAAGTTTTATGTAGTACTAACTACATAATCAGGTCTTGTTAATTTTGTATTGAAAATTACAATATATGGATTAGTAAAATTAAAATAATATGGATCGAAATTAAGAGGAACATCAAATGTAAATCCATCTTCTAAATTCTCTGTTAAAGTTCCATTTAATAATTGTTGTTTTGTACTCTTTAATTTTATTTCATAAAATAATGTTTAAGCTGGATAAACTTTTTCAATACAATTTGAATATGAAATCTAAGTTTAAATTGAAATTTGATCATATCTATGAAATTGATTAGTATTTGAGATTGGATAAAAATTAATTTTAGATTATTATGATGCTTCAAATTAAAAATAATTTGTATTCTACAATTTAGCAAAACTTTCAATCGTTACACCAAATTTATATCTAATATTCGATTAAAAGATTTTTGGTGGAAAAGTCAAAGTTTCACTATGTATTAAATTATTTGCATTTAAGATATTCTAAATTAATGGATCAATTGCTGTTGGTATATATTAATTCCATGAAATAATTTTGAACTTTTATTTTCCATTATAAAATAATTCTTCAAACTTAATATTCAAATCTGAACAAATATTTGAAGATATTAAATCATTAAATTTAACACTTGGTTTATGGGTATCTAAATCAATTGTAGATGGAATTAAAAGAGGCATAGGTAGAATCTATATAAATTTATAACTGCATCCTGTCAACATAAATACTAATTTTAATTTTATATTATCACCAACTTAAATAGTCGGATTATCTCCAAAGATAATAGAGAAATCTGAATTACAAGTAGGATTAGTACCTAATTTTTAAAGAGTTTCTACTTCAAAGAAAGCTTCACATATATCAATACCTTCCTATTCTAAATAAACAGTAGATCCACCAAAATCAAAATGAAATCCAGTAAATTCTTCATTTAATCCAAAATATGGTACTCCTAAAGAACAATCAGTACAATAGACAGATCCTATACTAAATCTACTAATTCCTTTTTAATCACATTTACATTCTCCATTAATAGGACCTATTCTATTACCAAAACATGATAAACATCCATATTAATTACAATCTTTACAAGTAGAATCACATTATTAACATTCTTAATCAGAATTTTCAAAATAACCTTCAGGACATCCACAAATTGGTTTATTAACTCTTATTCCTGAACAAACGTCACAAAGTTCTGCTGATCCACTACATGTGATACATTTTTTAGCACATTATGAACAATAAGTTTAATAAGCATCAAAATAACCATTAGGACATACACAATTAGGATTATTAATTCTATCTCCTAAACAAGATGTACATCCATTAGCATCACAAGTTTTACAGTTATCTTAACATTTAACACAATTAACTGACTCTCCATCATCATAATAAAAATCTGGACAATTACATTAAGGTAATAATCTATCACCTTTGCATTTGAGACAAAGATTTGCTAATCCTTTACAAGTTAAACATTTATTTGCACATTTAGGACAAATAGCATTTACTCCATCATCAAAATAACCAGCTTCACAATCACAATTAGGTGGATTAGGACTACGATTTCCATTGCATAATTTACAAAATCTTGGAGCTAATTCACAGGTCTTGCATTAATAAGAACAAGTTCCTATTACAAGTGGAAAATCAGAAATACAAGCAGTTCCAGTAGCATTTATAGTAAATCCAGGAGAACATACACTAACACATTTATTAGCTTAAAATAAATTGTTACAAGACAAACAATTTTCATCAGATGGACCAAAACATGTTTTACAAGTTGCATGGCATGCATAACATCTTTTTTCACTTAAAACAGGATATGATCCATCTGTACATTAATCTTTACATTAATCAGTAATAGTTAATAATTTCTATTCTGGACAAGCTGTACAATTATTATCATTAGGTCCTGTACATGCAATACATTCAATATGACAAGTTTTGCATTCATTATTTACAACATCATGATAAAGATTTCCTAAACAATCTGCAATGCATGAATTTTTATATAATATTAATCCACTATTACAAGTTGAACATTCATTTGATCCTTCTCCAAAACAAGTTCCACAAGTTACATCACATTTTATACATAAACCATTATATCCAAAATAACCAGTTGGACATATGGCATAACATTAATTATCCAAAAAAAACTAAGAAGCAGTACAACTTATACAATTGTCATAAATGCATTTACAAACATATTAAGGTCTGATACCAATAAATGATTTTGGACATTTCACATAACATTAATTATTTAAAGTATAAAATCCAGTCATGCATTCAAGACATTAATTTGGTAATGTACCAAAACATTTCTTACAATTTGCTGCACATGATTCACAGACATTGTTGATACTGCCATAACCATCATAACATTCTACTAAACATTAATTTTAATAATAAGCCAAAGGAGCATTGCATGATAAACAATGAGACTCTGAAAATCCATTGCAAGTCTTACATTAAGGATTACAAGGAGAACAAACAAAGCCTACTTAATTATTATAAAATCCATTAGGACATGTTTCATAACACCAACCTGTAGTTCTCAATCTATAGAATTTACTTGCACATGTTAAACAAGCTTGAGTTGAGTCCATACATGCAGAACAACCTTTCCAGCATTTTGCACAACCATCATCTACTTTATAAAATCCAACTAAACAGTTTGTTTAACACTCTCCATTTATGATATCTTAGAGATTCAGCACTTTTCCTGGTGGACATGTGACACAATCCTTATTTGTACCAGCTAAACATGTTAAACAACTAGAGTTGCATTAATCACATGTTTTAGTAGTTGCATTACCATAAAATCCAGGATCACAACTAGAGAGACATTCATTGGTGGATGATTTATAATAAAATGAATCCTAACAAGTAGTGCAAGTAATTGTAGAACAAATTTAACAACCACTTATACAAGGTACACAAGTAGTACCTGACAAATATTAACCTTCAGAACATAAATAACAATGTCCTGATACAAGAATAGCTAATCCATTACATGCAGTACATGTTGTTGATAATGTTTGACATTTTTTACAGTTACTATCACAAATACTACATTTAGGATCATTTGTATCACTAGAATCATTAAATTAGCCATCTGGACATTATGTTATACATTAATTAGATTGATTTCTAAAATATCCATTTGCACATTAAACGCAAGCAGTTCCAACTGTGCATTTATGACATCCCGTTTAACAATCTTAGCAATTATCTTTTCCAGAATCTACATAATAATTTACAGGACATTGATCACAACTTGGAGAATTAATTCTTTTTGTTGCTACTTAACAATCTACACAGACTCCAGCAGTTACACAAGTAGTACAATATGTTGGACAAACTAATTTCAATTTATGTAATACCTATACACTAATTATCCTTCATAACATATCCTGTTACACATTAACAATTAGCTGGATCTTTGTTTGCTGGAAATAGACATGGAGTACATAAATTATATGTAAAACAACTGTTACATCCTGCTTAACATTAAAATTGAAAAACATTAATATCATCTAAATAAAAAATACCTACATATTCTCCAGCTTATAGGGACTACTCTATTTCAAAAAGAATTGTATTTTATGTTAATGGGTATTATTCTGTTCTTACCCAAGTATAATCTAAATAAGCTATATAATCTTGTTTTGTTGATTATAATCTATTTACACTATTAATGGCTAAAGTTGCAGCTGTTTATTTTACATTATTAATAGTGATATCAAATTTAGTAGGATTAAAATCAATAAAATGAGCTATTGCTCTAAAACGTATTTTATGTTGAGAATTCTGGATATTTTGTGTAATCAACACCTTTTAAGATTAAAATGTATCAAATGAACCAATATAAAATCTATTATCATAATAAAAGTAGCCTCTTTCTTTATTTTTTTCTGGAATTGATACTACAGTTGCCATAAAATGACTATAAGCGTAAAAGTGAATAAATTCTGGAACATTTGTAAAGAAATAATAATGGTCTACTTTTTCTAAAAATAATAAATTTAGTAATAAATACCTCCTCCATTTTAATTAGTTTACAGATAAGTTTTCATTTCTATACAAGTTTTGGCTGTTTCATCTTAATAGTAATTATTAGGACATCTCTTAACACAATTTGATGAAGTGATATCAGATTCATGATATTTGTAATATCCTACATTACAATTTAATGTTGTTTGAGTTCCTCCACAAGCTGAGCAATAATCTTTTAATAAACACATATTTTCAGTTGAGTCATATAAATAATTTTAATCACATGTTGCTATGCATGAATTAGATTAATAAACAAAATTATTTGAGCATTTACAATAATATTGTTAAAATTTATAATTAGGACTACATGAAGGAATATAATCTATAAATCCAAGAATTTCATTTCTCCCTCTCTATTATTACTATAAGAAAAGCAAATTTTTTATGTAAATTCCGAGGTTAGTGTTACTGACTTTTATTTCAAATTTCAAAGAATCTAATCTCATATTTATTGCAAAATATGCTGAGGATTCATAGAGAAATCTATTTTTTATCTAAATCTATACTTTTGATGGCAATTTCGATTGACATCTGTGAGAGTGAATTTTTCTGAATAAACCTTTTGATCATTAGCAAATATCTGAAGTTCATCATTATTCCAATTTCCAGATATAGAAAACTCAAAATATACATAAACCTTGTTAGTTTTAGGTAAAGATAATGTTCTTTTCCAATATATTGGATTTAAACTGGAATCTTACCCTATGTAGTTTTCAGATAACACATTTTAACAAAAGGATAAAGGGGCGCTTAAGGTTTCATCTGACCATAAACTTACTGCACTTTAGTATGTTATATCTGTTAAAACTAAATATTTGCATTCTAAACTAATATTTTAACTTAATACATGGAAGAAGAAGCCTCTCGTAAAAAAGAACGATAAAAATTATCATCTTAATCATCTATTATAAAAACGAAAATAAATTAATGAATTTAGAATTATAATTAAATCTAATTAAATCGTGATTTGTAGAAATCAAATCATCATCGTTCTTTATTTAAACACTATAAAATCGTTTCTTCTTTTATATTAGTATATTAATTTCAAATACTATTTATTCTTTATATATTTAATTAAATCGTAGAAATTAATTTGGAATTAGAAAAAAAGTATGAATCCAAAATCATAGTAATATTAGTGATATTTTAGAACATGAAATTTATTCGTAATTATTAATTTGTATTATTTTTATTTTAATATCCCCTCATTTAATTATTAAACCTGGTAAAACGATAAAAAAATTGCTTCTTAACATAATATAAATTAAAATTTTCTTTATTAAAAAAACTAAATTATAGTCTCTGTCATCTCTTTAAAAATTTTAAAACTTATTTATTTTTTCATTGTATAACAGATTTGATCTCCTTTCTTTCATCCTCTAAATTAATGATTAATCAGAAAAAAAATTATAAATATTGCTAAATTAATTTTCAGTTTTAAATAATTCCTTAAATTATAATATCTAAAACAAGAAAAGAAATATCAAATCATTTTAACGATTTTAAAGGTTATTTCCAACATACAATTAACATAAATTTAATTTAAAGTAAATTTTATTCTATTTCTTCATAAAAAATACAAATAATTTAATGATAACAGGAATTCATAAATGAGATTAAAAAATGAATTATTTATCAAATTATTTTAAATTATTTTTTTATTATCTAATTAAAATATTTAATTTATTTTAAAATGATATACAAAACTAATAATTAAAGATACTATTCAAATAAATTGTCTTTTAGAATTTATTTTTAATTAGACAATTTAATAGATTGTTGAATAATCTTGATTTAACTACAATACTTTCAAGATTCTAATCTTACAAATACACTTTTTCTGCAATTTCAAAATCATAAAAGTTTAGTTAATTATTAAATTTAAATTATTAGAAACTCAATTTTTTAATAAATTTCAAGTAAATATTTGATGTTAGAATTGGCAAAGTTTTTTTATTTAATTTAGTTTTTAGTAAATTTAGAAAAAATAAGAATTTATATATTTACTTTAGTCATTAGCAGTAAATTTCAAAAGGTACAGATTATGTTTTTAAAAAATCTAATTAATTATAAATAATATTTTTTTGATAAATACGAAGTATTTAATTAGATTATTATATACATATGTGATAAAACTGATTAAACGCAAAAATAGTTTTGAGTCTTTTATTGTTATTAATATTATAATCATGAAGTCATAGGACTCTTTCAATTCAAGCAATTTTTAATCACATTTTAAAACTATGTTACCATATTCATCATTATATTTTAAAGATCTGAATGAAGGGGAGAATTTTTCCAAATCGAATCCAAAGTTAGATCTGGCTTTTTTTCATTCAAATGGGCATATTCCCTAAAATATTAGTTATTAAAATTACTTTCCCATTATCTCATCCCATTTGTATCTTAACTCACGATAGTATCGATTCTTTAAAATATTTAATGGACGGCCAGACATCTTTCTTTAAATTGTTTTAAACTTAGGTCCAAACATTAATACTAATCCTAGAAGCCTTTAATCCTCTTAAATAGTGAAGTCTCGAGACTTTCTACCTTATCGTTTTTTTTTTTATTTCTTTATGCTCATTTTTCTCAACACTGATCTTTAATCTTCATCATCAAACATCACTAGATTATCGTACTTCTTCAGCATAGATGGTTCCACTAATATTGAATCTTAAGAGAGGTCGTTTGATAATTCAGTTAGAGTTGATTGTGTATTATTGTCTTTCATTTGCTTATTAAATATATTTTTAATTCTAAACATTTGATCTTTAATTGAGCCTTTATATGTTATCAAAGATAAATTATGTTCGAGAAAATTTTGAGAATTCCTACTTTTTATATTGCTTTCATTAATTTTTTAATAATCCAGCAACTTTAAAAAATTTTGAATTAAGAATATTAAAGCATTCATGTTAAATACTTCCTAATAAATAAAATTTAAATCCTTGTCTTATTTACTATCTATTCTTTAATAAAGATTTGATAATTTTTTCCAAAATTATGTAATAAGCCAATTTAACACCTTTAATTTAACTAAGTTTACTTGATAATTTATCTTATTACGAGAGTATTAATTCAAAATTTAGCTATTTTTAAAAATGAATGAAAAATAATGAATAGTAATATAATTTAAATTTAATAGATCTAATTTAAGTTGAATTAATATTACAAAAAATTAATTATTAATCTGCAATATATTTCCAAAATTGAGACTAAAATTCAATTTATTTTTAGATAATCAAAATATTGAAAAGTTTTTTTCATTTAAATTTATAACTATGTGAAATTGAATATTCAATATTATTCACCTTATAAATCATATTAGGTTTCTTGATTCATTATAAATTACATTAATTATCACTTTACTTTCATAATTAATAGCTAAATTTAAGTAAATATTAATAATATATCTAAAGCAAAAGCATATTTATCCACTATTTATTTATCACTTATTTTTTTTTTTAAATATTTATTCATCATCTCTTTAAATATTTATTTAATAATATGTTGAATTTAATGAGATATAGAATAAGAAATCTTAAAAAAGTATGATTTTTTAATTATTATTGCTTCCAATTTGTTCTAAAAATCAAATAAGAGAATAAAAATGAATTAAATAAATAGTTTACCCTATTTTGATTCTTCGAAGTAGTAATAATGTGAAATTTGATAAATTTTACATTATTTTTATATTGAAACTTATAATTGAGAAAATTTCATTTTATTTTATTTAATTGAGGATTAGCATTGAGCTAGCCAATTAATTTATATTGAATAAGAAAAAAGTTGTGGTTGATACCGGAACAAATTATAAATTGAAGATGTAAATTTTTGTGTTGGTGATGGTAATATAATTAATTGTAAAGTTTAATTTATTTGGAAATATTTGAAAAATAAATCAAGCAAATATTAAACTCTAGGAAAGCATGAATAAGAAAATATAATATATTTAATCAGAAACAAAATTTCTAATTATTTTTATATGATTGAATAAATATTTTATGTTATTTCGATCTGGTCAGAATAAGTCAGATGATGGTATTATAACATAACATCAGGATTAATAATTTGTATAATTAAAATGTCAATTAAAGACGACACAAAGATATTATAATAATTTTTAAAGGAACTTCCTTAAGATATTAGTGTTAGACACATAAAGAGTCTTAAAGCTGGGTCTAAAGTACAAAAGTAAAAAAACTGTATATAAAATAGTGTTTAAAATACAAGAGTGTTTCGAAGTACAAAGGGATTAAGTGCAATGAATTCCCAACTCCATAATACACTGAAATAATATCAAAACTAACTAGGAGATGATGTGGTTTAAGATGCCAAAGATGAAATAAATACTTTAATATAAACATTGACACCTAAATATTAAGTGGGTGACAAGCTTTAATAAGTAAATGGAATTCAGAAAATAAACTTTGGTGAAGATAATAGTGTTACTACTGAACAAGCAAGTTTTTAAGTAGAGGATGGAATAGTTTATCTGATTGATATATGGGTAAAGAATAAAAATAATTGTTTAGGCAACCTGGTGTGGACCATGTTAAGGACCCATGGATCATAATCAAAAGATGTTGGAAAAGAATGCAGATTGGTAGAATAAAGTAAAGATTGTTGCTATTTCTGTGGATGATGATAATGAATCAGTAACAGAGAGAGTCAATAATAAAAAATGGAAATCTATTGAACACTATAGATTTGAGAAGGGATGGGATGAAGAAAATGATTTAATTAAATATCTTCAACTTAGAGGAATTCCATTTGTGATTCTAATTAATAAATGGGGAAAAATCATATATTTAGGACATCCTTCAAAAGGTAATTTGGAAGTCAGAATAAATTAAGAAATAAAAGCTGAAAAAGAAGAAGAATAAGAAGCTTAAAAAGTTAATTAAGAAGGAAATGGTGATTAAGAATTATTAACAAAAGAATAATACCAATAAATAAAATAAAAAATTAAAGAGTTATCAACTGTAATTTAAGAAGCATAATTTGAAGGAATAGTAGAAGTAAAATCAGAAAAAGAAAATATTTGGAATCAGGATGGAACTAAGGTAGTTAAAAAGAGATCAAAATTAGAACTTAGATATGATATTCATGTTTCTGAAGAATAAAAATTGAACACCTTTCTTTAAAATCATTGGAATTCTATCTCTGATGATTTGAGAGTTGTAAAAGAATGTAAAGTAAGAGACCCTTAAAGATCAGTCAATGAAATTAAGACAAAATTTTAATCATATTTTGAGAGTAAAGGTGTGTCAATCGAATACCCACTCTCTGAGATTTCAAATTTCAATTTTGATTAAGAGAGTTAAGAGATTTAATCAAAAGAGAAAAGCAGTTTTGAAATAAAATCTCAAAATTTAACTTTAGATATATATAAAACTGGAATGGATGAATTAAAAGAATACTTGGAATAATATGAAGACGAAGAGAATGAAGAGATTAGAGAAACAATAGATTAGATTGTAGAAGGATTAAAATCTAATGTTACTTTAGGTGAAGGAAAACAATTTGCCTCAATTGAAAATTATAAAAAATGGGGATCAGAAGAATTGAGCACAATTGAACATACATAAGGTTAAGTTTTAGTTCTTGATTATTGGGCAAAATGGTGTGGTCCATGTGTAAGAGAAATAAAAAATAATACAGAGCTTATTAAATAAAATTCAGATAAATGGGGCTAAAGTGTTAGATTTGTTTCTCTCAGTTTAGTATTAGCTGAAGATGCTAAGGATTTTATGGATTCTAATTAAGAAAGTTAAAAGTATATAGAGTTTTATTTCCCAAAAGAACAACGATAGAAAGATACAACATTATATGGAGTTTAATATATTCCTCATTATATTATCGTTGATAAATTTGGAACAATAAGACGAGTAGCTAATGTTAAAGACATGAAATCACTTGTTGATGAATTGATTAATGAAGAAGCTTCTTAGAAATCACTTGATTAATCTGAATCTTAATTATATAATTAAGATTCTCTGAATTAACTTAAATCTATCCTTTTAAGTTAAGAAACTATTACTTAAATAAAATAGATTGATTAATAAAAAGTTATCTCTTTCAATCTTAAAATTTCATCAAAACAAGTAGGATAGTAATTTTAATTTGAAAAAGTTGAACTCTCATATTTTATTAGAGACAATTAAGTCGATTGTATCAATACAATTCTAAATAAACTATATTAAGTTATACCTGAGAAGAATTGGACTATTGATAAAACTATATCAAAGACAGTTTCAGTTAAATATCCTGGATCTATTTGTGCTGTTTGTTAAAAAGTTATAACAAATGAACCTCAATAATATTATAGTATCTTTAAAGATGAACATGTTTGTGCAGAATGTGCAGAATTCGATGATTAAACCAAAACTGGAATGGAAAGATATAAATATCAAGATACATTAATATTTATTAATGGCCCATTAAAAGATTTATCTGTGTTAACAAACATTGATGATCATAAAATTGGAAAAAACTTAAAGTTGAAAGAAGGAGATAAAGCTGACTAAAGACATCCTATGATGTGCAATGGTTGCGGAGAAGGAGCATAAGGCCCAAGATACATTTCCATTACTGCCAGACCTGGAAGATATAGAGGAGGAGTATATAATTATTTTATTTTTAGGGATATATTGATTATTGTTGTAAATGTTTTGAAGAATTAAAAAATAAAGAATCTGAAAAAGCAAAAGAAATTGTTGCTAAAGATGCTGCAGATGGAATGACTGCAGATAGCTTATTTACAAGAGTCCTTTTTAATTATGGAGGTTACACTACCTTTTGATTAATCAAATAAATATAAAAAAAGGACATTATCATCATACAATCCATATATCATAGTTTTTATATCCTTACTCTACTACTACTTTTTTAAATATGTCCTGAATTAACTTATAACTAAATCTTTATTCTCTGTTTTTACTTTATCTTTTAAATTGTCTGCATCTTAAGGAGAAATTATTAAAATTCATATTTATTATTGAGTTAAATCTCAATAATTTTTCAATCAAATTATGGCAGTTCATATTTCATTCCTTACTTATATTGATATTAATCATCATTATAAAGCTATAAAAATATTATATTTTAAAGGAAAACAGAAACATATATTATTTATATTTTTCCTATTAAAAATAAATTCAAAATACAAAATAATATGATGAATTTTTAATATCTGCCTTTATTATTATAAACAGATTAAACTATTGGAGATTTGGAACTATGTAAAATTTATATGATTTTTAAATCTAATTGATTATTTTTTGATTGATTTGATATTCTTTGAATGAAACAATTAAACATTAAATTTAATCTATGACTTTTTTTTGATGAAAGAAGATAAAAATAAATTGTTTCCAAAAAAAATTTTATAAATTAAAATAATAAATTTTTCTCTTGTTGACACATAAAGAGATGCTCATTCTAAAGCAATAACAAAATTTTAGAAATACTTTTATAAAATCAATTAAGAAATTTCTCTAAAAAATAATTAAGCTATTCCCTCATTTTGATTATCATTTTTAAATTCAAAACAATTTAGATAATTTTATGGATATTATAAGATATTATAAGAAAGATTATTTAATAATAATAAGATATTGTGGAATAATAATTAATATATTGTAATATATCATTCTTCCCCCCCCCTAAGTTGTCAATTAAACCATATAAAAATTCCTTAACCTTTACATCTAATATATTATCAAGTAACTTTTAGAATATGGTAGAAATCTGAACTAAAATATTAGAAAATTAAAGATATTGAACATTATCTAAATTAAGTTCCTACAAGGATAATACATTAAAAGACTGATAAATTAAAAGTAATAGAGAGATCTGAAGTTCACGTGGGGTTATTACCTAATTGTTAAAGTGTTTCTATTATTAATAAATTTCACTTATACTATCTAAAATTAAGATATTTCAGAAAAGTGATCTTATTCGATTTTCTAGCATGTCATCAATTACTTTTGCTATCACCATGATGATAACTTTGCTAAATTTTAGTAAATATCAATATGATATTCATAAGTAGTTTACTAAAAGTTTAGAATCTTGAGGAAAAAATAATAATCTATCTTTAATATTTATTTATTGATTACTTTTTTTTTAAGACTATATCTATAGATTAATTATTTTAATGGTTTTTTATTAATGTTTAAATTAATCAGATGTTGAATGAGAAATCTTAAAAAAATTAAAAAATGGATGACTTTTGAATTATTAATAGCTTGTATTTGTTTTAAAATCAAATAAGGGAATTAAAATAAATTTAATATCCAGTTTACCCTCTTTAACTTTTTCGAAGTAATAAAAATATAAAATTAGGCACCCTCTTTAACTTTTTCGAAGTAATAAAAATATAAAATTAGGCATTTCTTACATTATTTTCTTTTGAAACTTAACATCCTATAATAAAGTAAAATTTAATGTATTTTATTTTAAATTAGCCTTGAACAATCCAATTATTTTAGGTTGAATAAGAAAAAAATTTTTGTTTAATACTAAAGATTATAATTAAACATTTTATAAATTAATCATGTAATTTCTGTAATTATGATATATTTTCTCCAAATATTTGATAATTAAATCAAATAAAAAGCTCCTCTTTAAAGCATGAATAATATTTATCTATAAGAGAAATTTTTTTGATGTTTGAATTAACATTATTAAGAATTGATTTTTCAGAATAGATCAGGAAATTGTGTTATGACAATAGTGCTAAGATTGTTTTTATAATAAAGAATCTGAAAAAGAAAGAAATTATTCAAATGGAAGGATTGCAGAAATTTTTATAACTATAATAAAATTAGCAAAATAAAGGCTAAATAACACATAAATATTGTGTTGATTTTGATTCTTTTTTAATTATTTTGAAGAAAAATTATCAATAACTTCTTTTTAGGAAAATTTCCCTTGAGGTTGTTATATTTAATTGTTTTTTATTTTATAAGTAAATCTACTTTTTCTATCTAGACACATAAGATATATTTTTTTTAATTTTCTATTTAAGCTATAATAGATAAGTTATTTTTGAAAAATCATTTAGAACAGATATAATTAATTCAAAAGGTTAGATTGATTAATGCAATTCAAGTATTGGTTAATTCTAAGAGAAAAATTTTCTTTTTATTTTTTAAAAATAACCAGATTTTATTCCAACCTTAACATAATTAGATCGAAAATAATGAATTTTATATTCTTTTTCTAATTCTCAACATTAAAAAAAAATTCGTAAGCACTCTAATCATAGAATCATGGGAATTATTTTCTTAAATACATAAATTAATAGATTAAATATTAGAAAAAAGAAAAATATTAATTTTTTGTCTCAAGGTTTAAATAATCAGCATATGCTGAATATTTTATAGTTTGTTGATAATTTACATTAGGCCCTAAAATGGCTAAAAGTCTGAGAGACTTAATTTTATTAAAAAAACTTTGGCTTTTATGTTACCATCAACAAAATATTCTAGGATTTTTTGTCATATGTATTTAATGACGGAGTTTGCTGATAATATATATTAATAATTTTAGAAGAAATCAATTTTATATTAGAAATAGATAACAATTAAGATTTTTGAATTATATGAATATTTTTGCTTTTTTAAATTGTTATATAATTTAATAGAGGGCTTGATTTCTCATGGGTTGGGTCAAAATTTCTGATTAATCAAGTTTTATCTTTTTAGAAACAATTAAATTAGTAAATTTTCAAATTTCCCAATATTACTATTTTATATATTTTTATAGGTATAACTATTGTCAATTCTAAGGAAGCCTAAATGATTTTTAATGAAAAATAAGAAATTTTTTCCTTGATTTGATTTATACGTTGAAATTAGATGTAAGAAGCTATATGTTTAACAATATTGTATTATAAAATATATAAAAATTGGCCTAAATTAAAAAAGTAATTTTCAGTATTTATTTTATTAATGACATAATTTTTTAAGGGGGGATTTTATATACATATCTTGTAAAATGATAATTGAGAAAGATTCTAAGTATTATATTGCTTAGGTTATTTAATTCTGTATTACGACTAATGTCTGTAAGATGTTTTAATAACATTTTTTTAAAACAATAATTCATTGACAGTTTTTCAAACTGTTCAATATCCCAGTATTTATTAATTAGCAAAAGCAAAAATTAATGTGATTTAAGTTTCTTACAGTTTAAAGTGAAATAGTAATTCTATATGTATTAGAAAAAACATAAAAATAATTTTTTGTTTTTAATCAACAAATGGACATGCTAATTTACTTTTAAGTTCTCTTAATGTAGTTTAGTATATTCTGCTGCAGTAAATAAAATTAAATAATTAGATGGCAAGTACATTGTTTAAACTGATGTAACAATTTAATCAGCTTCTAGTTAATGGAATGACTTAATTTCTAATTCATAACTTGAATTTTGCACAAACGAAAAGTCAGAAAATTTTATTGGATAAGCGACAAATTCAAATTAAATATAATGGTAAAGAACTTTCAACATATATCCCTTAACTAATAAGGTTTATATATACTTTGAATATCAAATATCTGGTGAATGGAATGATAAAGAAGTAGAATTATATATAAATGATGTTAAATAAGGCTCAGAAAAGATCTAATTTATAGATACAAATAAATTGTGTAATGGAAAGTAAAAAATTGAGTTAAAATTAGTTTTCTTTATAATTCTTATATGTATTTAGTATACAACTAGCCATAAAATAGCTTAGCCTTAGAAATAAGAGTTAATCAAATTAATATAGGACTTTATTTAAAAAATTTGATTTTAATTTAATAAACATAGAGAGGTAAAGGAGAAATATTATAAACAATGATTCACTTACCTATTTGTGGTAGTGATCAAATTCTTGATCATTATTATTGTAAATGTAGTAATGCATTGGTTTATCAATCTAATTAATGCGTTTCTAGTTGTGGTTAAAATTTTTTATACAGTTTAAACAAAAATCAATGTTATTAGAAACAAAATTGTGCTGCTTGTGTAGGATTAAATGAAAACTTATAATGCGACTAAGGATATTATGCCTATATGGAATCAGACTAAGATTTACCAGTTTGTATATCAAAATGTCCAAATAATTTTTACTAAGATGAAACTACCTAAAAGTGTTTGGATTATCAATAATATTTATCTACAAATTAAAATTCAGGATGTATGATATATAAGTTTGATATTTAGATCCTATCGATTATATGTATTTTATAAAGAACATTCCAGAATTCATCCATTTTTTATAACTAAATGATTTAATTGTTTAAATTGTTTCAGAACCTAGAAGATCTAAAGAACGTAACTTTTTTTATTTAGATAATAACTTTTATGTTGGATCATATAGCAGTTTTTAAAATTAAACGATTTAAATATAAACAATTATTAAAAATCCATAACATAAAGTAAAATTTAGAGCGACTTGCCATTTTATAGATTTTTATCCAACAAATTTTGAGGTGTTGATTAATGATGAAAAACAAGCTGATATTGTATTATAATAGGATGTTTAAAATCGGATAAAATAAGATAAATAAGATTATATTGTAAATAATGAATGGACTTGGTAGAAATCTAAAGAGGATAATTTAGTAAGAAATTCTATCCAATTTAAAGTAGAATAACCTTAATAAGATGGAGAATATATAGGTTATTTTTACTTAGAAGATATTCATATATACTCATTTTAATGTATGACTGGATGTCAAAGTTGCTTTACAGATACATCATGTCCACCTTGTACAAATCCTGCACATAAGAATGCTTAAGATTGTACTTGTTTATAAGGTTATGCTTTACAGAATGATATCTGCATAGTATGTCCTACTTATTGCACTACTTGTATATCAGAAGGAGTTTGTGTAGATTGTGTTGCTTCTACATAAAGATTAAATTCTCCAAATTGTGATTAATGCCCAAATTAATTGTTTGCAACACCTGATGTGGACAATTGTCAACCATGTTAAATAGGTTGTTTAAAATGTATAGAATTGGCAAATTGTATAATTTGTTTAAGTGAATATTTTAAAGATAAAAGTAATTAATGTGTATAGCAATGTTCTGATGGATATTATAATGATAATACTGATATTAATAATCCAAAATGTACATAATGTGATCCAAATTGTTTAAAATGTGAAATAATTGGAACACATTGTACTGATTGTATACCTAAAGGTTATTTAGTTAATAATCATTGTTTTATATGTTTATAAGGTGAATACTTTTCAGGAACAGCATGTTTAAATTGTATTAGTGGATGTTAAAATTGTGTATCACCAATATGTGAATAATGTTTGGAAGGATATTATTACATGTAGAATAAAAACGAATGTTAAGTAATATGTGATGATGGTTATTTTGGGAATTATGAAGCTAGATTATGTGAATAATGTGATGCAAATTGTAAAACATGTGATAAAAGTACAAATTTTGATTGTTTATCATGTTATCCTGGTAATGTGTTAAATTTATATAATATCATAAGTGGATAATGTAAATTTACTTGTTTACCAGGATTCTATAAATTAGATGACAAATGTTTTAAGTGTTGGAAAGGTTGTGCATCTTGTATTGATTAAACCTAAAATTGTCTAGTATGTGCATAAAATTATTACAGATTAAAAAATAATGGATTATGTTACTCATTATGTCCTGATGGATATTATAATAATAATATTGGAAGTCTATGTTCTCCATGTCATCCTATATGCAAAACTTGTTATGGATTATTACCATAAAATTGTCTATCTTGTAATTCTCCATTGGCTTATTTTGAAAATGAATGCTTATCTGAATGTTAAGATGGGTATGGAAATGTTAATAATATTTGTACTCCTTGTGTAAATAATTGTAAAAAATGTTTTGGTACATTACAGAATCAATGTCTTTTTTGTGCCTAAGGATACTATTATTTAAATAACTAATGTTATATTAAATGTCCTCGTTTTTATTATAGTATAAGACCTCAATATATTTGTAAATGCTAATTCACTAATTGTATCGAATGTACAGAGAATTAATATTACTTCAATAATCTATGTTATGAAACTTGTCCCTAAGGTTATTTTGGATTCAATAATTTGTGTAATCTATGTGATATTACATGTAAAACATGTTTTGGTGAAGATGCAATTGAATGCTTAAGTTGTAATAATAGTCTTATACTATTTAAAAATAAATGTATTCCTTAATGTTTAGGTAATACTTACCATGACATTTTAACTAATGAATGTAAATATTGTAATTCAGAATGTCTTGCTTGTAATGGACCTAATGATAATAATTGTTTAGTATGTCATTAAAATAAATTATTAACTATGCAAGGATATTGTAAAGATGAATGTCCAAATGATTAATATGCAGTAATCTCTGAAAATAAATGTTATCATTGTCATTCATCATGTTAAACTTGTTTTGGATCCTCATATTAAAATTGTCTAACTTGTGCTGTTTATTTTTACTTATTTGAATGCGTAGATTCATGTCCTGAGGGTTTTAAAGTAAGTAAAAATTAATTATAATGTGAACCAGATTTTGAAATAGTTCTTGCTTATTGTAGTTATTAATGTGATACTTGTTGGTTAATACCTAGATTCTGTAAAAGTTGTGCTGCTAATCGTGCTCCAAATCCTCCTAATTGCGATTGTGAAATAGGTTATTTTGATGATGGTGTAAATTCATTATGTTTAAAATGTGATAATAAATGTGGTTCTTGTAAGGGTTTAGCTAATAATTGTATAAAATGTAAAGGTGATAGACAATACCCATAATGTACATGTCCTAATTATTATTATGATGATGGAATATCTGTAAATTGTATTAGATGTTAAGACAATTGTTAAAATTGTGATTCTTTTGGATGTACAATATGTTTAGCTGATCGTATCAATTTACCTAATTGTATATGTAAAGATGGTTACTATGATTCTTATACTTATTATTGTTAATAATGTTCTTAAAGATGTTTAACTTGTGAAGGAACTGCTAATCTTTGTAATACTTGTGCTAGTATTAGAATTGATCCTCCTATTTGTAAATGTCCTATAGGATATTTTGAGAATACAGATATAGATTGTTAAGCTTGTGATCCAACATGTATTGATTGTAATTAATATGGATGTTTATCATGTTTTGGAAATAGAATTGGCCCTATTTTTGGTGAATGTAAATGTGCTGCAAAAGGAGTTAGTAGATACAATATTGGATCAATTTATTGTACTGATTGTTCTGTCGGAGTACCATATTTTGCATTGAATGAAGAATTTACAGGATTTTCATTTGATTTTGGAGGAGCAGTTGCTTTCATACCTTTTGAAACTCAATCTCTATGTTAAGCATTTTTTTAACCTGAATCTTTATTGAAATTAGGAACAAACCCTTAATGTGATTTAGAATTTAATGTTTATTTTGGTGACAATCCCACCATTAAAGTAGGTGATTCATTAAAATTAAATAGAGAATTCGCATTAAGTGGATGTCTACACAAATTCATTTAAATAATTCCTATGCCTTTATCTATACCTATTACAATTGATAAAATAACACATAAACCAAATCTTAAATTTAAAGATCTTAACAATCCTAATATATGTGAATCTTTGAAAATTGAGTTTGATTCATTGATATTCAATGGAAAATAACCATTCCAAATCCTCTCATGGAATCTCGTATTGCCTCCACCTCCTTTTCCAATTCTTGAAAACATTCTATTAAATCATACAATTAATCATTACCCTTATTTAGAATTCCCACCAAAACTATTCTAAAGTGAAGTCACTTATAAATTTAGCGTTACTGTTGAAAGTTTCGCATTATTATAAAATACAATTGATGTCTAATTTTAAGCTATTCAAAAATCTTCTATTATATTTGAAACCAAATCAATCCTCAATTAATTTTATAGATATCAAAAAATATCCATTCCAAATTTATTGTAATACATTAACTGCGTTGAAAAGAATCCACCTCCTTAAATTCTCTATTACGAAATCTATCTAAACAATTTCAAATTATTAATTATCAATGGTTCCCTAACTGAAAATCTAACCGACGGTTATCAATATGATGTTCCTCTTACTTTTGAACCATACTTTTTTAATTTTAATAATCCCTTCCTTTTAACTTACAGTACCATTTTAACCAGAAAAGATTACACAGTAGAAAGTCTATCAACATTTGAGTTCTTTATTGTTCCATCTAGTCCTATAATCACTATACAAGGAGGAAATAGAATGATTGGATTCACAGATAAATTATAATTAAATACAACTATTACTGATCTTGATTATACAGATCAAGAAGCTAAATAATTATAATATGAATGCTTCTGGTAATGTGTTGATATTGTCAATGGACAATTATGTTAAAATCAATAAAATTAACTTCTAGAATTTAATACTAGCTGTTCTCAGTAAATCAAACCAAAAACTTTCTATGCATATACAGTATCCAATTTTGAAGTTAGTATTTGGAAATAAAATACTAAGTATTCTACTACAGTCTCTATCTAATTTATTGAATTAGACCTACCTATCTTAACTATTTATGGTGGAAACTCAGAATAACTTTACAATTACTATGATGAACTTATATTCACTATTTACTACCCTGGAGTGAATCCTGATTTATTAATGTATGCAGGAGCTATTATTTATGATTTTTAAGTCTAGGCTACATTTGAATTCTTTTATCTGCAATTTAAATATAAATAGTAGAATCATTTTACTGATTTACTTTTAAATCAAAGTAACATCTTAAAACTAAGACTATCAGTCTATGATCCTCGCTTTATTCTTCCATCTATAAATACTTAAGGTTTAACAATGAATATTCCCCCTAAGAATTGTTCAATATCCTACTAATCACCTGAAAGCTTTGTTGAATTCTTAGATGATTTGAATATCTCAATTATTAATTGTCAAGATGTTCATAATCCTTTGAATTATAATGTGTATCTATTTCCTAATCGCACCATCTATCACTAAGATTTAATTAATTCTAAATACCATAATTTCATTATTCTCAAGAGTTTTTAATCATCAAATAAGTTCAAATTAAACTTGCCTTACTATTCTGACACTGAATGCTTACTACTATTCAACATCAAAGATTCTAAACAAGGTATTGTAAATCTAACATTATCAATTAATGTGAAGGAATTTAAAAAGATTGACAAAAGTACTTTCACTGACTATCAATCAAATCTTATTAGTTTTGATGATTAACTAATCGGCTATGTCTTAATTACTGAAAGACTTAAACAAATCAAATAACTCAAATTATATAAACAAAATCTCTACTAGACAATACTTTCACTTGATGTTAATTAAACTCTCTAAGCTAATCAAACCGAACCCTTATATCGATCTATTTCCAATTTATTAAGTCATAATGTAACATTAGTATCCTTAAAGGAAACACTCCTACTGAATCAAATCAATTATCGAATAACTTAGTCATACTCTACATTATCACACTACTTTACTATCTAAAAGCAAAGTCTCCTAACTTCAGAATAAAACTTAGACAAAAATGATCATATTAGATTATATTATATTTTTGCAGACATCCTTTCATCCTGTATAAAATACAAGGTTAAGAAAAATGTTACATCAGATGAAATCTTACATCTTTTGAGCAAATTACAATCTTAATTACAATCTATTAGTGTAATTAATGAACCTCTATATAAAATGATTTAAAATTCAGTTAATCTAAATTTTGGATATGTTACCCAAAAATAAGTTGAATTAATTATTGGCCTTAATTCTACTCTTGATCAACCTGTCGGAGATAGTGAAGAAGCCAATAATATTTATTAGACTTCTACCAATTATTATCATTTCTCAATTACTAGATACAAAGATAATCCTTATTATCCCACTCCTGAATTTCCTAAAAATAGTAGCGGTTATTAAGCTATTGAACCTAAATTAAAAACTCCAGAAAGCTCTCAAAATAGTATTCTAAAATAGGATATTTAATTTTCTTTCCCGAAAGTTAAAAACTTGAAACCCAATACAACTTTAGAATGTATTTCTTAATTATAAAATAATACATGGACAGTAGATGTTTGTAAAACAGTTAAAAAAGATATTGAAATTATTTGTAAATGTGAAAAATTAAATCCTACTTCTGTTATGGAATCGATTGATTATATTCTAGATAAAGGAAACTAAATATTTTCTTTAAACACACTTGAAAATTTTGCTTCTTTTCCATTTTATCAAACTATTATTTTTTACTTCTATGTTACAATCACTGCCTTATATTTAGGAATTGTTTATTGGGGTATTAGAGTAGATGCTGAAATGTTTTAAAAAATACATATTGAATAAGAACAAGCAAAAAAAAATCCAGATATAAAAAACACTGTGGAAAATAAATTAATTAAGAATAAAAAAGAATCTAAATATACTAAAACTGGATAACTAAGAGATTCCTCTATTGAACATTAACATGCTTTGCCTTTATTCAAAAGAAATATTTTTGGAACTGGACTTTCTTATGGTGCAATTATTTTAAATAGATTTTAAAAACCATTAAATTCACCTTAAAACTTATAAAACACTAAATAAACAACCTAAGATACTAAAACAGATTCAAAAGATATAAACAAAATTGAATCATTATTTAGTCAATCTTAAATGATGTAATCAACAAGAATCATTAAATAAGGATTGATCAATTCTTAACAAGAATCTCTTAAATCAGAGGAAATATCTAAAGAGAATTAATTATAAAGGAAACTCACTATCCAAGATATTGGACTTAGAAGTATGTTAATAAAAAGATTAATTACTAATTTTAAAGCATATATAGAATTTCTTAAATTCTTCCATTAAATTCTATAAATAATTTATAAAGCTGATCCAACCAAACCAAGAGGATTGAGAGCTTCAATTGTTTATACGAGTTGTTTAGGTGGAATAGCCATCATATTTATATTTTAATAACCTAATAATTTAAATTTCACTATAGCATTGGCTCTTCTAACAGCCCCAGCAAATAAAATTTATTAAATAATCTTAGAAAAATCCTTATCTAATAAATCTAAAATTGTCAGAATGATTGGTATTGTAATAATGATTGGAAGTGCTGCACTTATTTCATACATTTTGTTAGCAGGTTTGGTATTGATGAATTCAATAAGTTAATCAAATTAATAAAGTCTAATTTTTATTGGAGCCTTTCTTACGGATAATATAATATATAGTCCACTATCTTTATTAATTTCTTATATAATACATATGGACATAATAAAAATTCCATTTCTTTAAAGTATTTTGTGTAAAATTCTTGATGAGAAAACTAAAGAATTTTTGTATGGTTTAACAGAAAATGTTGTTAGAAATTGATTAATTGAAAAATCATAAATAAAAATTTATTTTCATAGAAGTTAAATATAATTAATTATAAATAATTAATAATTGTTAAGAATAGGATAAAATAGTTAGGGAAGAATGAAAGCTTTTGATTACTTAATTGTATTTTAATTTTTAGAAAATAAGTGTTTTTATCTGATTATCTAGAAATTTAGATTTTAATTAATTAATATTTTTTTTCATATGAAGATCTTGCTTTTCTTGATAACAAAACTATATTTAGGTATGATAAAGATATATGTAGCCATGAGTTCATCTTATAAATTAGTGAAATCTGATATAGTTACAACAGGAGCACATACTTGGATTGATGAGACATCTACAGCCTTAGCCACAACAGCTACATTGTGCTAATCTTTAAAACAACCTTACGTTACTGTAAGTAGTCATTTGGCAAAATCAATATCGAATGAATATATCGTTACGGACAATGACCATGAGATATATATTAAAGTAATTGTAGCAGGAACTTGGACGGGGGATTCTTTGGTAATAAAAAGTGGTACAACAACACTATTATCACAACCTCTAACTACAGCTTCATAATTGAATGAAAATTATTGTACATTATCTAAGTAAAATTATGAAATTAATGGATAGTGTAAAAGTTTTGGTTTTAAAGGTCGTGGCAGCTAAAACATCATTATTAACTAGTGGTTCAGATAAAGCATTGAAATTGGTAATTAGTATACCATCTCTGAATGATGCTGCAAAAATAAAAACTTTATATGTAGGTCCAGTATTAATTTATGAAATTGGTAATTCGGTTGCAACAACGAATACATATATAGCAAATTAAGAGTACGATTATTTTACATCATCATCATAAAATCCAAATACAGTTTTAGGAAGTTTTAGTTATACTTCAATAAATTCGATAGCATCTTAGAAATATGATTTACTTACATTTGGACTCTTAAACGCCAACTTTTTAATTGGAGGATATAAAAGATGGAATAATGGAATAATAACGTTTAGTTAGACATTATCAGTTCATTATAAGATTAAATTCAGTTTTTACGTTTATACATTTGATACAACAACTATATTAACATCAAGTAACTTAATAATTACAGTTAATGGTGCATCTGGTTCAGTTGTAGTTCCAAGCACTTCAATTAGTAGAATATAGGCAGGTAATCTCTATGGAGATAGTGGAACAGATTCTGTTTATTTTATAGAATATGAATTAGATCATGTTAATACTAATCTTTAAATAACAATTGAATTAACAGATACAATATATCTGGGAATAACAAACTTTTATCTACTTTCAAAGAATTGTCCTTAATTTTGTTCTGCTTGTAGAACAGAAGGTACTTGTGATGCCTGTTCTAGTATTGATAATAGAAATTAAGTCACTTGTTAATGTAATGAATAATACTACGAAGATTTAGTCAATTATGTTTGCAAACGTAAGAACTTATATTAATATTTATTAAGCCTGCGATTATAGATGTGCTAAATGTATATATGATCCAGCAGAAACATTAGGAAATTGTTTGTTATGTAAATATGGTTTCAATATAAATACTAAATGTTCTACTTGTATTCATTCATATCAATTTGAAAATAAAATTGCTGTAAAATGTGAAAGTATACAAGTCTTTCTACATTCATAGATTGTTAACCATGTTGTTTGACTTGTTCTGGTCCAACTGATAAAGATTGTATCACATTCAAAAAACCATATATGATCATGCCTGATAACCAAGCTGTATTAAGTTGCCCTCCTAATTCTTATATTGTATAACAAACTCCAGATAGAACTCTCTGTGTTATGTGTGATGTAATCATTTAATCATATACATTTCTTAGGTAAGTTGTAAAACTTGTGCTGAAACTCCCTCTAAATGTACAAGTTGTTATGATGGTTCAGATTTACTATTCAATCAATGCTTATTATCATGTCCTACTAAAACATATAGATTAAATAAAGATTGCACTCCTTGTTAAGATCCTTAATGTGAAATTTGTTCAGAATCTTAATGTCTGATGTGTCTAGAAAATAAATTTATGTCTAGAATCTCAAAACTATGTATATCTCCATGTGATACTGGATATTATGGGGATGGTCTTACAAGATCATGCAAAAAATGTCATCAAACATGTAAGGAATGTGTAAGTCCTCTATTTTAAAAATGCTCAACATGTCCAGATAATACATATATGTTGGTTTTAGATACTACTCTTGTAACAGGAATATGTTACAAAGTTTGTAAAGAAGGATATTATCCATCTGGTAAATTTTGTGTTGAATGTTTTTCTGGTTGTCAATTTTGCACATCTCCAACAGTTTGTCAAACTTGTAAAGCTGGATTTTATTTATATAATGATTTTTGTGTAGAGACATGTCCATCTAAAATGTATGCTAATCAATATGTTTAAAAATGTTTAAAATGTAATGAGGCTTGTATTGAATGTACTGGAGGAGAGAATTACTAATGTTTAACTTGTAGTGGAGGACTTTAACAATATTAAGGAAAATGCTATCCTATTTGTCCAATTGGAACAGTTGGAATAAATGGTATTTGCGAAAATTGTGCATTTAATTGTGATATTTGTGTAGGTACAAATATTTATGATTGTACATAATGCAGTACTTAAAAGTTTATTTTAAATGGATAATGTTATGAGACATGTCCTCCATCATATCAAGGTGATATAACAACATTTAAATGTGAGTTTTGTATAGATAATTGTGAAACATGTATATCAAGTTCTTGTAAATTATGTTTAAGTGGATATTTCTTTTAAGAGGGTCAATGTCTCTCTTCTTGTTTTGATGGTTTTTATAAAAATATTGATAATAGAAAATGTTAACCATGTAATTTTGTTTGTAAAACATGTACTGGTCCAGATATTGATGAATGTTTAACTTGTCCAAGTAGTTACTATTTCTATTTTAATAATTGTTTACCAGAATGTCCAGAAGGATATTATGGAGCAACAGGTCGAATATGTACAGCTTGTCATTCTACTTGTTTGACATGTTTTGGTAATTAATTAAATAATTGTAATTCTTGTCCACTTACTTCATACCTCTATTAATAAAAATGTTTAACAACTTGTCCTGATGGAACATATGCTTCAGATATTTATTAATCATGTATGCCTTGTCATGCTACTTGTTTAACTTGTTAAGGAGGTTCAAGTTATGATTGTTTAACATGTCCAGTGCTCATTGAAAGAATGCAATGTGTAATTGAATGTAGTGGTGGATACTCACAAACTGGAGTAGAATGTCATCCTACAGTATAAATTACTGTAAATTGTGATCCACAATGTGCAACTTGTGCATTATAAGCATCTAATTGTGTTACATGTTAACCATCAAGATAATAAAATAAACCATAGTGTACTTGCTAAAAAGGCTTCTATGATGTTGGAGCAGCTGATTGTTTACCTTGTCAACATAAATGTGCTACATGCAAAATTCAAGCTGATAATTGTTAAACTTGTAAAGGTAATAGATTTGGAGCAACTTGTAATTGTCCAGACTATTATTATGAAGATGGACTCTCATTGAATTGTCCTAAATGTGATTATAAATGTGAATTGTGTACAAATAATATTTGTACAACATGTGCAGATAGAAGAATAGATTTACCTTCATGTACATGTCCAGTTGGATTTTATGATAATTTAACTCCAATTTGTTAACCTTGTAGTAGTGTGTGTAAAACATGTGTGGATATGGCAGATAAATGTGTAGAATGTTCTGGAATAAGAGAGAATGCACCATTTTGTACATGTCCTTCTGGTTATTTTGATTTTTCAGAATAATGTTTGAAATGTGCATTTGAATGTGTTGAATGTGATTCAAATGGATGTGTAAGTTGTTAAGGTAATATGAGTGGTCCATTTGTTGGTAAATGTATATGTAAAGATGGATATTCTAGAAAGAGTATAGGATCTATATATTGTACAAATTGTAATATGGGTGTACCATATTCAATATTAAAATCTGGATTAAATAAAATAAAGATAGATTTCGGAGGACCTTTGGATTTAGTCGATGAAACAAAGACAGGTTGCGATTAATATTTTTAGAGTTCCACTCTTTCAACATTAGGAACAAGTCCAGAGTGTAGTATAGAGGAAAGTTCAATTATAGTAACATTGGGTAAGTATGCTACAATTATAATTGGACATAATTTTTCATTTGGGAGTGGATTTAAATTAAAAATATGTTCATCAGGTTTTCCTGAATATTAACCTAGTAGTTTGATTAAAGATCCCTCAGTATCAGATGAAGAGAATCTGCCATATATAACATTTGTAGCCCAATAACCAAAAACAATTTGTGAGGCTGTAGTAATAAAATATACTCTTGGTAATACTGGAAGTAGAAATTTAAATATATTCAATTGGGAATTAACATAACCTTAAAATTATGTGAATGATTAATTAAATACCGTATTAAGTTCGATAACTCCTTCTAAGACATTTGATATGAATATAACAATACCTAGATTAGTATTGAAACCATTTACAACATTTGGATTCAATATTTAATTATAAAATTTCTTAAATTTAGAAGCAACTAATACCTTTTTTGTTTAAACATTAGGTCCTGCATAAATAGGTATATAAGAACCGGAAGAATAGAATACATTTTATAGATATGAAACCACTCTTCTGAATTTTACATTTGTATACTCAAATTGTACTCTAACTTCAGAGATGACTGAAACAATCCACATATAGATATAATTGGATTAGAAAATATTATAAGAATAGAGTGAGACTTATTTTTTATAGATGAGTTCTGCATTTGACTTTTAAATTCCAATAGATCCTTATATTTTATAGATTGGATCAAATAATATTAGTGTTACTATAACAGTACCAGCTTAATCATTATCAACAAATATATACATGAATTAAGAAATAGCTGAAGGAACTTTAATTGTAAAAGTTAATGGTGGTAATAGATAAGTTGGAGATGTAGCTACAGTTATTTTAACAGCATCAGTTATAGATTAAGATCTTGATCCTAAAGAAACAGATACATTCTAATATGAATTTTCATGGTCTTGTTTTGATGTATTGAAAGGTGCAGATTGTTTAGATTTATATGGAAAATTAATTAAATATCCTAAAGGGAAATCTGTTGTTATTTAAGCCAGTGAACTTACATAATATAATTCTTATGTATTTAGAGCTGAAACAAAGAAGGGCAATAAAGAAGCATCTGGAAAATCAATGATTCAAATTGTAGAAGTCGATGTTCCTTAATTATAATCTAGTAATGAAAAATAAGAAGCAGAAATCGTTTAATAAACCTATAATTATTATGATGAAATCTAATTATCCTTTTAATATGAATCTGCTAATCCTGATAATCTATTTTATTCAGCAACTATAATTTATGATTAAGTCTCTGTCAAATCTTTTAAATTCTATAGTCTAACATTTAAATTTAGATTACTTGATTATTTCACCAAACTTAATTCTCTTCAAGGCAATTAAATTACCCTTAGAACATCTGTGTATAATCCTACCTTTGTTATGCCATCATTAAGAAGTATTGTTTTAACATATAATTTACCTCCCAATAACTGTTCACTAATCTTCAATAATCAAGATCAGATTATTTATGAATTAAAAACCTATGTTAATATCACTATCGCTTATTGTGAAGATGAAGATCTACCTTTAGAATATAAAGTATTATTCTACAATGATAAAGATACATATGATTATGATTTCTCTACTGGAAAATATATCAATAATATCAATATCTTAGATTATCAATCCAATAATACATTCCTATTTCAATTACCATTCGTAGGTCCTCAACAATCATTCAATTAAACATCTTTTCTATTATTTATGATCAAAGACAAAAAAAATGGAATTTCTAATCTTACTACACCAATTATAATCACTAAAAATTTTGATATTAATTAAACAACTATGGCTAAACTTATTGAACATGCTGAAACTCTATAAGATACACTCTAAGTCTAAGATCTAATTATCAGTAGAGTTACTCAAATGGATAATTACTCATCATTTAAATATGATCTAATTAGAAAAAATGATCTGATAGCATAAAATGATCTACCTATTGATAAATAAAATACTCTACTCTATTAAATGATTCAATTAATTAATGACAAAGAAGTCACCTCACAATTCCAAGTTCAATTAGATTCACTGAATACTTTTAATTAAACTATTCAATCCAATTTTTAATAACTCAAAGCATTACAATAAGATTCCTAAAGTACTTTATAATAATTAAATTATATCAACAATTATTATAAATACTTTGATCTGTTCTCATCACTCATTTCAAACAATCAAAACTTCAATTCTACAAATGATTAAATCTTAGGATTCATTGATAACATTAAAACATAATTAATTGATCTAACTATCTTGAATAGTGAAGGTTTTAATATTGAAAATGATTAAGCTATTCTCTAAGTTAAAAAAGCTAGTTATAAAATTATCAATGAAATCACTGGAAATATATTAAAAGAAGAATAAATATTTAGATTATTATAATCAACTTAAGAATAGTCTAATTTCTAGTATTATTTTAATAAATTCATTGTAAATCCATACTTGAATGAAGAAACCTTTCCAAAAAATGATTCATTTGGAGCTGAAACTATTTATTTGAGAATAGTAGATGAAAACACTTAATTAAATGCAGTCATGTTATAACCCTTTTCTTATACCTTTATAGTCGATGAAGATTATGGTAATAATAAAACTATTTGTATTTAAAAATTATTCGATACTTGGACATCAAAAGATATAGAAACTACACTTGTTAATAAAACAGCTATTTCTTGTAAAATTTAATTATTTAATCCATTTACTATTGTAATAAATAGTACTATAAATAATAATACTAATACTAATACAACATAAACTCCTACAGATTAAGAAGATGAATAAAATTAAGATGAATAAAATTAAGACGAGTAAAATTAAGACGAATAAAATTAAGACGAATAAAATTAAGATGAGTTAAATTAAGATGAATAAAATACTAATAATTAAACTCAAAATGGAACTTAGAGTTCAGATTTAGATAGTAAATCAGGAATATTATTACTATCTGAACCTTTCTTTATTTATTTAATTTCAATAGGAAGTTTAACAATATTATTAGCATTCTTTGCTCATTATAAAGATACTTAATATGCAAAAGTTTATAATCATAAAAAATCACAATCTGAAATTGTTATAACCAATTAAAAGGATGAGACTCCTGATATGAAAAAGAGTGAAATATTTACTTATAAAGAAAAAGTAAATAATTATGATTAGTCTTCGCCATCATTAACCAATATACCGAAGCCTGCAACATTAAAGAGATTAAAGTTGATAATATTTAATTTCCATACTTTAGGAAGTATCTTCTATAGAGATGAAGCATACAGAAAGATCACTTATTTCAATTATGTTTTAAGGTTCTTTTTCATTCAATTATCAGTCTTTATAACATATATCTACTTTTAATTTGATTATCAATTAGCTTTAGTATTTTTACTAGGTCCATTTGCTTTTTCAATTTATACTTTTTTAATGAACACTTCAATTGAAAATAAAATGATTATTGGATTAAAGATTTTTGTGACTATAATATCACTTGGAACGATTGGATTAGCAATTTATAGAATAGTTGATTTCATAACAGATGATAATGAATACAATTTAACTAGAATTACTTATTTCTTGGTGGGTTCTATTGTTTATGATAATCTAGTATATAATATGATGATTATTATGATCATCTTTTTGATGACAATTAAAGAAGGAGGTATTTCCCTTTGGATACTGAAATTCATGTAAAAAAGTGATCAAGAATAAATTATGCTTAATTATCCTAATGTGGATGCAATCAAGCAACAATGAATAGAATAGAAAATAATATTATAATTAATTATAAATATTTAAAATATAATTCATCTTTAATAATTCAAATTGTATATTTTATAAAAATGTCAGGTATCAACATAAACATCAATCTAAATCTAGAAAAGAATAAGTAGAGTTACATTTATAAACTAGAGAGCTGTTAAAAGCAAGGGAGAGAAACTATGTGATGGAGAACCAAAAAAGAAGAAGAAGAAATAGAGTAAATAAAAATAAAATAGTCAATCTCCTCTTCCTTGGGGATTGAATTAAGAGAGACTTAAAAATTATATTTTTGCATAATTAGCTAAGAGAGATAATCTAATGTATCAATAATAAATGAGAAAAAATAAAGTAGAAGAATCAAAATAAGATCGTCGAGAAATTTTGGGAGTCTCATTTTTGAATCATATGCCTAAAAAGAAAATTAAATAAATCATAAATAGTATATATGATCAATTTGATATTTAGAATCAAAACTCAACGAAGGCGACGAACAAATATATTATTAACCTAAATTTAATGAACAATAATTACATGAAATTAGAATGTATAAAGAATGGAAGAGAAGATAAGTTTAATTTTAATTGTAATTTAAAAAATAGCAAGAATTAGAGAGATAAAATAAAATTTAATAAAATTTGTAAAATTTGAATGAATATATTAAATGTAATTTATAATATACAATTAGATCGAAATCATACAACATCAGTACATTAAAAAAAATCAGTATCGTTTCATAAAAAGTAAAGAACTAAATCATCTATGGCAGAAAAGAGAAAAGAATTAATTATTAAATATTAGAATTTAGCAGATAGATATGCCTAAATCAATGGAGAACCAAGAGATAATTAGAGTTGTTTTGGTTTAGTCTTGGATAGTGATTAAGAGGGCATTTCTTAAATGGATTCAATACATAAAAGTACTAAAAGATAAAATGTTATATCCGAACCATCATTAGATGAAGATGAAGAATAATAAATATAAGAATTGGGAAATCTTGAAAAAGAAATGGCTTAAATTATTAAGGCAGTTATAATCATTTAGAAGTTTTGGAGAGGTTACAAAACAAGATAAATCTTATTATATTATAAGAACTATAATGATGATGAAAATGAAATCAAATTAGATCAATTAACTCCTAATTTGAGTGAAAGATAATCCTAATAAGAACCTATATGTTAATCAATTTAAATTGGTAAGGAATAAAGTGGATTAAAATCATCTTAAAAAAAAAGAGAAAAAAATGGTTTCAATACTTTCACTGGTTATTTAGATTGGGATGATGAAAATGAAGATCATTTCAATTCATAGAAAGTTTCATCTATTAAAAAAATATCTTAATAGAAATCACTTCATAAAATAATAATTGAATAATAAAAATAATAATGGCATTAAATGTTAGAACATATATCATAATTATAAAGAAAGGGTTCAAAATAAAATATTAATGATGTTTTATAAGACTTAAAGACATTTACTATGTAATTTACAAAAGAGATTGAAATATAAATTAATAATGAAGATAATTTAGAAAAGGTTGGTATATAAAAATCAGTAGAGATGAGTGAAATTAGATAAGTTATGGGATCTGAGAATTTGGTTAAATTATCATAAACATCATCTCCTGCTAATAAAGATGCTTCTTTATTTGATTAAAATCCATTTTATGATTTTGCATCAAAAAAGTTTAGAGAACTTCTCAATAGAGAAAATATGAATAAATTAATAAAAATGAGAGAAACTGCTATAACAGAGAGACATAAAAATGAAATGAAAAATATTAATGAAGCTTTTTAATAAAAATAAATTAGTCCAAAAACTTTTGAAAAATAAAAATTTAAGATAGAAAAGTGGGTTACAAAAGAAAAAGAAGATTTTAAATAACAAAAATCAAATATTGAAAATGGTTGGAAAGGTTTATATGAAACATTTATGAGAACTTAAAAGGATTTATTATTTATGTCTAAATTAAAAAATTAACAATTAACTTCATCATTTTCAAGTGAAAATGTAAGTAATTTAAGATTGATAAGAGAAATTAATTCAGAATCATAATCAAAAATAGTTAAAACAAATAATTTTGATACAGTGACTATGAATTTTAGTTCATCTATTTGTGAATCATAAGATATAAGAAAGGTTCCAAAAACATCTCCATCTCCATCTCCTAGATAGTAATATAATCAATAATAAATATATGAAAATTTAGAATGGGATGATGAAATGTTATATAATAGTGATAATTTAGATTGTGGGAAAATCTAATAATCATAAGTTATTAAAGTTTCTACATTAATTCATTAAGAACCTGAATATAATGATTCTTAAATATAATCATATGCTATTCTAATTGCCAATTCTATCATAGGAAATGAAATTCAAGATATGTATGAGGAATTAAAGTTATTAAATAAGGATATAACGACATTAATAAAATTCCAATAAAATAAAGGAATCAAGACAAATATTCAATAAGTTAAAACTTATTTAAGTAGATTAGAAAAATTCTTGTTATAACCAGATAAATCAGAAGCATTGATATAAAGAATTAATATTCCTTTAGGTCCAACTCCAAAAGAAATCTTAAAATTTTTTAATTATTATGATGATGAAGATGACTATTAATCAAGTGAACATGATGATTATTCAAATTAAGCAATATTATCAACAGAATAATATGCTTAATTAGAGAATTAACTTATGGAAGAAGAATAAATTCCTTCAGATGATGGATTTTTATTGGAATTAGAACATATTCACAATAAAGTGTTATATGATGCATTAAACGAAGCTTTAGATTATTATAGACCATTTGGATTAAATGGATATCCTTTACCTTGGGTTAAATAACCTTTAGAATTAATATAAAGGTATATATATAAGTTTATTATTTTTATAGAAACAGAAAATCAGAAATTCTATAAGAAATACTATAAGGAGCTATAAAATAAGTTACTGATTGGGCATCATATTTAGTTGGATTAATAATTGATAAACCAGATTCTCCTTTTCCAAAAATTCTAATGTTGGATTAAGAATATTTAAATTAAATTAAAGAAGAAAGAATGATAAGAATGCTTAATTAAGAAGTATTATTTTTAATAATAAATAAAAGATATATCAAAATGAAGAAAGATGGTTAATGTATGATGAAGTATAATCTGAAATCTTAGTTGAAATTTCATAAATGATTTAAGAATACTTAATTGATGAATCTTTAAAAGAACTATTACAATTTTAATGATTATGAATTAATGAATCATAGATTTGGTTTTTTATTTTAATTGAATATATTTCCTGATTTTCTAATAAATATCTTCTAATCTTATTAAAGTGCTTAAAAATCTATAAATGTAGTTAAAATATTAAGTGATTGTCTCATTTTACTTTTATCATTTTATTTCATCATCTCACCAAAAGAACTATTCAAAATTTCAGAATCTCTTTAATAACTTGATCTATCTGGATGACTTTATTTTCTTTTCTCTTAATATTTTTCAACATCTGCTTTACGAGGAGCTGACATAGATTGTTTTAAATTTTATGATTATTTTATAGATTATCTTCTTGATCTTTAAGATTAAACAGTCTTCAAAGTCTTGATTGAATTCTTTTAATATAAAGACTTAATATCATTTGTATGAACTGAAAAATCTAACTGAAATTCTTTGCTTTATTTTGATCCCCCAGATTCTGAATTTTTAATACTGTTTTTTTTATTATGTTTTTCAATATCTAAACCTGATAACATTTAATACGATTTATAATTAGTTTCTGATGTTGTCTTAATATGATGAGTAATAAAAGTTGAATCTAATATTTCTCCTATAAGAATTCTATCTTCTACTTTTACTTCTAACATTTTTTTAATTAAATATTTGAGATCTTAAGATAATTCAGGCCAAGGGAATTTATCATAATTTATTTAACATTTTTAATTCAAAACCTATATTTAACTAGGTTTCCCTTTAAAAGGAGGATACCCAGCTGCTAACTAAATATTGATATTATATTTTACAATATATATTACAACACCTAAACTAAATACATCTCCTTTCTATGTATATGGTTATCCTTTAAAAATTTCAGGTGGTAAAAAACCTGGTGTTCCTGCTTTACTTGTTAATTATGTTTCATTTATTTTTTCAGCAAATCCAAAATCTACTAATTTCATTTAAAATGTATCTTTTGATTCTATCATTATATTTTCTAACTTAATATCTCTATGAACAAATCCATTTTAATGTAATTCAAATAAAGCATCCCCTATTCCTTTTAAAATATAAGCTATAGTTTTTTCAGGTAATCTCCCTTTTTATCTAAAGTACTGATAGAGAGTCCCACCATCAAAATGTTCTATTATTATCACTAACTTTTCTTTTTCTTAATATACTTCATAAATCTTTTCTATTCCAACATGATCAAATTACTTTAATGCAATTACTTCATTGTAAACCATTTACTAAACTATTATGTAAATGTAAATTTTACTATAAATTTTTCTTAATGTTTATTCTCATCAAACATCTTTTTAGTAATAGTTTTTGCTGCAAATATTGTTTCATCTCTTTTCCTTTATACTTTATAAACTGTTGCAAATGCCCCACTTCCTAATGTCTCTATTTCTGTATAAATATGTTCATATCCTTTCATTAAACAAAAATTTTGAAGAGCTTCAAAAAATTATAGAGTTAATTCATTTTGATGATCAAAAATTGTTATCCCTATTCCCTCTACACGTTCAATATATACAAGTGGGATTTATATATTCTTTTTAGTTTTTTAAAATTATAAAATTGCTCTGTTTTAGTAACTCAATTCTAAATAACCTTTTGGATAATTGTCAGATTCCTAAGTTATTTATTTTCAATACTTTCTTAAAATACATTAACAATCCTGAATATGTCAATTTAAAATAATAACCTTTCACATTTTTTTTCTTCCTTCCAATTCTAAGCATTATATTTTGAAAAGCATAATTCTCAAATTACCAATTCTTTTTCATATCTTATTGAGTTCTTCTGTTCCAAAAATGCTTTATTGAAGCATCTTCAAATACTTTAAAAAATGGCCATTTAACTTCCCCAACAAAACGAGGTAATTTAATCTCTCCCTTTATTTTTTTTATTTATATTTATTATTGATTATCACACTTCTTTACATATTACGTATCTTAGATCAATTGTTATTTCAGATTTTTAGAAAAAGTAGATGTTCTTGGTATATTTTCAAAAATGTTAGCTTAATATTCTTGATTTATGGTTTTTAAAAGAACAGACTTTTGATTTTCAATAGTATTTACGAATATAGAATTTTTTAAATTGCTAGATTCATCAAATCTAAAAACTTTCTTCATGACTTGATTAAAATAATAAATAAAAATCCATCTAATTAAATATAATTTAAATTCATTTTTATTAGGAAGTATTAATATTATTAATTTATAATAATAGATGAATTTCTAAAAATAATTCAACTTTTATAATATTCTAAACTATATTCAATTTTATTTGTGTTATTTATCAAAAGTATTTCTAATTAAAAAAAAATCAAGAAAAGCATAAACATTAATATTTTTATGCACTTTATCGTAATTATGATATATGTAATAGTTTTTAGAACTTGTATTGATTTATATTAATCTCAATCTGATTTCTTCCAATTAATAATCTCTTCAATTAAGGCATCTGTATATGTGACTTTATATCTATTAAATATTTTCTACTAATATAACTCTATCATACTTATAATTCTTCTTTATCATCATGATGATTATTTGCAGATTATGGTGGATGCTCACTTGCATCTTTCATTTTCTTAATTAATTGGGACATCAATTTTTCTAATCAAATAAATACTAAGAAAAATTACAATCTTCTTTTGTAAAAAATGCTTTTTCATCACCTTTATCTTTGTCTTTAAATGCTTTGCTGAATGAAAATCTTGGTTAATATTTAGTTATCCTAGCAAAATTAATTAAAAACTTATTCATATTAATATATAATCAAATATATATCATGTAATTCATATATATACTTAAATCACAATTAAATTGACTATTGTAAAACAGAAGGATTTTATTTTTAAACTTTTGATAACTCTATATTGTAATAAATAAGGCCTCCTATAATCAAAATGTAAGCAACAAATGAAAACCAAAAGATTCCTGTAAAATCAATAATAAAATCATCAAATTAGAAGATTTCATCATCCCATATTGCTAGAGTTGAATTTTAAAATCCAATTCTATTATTTTCTTTATCAAATATAGTAATATAATTTAAAAATAATGGATCTCCAAAAAGAAAACACTCAAATTTTTTACTATTTTAAATCAGTAAAGAGCAGTATTTATTGTTTGATGATTGATCTGAAATATAACTTGTATATGGGATTTTTAATTGAAATCCATTAGAAATTATGATTATATCAGGTAGATATTGTTTTTAATTCTAGTTTGGAAAGCAAGGACAAATTATTTGTCCTAATTTTTATTCACAAACTTTTAATAAAGAATTTATAACATATTCATAAACTTGTTCTTTTAATAATATAATAGAAGTCCCAGAATCTATAATAGCACACTCCTATTATTCTTTTTAAATTAAAGTTTCATTGAATATTTAAATTTAATCAATCGGTATAGTCTAATTATATAAATTTAAATTACCCAATAAAAATTATCAATTGAATTTATCCAAACTGTGCCATTATTTAACTTCTCTTGTGAAATATTATAATATAATCTGGATTGATATGGAATCTAATTTAATTACATTACAAATATCGAATTTCTAAGAAACCCTTATTAATATGAAATTTCGAATATATTTGGAATTTGTAAATCATTATTCAAACCCATAATTCCATCACTTATCAAATTGTTAAGATTTTCCTCCTTAAAAATTAATATTAATGGTATAAAAGAATGTATGTTTGAATTGGGTAATCCTACAAAATCTTATACTACTTAGCCATAAATTTTCCCTTTTCCATACTGAATTTAATACTATTTTTTACCTAAATCTCTATTATATAATCTGTTATATTTAATGTTTTTGATTTTTTAGCATTGAATTTATTTGATTAATGACAACCTACACATCCAACAGAAGGCACCCATAATTCTCCTGATCCAGTATCAAAAATTACTGAAAATTATTAAGGTGGCTCTCCTATATTGATTAGTCCATAAAATTAAACGTTATAATAATTTGAGATATTGTTTTGGGCTAGATTTTATCTTTTCAATAAGTTTATTGAAATTCCATATACTTAATTAAACAATAACAAAATAATTATCATAATTATTAAATTACATATTTAGTATAACTAATTANTAATATAATTTAAAAATAATGGATCTCCAAAAAGAAAACACTCAAATTTTTTACTATTTTAAATCAGTAAAGAGCAGTATTTATTGTTTGATGATTGATCTGAAATATAACTTGTATATGGGATTTTTAATTGAAATCCATTAGAAATTATGATTATATCAGGTAGATATTGTTTTTAATTCTAGTTTGGAAAGCAAGGACAAATTATTTGTCCTAATTTTTATTCACAAACTTTTAATAAAGAATTTATAACATATTCATAAACTTGTTCTTTTAATAATATAATAGAAGTCCCAGAATCTATAATAGCACACTCCTATTATTCTTTTTAAATTAAAGTTTCATTGAATATTTAAATTTAATCAATCGGTATAGTCTAATTATATAAATTTAAATTACCCAATAAAAATTATCAATTGAATTTATCCAAACTGTGCCATTATTTAACTTCTCTTGTGAAATATTATAATATAATCTGGATTGATATGGAATCTAATTTAATTACATTACAAATATCGAATTTCTAAGAAACCCTTATTAATATGAAATTTCGAATATATTTGGAATTTGTAAATCATTATTCAAACCCATAATTCCATCACTTATCAAATTGTTAAGATTTTCCTCCTTAAAAATTAATATTAATGGTATAAAAGAATGTATGTTTGAATTGGGTAATCCTACAAAATCTTATACTACTTAGCCATAAATTTTCCCTTTTCCATACTGAATTTAATACTATTTTTTACCTAAATCTCTATTATATAATCTGTTATATTTAATGTTTTTGATTTTTTAGCATTGAATTTATTTGATTAATGACAACCTACACATCCAACAGAAGGCACCCATAATTCTCCTGATCCAGTATCAAAAATTACTGAAAATTATTAAGGTGGCTCTCCTATATTGATTAGTCCATAAAATTAAACGTTATAATAATTTGAGATATTGTTTTGGGCTAGATTTTATCTTTTCAATAAGTTTATTGAAATTCCATATACTTAATTAAACAATAACAAAATAATTATCATAATTATTAAATTACATATTTAGTATAACTAATTACAATCTCAAAAAATAATTAATGTTTAAATAACTTAGATATTATCTGCTACATTCATAATATGTTTAAGATTTAAGTTAAGCAAATTCTATTTTTTTTTTGCTTAATTTATTTAAAATATATTTGTGGATATATTTAATTAAAATTATAAAATTTTGATGGGGAAATCTTAAGAATCATGAGTAGAAATAACAATGATGGACATGAGAATGTATATGATTATAAATTGGGATTATAAAGTTAGATTTATCTTTAATAAGTAAATTGATATTTATAATTAGAAGTTGGAAAACAAATACATATGGATAATTTATAATGGCATTAATCTTTACATTTCTATTCTGTTCTCTACTTTGTACACTTCAAGTATTCAAAGGATACGCTGATAAAAAAAGTAAGTTCAAAAATATTAAGATCTTTTGGACTTAAGTTTCTATGGCAATTATTAATTTCAATTCAATCTTCAATAACTATGATATTACTGATGAATTATTTAGGTTGGGTATTTTATCTATGTTCTTGGGATTTGGAATGGGAAACTTTATCTTTTACTTATTTATGCCTGTATCTAGATATCATTTAAAATAAGATCAAGCTTCTTTAAATAATTAAAGTTGAGATTATAAGATAATATAAAAGTAAATTAATATTTTATAATTGATTTTCATCAACAAAATAAACAATTAAAAAAAATAGATTATTTATTCTAAAAATATAATCAATAATAAAAATTTTGAGACATTATATTGTATTTATTTTCTAAATTACATTAAATCATTTTTTTATTATTAAAAAGATTAGGTTTACTATAATGGTTAAATAATTTATGTAGGTTGTGTTTCTTATTATTTTTTAATTCTTTCAGCTCTTACATGAATGTGTTTATTCACTATTGGTAAAGGAGTATCATTAGATTTAATATTCAGCCATAAGTTCTCTTTTTGATGTTAATAAAGAAATTTGAAATCAAATTGTCCTTTGATTAAGATATCAGTGTAAGTAATAACCTTGATGTTCAATTGAACAATACGTATAAGATTAGGTTATTCTGGATTATCTAAATCGAATGGGATATGGTAATGAATCATAGTATAATTTTTATTGGACATATTCTTAAACTTTATATATTATATTTATTATTTGTTGAAAAAAAATTTTATTATTATTTGTAAATAATATAAGTTTTAGGGAAGAATATAAGAATTATATTAATAAGATTAGAATTTGTAATTTGATAGAATCGAATTGAATTAAAATAAGTTAGAAAAGGATTGAAAATAAGAGATACTATTGTTATTATTTAGTAAGATAAAGTATTTCGAACTTGCAGTGTCAATAAAAAAAAAGAATTGATATTCATTTAAATTTTGTAAAGAGTTCTCTTGGTGCAAGTGTTAATTTTGGAGGTTCTTTATAAATGTTAAATTTATCTGCATATTTATTAAATAATTCTTGATCTGGATTACCAAAGCGATTAATAGCATCCTCTTTCATACGACCATATTTTAATTCAATCTTTGTTTTTCTAAGATCGTCTTCATTTTGAAAGAATTCATTTGATGTTATATGAGGCTAGCATAATAGTCAATTTCTTTACTTACTCGATTAATTTTACGTTGGTTAAAATCTTTACTCATTGTTAAGTTTTAAGCAGGAGATCTTTCAAGTAGTTTTTTGTTGTTTATTTTCTTATCTGTTTTAATACGAAAATTGTTATTTTAAAGAAGTGGAGCTTTAAGTGCCTATTATTCAGGTTATTAGTTTTAATTATCCCAATCATCTTCATTAATCTCAAGCACTCTAAAATTACCTCCTCTAAAGTATTATTATAAAGTAATTCCATTAATTCTTTAAGCTTGACTAGACTCCTATCTTTAATGACTTTATGACACTAATCTACGTTTTTCCATTCTTGAGCACTTCGATGTTTCTGGACGCATACCTTATTCTTCCATTTTTTAATTTATATTATTATATTATCATTCATGATATGAACATCTTTTTTTCACTTTTCATACTTTTCTTTAAAATATTCACAATCTTCTTTTCTATTCTAAAATCATCTAATATATTTAACCAAACTCTAAATATCTTTATAAACTATATTGATATATTCACAGTTATTAATTATACTTCCAAATCATAAACAACTAAATAATAACATTCTTTCAAGATACCAATTCTCATTTACATTATTTATAATTTCCATTTTAAATATCAAAACCACCCTCAAAATATTCTTATTATGTTCTTTATATATTTATATCCAACTTATTCTCTTAAAATAGTTATACAATTTTTGTAAATTTAATTTATAATTCAAATTAAAAAAATATTAGGTAATAATATATCTAATATGAAATCACTAATATACAAATAAATTATCAACTTTATTGAAATTTGTTTAAAATTTTTTTTAAATATCTCTTACTTTCTAAATCAAACTCAAAATTTACTTCATTTTCTTTATATTTATTCTCCTATCTCTAATCTCTTAATAATTACTCTTCACTCTATTAATCTAAGTCAATCAGTTAATAATCATATCTTTATATATAATATTCATTCAAACCAATCCTAATAGAAAAACTTAAGAATTTTTCAATTTCTCTCATACTTATTATGATTATGATTTGCCAACAACAATAAATTTAAACTATTTTGTATACTCTCTAAAATTCAGATAATATCTCTTAAAGACAATCCAAGTTTGAAACAATAAATGAGAACTCCTTGAAATTATTGGTAAAATATTTTGAATATAGTAACAATATTTAATAATTAAAATAATATCAATTTTCATCATCACTACTACTAACTAATTATGAAGCTGCTCCTTCATCTTCGTCAGGTACCTATATATAGATTTTGAATACATTCAGATTTCGATTAACTTATTGCAAAATTGGCATTGCTTTATAGACCTCTTTCTGCCAAGCATACCTAAAAATAATATCATTAAATCTACAATTATTAAAAGATTTATTTTTCATCTTCCCCATTCAATTTTGGAAATACAGTTTGACTTAATGGAAAATCTGTCAACTTATATTCCTTTATAATAAAAAAGTCATAATTACATGAATGTCAATATCATAAACTGATTATGCTGCCATCATTTTCTCATACATTCCAAATTTGGTTTTATTCAAAGTAGATTACACTTATTGTAATTTTTCCTCAATTTATTTAGCAATCTAGGTTTCATCTTCTTATTCAATTTTTCTCATTGATGGAATTGTTTTACCCTTTTTATCTGAAATTGGTAAATCTTGCTTTTTAGTAGAATTAAATTATTTTGACTTTTGTTCAGTTTATCCATTGTTTTATATATTTTATGATTGGTGTTCATTTTAATTTGTATGCTAATCACCATTTATCGGAATCTCTTGATTTTATTATGCAAGTTATGCTTGAGAGTTTAATTTGTTATCAGTGTTGAAAGAATGATCTTGTATACCTTACAATGAATCCTAATTATTTTATTGAGAGTGATTGGATTGTGGAGTCTTGAAGGATTTTTAAATACTATAATGACTATTATGTTTAATTCTTTCATCCTAGAAGGGAGTAGGTATGTGCTATTATTATGGGGAGTTTTTATTTTAGGATTAAATCTATTATTAATCATTTTTAATGAACTATTGTTATTAGCTATTTGGTATTTATTACTAAAGACTATTATTTTATTATTGTTATTATAAAGGAGGATCATTAGGTTATGGTGAATATTTTGAATTGATCATTTACATTTGCTATTCAAGTTTTTCTCTTTAGAATTGTAAGAATTATTCTTATTATCTCTATTGAGAGACAACATTTGGAAGTTAAGGTCTTTTAATATTGATTTTAACTTCTTATTACCAAAATTATTAAGGATTATATGAAAAATTAGGATCTCTTTTTGATTGTATAATTTATTCAACTCTTTGCATTTTTGTTCTATCTTCAATTTCTTATTCACTTGCATAATCTAATTCATCTCCATTATCTTGATCATAATTATCTGATTATCTTCTTGAAAGTTGTTTAGGTTTAAACATATCATCAAATTAATTTTTCATTTTTTATCTTCTAAATCTATCTTCACTATCTGAATCAGTTTTTTCATATTCAAAATCTCCTCCTTTTTCTCTTTTAATTCTTTCAATATCTTCATGTAATCTTTGTATTTCTTTTTTTCTTTTTTTTTATTCTTCTCTTTGAGCCTTGGTCATATGTTTTTTGTGAGGTTTTTTTAATTCTTCAGTAATTTCTTATATAGTTTATTTTAACTCTTCTTCATGAATAGGTTCAATTTATTATAGAGTAGGTTACCTTTAATCTCTTTATTGATTTATATTTTGATTAGCCTATTCATTTAATTGTTAAATAACATCGGAATCCTATCTTTAAATAGTAGAGGGTCTTTAGGTTTATGTTCTCATAGATTATTTTTTAGTTAATTTTTTAGAATCTTTTAATTTACCAATTTTTTTAGATTATCTCATATCATCAATTTTATCATCATCTTCATCATAATTATTATCTTTAATTTAATTTTATTATATTTCTGGTAATTATTTATTTGGTGTTTAATGTTTTGGTAGATCTATATCTTATTAAGATTCTCTTTATGAAGATAAAGACTCAGAACTTTATTGAATAGATTAAATAATTTGATCAGCTAATGAATCAAATTATTATTCAATATATTCTCTTTACTTTTTTTCATTTACTTGATAGTAATCATTGAAATCACTCATTTAAACTTAATAATTATCAGGAACTTTGATTTTAAAAGCCTTGGTTTTGATCTTTTTAACAATATCACGGTATTGTTAAGTCATTGTCTACATTCTGCGTTATATAAATGAAAAGAGCAAAATTACTTTAAATCATAATCGATATGTTAATCATTTAAGTACTTTTCCATAAATTTGAGCAATCGATTCTCAATTCTATCATTAGGAATGATTTATTTTGTTAAGGATTTAGTACTATCCATTAAAATAACTTCAATTCCAACATCTGAAACTTAAAATACGTAAATCATAAAAATACATTCTGGTCTATAATTGTACTTATTTAAACATAATGATCTATTAAGCATTTCTTCTTATTATGTATGTAAAATAGTTTATTAAGTTTCATATTCCTTGGAATATCCAGGTGGTTTAATATCTGAGTAATATTTTTAATTATTCTTAGGTTTTGGAATCTTCTTCAAATATGCAGCAACTTTTCTCTGAAAGTCTGTTAAGAGCACTTTAGTTTGCATTTCATTTAAATTACTAGAATTATCACTCATACTAAAACAATAAAGTTTTATATAACTTACAAAAATACAGGAGATTTAGTAAGATTATTATATTCCTTAAGATTATAAATAGAAGTATGATGATAAAAGTTTTTACCATCATCTTTCTTTAAATTATGTAACTAAAATAAATATAAAATAACATACACTCATTAACTTTAATTTGCTAGTCGGTTTTCTAATTCTGCTTGAACTTTATTAATCTAAACTATAATTATTTTAATATTGATATATTCCTACTTGGAGTATTGATCTAAATGATTTAAATTAAGAAGATTCTTTCCATAACGTAGTTGCTAACCTGGTAATGGTAGTATGTCACAAGAGTACATATAAAATTAATTTAATTATTAATTAATTAATTAAATGCTGTTTGTCACAGAGCCAAAATTTATCAATATTTCCCATCCTCGTAAACTCCTCTCTCTCATCTAAGAATATGAACTTAAATTTCGTCCTGACTCTCCTATAACTTAAAAAGCCATTGAAAGTATGGGATAAGATCGTCATCACTTTCGTAGAAAGTTTCATTTCTGATCTGACTCATCTAGGAATAAATTCGAGTTACGTTATGATTTTGAGATCCAAAAGATTCCATATTCTGAAGCTGATTTGTAGAAGACTTATTTAAATTACATGAGAGAATTGATCAGTATATTATATAATACTATTTTAATAGTGGATTATTAGAATCTCTTTGAAAATAGAAAAAGAATTAAAGCTGATTTTGAAAAAAGATAAAAAGAAGAAGATGAACTTAGAGGATAGTAATTTTCATATTTTTAACTTAGTAAGTGGCCTGAATCTACTGTAAATAAAAAATTTATTCATAATTCAATTGAAGTACTTAAACTTGATTAAAAATTATAATTAATTGAAGAAGAAAGAAATAAAGAATAAAAAATTAATGATTGCTTTGCTAAAGAAGCCATCAAATAAGAACTTGATAGAAGACTACATATTTAAGATAATTTAAATAAAGAAGAAAAACGTCTAGCATCAAGAAAATAGATCTTTGATAATCTTAAGAAAAAAGCTGCATCAGAAAATAAAAAAGTTCATGAAAAATTATTAACTCATTAATAAAAAATCAAAAAATAATTAGAAAAAGATTTTCGTGCTTCTAAATCTATACAAGAAAAATTAGATGCTAAGTAATATTATAATTTATCATTTTTTTAGAGAATTATCAGTTCAATAAAAAAGAACTAAATTGATCTCTGAAATTGCTACTCGTAATCGTAAAGTAGATGATAAAATTAATCATTTTAAAGATGATTTTGGTAATCGTTTAATGGATGAACTTATCAAAAAATAATAAGCTTTAGAATTATCTATGAGTAAAAGATAAAAAACTGCTGAATAATTAGAAAAAAATAGATTAGAAAAATAATAATTCTTTGAATAAAAATTAAACAATATCAATCTTAAAATCAAATAAGAAAGAGAAGAAAAAGAATCAGAATTATTTAATAAAGTTGGATAAAAGTTATCTAAATCAGAAAAATTATTAAATGAACATGATAAATTGATTTCGAAAATGTGGCAAGATAAAAAAAAAGAACAATAAACTAGATTCTCAAAATAGAAAGAAAGATATAAATTATCAGAAGGAAAATAATAAGAAAAAATTGAAGAATGGGATGAAAAATTAAAAAGTATCTAAGATAGAATTGAAAAATTCTAAACCAAAAAAAGTGAAGAATGGAAAAATGTAAAAGAATAAAAGATTTAAAATCAAAAAGAACATTTAGAATTTATTACATTTATGAAAAATAAAAAAGAAGTAAATCTATTTCCAATTATCTTTATTTAGGATAAATATCAAAAATAATATCTGGAAAGATAATATATGATCTAAAAGAAACTCAAAAAATTAAAAGATGAATAAGAATATATTCGAACTTATTAGACTACATCTAAGCAAAGATTTGAATAAAATACTTTAACTTAAATTGGAGAATTAGTCAATTTGAAATATTCTTCATCTGTCTAATTACTTAAGTATATACTATTAATTATTTTATTAGTAAATTAAAAGATTTAGAAGATGAAGATGCATTTAATGATATTCAATAGAAATACAAGTAAATTGTCAAAGTTCCAGAAAAAAAACTTGTAGAATGATAAAAGTTATTCATTTCTTTATAACTTAATATTTATTTTCTATTACAATTTAGTACTTTAAAGGAATCTTTAAAAAAAATATTAGTCTGATGAGAGAAACAAATGATAATGAATTCGAATTTTAAAAAAAGTATACTGTATAATAAAGATTAACTCGACATTAAAATATAATGAATATAATTGGTTAATAAAAGGCTTTGATTGTTGTTGAAAAATATAAATAATCTTCAAATTAAACTAACAATTCATCTTAATAATCTTGGAAAATGTAATATTATTAACTTATATATTTAGATTTGCTATTGACAAAACAATAAATTTAATGGTATTTTTACATTGTATTAAAGTAAATGTGGGCATTGCTAAAACAACTAGCATTTTCTTATACTGCAATAATTAACTTTTACCATTGAAAGGTATATTTTTAGATTCATTCAGAGGATTAAACTGTTGGTTCAATACTTGAATCATAAAAAAATAAAGAGGATAATATTTTATATATAAAATACTAAAATTTTGAAACATTTGGATTTGATTAGTATAAAAATGATGAATATAAAGTATTCAATTAATGAATAATAATAGAATCCATTTTAATTAAATATATATATATAAAATTCATGTCAAGGATATGTATAGTCAGTTTTGATAGTATCGAATAGTTTGTCAACTTAGGATTTCAACACATTTGCTAATTGTCTATTGCATTTGGACATCTATTCAATTAATCATGAAGGCAGTACTTATTGAATAGTTTTATTAATCTGTTGACGTTAATTATCTAATTGTATAAATTTGGTTTTATGTTTATTGGATTCACATTTTAGATGATATTTATTCTTATTGGATTAATTCTAATTATTTTCCTTATTCCAATCAATGTTATGAATGTTTGGTTTAATGATTTCATAATGTTATGCAACAGAATTAATGGAATGAATAGTAGTAGCTCTACTACCATCAAGATTATCTTCAAATTAAAGATGTTAAGGTACAATAACATCTCTATGAGACTAGCTAATATTTTTAATGAATTCTTCTGATTTACGATGACAACTTTCATCAGTACGCTATTTCTCAAGTTTCATGACATTTCTTCTAAGTTAATATATCTCTCTTAAGGGACTAATAATATCTGAACTAGATTTTCTTCCTTCTTCAGTAATGGCATGTGTTTGTAATCGTTGTTACATATTAATATATATTTGAAATATTATTGATAAAAGTATATGTTTAATATATATTTAATATAAATATATTTTGTTTGTAAATGTCTAAACTGAAAAGCTAAGTAATAGTAATGATACTTATAATAGACTGTTTCTTTTTAAGCTTTGTGCAGTGATACTTCAATTTAATAATAGAACCATCCATAATTAAGGCAAGAAAACTAATACAATTTGAGTAGCACAGATTGTAAAGGATAGAAATCATTTCTTGGAGATCGTTTTGTTACATAATTAAAGAAGAATTTTTCAATAATACAAGAAAATAAATTAGAGAGTTAAGACATGGCATCTGCATAAATGGCATTGGAAATGCTATATAAATAATAAATACTGGAATAAAAACCTATATTTGAGTCGGAGTCTATGTATTTCATAAATTAAAGTGGATTTTAATATAATCAGGAGAATAATATAAACATCCACAATTCTAAAATATACAATAGGTAGATGAAATAATAATTAAATAACTAGTATTCTAATAGATCATAAGTATTTTACGATTTCTGAAACACTATCTAATTATTATAGTAAATATGTAAGAAAAATACAGAAAGTTCCATTTAAAGTACTTGATGCACCATAACTTTAAGATGATTTTTATTTGAATTTGTTAGATTGGAGTAATCAGAATACATTATCTGTGGCATTAAATTCTTGTGTATATTTATGGTATGTTAACAATAAAATAATTCAAGGAATGCTTAATCTTCTAAAGTTACAAAATTATTGGATCTGCATAATGATTAAGTTACAAGTGTTGCATGGTCTTTAAGAGGACCTCATTTGGCAGTTGGAACAAAGATAGGAGAAGTATAGATTTGGGATGCAGTAAAATTATAAAAGGTGCGAACTTACAAGGGCCATATAGCAAGAGTAGGAACATTATGTTTTTCAGATAATGTATTAAGTAGTGGTTCAAGAGATAAATTGATATTATAAAGAGATTTAAGATTGAAAGGCAATTACTTTTAAAAATAATAAGCACATAAATAAGAGGTTTGTGGATTGAAATGGTCACCTGATGGATAAATGTTAGCTTCAGGAGGGAACGATAATAAACTATATATATGGTCATCACATAAATAAGATAAACCTATATTTAAATTAAGTGAACATTAAGCTGCAGTAAAAGCAATAGCATGGAGTCCTCATTAACATGGATTATTAGCAAGTGGTGGAGGCACTGCAGATAAAATGATAAGATTTTGGAATGCTCTTGAAGGAAAATCATTATTAAAAGAAGACACTGGTAGTCAAGTATGTAATCTTATGTTTAGTAAAATTGAAAATGAACTCATTTCTACACATGGATATAGTCAAAATTAAATTGTACTATGGAAATGTAATAATATGAAAAGAATATCTACATTAGTTGGACATACTTGTAGGTACTATTATATATTTATATTTATAGAGTATTATATTTAGCTATGTCACCTGATGGATCTACTATTGTAACTGGAGCAGGAGATGAAACTTTACGATTTTGGAACATTTATCCTTAAAATAATTAAGATTACAAATAACTATATAGTCCTTTAAATGCTCCAACTATTCGATGATTTTAAGAGCCATTCTACTTAATATATAATTATTTTATAAATTTATTATATTTATTATTATATGACAGATTAAATTCCAGATTATATAAATTATGAAGATGAATATGAAAGATATTTCAAATATCTTGTTCCTGGACCATTCCTTCATGATATCAGTATGACAGAAGCCAAAGAATATTTTTATGTAAATTCTATTTATTTATATTTAGAATGATCTTATTACTCCTACTCTTATTTAATATACACTCTAATACATCAAAAGTTAAATCCGTAGAAAAACTACTACGATTGATACCAACATTTTCGATGATGTTAATCAAATTTCTGCTATTCGTTCAACAACTTCCAAATATTCAATTGGTGTTACTGTTAATTAGGATTTATTTACAGCATTTCTTTGGGATACTAAAAATTAAGAAATTCTTATATTTGGAAAAAATACACTAATTGAAAAAGCATTTAATGATCAAAAAATTATTAGAAATACTTTTTAATCTAAGGATTACATCTCAATCATTGCTTATGTCTTTATTAATGCTATTAATAAAGCTAATTTGTATTTAAAATTCAATTAAAGTTAAAATTAAGCATTAATAAAATGGGCGTTACTCAAATAATATAGATTAAAATAAATGAAAGAAAATGGAGAATCTTTTTCAAGAATACTTGACGATCAATTTCTTTAGGAAGTCAATAAAACTAACTAATAAAAAAATAACTCTAATTCACAACAAATATCTTAAATTGAACCTTCTATTAAATAAGATAATATTTCATAATACAAGAGTAATTCATACAATAAAAATTCCTTCAATCATTCTTCACACAATTACATTTAAGGAAATAGCTAAATTTCTAAATCTCACATTTCCCTACCATCTACTAGTAGAGTTGATACTTTAAAAGATTAAATTTCAATCAAAGATTTTGTACAAGGTATGGAGAATATTAAAAGTTAAATTTTACTCGATATTCCTTCACCTGATGAATTGAAACCTAAAGATTATACTCTCAAACCTATTATTCCTTTCTTCTCTCCTGAAAAAGTGTTTCGTGTCAAAGTTGAAGATTTAGAAGAACTTCTTAAGGAATAAGTAAAAAATACAAAAAATTAAGAACCTAATCCTACTGATTAATTATAATACTTATTAACCTATTATTAACAAAACAATCCAGAACAATATAAAATACTTTTGAATTAATACTCTGATTTCATTCATGAAAGAGTAATTTTAAATATTAAATTAGATGTTTGAAGGTATGGGATTACCTACTTCAAATAAATCATAAACTTATAAAATATAACCTGAATTTCTATAATAATCATAAAAACAATCTATTTAAATCCCAAAACCAAAATCAATGCTCCTTCAAAAATAACCCTAGATGTAGCCATAACTTTATTAAGAGGAAATTATAGTAATCAAATACAATAAAAAAATTAATAAATAAGAATTTGAATTGCTCAAATAAAAATTAGTTCTTTCTTAAAATATCATGGAATTCTATTTTTGTTATTTATAAGAAGAATTCAAAAGAATATTAATTTTTCCAATAGAATTTTATAATGTGCTTAGCCAAAACCCATAAAAGTATTTATTACTACAATTCTTAGAGCATAGACTTTTACAGATCAATTTTAGGGGAAAAACAGAACAATATTCGATTAATTTGACAAAGTCTTTGTTCCAGTTAAAATTAGTCAATATGAATATGTTGGAGTTTATATTGACTTTCATAACAAGACTATGTACTATATAAATACTCTAGAGAGAAGAGATAGTAAAAATAATTATGATAAATATAAATAGGAAAGTAGCCCCCTTATAAGGAATTAGTGGATTAGCCAGTTATGCATTTCATAATGAAATTTATAGAGAATGAATACAATTTAAAAGTGATGAGAGCATTCAATATATTTAATTGGAGTAATATTATAGTATTGATAAAAATCATAAGAATTTGTAGAATTCATGAACGAATATGCATAAAACTTTAACTATAGTGGATTGGTATTGACATATGTGATTGATTCAATATGCAATCATAAAAGTGCAGTGGGTGACAATCAAATACTGAAAGAATTTGCTTAGAAGATATTAGAAGCTATTAGAAGAGCAGGGAGTAAGAAATGAGAATAGTTATATATAATATACTATTGATGTAAAAATAATTATATAATAATTATGAATTCCTAATAATTATTTGAATAGATAGAGATTAAATTGGAAAATTTTGAAAGCCTTCATTAAAATTTTGTAGTAATTCCAATAGATTATTTATGTCCAAAATTGATTGATTATAATTTGATAGGACCATAAACAAATTTATGGGTTTGTTTATTAATTATATGCTCAATAAACTCCTTTCTATTCTGAAAAAGAATTTCATTATTTCACAATATTAGTTAATATGACAAGAATTCCGAATTATGCTTTAGAATTAATCAGAATTTTTAAGATAGGAATTGATATAATCAAATATATGAAAGAATAAATTGTAAAATCTAAAACTTAATATTTAAAGATACTGATTATAGTTATAATAATTTGAAGAAGCATTCCTATTTTAGAGGAATAGATTTTAATAATATATGGTTTCAAGATGTTCCATAACCAATTGTTTATATATAAAAAGAAGATTAAGTAGATATCAGATAATTATGCTTAATAGATAGAAGGAGAGAGAAAAACCAGAGATTAGATGGAATTCAGTAGCTAAATGTAGATAAGGAACATAATGTACTTTTTTTTATCACTTAATTTTCCATCGCCTATGCAAATATCAAGATATAAGGTGGTATCCTTTATTTAAATTATATATATCCATAATTAAATAATAAAATAGTTTTTAATTCCATTTATATTTAGACATTTAGACAATAATTCCATTAAATTAATTTACTTCTTTTAAATTGTTAAGTAAAGATAAATTCATTTTAGGGATCTTAAAGTAAATGTTTAGCAATGAGTTAATACTATGAATAAATGAATCAATTCTAATGATTTTTGAATCTAATTTACAGATGATATTATATAAATTTTTATATGCTAATATTATTCATAATGATGTGTCAATTGTGAATCCAACTGGGAATGGGAATACTCCTTATTTTTTAGGCATTGACCCATCTAATGGTAATTCAGTTGATAAAGTCAAATTAAATCTAATGATATATTAAGATTATTAACTTATCATTCAATTTTCCTTTTCCACTTAATCCCAAAGTCTTTTTTGATACATTGAATCTTGCTTTGGAATCTATTCCATTTAATTTTGTTGCTACTCCAAATTATGTTGTAATATCTCCTTTATTCAAACCATATTCTGTCTCTAATCCAAAAGTTTATTTATTTCTTCTATAAACCAAATCCAAAACAAGTCTTCCTCCTAAAAGATCATTAAATTATTTTGTTTCTGTAGGTTTTGATGTAAGATGTCTAAAAAATACATCATATTTTGGTTATAAATATCCAACAAGTAAATCTAATCTTCTTACTCCAAATCCACCTGTCAATTAAAAATCTTCAGCCGCTACAACAGTCCATTAATTATTCTTCCAAAATGTTCTACTCAATCCATTTACACCACTACTAGATGGATTATATTCCAATCCTAAGAAAAAATCTTATTTTTAAATATACTTAAGTGATTTGTGAGGGCATTCCACTTTGTTACTCCTCCAAATCTGAGAGTAGCATTGTTTATGTTTGAACTACCAAATTTAGCATTAGCAAACAATGAAACATTTCCATTTGTTAATTTAGCCACCTATCCAAAATCTACATGGACTTTTGCTCCATCCTCTCTTGTAGCAAATTATAAAACATAACTAAAATTAAATATTATCAATACTTTTTATAAGACACCTAAAATTTAGTCTCTTATTTAGATTGTAATTTTGTAATGTCCAACCAACCCTTGTAATTGGCTGATCCAGAATTAGAAGTTGTTGCTTTCAATTTTAGATTGAATTTCCCTGTTGAATAGTCATCTTCTAAGACTTTCTTGTATGAATGATCACCAAGACTAGTTAGAGGGGCTGGATTCAAAGATTCTGGAGTGGCCATTTTAAATATCTTTTTATTTTAATTTATTTGATCAATATTTTTTATACACATTTACTTATCCATTATTTAAAATTTGTTTTACACAAAAATAAATCTCATATACAAAAATTCTTTAAATATATATATAATATCATTTAAAAATTTGTCAATCAAAAGATCATATCAATATTTAAACTACATTATAATTTTTTTCAGACTCAATCTCATTGGAAAATTATTAGTTTAAAGTTGATTAGTTAAAGAGGAATAGGTCAAATAAGGTATAAGCCTAAGAACTTTATTCATTTTTAGAAAAATGATACATAGTTTCTTTTGAATAGATTTTGGATAAAGTGATTCGGTAAGAATTGAATCAGACTTTTTATAAATACATGCATTATTCTTTACAAAATTTATTTCATACGAGAGAATAAAAATGATAAAAAGATCTTTAGCATATTAAAAGTAAATTGATAAAACTAATCAATTTAATATTTTAAATTTAATTTCTGAATTTGGAAAATACTAAAAAGTCAAATAAATGGTGTTATATATATGATTGGATTGAATTAGGATGGGATCAATAATTAAAAATGTAGGTAAATAAAAGAGGAATTGGATGATGATCTGGCACTATATATTTTAATTTATATTTAATTGATAATTATAAATAATATGAATATAATTACGTTATTATAAAAATAAGAGAGAACAAAGAGAGATGTACAATAATTGATAGAATGTTTAGGATAGGTAAAGTTTTTAAATGAATTAAAAAATGGTCAAAAATTATACTAGGCAACTTTAAGAGGATTTGCAGAGAAAGCATCACTTATTCGATATGAAAAAGGTAAGTTTTTGATTGATTAATGAAGAATAGGGCACATAATTTGGAGGGATGGGATTAAATAGGAGAAATTATTTATAATATTAAATGGGAGAGTTTAAGAGTACGTGTAGTTAGATGATGAAGAAGTGAATAAAAAGAGAAATAATCTAATAGAAAGATATCCAGAATGCTAGAATTTATTTATGAATAAGCCAGGAAGAAGAATAGTATATGAATACGAAAGTGAAACAAGTGATTTGATAAAAGCTTCAATAAATGATAATATGAGAAGAAGAAGAAGCCTTGTTTTTGAAATTCCTTGTATGATAGATGTACCTCTGATAAGGAGTTCTTCTGTAATGTAGAAGAATGTATAGCCATTTTAAAAGATAACTGTTAATGAAGTATGTTAGATTGTATAATATATACCAGGCTCCATTATCTTATATGATCATATTGAGTAAGGAAGTGAAAGAATGTTTAAGAGATGTGAAGTTGATAAATGATTACCATTTGTAATACTTCATTTAAGAATTCGTTTTGGCTGTTAGATAAGGCAGAATCTTTTAAAATGGGGATTTGTTGAACTCTGATATTTAGAGAAAGAAGTTTGATAATACACTGTTATGTGTAGAGGACACAATAATAATGTAAATTGGATTAGAAGATTATCATAATATTGAGATTCATTTGAATTTAAGGAAATAATAGAAAATTTGGGATATTATTTATAATGGTTTGTTTGGAAAGAGTAAAGTGAATTAAGAAGAAGCTAATCAAATCATGAAAGTATTAATTAATAAATATACAACCAAAAAGTACACTTAATATAATGTGGTATATGTTTAGGGAGAAGTTTAAAAATTAATATATATTGTTAAGGAAGGAGAATTTTAATTATCGTTTGATAATCATACTTAAGAGAATGTTTTATAATCGACAACAGTTATTGCCAAGGTGAGTTAAGGATGTTTGTTAGGTGAAGAGTCTTATACATCTAATAGGCATATCTTTAAATGTATAAGCATATCATCTAAAAATAAAATTATTGGTTTAAGTATTCATGATTTAGAAGCTCTTGGACATAGATTTGTTTGGTTTAGGGATTTATTGAAAAACAAAGAGAGAATCAAGTAATAATGGTTGAAGACAAGAATGAATGAAAATGTGCATTTTAGTTTAAAATTAAATGAAAAATATCAAACTTTTGAAGAAGAAAAAAAATTGATTAGCGAATTCATAATGCCTGATCCCGGAGTTTAAATTACATAGTTCTAAAGATTGTAACCAAGATGTCCTAAAATGATAACACCTTCACCATTAAAACGTCCTAAATTAATTAAAGAAATTAAAACTTAAAAGAATATTAATAATAGTAGAAGTAATAGTAAAGGAAGAAATAAAAAAATTGAGAATTTGAATATATTTGGAAATGAAATCCTATGTGAATTGGGTATAGGAAAAATTGCAACTTAAAATACCAAAATTAGCAGTTTTGATCCAGTTGATCACTCACTTACATATAGAGATACTAGTAGACTTTTACTCAATAAAATTCGAAAAACATCAAATTACAACTCTTCTCAACCAATTTCTCATAGAGAAAATAGTACTACGACTAATGATATTGATGTTGTACCAATGATAATGAATATGAGCAAGAATTAACTCCAATTTCTAAAAACTATGGTAGGTAAATTTAACTATAAGATTTCTCATCCTACTGAATGCTTTAATTAATCAAGTACACCTGTTTTAATCCAAAGTATCTACCCAAAAAAGATTGTCAGAAGAACATGGTAAGGATATGATTGAAACAATATTACAATATTCAATATATTTTAACTTACAGTAATCGTATGTATATTAAATGTATATGCTTTTCTTTTTTAATTCAACCTCATTTATTTATCTAAATGCTTTTCTTTTTTATTTCAAGTTCATCTATTCTCTTTCTTCATTAATTTAATATGCAAGATAAATCTAATACTAATTCAAGTGCCAATGAATCGTAATCGTAAAGGAAGGTAGTAGAAAGCATAGAATAGTAGAAAAGAAGACGAACACGCAAGGCCAGTGATGCTCTTAGAGAATATAAGTGCGAGTGTGGAAAGTCTTACTTGAGTTATCCAGCCTTATACACTCATAACAAATAAAAACACAATGGGGTTTTCAAATGACATAATACTGTAGTAATCTCAAAAGAACCTAGATGAACAAAGACAGGAGTCGACGTTCTCAGAATCTCAGACTTAAAACATCTTCACTACACTTGCTAATGCCTTAGGTAAGTAAGAAGACAAACAACAGACCTCTTTCACTCTCTAGGACATGTATGATCTCGTTATGTGGGAAATATAGTTATAAATGATGGAATCAAATTCTAAAGACTTTCGATTAGACTATTATCATGAATTATTGAAATAAAGTTCTCCTGTTGAAGTCTCTACTCCTCAGCATGCCTTTATCAAGTTCATTCACGAGGTCAAAGAAGTCTTGAGCTTTGAACAAATGAAACTGGTCTTTCTTTTTGTGTATTCCTTCAGGCGATTACTCTTAGAGAATCCAGATTGTACAACAAATAGTTTAGTTGAAAAGGCTAACCAGTTGATTTGTTCTCAATTAGATAAGGTTTTGCAAAGCATATAATTACTTTCAGAGCGACATTACATAGTACATTTAAGTAGAATGGAAAACCTTCGAGAAGCAATGATTTAAATTGTGCTGAGCTTTTGTAATTGGCTTTATGCTCGCCATTTGACTGATGACAAGTTATCTCTAAAGAGTGATTCAGATTGATTTTTTAATATCTATATAAGCAATCATTCTTTGGTTCCTGTCTCTTATTTGGTTAGTGTAATCTTATTTGGATCAAAAGGCCATCTATCTATGAGTTACTAGGGTTTTTCTAAGTAGCTACCGTCACCAAAGTTCAGTTTTAATCCATACAATTTACCCTAAAAAAAATAAAATAGGAAAAATACCCAAAATGATGGACGTCCAATATCATTTACTAAATGTAAGTACAATTTGTTTGGAATCATATGAGTTGCTTATTGTGTGTGTTCTTAAATTCCAGCTGGTTGTAAAACATAAGCTCTTACTTCATTTTAATGATAACCAAAATATACAAAGGTCCATTGATAAGGTTTAATAGGAAATGAATGTTCCAAAGATTCAAATGAAGGATCCTTAATTGTATAGGTAGCAGCAACTATTTCATTAATTTTAGTGAATAGAGCTAATGTTCTATCTCCAATGAATTGGTTATCCTAACCTACTTCTTCATTATTAGAAGTTAATCTTAAAAGTCCTCTGAATTCATTTTCCATTTCAGGTAACAAAGGAGCATTCTAGTACCAGAAGCCAAGACTGTAACTGAGCATTTCTTATTTATCATCAAATTGATATTTAAGTTCATTTTTTTTTTCATCCAAATCATCCCAATTAGTAGTATCTAGCATTTTGACAGGCCAACTAAATCCTTCAGAAGATTATGAACAAATGGGAATTTTACGATGTAATTTATTAACCATTTCTACAATGGTTTCAGCATTATTTAAGAAAGCACCAACACCAAGAAATACTCTGGGATCATAGATCCATCCATGGAATGCTTTATAGCCAAATTCATTTGCAGCTAATACTAATGATGCATAACCAGTAAATACAAAATGAGTAACATCTAATTGTATTTATTCAACATGTTCTCTATCTTTGAAAATAATTAATCCATAAAACTATTTATTTTTATAACTTGCATAAATGTAATTCCATTCTCCTTCTAAATTTTCATAATTAATTTTAGCATCAACAGCATTATTGGGTGCTGATAAATCATAAGTGCTAAATTCATAAAATCCTTTTTTTAAGAATGCAGATAATGCTCTATTTCCTAATTCAGCTTTATCCTAATATTCTGTAGTTTAAGAAAATCGGAAGATAGTATGAGTATCAGATCTTTCAGTTAGAGTATTTGGAAAAGCAATTAACCATCTTGTCCACATACCAACAGCATATTCATCAACAGATTCTACTTCTGTATTAAAAGTTTATTGTAATTTGGATTCGATTTTTTTATCTTCTTTCATAAACCACATGTTCTTCTTGTTTTTAATTATATACCTAAGATTTGGCATAATTTCCTCATTATAAGTATGAGATCCTGATCCAAATAATAATTCCCATTTATGTTATTCTCCTTGGAATTTTCTACTGAATTAATCTTTGCCTAAATAAATGAACATGTTATTAGCAACAAAATGTTAAATATCCTTGAATACAATAGGTACATCTTTTTCAAACAATTTAAGTAATGTAGCAACTTCTCTCTTTTCTTCACTATAACTCATATAGAAATATGTCCAAGCTCTTTTAGAATTACCCATTTCTGCTTTAGCTTCTAAAAATTTAGCTTCATTCCAATCTTTCAATCCTGCAATACTGTAAGTACTAACTTTAACTGTATCACTAGTACAGACTTAAGCATACAAAGTTCGATCTCCTTATATTTTCCTATCAAATAGATGTTCCTCATTATTGTTAGTCAACCTGAATAAAATCTAACATGGTGAAGTAATTTCTCCTTCAATTTTAGTTTATACTTCTGCAATCTTAAACCATCCACTTATAGCATATTCTCCTATTCCTTATAATTATGTAAGTTCTTATGATTTATATTATTCTAATTCTACTTATCCTTTCTTCTATTTTTGTATATATCCTACAGTCAATTCTAATGGTAAAGCATAACTAGATTCTATTGCCTTTAATAATTATTCTTCATCATCTATATAGGCTTCCTTTCCCAAATGAGCTGAAATCTGACTCAATAATCCATGGAATCCAGGAACATTCTTTTCACCTCCTAATATCAACTTTATCCATTCATTTAATGGTCTCTACAATAATTATTCATTCTTTGTCTTTTGAATATGTTCTCCATCATAAACATAATAAATGGCTTCCTATATCGATCTCTTATATCCAGCATAAATATAATGCCATCTACCTTCTAATTAATTGTAAGAAATTGTAGATATTTCATTAGGTGCATCCTCATTTATATCATATGCACCAAACTAAAAGTTATCATGTACTAAATATGAACTTAAAACTCTATCACCTATTACTATCTTCCCATTTTCCAATTCTTCATTTGAAGTCAATCTGAAAATCTACATCTCACTTGGAATATTCCATAATCTTGATGGCCAAGCTTACAAGAATCTAATCCATAATCCTACTGAATATTCCTATATACTCTCAATCTTTTGATTTGGCTCTGCTATTCTTATTGTCACTCCTTACTTTTCTGCATCTTAAGAATCTAGTACCAATTCATCTTCTTCATAATCCCATTACAATTTTGCATTTGGATTAAATAATTTTGGAGATTATAAAAATACCATCAAACCTTTGAAATTATCCTTTCTAAATGCTCCATTACCCAAATTCAATACTACCTATGCCAATCGACTATCATATGAATTTAAAAGTGCATCTTTAGCCAAATAGAACCAATAATTAGATGAAACTGCATGTAAAGCAGATTCTAATCCATGTTACTCATTATCCTCTGTATTTATATAATAAACTATTTATTAACTCTCTTTTGAATATGCAAAATATACAAATGTCCATACTTCCTAATTCTATTTTGAAATCTAAACTCCATATGCATTATTCAATTAAACTGTCTTCTCACCCAAATTATATGTACTAAATTCCAATCCGTCTGTATGACATAATACTAAAGTACGATCACCAATCTTTTGAGCATCTCCAAGACTCTCTTCTCCATTTGATGTCAATCTATACATTAATTAAGTGCTCTTCTAACTCTTAAACCATCTAAACCATAATTAAACCCCATATTCTCTTACTTCTTGGTTGTATTTTGTTAAGTGATGCTTCTCATCTAATTTTCTTACATCATGTATTCCAGATAAAATTTCTATATTCTTACTAACCTATTCTACATCTGGAATCGTATCTTTTGTCTTTATTCTAGATAGCAAATCAGCTTTATTCTCAATAAAAGAACCTGGACCCAAATTAAATCTGACTTTTGTTATTTAACCATTAAAATTAGCATAATATTTACCAGCATGACCAACAGAAAAGTATAGATAGTTTGTTAGTAAAGAATGTAAAACATCCATTTTTAATCCTTCAGTATGATCTTTAAATTAAGTAAAAGCAATTGCATGTCCTTCTTATTAAGTATATCTCTTATAACTGAAATATAAATATTACCATTCTCCTTCAGTCTCTCTTTTGTACTCAAGATCACCTCCCACATTGTTTGCTTTAGTTGTAACATCATATGTTCCAAAAGAGAAAGTCTTTCTACCCATCAAAACTAACAATACTCTATCACCTGGATTATCAAAATCTTTATAATCCTTATTAGTAGTTAATCTAGCAATACCCATCAGTTAAGGTTGTGTATATATTTTTTATTTGTTTCCAAAAAATTAATATCTTAACCAAAATCCATAACCATATTCTGATACTCCATGTAATTAAAGAGTAGAACTTTATTAGAAATGTATCTACATGGGAGGTTCTTCTTCTTAAGTTGCACATTCTAAGATCTTCTCTTCATGATGTGCTTCTTATCCTGCTTATTTTATATGATCAGCTCCACTAATAAATCCAAAATGAATTTTAATATTTTCATCTTCTTCAAAATTACCCTCTCTATAAGCACCAAAACCTACATTGACTACCCATGTTTTCATTTAACCAACAAAATCAACGTAAGATTATCTTTAATGACCAACCATAATACTAAAAACAGCTAAATAAAAGTGAGAAATGTTTTCTTATGTAAATTCAGCATTTGAGAATGCAAATCTTACATAACCATATGTTTTTAATTTTTATTTAGAATATCCATAATATAAGTAAGTCCATTAATCCGCATATTCATGGAATTCTTGTTCAGCAGGAATCAATTTTCCATTATTAGTATAGGTAATAAATCTATAAAGAGAGTCTCCTCTAATAATTTATAAGGTTTCTTCTTTGTTTCCATCTAAATCAAGCAATCTCTTTTAAGCAAGTGTAATCACATGTGATTCTTAACCAGTAACAAGTGATCCACTCCATCTAACCCATCCAGAAATTGAATATTCTTCAGCTCCCTAATATTTATCAAATTCAAATTAGATTGGATCTTCAGCTATTGTAATAGCAGATCCAAATAATTGTAAAGTCTATCTAGTGACAGGATGAATTTAGGCTTTTTCAGGTAATGAATTTTATGTATAGACTTTCAAAGTATCTTTATTTGGTACAAATGCTCCAGGGCCAAAACTGAATGTAACTCTAGCAATTTCACCATTAAATAATGGAGCAGATGTCTTACCTACAATGAATTCAACATATTCAATTAAGAAATCATGATAAACATTAAAAGCTACTTCTTCGATTTCACCATCTACTCCAAATTGTATATAACCTTTAGCAACTCCCTTATCACCATATCTCTTATATCCAAAATAAACATAATTCCATTAACCTTCTAAATTAATATATGGGATATCATCTTTAAGACTAAGAGTTTGGAATTCATATGATTCCTAAGTCAATACACATGCTAAAGTTATATCTTTAAGTGTTTAAGCTCTACCTCCATTAGCTCTCACCCATTTACCATCCACAGATTCAATTATATAACCTTAAGTACCCACTTTAGCTATGTTATGGACTGGAGATCTCTTACTTAAATATTTTGGTAAAGTAGTCAACCATCTAGTCCAAAGTCCAAAAGCATATTCACTTTATCCATTAATTTTCATTCCATTTTCATCATGAATAATTATCTTATCTACTACATTCTCCTATTAATCATATTCTATATATCTATTTTAATCGACTCCCAAATAAGTTACTGGTTTACCTACTTAATATACTCCCATTACACCTTCTCCGTAATTAAAAGTAGTCTAAAAGTCTAATCCTTCTCTATAAGATCCCTCCCCTAAATAGATTCCAACAAATGCTATCTTCCCATTGAATGCAGATATTGTTTCATCTCCTCCTACTGTTACACTTAAATGATTAACTTATTTATGGTAAACACCTTCAAATTTTACTTCTCCAGTTACTTAAGGTTTTATTAAAGCACCATAAGCTCTACTATCCTTATATCCAAAATAGACATATGTCCAAACATATTCAACACTCTCTATACTCTTTAATATATTCACAGATCCTTTTCCTCTATTTCCATATACACTGTATGTATTGAAATATACATTGCTCTTTATACCTCCACCATATATATGATGAACTTCTAAAGCTCTATCACCTAGTACTCCTTTACCTTAAGTACGCACTTTATTTGATCTTAAATTAATTAATTAAAATGCATTTGGTTCATCTACTTTTAGATCATCCACCCATCTAAACCAAAACGCTACTGCATATTCTTCAATTAATAATTATGATTCTTGAGGATCAAAATGAAAATGTTCTCCTTTCTCATTACCACTTATTAAAATTGGTTTAGTTATTATTGTCTCTTCTATCAATATTGGTAATTATTAAGGCATATTACTTAATGTCTTAATAGTTTCTTCCAAACTTTCATCTCCATCAATAAAAGCTGGAGCATCAACATCATAAAAAATGTTAGCAAACTATCCATTCAATCCCAAATAATCCATATGCTTTCCTCCAAATATGAATTTAGCATATGTTGGTGGAACATGCTAAGCATCAATTTCTATTCTATATTTAGATGCTCCTTCTCCATATTTTACTATATATCCAACGACCTTTCTTTATTAAGAACTGTAAGTGTATGCTACAAAATACCATATACTATCCATATTCTCGTTCAACACCACATTGGTATCCTTTGTTTTACTCTATGTTGTAATATCATAAGTAGAAAACACAAATGAATTGTCATATAAAAATAGAGCTAATGTTCTATCACCATAAAATGAAAAATCTTAATATTCTTCATTAGTCGTCATTCTTGATAAGAAATAGTATTGTCCCTCTTCACGTGCATGTTATTTAACTGAATGTTCACTAAACCTCATCCAATATCCATATCCATACTCAGATGCATCCTACAATAGAGCTCTATCCTCAAATTCAAATACTTGTGTAGGGTCTCCATCAAAATCTGAATTGAAATATTTAGTATTTACAGCTATAGCTTTTTTCTCCTATACTCTACCACTACTTGCTCTATGTTTAGGTGGTTAAAATTAAGTTGGTTCATTCACATTAAATTCCTCCTTAACAGATGTTAATTTTATTGACCTATCATGCTCACTTTAATCAACTTGCTTATCTTCATCAACTACATCATCTAATTAATTCTCTAGAGCCAAATAATTAGCTCCCTTGTTATATGATTCTATCACTTCTTCTCCAACTATCTCTTCAACATAATTTTTATTTCCATAACAAACAGCAGGTAATGGTTATTTCTTTGCCATCTTCTTCTCTTACCTAGCTTCCTTTCTTGTCTTTTACCCAGTTTTACGACGAGGTCCTGATCTCTTTACTTTTTTCAAAACCTTCTTTGGTTTCTTTCTAAACTAAGGTACACATATTTCCCCATCTTCCTCTCCATTCTCTTTCTTCTCATCCTATGGTATATCATCCTTTTTATCTACTTTTTTATCTTCAACAACACTTTCCTTATTCTTTTTCTTAGTATCCGAAACAACTTTTGATTTCTTGGAGTTATTTTCTTATTTTTTAACAGTAGTTTTTTTTTCATCAGATTTTTTCTGTTCATTTTTCTTCTTCTTTGTAATCACTTCAGCTTTCTTTCCTTCCTTTTTATTTTTTTATTTTCTTTATGGCTTAACTTTCTTTTTATTATCATCAACTTTATCATCAGTAACAATTTCTTCTAAAGTCTCTTCTGTAATTTCAATAGTAACCTCTTCCTCTGTTATCTTTTCATCATCAGGTACTGGTTCATCCTCAATAATTTCTTCTGTTATTTTCTCATCATCAGGTACTGGTTCATCCTCAATAGTTTCTTCTGTAATTTTCTCATCATCTGGAACAGGTTCATCTTCAGTAGCCTCTTCTGTAATTTTCTCATCATCTGGAACTGGTTCATCTTCAGCAGTTTCTTCAGTAATTTTTTCATCATCTGGAACTGGATCGTCTTCAGTAGTATCTTTACTCTCTTCTTCTGTTATTTTATTATCATCTGGCACTGGATCATCTTATACAACTTCTTCAGTTGTAGTTTCTTCATTAATAACAACCTCTTCTTCTGTATCTTTTTGATCATCTGGTACTGGTTCATCATTTACTTATGGATGTTCTTCTGTTTCTTCCATTCCATCAACATAATCAGGTTCTGGTTAATTTACAGTATCTCCATAATATTCACATTCTTCTCCTACTCCACTTCTTATATATTCAATAGGTCCATAGGTAGAATGAGCATCAACTACTTTACTAGTATCTTTTTAAGACCCATAAATTTCTCTGGTTTTTATGACAGTACTTTTTGTTACTTTTGGATTTTGAGGAAGTTTATAAACTTAAGGCTCTGAATCATCAACTGGAAATTCTGCTTCCATTTCATCTTCATAAACATAAACATAATCATATTAATCATCATTAGCTTATTCTTCAAAATAATAAACTACATCATCTTCATCACTTTCTATTATAAGATCTCTTGGTGATTATTTTTTGAGTTCTTACTCACAAACTTATTTTAAAGCCTTTAATTATGCTATCTTTTATTTTAAATGTGTTGTTAATCTAACATTTCGACATGAATCAACATATCCATAGATTTATCTCTCTGCATTTCTTAGATAATTAATAATCTAATTAGCCAATGCAACTCTCTCTTCTTTAGATCTTTATGCATTTAGACGCTACACATAATCATAAGCATCTTCAATTCTACAAGATGTCCATTCATTTTAAAGAAATACTTTAAATGATGGTTTATTTCTCTCATATTCACGAATCACTGTAGTAGCTTACTTTGCACTCTCAATTATCTTTATCATTTTTGCTAACACATCCAGATCATTTATAACTTATTCTCTATGTTCAATTATATCAATCCATCTTGTAAGTGCTTCGATGGTTCCATCAAAATTCATGTAACAATTAAATCTACTTATTTCTAAGTCTCTTGCTTCATTATAAGTCATCCCTACCCTAATCACACAGATCTCTCCTAAACTTAAGGTAGCTAACAATAGCAGCAATAACAATTTCTTCATGAAAAAATAAATATATAAACCGTTTTTATTATAAATCATTCATGCCATAGAATACTCTCCTAATCTATTCTAAATACTTCTTTTTGTTTTATATTTAATTCTCATTCTATTCGCCTATTAATCTCAATCATTCAACCTACTTAAAATCATTTTCTCCTTCAAATTTCTCTTATTACCTAAACAACCTGGAACCATTCTCATTTAATTTGCTTTAGTATTTTTTAAACACTTTTTAGCTTTCTCTCAACATTCTTTGTTTATTTATTTACATCCTTTCTCAGTAATTTTTATATTGAACTATTTGTATTTCTTTTCTTCTAAAATGCAATCTAAATTTTTATTTCCTCCCTATTTAATACCAAAATTTTCATACTAGGTACTCAATAGGATAATAAATTTATATTACCTTCATCTTATCTTTCCTTATAAGATTATATTGAGCTCTTTGATTAACATCCAATCATTCTAATAGAAAAAAGATTTATTTCAATATAAAGATTAAAATCTCAAATTAAGATATAAATCATTATTTTATCATTAAAAACTTCATCTTCTGTTCATAAAATTTTGATTTAAAATTAATTTAACCTTTTAAACAATATTAACATACTTTCATATTATTCCAAAGGAATTAATTCTATTTATTTTAGCTATTTTTCACTTAAATTTAATATTAAAACATCATACTTAAAAATTTTTTATGATAGACTCAAAATAGATCAAAGTTCTGTTTTTCTTTTAAAAACTGAGTTTTCATAATATTAAATCTTTTACATTCTTGTTAAATTTATTTCATCAAGTTTGATATATATGAGAAATTCAATAATCTCTTAAATTTAAATTTGACGTCTTTTCATACTTTATAAAAATATCTAATATATCTAAAGCTTAACTCACTTTTTTTTTTCTTAATCAAAATTATCTCTCTTTTAAAAAAAGAAAAATAGAAATAACTAAGATTTTTCTTTAACATTTTTATTTATTTTTAATTTTCTGAGAATTGTAATAATTTTGGATTTTTTAAGTAAATCTAAGAAACAAATCTAAGATAAATCCATTTTTAGAATTGCTTTTGTCAATTAATTATTTATCAAATTTTCAATTTATAATTATTCTAAAATTATCATCTTCAAAATTTTAAAATAAAAGTATTGTTATTTGGATAAATTTTTTCTTTGGCAATTTTATTATAGTTATGCAATTCACAAAATATTTAATATATTTTTATTTGTTTCTTATTTGATATAATTTTTATGTGTTCCTCTAATTTTCATTAGATTATTATTAGTAAATTAAATTTTTTAAAAGGCTAATTATGGTTCCCTAAAATTTTTCATATTTATTCTTTAATAAAATATCTTATTCTCATCTGGCTTATAAAAAGTTCTTCTATTCAAAAAATTATATCCATAATTGCTCATTTGATTTATAATTTCTTTTTACTTTTCTTTATAATTATTTAGAATACTAATTTAATTTTCCAGATAAATTTAATCCATCTATTTCTATTTGTTTTATTACTTCAATCTAGGATAGGATTTATAGTATATTAAAATTTTCAATTTTAAGATCACCTTTAGACTTATTGGAAGAACTGATATCAATAAATAATGAACCCTTCCTCCAAGTTTTTTTTTCTTAATGTTATTTATATGATAATTTTAGGTTCTATTATACAACCATTCTTGAGTTATTTCTTCGTAGAAAACATATTTAAACTATGATTTAAAGACTCAATATGGAAATTGAAAATATTGTCTAATTTGTAAAATCACTGATACCCAAATTTATTTATTAATAATCTAATTTAAATAAAATGTTTTATTATTATATATTAAAATGACGAATAAAACAATTTCCTATAAAATTATGAGCATATTTTTATAGATTTAATTTAAAGCCATACAAAGCCTATACTATTAAGCATTAGAAAAATTGATAATCGATTTCATTAATTTAGAAATAAAAAGTTTCATAACTTAGAAATAAGGTGTTATTCTCTAATTTTAAATTTGATAAAAAATAAGTAAGTTTTCATCAAAATAGAGTATTAGCAAATAATTTTCTAAAATTCAGCATGATATTATATTTTTTGAAGAATATTTAGATAAATAGAAGTTATTTAATTTTTTTCTAATCCTAAAAGTTAATTTTTTTGAATAGTTAATAAGTATCTTTATTAAATTATGGAAGAATGCTTTTGAATTGAAAAATTATATCTCTTATAAATTATAGATTTCATTTAAATCAAATTTATAATTTCTGTTTTAGATTATAATATAAATAAATTTAGTTGCTAAAAACCAGCTTTAATCCATTGGAACTTTTTTATTAAGAAAATAGAGATTAATTTAGTTTTTTATTTCATTTCCAAAATTTTACCTAATTAAATTTAATATTAAGATTTTATCAAAATAACATTATTAACAATTTATGCGAAGAAAACAATATGTGAAATAGATTTATTATTAATTTATTAAATACATGAATTAATTTATAATTTTATAATTAGTTATTTATGACCGCTTTTTGTGTATAAAAAGGACTACTCTATTTTATTTTTTAGATTTATAATTTTTCAGAAGTCATGGAATGTTTACGAATTCAATTTAAATAAATACTATTTACTAGAAATTAATTTAAAAATAAAAATTAGATTTAAGAAAAAAAGTATTGAACACAATTAAAAATTTTATTACAAAGAAATTGTATATTAAAACTATTCCCAATTTAAATTTAGAAAATGTGGGCATTAATAAAATAGAAATATTCATAAAGCAGGTGAATATTTAGAAATTAGCATGAAATATAAAACGGCAGATTTTATTTCTATATCATTATGTTTTTTGACTATTTAATATATAAATTATAAAAAGTGAGACTTTTAGGTCAATTTCTATTAATACTTAAAATAAGATGATGACTATGTTGAATAGTTAAGTTAAATTATTAATTTTTCAGATTTAATGGTTTTGCCCAAAAGTTGAGTGAAGATTTTGAATTTTTGTTAATAGAATGAGTCTAGATTCTTCCATTCTTAGTATTTTAATACTTTTGAGATAGACTATTTATAATATTTTAGTATATTATTTGTATGTCATCATATCTGAGAATTAAATACTTGAATATAATTAGAAAATTCATTAATTTATTTTCGTTTTTATAATAGATGATGAAGATGATAATTTTTTATATTCTTTTCTTTGAGCAATTAATTCTGCCATCTAGTAAGATAAATATAAATATTAGAATGCAAATATTTAGTTTTAACAGATCTAACAAATGAAAGTGTTGATAGTTTATGGTCAGACGAAACTTTAAGCAGTCAGTTATAGTTTTGTATTAATGGGCTAGCAGAAAAATAGATAGGCTTAGATACTAGTTCAAATACAATTTATTGGAAGAGAACATTTTCTTTACCAAAAACTAGCAGAGTGTATGTTTATTTCGAGTTTTCTTTATCTGGAAATTGGAATAATGATGAACTATAGATTTTTGCTAATGATTTAAAGGTATACTCTGAAAAATTCAAGCTCGAAGATTCCAATCGTGGTTGTCTTGATAAGTATTGAATTCAATAAATTTTAGATTTAAATATGAATCTTAGGCATATTTTGTAATAAATATGAGATTGGATTCTTTGAAATTTGAAATAAAAATCAGTACTACAAACCTTGGAATTTATATTAAAAATATAGTTCTTTTATAATAGTAATAAAGAGGAAGAAATGAAATTCTGGAATTTATAGATTATATCCCAACATGTAGTTCAGATTATTATTTTTAACAATATTTTTGCAAATGTAAAAACAATTTAGTATATGAATAAAACTCGTGTAGAACACAATGTAGTTAAAATTATTTGTATGATGCAACAGAGAAGGTCTGTTATGCAAAAGATTATTGTACAGCATGTCAAGGAACTTAGACAACATTAGTTTGTAATACAGATCATTATAAATATCATGAATCTAATATCGTTTAATCAAATTGTGTTAAGAGATGTCCAAATAATTATTTTTAAGATGAAAATGCTAAAACTTGTGTAAATATGTAATCATATCTTTAAACTAATCTAAATGGAGGAGGTAATTTGTTAAATTTATAATATTAGAAATTGTTGACCATTATTATTTCTTTACAACAGTTCCAGAGTTTTTACACTTCTACATGTATAATCATTTAATGGTTACTGTAATATCAATTCCAGAAAAAACTAAAGAAAGAGGTTACTTCTATTATGGTGGTAGATTTTATATAGGTTCATTTGATTCATTTTAATCCTAAAAAGTGTAGATCACATAAAATATCCAGAATTCTCAACATAAAATACGTTTTAGAGCAATAGCTCATTTTATTGATTTCAATCCTACCAAGTTTGATATCACTATTAATAATGTAAAATAAACAGCTGCAACTTTAACCATTAATAGTGTAAATAGATTATAATCATCAAAATCAGATTATATAGCTTATTTAGATTACACTTGGGTAAGAACAGAATAATATCCATTAACATAAAATACAATTCTTTTTGAAATAGAGTAGCCCCAATAAGCTGGACAATATGTAGGTATTTTTTATTTAGATGAAATTAATATTTATCAATTTTAATGTTAAGCAGGATGCAACAGTTGTTTTACATATAATTTATGTACTCCATGTCTATTTCCAGCAAACAAAGATCCAGCTAATTGTTAATGTTTAACAGGATATGTTATGAAGGATAATTAGTGTATAGGTATTACATAAATTGAAATTAGTTTGTCCAACATATTGTACTACTTGTGTAACTGCTGGAGTCTGTGTAGATTGTTAAGTAGCAACAAAAAGAATTAATTCTCCAAGTTGTGATCAATGTCCTGTAAATTATTATTTAGATTCTGGAAAAGATAATTGTTAAGATTGTTAAACGGGATGTCATAAATGCACAGTTGGAACTGCTTGCGTTTAATGTGCAAATGGATATTTTAGAAATCAAACTAATTAATGTATAACATAATGTCCAGATGGCTAATTTAATGATTCTAGTGATACAAATGATCCTAAATGTAGTATTTGTGATAGTAACTGTAAAAAATGTCAAACATTATCAACAACATGTACTGCATGTAATGGATTAGCTATTCTTGTATCAGGACATTGTTATTTATGTTCTGAAGGTTAATATTTATCAGGTACTACTTGTGTACCTTGTATAAGTGGTTGTTAAATTTGTTCTACAATTACTTGCACTACCTGTTAGGATTCATTTTATTATAAATCATCAACCAATGAATGTCTCTCTATTTGTGATCCTGGATTTTATGGTAATGCAACTACTAAAACATGTGATTAATGCAACTCTAGTTGTTTAACATGTTTAGCTGGTACAAATAAGGATTGTGTCACATGTCCACCAGGAAAAGTGCTGAATCTCTAAGATATCATAAATGGAGAGTGTTAAACAAACTGTTTAGTTGGATTTTATAAAGTAGATGATGGTTGTGCAAAATGTTGGAAAGGTTGTTCTGCATGTATGGACTCAACTCAAGCTTGTTTAACATGTGCAAGTAAATTCTATAGATTGAGAACTACAGGTTGGTGTTATGAAACATGTCCTAATGGATTTTATAATAATTAAGTAGGCTTTGTTTGTTCTCCTTGTAATACTTAATGTAAGACTTGCAATGGATTTTCAGAGTCTCATTGTTTATCATGCAATGCTCCTTTGGCTTATTATTAAAATTAATGTTTAGTAGAATGTTATGATGGTTATGGCAGTATCAACAATGTCTGTGAATCATGTGCAGCAAATTGTAAGAAATGTTTTGGTACATTACCAAATTAATGTCTTGAATGCATGACTGGATTTTATACATTAAATAATTAATGTTATGTGAAATGTCCAAAATCATTTATTGGTATCAGACCTTAATATGTTTGTAAATGCATTTATGACAATTGTATAAGTTGTACTGCTTCTTAGTTTTTTTTGGATAATTAATGTTATGCCATATGTCCAACTGGTTATTTTGGATATAATGGTTTATGTATAAAATGTGATGTAACTTGTGGAACTTGTTTTGGTGAGGGAATAGAAGAATGTTCTTCTTGTAATAATGGTTTAATATTATTTAAAAATACTTGTATCACAAATTGTTTAGGAAATCTTTATCATGATGTTGTAAATAATGAATGCAAAACTTGTCATATTGAATGTATTGCATGTACAGGACCTAATGATAATAATTGTACAGCATGTCCTAGTGAAAAACTATTAACAATTGAAAATACTTGTAAAGATCAATGCACAGATGGTTCATATCCTGTATTAAATGAAAAAAGATGTTATGCATGTAATCCAACTTGTAAAACTTGTTTTGGTCCCTCTGATGAAAATTGTTTGACATGCAATAATTTATTTTAAGCAAATAAATGTGTTAGTAATTGTTCACCAGGCTTTACAATTAATGCTACAGGTACTAAATGTGATTCTGATTTTCCTCTTGTTATCGCAATTTGCTCATATCAATGCTCAACTTGTGAATTAGCACCTAGATTTTGTAAATTATGCAATGGAAATCGTAGTCCTAATCCACCTAATTGTGATTGTGAAGCTGGTTATTTTGATGATGGAGTAAATGCTATTTGTCCTAAATGTGCAAATAAATGTTTAACTTGTAAAGGATTAGCAAATCTTTGTCTCAAATGCAAAGGTGATAGACTTTTACCTTAATGTAATTGTCCAGATTTTTATTATGATGACGGCGAAGCTGTAAATTGTGTAAAATGTCAAGACAATTGTAAAACATGTGATGCGAATGGATGTACATCATGTTTAGGAGATCGAATTAATGTTCCTAGCTGCGTCTGTCCAGATGGATATTTTGATAACTATGAGACTTATTGTTAATAATGTGCTAAAAAGTGTACAACTTGCAATGGATCTGCAGAATTATGTACTAATTGTTCGGGATTAAGAGTTAATAAACCTATTTGTAATTGTCCAAATGGATACTTTGAAAATTCAGATCTAGAATGTTAACAATGTGATTCAACATGTAAAGATTGTAATTAATATGGATGTTTATCATGTTTTGGTAACAGAATAGGTCCTATCAGTGGAGAATGCAAATGTGATGCAAAGGGTATAAGCAGATTTAGCATAGGATCTGTATATTGTACAGATTGTTCATTAGGTGTACCATATTTTGGTTTAATTGATAAATTTGATGGATTTACAATTGATTTTGGTGGATCAGTGGCATTATATGATTCTTTAACAGGAGATTCAGATAGTTTATGCAGCATAATTTTTGATGAAGACACTTTAGCATTACTTGGAACTGATCCTGTATGCAATGAAGATTTTACTGTAATTTTTGGAGATAATCCAACAATCAAAGTTGGAGATAAAATTTAACTCAAAACAGAATTTCTACTTTAAGGATGTAGTTACAAATTTTTATAAATTCTACCAATGGAACTATCGATCCCATCAACTATAGATTAAACTACACATAAACCGACAGTGAGATTTACGGATACTACTTCTCCTAATGTATGTTAATAATTGAGCATAAAATTTGAAGAACTTTTTTATAATGGAAAATAGAAACTAAAAATAATATCATGGAGTCAAATACTTCCTGTGACTGTGGATCCAATTATAGCTCAGATTTTATCTTCTAATACATTAAATAATAGCGATGTTATAACATTTCCAGATAGATTGTTTTAATCAGGAATTCTATATAAATTTGGTGCAACAATTGAAAGTTTCGCAAAATTGTAGAATATCTAAACATTCTAATTTCAAGCATAATAATAATCAACAATAACTTTTAAATAAGACACTCTAATTAGTTAATATAATAGATTTTCGAACATAAAAATTCCAAATAAGATCTCATATGCAAATTGCATAGAAAAAAATCCTCCAGAATAATCGTTATATTATGAGATAATATTAAAGAACACAAAGTAAAGACTCTAAAATGGAACATTAACAGAGAATTTAATAGATGGATTCGAATATGATGTTGAATTAGATTTTGCACCATTTTATTTTAATTTTACAAATCCTTATATTTTGGTGTTTAATACAAAATTAAGTAGAGCAGATTACACTGCAACTAGTTAAAGCATTTTTGAAATATACATAGTTCCATCATCACCTATTTTAACAATAGCAGGAGGAAATAGAATGTTAGGATTTTCATAGGAATTATTTTTAAATAGTACAATAACAGATAAAGATCTAACAGAAGATGAAGCATCAAAAATTTAATATATTTGTTATTGGAGTTGTGAAGATATTGTTTATGGAACAGCTTGTTAAAATTAAATGAATGAAACTCTCACTTTTGATAATAGTTGTAATTAATTTGTACCTGCAAGAACTTTTGCTCCATATAAAGCTGTTAATTTTTAAGTAGAAATAATTAAAGAAAATGTTAATTATTCAACAAAAGTTTCAATTCAATTTATTGAATTAGATTTACCTGCATTGAGTATTTAAGGAGTTGATCCTTTAGAAGTTCATAATTATTATGACGAATTCATATTTAAGCTTACATATCCAGGAATCAATCCTGATGTTTTAATGTATGCAGGAGCTGTAATTTATGATCAAGTAGTTTAAGCTACTTTTTAATTTTATTATTTAGACTTTAAATTCAAAATTTAAGATTATTTCACAAACTTTTAATTAAGCAAAGGAAATGGTGGACGATTGAGATTATCTGTATATGATCCTAGATTTATTATGCCTTCATTGAACACTTAAATGTTGACAATGAATATACCTCCGTAAAAGTGTGAATTAAAATATGAAAAGAAAGAGAGTTTTGTTGAATTCTTAGATTATCTTGAAGTGAATGTAATTAATTGTGAAGATGATAATACTCCACTTAAATATTCAGTTATGTTATTTCCAAACTAATCTATCTATAAAAATGACGTTGAGAATTCTAAATTCTATCATTATACTCTTGTTATACCTCCATAATAAACTTCTAAATTTAATTTAACTCTTCCTTTTGCAAATCATGAAGATAGTCTAATTGTTGTTAATATTCAAGATTAAATAGGCGGAATTGTTAATATAACAGAACCTATAAATATAAAATAATATGGTAATTTAAGTGAGGCAAATATCAGAGAATACTAAAGGAGATTGCAAAGTTTTGATGAATAATTAATTGGATATAAGATTATAACTGCTAGATTAATCTAATTAACTGGTTTAATTGATTATAAGGAAGAATTGTTGAATGAATTGTTATTTATTGATAAGAATGATTCATTTTTAAGTAATTAAACTGAAACATTATATCATTCATTATCAAATATTTTGAGTTAGAATGTTAGTTTAATACAATTGAATGAAACACTTTTATTAAGTTAAGTAAACTATAGAATAAAATTGGCAGCAGCAGAATTAATGAGATTGACTGAATTATAGAATAAAAATATATTGAGTTCAGAATAAAACATAGAGAAAACAAATTATGTAAAACAATATTACACATATACTAACATTTTATCGTCTTATATAAATTATAGAGTAAATAAAAATCTAACGGCAAGTGAGATATAAACATAACTTGATGCTATGATGAATTATTTATAAGATATAAGTGTGGCTAATGAACCTATGTATAAAGTATCATCGAATTCAGTAAATATGAATTTTGGATTTTTAACATCTAAACTAGCTAATGAAGCTACTGGTTCAACGATAAAAGATAGTAGTAAGAATAGATTGTTGGAGGCAGAAGCAGAAGCTGATACTGGAAATTAAAATTATAACAGTTCAACAAATTTTTATAAATTCTCATAGACTCGTTTTATAGATAATCCATTTTACAGTTAAGAGGGATTTCCAAAAAATAGTAGTGGTTATTAAGCTGTTGATCCTAAGTTAACTATTAAAGATTCAACTACTTAAAGCAATAATATAACATCGAGTATGAAAATGAAATTTCCAAAAGCAAAAGAATTACCTGCAAATACTTCGACAAAATGTATAGCTTAAGTAGATTCTGGTAGTTGGAATGCTGATGTTTGTAAAACAAAGAAAGCTGATGGAGAAACAATTTGTGAATGTGAATCATTAAGTCCTACATCAATAATGGAATCATTAGACTATTTACTTGACAAAGCTTCCCAAGTATATTCATTAGATACATTACTTGCATTTGCATCTTTTCCATTTTATAAAACTATAGTATTTTACTTTTATTTATTTATGACTGGAGGATATGCTTATGTAGTTTATTGGGGTATGAAAGTAGATCATGTTTATTACACTAAACTTGCAGCTGAAAAAGAAGCTAAAGAAGCATTAGAAAAGTAACTTAAGGAAGAAGAAGAAAAATTAAAAGAATAAGAATAAAAATTAGAAGAATTTAAAGATAAGGAACATGATGATGATGCAATACGTATTGAATAAATTGATACTTAAAATGATGCTAATTAAAGCAAAATGATGTTGGATTAATAAGAATTCAATGATGTTAGACACAATTATGAAAGAGGAAATACAATTTTTAATAGAAATAAAGGACCAAAATCAACATAAGTAGATAATATTATAGGAAGAGATTAAGCACCAACTTTAGTTGAAATTAATGAGAAAGCTTAATTATTATAACCTAAAACAAATTCAACAAAAGGAGGTTTGTAAGTAATTAATGATAATACTCATGTTGCTGTAGATGTTTAAAAAAATGGAACCAATTCTTAAATATCTCCTGAAAATTAGGCTGAAAATTAGTAGAATTCACCTCTTAAATAAAATGAGATCGAACAATAAAATCCATAGGAATAAAATGGAACAGAATAAAATCCTAAGGAATAAAATCCTTAAGAAAAAAAAGAATCAGAAGATATGGTTTAATAATCAATCTCTAAAATAAAAGCATATATTGAATATCTTAAATATTTCCATTAGATTTTATCTATTGTATATAAAGATGATGAAGATAAACCAAGAGGACTTCGAGCATCTATTGTTTATACTAGTATAATGGGTAGTTTAGCTGTACTTTTTGTATTTGGACAACCTAATAATATTAGTCTTACTCTAACACTTGCTTTACTTACTGCTCCTGTCAATAAAATATATTAAGTTGCATTAGAAAAGATGTTAGTACATAAAAAGAAATCTGTTAGAATTGGAGGTGCTGTTGTTATGATTGTCACCGCTGCATTCATATCTTATACTATGCTTGCTGGATTAGTATTAAGTGGTTCTGTTGAAACAGCCAATTAATGGAGTTATATTTTTATTGGAACATTCAGTGCAGATAATATTCTGTACTCTCCTATGTAATTAGTACTTTAATATGGTGTTCATATGGGTTTAATTAATATGCCAATCATTTAAAAATTGTTGAATAAATTACTAGATTAAAAAGCTAAAGATTTTCTTAAAAGAATATTTACCAGAAGAAGATGAAATAATATCTATATTCAATATTTTTGTATCATTATATTTAATAATCATTCTTCTTTATTTTATTTTATATTTATTATAGTTAATGTAAGTTTTCTTTCATTCTCTCCTGTTTCTTTTTTAAATAATTGAGAATTCATTTATTGAATCAATTATCTTTACTTCTATTCTTCAGCTTATTTTTTTATTACCTATTTTGTATTAGGCTGTATTTGCAATTTTTTATTCAACATTATATCACATTATTTATTTAAATATTTATAGATTTTTCTAATAATAGAGTAATTTTCTAATAAAATCCAGATCTTTCTGGGTTTTATTATCTCAACCAGTTTTATTTCTGCCAATTATTTAGAGAAATTTTTCATATGTTCTTAATATTCGTAAGGTAATTCATCTGCTCCAAACATTCTATATCTTAATAATCAATTTGAGTGTATTGATAATTATTTGCAAAATTCTCATAAATTATATATCCTTCAAGGAAATAATCGTTTAGATTTATAGAGTAAATAAAACAAATTTAAAATAAATCCCAGTAATTTTAAACAATGCAAAAGCCATAAGTTTGGTTAAATTATGAATTTTAGAAGCAATTTCTAAATTAGATAGTTTATTTTTTTTTGGACTGCTATCAATAATTTCTATTTTATTAGAGTAAATAACATTTGAACTAAATATTAATTTATGTCTGCCTTAATAGATAGATTTGAGATGGTTCTATATTAATTAATTTAAAGAAATAAATGTATTTCTTTCTTTTTTCATCTAATTTCTTAAGGATGTAAATCAATTGTTTTTATTTATATTGAGTCTAGATAATCAATTCTTAAGTGATCATTTTTTTTAGATATTGTAGATAGGTAATTATTCTTCTCTATCAAACGATACAATAGAGTTTTAATTAATTGAGTATATTATTTATTTGTAATTTATTTGAGTGAATTTTTATGAGAACCAAATATAAAATGAGTCTTGTATTTGTTTCTCTGAGTATATTCTGGTTTTTATCCTGAATCTTGAATTTAATGAGTCATTCTATATTGAATGATGAAATCGACCATCAAGTAAATTTTTGTATAGCTTTTTGTTTGATAAAAAATAAGGTGGTATTATCAAATTGTCCGTCATTTAAATAATTATGAAATAATTTATAAGATATAGATTTAGTTCAATCCTAGGTGTAGTAGGTGCTGGATAAATGGGAACAGGAATTGCCATAGTTGGTAGTGCTGTTGCNTATCATTATATTTAATAATCATTCTTCTTTATTTTATTTTATATTTATTATAGTTAATGTAAGTTTTCTTTCATTCTCTCCTGTTTCTTTTTTAAATAATTGAGAATTCATTTATTGAATCAATTATCTTTACTTCTATTCTTCAGCTTATTTTTTTATTACCTATTTTGTATTAGGCTGTATTTGCAATTTTTTATTCAACATTATATCACATTATTTATTTAAATATTTATAGATTTTTCTAATAATAGAGTAATTTTCTAATAAAATCCAGATCTTTCTGGGTTTTATTATCTCAACCAGTTTTATTTCTGCCAATTATTTAGAGAAATTTTTCATATGTTCTTAATATTCGTAAGGTAATTCATCTGCTCCAAACATTCTATATCTTAATAATCAATTTGAGTGTATTGATAATTATTTGCAAAATTCTCATAAATTATATATCCTTCAAGGAAATAATCGTTTAGATTTATAGAGTAAATAAAACAAATTTAAAATAAATCCCAGTAATTTTAAACAATGCAAAAGCCATAAGTTTGGTTAAATTATGAATTTTAGAAGCAATTTCTAAATTAGATAGTTTATTTTTTTTTGGACTGCTATCAATAATTTCTATTTTATTAGAGTAAATAACATTTGAACTAAATATTAATTTATGTCTGCCTTAATAGATAGATTTGAGATGGTTCTATATTAATTAATTTAAAGAAATAAATGTATTTCTTTCTTTTTTCATCTAATTTCTTAAGGATGTAAATCAATTGTTTTTATTTATATTGAGTCTAGATAATCAATTCTTAAGTGATCATTTTTTTTAGATATTGTAGATAGGTAATTATTCTTCTCTATCAAACGATACAATAGAGTTTTAATTAATTGAGTATATTATTTATTTGTAATTTATTTGAGTGAATTTTTATGAGAACCAAATATAAAATGAGTCTTGTATTTGTTTCTCTGAGTATATTCTGGTTTTTATCCTGAATCTTGAATTTAATGAGTCATTCTATATTGAATGATGAAATCGACCATCAAGTAAATTTTTGTATAGCTTTTTGTTTGATAAAAAATAAGGTGGTATTATCAAATTGTCCGTCATTTAAATAATTATGAAATAATTTATAAGATATAGATTTAGTTCAATCCTAGGTGTAGTAGGTGCTGGATAAATGGGAACAGGAATTGCCATAGTTGGTAGTGCTGTTGCAGGATTAAAAGTTAGAGTTGTTGATGTAAATGAATAAAGGTGTAATATAATATTTATTATTGATTCTAGATTATAAGCTAGTCATACATTTATAGATAAGTGGTGTGACAAAGAAATTCAAAAAAATAGAATGACTAATCAACTTAAAACTGATGTATTATCAAGATTTTCTTTTCATTTGAAAATTTCTGATTTATCATGTTGTGATTTCGTTGTTGAAGCTGCTCCTGAGAAATTCGAAATGAAAGCTGAAATATTTAAATAACTAGTTTAAGTGACTAATCCTGAAACCATTTTGGCTAGCAACACTTCCTCTATTTCCATTACTAAATTAGCTGGATTAACTAATAGAGCTGATCGTATTATTGGAATGCATTTTATGAATCCTGTCCCTGTTATGAAATTGATTGAAGTTATCAAAGGAATATAAACATCCCAAGAAACATTAGATAAAACATTAGAGTATTATAATTAATCATATTATAGATTGGCAAATAAAATGAAAAAAGAAATTGTTATTGCATAAGATATTCCAGGCTTTATTGCAAATAGAATTCTTATGCCATACATAAATGAAGCCATCTAAACCTTATATGAAGGTATTGGAACTGTTGAAGGAATTGATAAAGCTATGAAATTAGGTACTAATGTTCCCATGGGTATAATTTCTATATCAATCTTTAGGACCACTAACTTTAGCTGATTTTATAGGATTAGATACATGTCTTGAAATTATGAAAGTACTTCATTAAGATCTTGGTGATTCTAAATATAGACCTTGTCCATTATTAGTCAATTATGTTAATGCAGGTTGGTTGGGTAAAAAATCTGGTAGAGGATTCTATAAATATTGAGTTAATAATCAATTTTAATATATTTATCAAAATATCTCTAACAATTTAATAATCAAGACAATTTCATTATATTTATTCCACTAAAACCTATACCAATTTACTATCTCTTCTCTTGCTTTTAATTATTAATCATAATTTTAAGAAAAAGTATCATTAACACAATTATATTCTCATTTTTTTATCTCATTAATTTTTAGGTAATTTTTTTATGAAAATAATTATTTTTTACTCTAAAATTAATTTATAAATTAGAATTTAATAACATCTAATTAATAATCAGAAGAATTATTAAATCTAAGTAAATATCTACTTACACTTGCTCTAGATATCTTTTATTACACTAACATTATTATATATTAAAAGCAATTTACATTAATTTTACAGAATATATAAATAAAGATTTTAGATCTCTTTCTTATTGTTGATAAAGACAAAGAAATAATTTTACTCATAGAACTCAAGATTATTTAGTTTTGTTTGATTTTTTGATACAACACTAGCAATTACTCTAAAAAAGATGAAAAAAATAAAATGATTAACTGTTTAATAAGATCAAATTCTAGTTCTAATGATGATTATATCCAATAAATAATGGAATAAAAAAATTAATGATAATCTGATTGAAAATGAAGACAATCATTAGTTTTATGGAATAAAAAAAGAAAATTGAAATACAAATATATGATATATATTTTAATTTCAGTTATATCACATTCCCTTATCATTAAAAATATTGAATAAATGTAATTAAGTTATAGATTAACTTAAAAATAATGGTGTGAATGAATATTATGTTTGAACATATTTATACATAATTAATTTAATAAAATAAATGTCATATTTTTATAACAGATAATAAGATTAAATATTACCTTTACCTCATGGTTACTAATAAAATCAAAATGCTGAAGCCCATACAAAATAGACAAATCATTAATACTTTTTATCTTAAGCAATAAATCAATCACCAAAAGAAAATGATCTTAAAATCGAGATCACACCCATTAATAATTAAAATGATAATCTAACTCCATAAAGAAATCGAATCTTTGGAGAAGTACCTGAAATTAAAGTAAGATAAGAATTAACCTAAACAAGATATAAATCTACACCAGGTAAAAGGCATAGAATTTTTGAATAAGATAATAGCGTTGATTTTACTCATCAAAAAATTGAATATTAATAAATGACAAGAATCTCAAATAATAATAATAACATCAAATCTTTACTTTTATAAGAAGTTGAAACTATTAAATAAAAATCTTAGCTCTATTCAGGATCATACTCATAATTACTCTAAAAAGTATCAATTAATTAAATTGTAGTTAATCTAAATTTTTGAGAACAAGTCAGATCATTAAAACTTATAATTAGATCCTGAATTTAATAATATTATATTTAAAATACGTACATTGCAAGGTCTTGATATAAGTGATAAAATTTAAATTGAGAAAATAATCAAATAGATTGTTAATCAAGATGAAAAATTATTATTTTAAGGTTTGGTTAAAGAATTGATATAAAATGAATGGATGTATTGGATAGAGCCCTTATATTATGATATAAAGCAATAATAAATACCAAAATAACAATGGAAATCATTCATTGAAAAACAAAAACAAATTTATCATGTATGATAATTTTACTATATTTAATATCAATTTTACCAATTGAATTCTAAAATTATTTTTATACCTAACATTACTAAATTATAAAATTATATATTACAAAATTAATATAAGAATCTTTTGTGAGAGGTAGATATAATTTAAAAGAATTATTAATTAAATATTAATTTTTAAATCTTATTAATATGAGAAATAACTTGATTCATCTAAAGAGATAGAGAAGATAAAGAAAGGTTACATGAGAGAACGAGAAGTTCATAAAGATAGAGTTAATTGAATAATTAAAAGAATTAAATAATCAAATAACATAGAATTACAGAAAAAGAATGGAAAAGTTTTTTATTAATATGTTAGAGAATCTTATTGTTAGTTCTGAATATAAATAGTCTAATATTTATCCTAAAAAGAATTTGGGTTTATTCGTAAAGGATAAGAAAATTTAATCTCTACTTTAGATAAATCAATTCAAGAAATATATAAGGATATTTATGGAATAGATTTAGATTGAGGTAATTTTTTCTCAAGTGAATTTATCATAATTTTTATTATCTCTTCGATTTGAAGATTTTATATCATTTCTTCAACATAAATATATTTATTCTTAACTATTTAATAATCAATTTTAATTAAAAAGAAGAGAGGGAGATTATTTAAAAAAATGAATTAGTTTTATATCATAAAAAAAGATATTATTTTAAGAATTTAGAAATAAATAATTATATTGAATTATTATCTAAGATGAATCGTAAAGTATTAATGATAGTTGGAGATTATGGAGAAGACTTAGAAATATATTTCCCTTTCTAAGCTTTAAATCTATTAGGTTTTTAGGTTGATGCAGTTTGTCCTGAGAGAAAGAAATAAGATAAGGTGAAGACTGCAGTTCATGATTTTAGAGATGGAGATTAAACATATATGGAATCAAGAGGGCATGACTTTATGTTAAATGCAGAATTTCCTGTGGATCCAAATTAATATGTCGGATTGGTATTACCAGGAGGAAGAGCTCCTGAATATTTGAGATTACATGAGGAAGTATTAGCAATAGTGGAACATTTTCTTAAAGAAAAGAAACCTATAGTAGCTGTTTGTCATGGAATTTAATTGCTTACAGCAGTTGGGGGAATAGAAGGCAAAAAATTAACTTGTTATCCAGCTTGTAAATTTGAAGTCACAAAATAAGGAGGTATTTATGAGAAGGTTGGATATGATGAAGTAGTTGTTGATGGTAATATTGTAACATCTCCAGCATGGCCAGGACATGCTAATGCTTTTAGAGAATTTGTAAAACTCTTAGGAGTAACTATAACACATAAATGAGGATTTAAATTCATTTAATCATAAATAAATTCATTCTTCTTATTATATAAGTATTAATCAAATAGGTTAATTATTAATTTATTGTCTTATATCATTTTTGAAATTCTACTATTATATTCTTATATATATTTTATTATATACTTATTTTATTATGTAAAGATTGTTAGTAGCACTCGTTTTTCTATGATATTAAAAAATTAGATTGATAATATTCTATACTGATTTAAATACAATAATTAGATTCAATAACAAAATATTAATTATATAAATAATTTTAATAATTTGTTAAAAATTAACATATATTCAAATTATATCATTCTTTTTTAAAGAATTTATAGACTTATTATGTCAAAGTTAAAGCACCTTAAATTTATTCATCATCAGTTAAATCTACACTCTAATAAATAGCATTACCTGTTTAATTATGTTCACTTTAATCACAAAAGTCATTGAAGAAACTGATAGTTTTTGTTTTTTTAGATGCAACTGGAGTAGTATTTTCTGACCAATCATAAAAATAGTTTTCTATCATTTTATTTTCTGCTAAGATTTTCCTAAACAAACAAATCAAAAAATCATGATCTGGTTTATTATTATTTTGATTCCATTTGATGTAACCGAAGAATTCAGCAAATGGAAGTTTGCTCATACTTCTAGAACTTAGATATTATTCTTTATGTCTCATAACTTCTTCATTATATATCATAGTATTTGGATATTTCATCCATGGGAGATGACCTAAATAATCAATTATATTTTACCTTTAAAGAGAAATACAAGAGTATATGCAAGCATTTCAACATCATCAATAAATCTGTAAGGTAATCTTTAATGTACTTAAATAGGATCATAGAGAAGAGTGCCTTCTACTTCTTAAGAATACATAAATTAATCAGGTTCCTTTGCAATCCCAAAATCAATCAAATATATTTATGAATCTAAAAAGTAATTAAAAAATAAAAAACCTTCAAGTGATTTTATCATAAGATTTGTCGGTTTAATATCTCTATGTACAATATTCATACTGTGTACTTCCTTTAATATTTCTAGTACTTTAATTGCAATACAACAAATGGTTTTTAAAGATAGTTGTTTGATCTTTGCTCTTATAGTATGTAGATCTGAATTTAAATATTCCATACTCAAATATGTAGATCTACCTGATTCACCTAAAGCATAAACTTTTGGAATTCCTGGTATGTGTTACAACTTTTTCATAATTTTATACTCATTAGATAAGTCAAACTTAGAAAATTTTATAGCTATTTCTTATTTAGTTGTATGATCCAAACCCTTAAAAATAGTACCACATCCTCCTTTGAATAACTTCTCATGTACAATTAAACCTGGAAGATCATCAATTGAAGATATGGTTTTGTGAGTGATGACAATCTAGGAATGTCGAGTCATATTAATTAATATTACAAAAATAATTTAAACTCTTTAATTTAGGTCTCTATCCAAAAACGAATGTTAAGAATGCCCTTAATTTATGCTTTATCATAATTATACTTCTTATTATTTATTTCATATTAATTTTAATATACCTTAAAAACTCTATGTTGACTTGAATTCTTTAATATGAAAATGTAATTAAATTATCCTTCAAACAAGTTTATTTTTAAATCATTGCAAGCTTTTTTCAATTCTATCTAATTCAATAAAATCTGTCTAACTTTTATATTTGAATTGAGTTTTTAAGAACATATAATTGATCAAAACGATTGTTTAAATAATTAAGATATTAATTTATTTTTGCTTCTTGTTAGCCATGAAATCTTAGAATTCTAAAAAACCAAATTTGAAGATAACTTTAGATAAGAAATCAGTTGCACAATTATCAAAATTAGATAAACCCCCTAGCTCTAATTGTTCTTAAAAGACCATGTCCTCTATTGATAAGGTATATTAATAAGACTAATTTATTTGATTTAGACTACTGCTTCTTCATAGCAAATAAGTTTCAAATTTAAAGAAAGTTTCTTAACTCCCAATCCTTCATTCATTTCGGAGGGAGAAAATAAATGTATTTTCGCTTTATTTATAATATCAGCTAATGAACCTCATTAATCTAAATTCATCTAATTTCTGATTCAAGAGAATTTACAACTTATAAAACAAAATTCAGACAAAGACAAATTAATTACAAAACTTTTAACAACAAAGAAGAAGCCTCTAGTTTTATAAAGAGCAAATACATCCAATACAGAAAGAAATATGAATAAATATACATCAATAGAGCAGTAACATTTATAATTAGAAGATCTAGAAAAAAGAATGAATTTAAGAAACCCACTTCCCCTTTAGGATTCACTTTTTGTAATACCGAATAAGTGAATGATGTCAGAACCATTTAAAGTCAACCAATGACAACTTCTACTAATAGACTACCTAAAGAATTTTAAATTGTACCAAAACAAAGAAAGTTTTTCATTTGAACAAACTTTGAAAAAATTATTTGTTATTTGATTTTAATGTTTAGTTTCAATAATTAAATTGTTTTATTTTTTCTTATGAACTTTTTTTTAGAATATTTATAACTTGATATTCCAAATAAATTTATTATAGTACACAGCAGAAGTAAATATATAACTTAAGTCATGGTTGTTAACTGACAGTAGCATAATCATGTTAATTAGATTAAATTAAGATCCATTATAAAAATATTCTTCTTCATCAAAATCTGAATTCTATACTTAAATCTCTATCATAATTTTATTTACATTATTTTGCGTTTACCACACTTCCAATCTTTATTCTCTAGATATGCTTTCTTTTTTCATTCTATTCAACTTATTATCATTAAAAATATACACATTTTTAATACTTTTTTAAAGTTTTTTTCAAATTATTGAGTATTTTCGATTTTACTCCTTCCTCTATTATATCAAGTATAATCCTAAAATATCTTTAGATTATTTAACATATTACTCTCAATATTTTTATATTATATTATAATTTCATATTTTTTATACTTATTTTCTTATTTGGAAGTATTCTAACTTTAGTATTAAAATGATCATACTTCAATTAAGTAAAATCAAATAAAAATGTTATAATGTAATATAATAATTAAATGTTTAAAATACTCACTTGAAATCATTATAAACAAATAAGAAGTTCCTTCATTTAGAATCTTCTAGACTTTTGTAAACCTACAGATATTTTCTAATATGAGATAGTGAATTATTGCATACATAAATAACCTATTAATTGATTTGAGATTTACATGGTATTTGTTTATTAATAAATGAATAAAGGAACTAAGATTAGATAGATAGCTTTGAGACATATTGGAACAGAAATTTACAGTAAGATAATTGAAATCTCCAAATTTGACTGTATGGGTAGGTTATTCAGCAGAATAGGAGAATTCAACAATTGTATGAAGATTGGCATCCTTAAGCAAATTAAAATCAGTTTGATCATTTGGAACATAACCGTAACATATGTGATTATCTAATTAATAGATTGACCTTTTAATTTTATCAAGTCCTGTACAAAAGGCTATGATGTAGTTTTTAAATGAAAAGTCTAGATTGTAATTTTGAGAGAGTGAGGAGTCAAGATATAAAGTTTATAGTGAGCTTGAATAATGTTTTTGAGATTTGACATGGAATTGATAATGAATTACTTAATCTTCAATGACATTAGCAAGTATTTTTCTATAAGATATATCTTATTTTTATTTCATACTAACTCGCTTAGTGTTCTTACCAAGATCTAGAGTTGATCCAGAAATAAACACAGGATATTGTTTAGGATTATAACACTGAAAAATGATTTTTCTATGATTCCATACATCAGTAATACCTATAAAGATTGAAATTAAAATTACGTGTGGGTTCCTTAGTTCTCATAAGACGATTGGGGCCAAATTCCCATTCAATATCTGTTGGTTAATTAAATTAGGAGATTAAGTATTTGTATTAGAAATCATGAACAGGGATGTCAAGAGTCCAAAGATGCCCCTATTTAAGAGATTTATGTTACTTGATTCCATTACATTCTTTTGGCTAGTTGTAAAGACCAATTACCAAAGAAGTCAGAATCACCTGAGATNTATCAAGTATAATCCTAAAATATCTTTAGATTATTTAACATATTACTCTCAATATTTTTATATTATATTATAATTTCATATTTTTTATACTTATTTTCTTATTTGGAAGTATTCTAACTTTAGTATTAAAATGATCATACTTCAATTAAGTAAAATCAAATAAAAATGTTATAATGTAATATAATAATTAAATGTTTAAAATACTCACTTGAAATCATTATAAACAAATAAGAAGTTCCTTCATTTAGAATCTTCTAGACTTTTGTAAACCTACAGATATTTTCTAATATGAGATAGTGAATTATTGCATACATAAATAACCTATTAATTGATTTGAGATTTACATGGTATTTGTTTATTAATAAATGAATAAAGGAACTAAGATTAGATAGATAGCTTTGAGACATATTGGAACAGAAATTTACAGTAAGATAATTGAAATCTCCAAATTTGACTGTATGGGTAGGTTATTCAGCAGAATAGGAGAATTCAACAATTGTATGAAGATTGGCATCCTTAAGCAAATTAAAATCAGTTTGATCATTTGGAACATAACCGTAACATATGTGATTATCTAATTAATAGATTGACCTTTTAATTTTATCAAGTCCTGTACAAAAGGCTATGATGTAGTTTTTAAATGAAAAGTCTAGATTGTAATTTTGAGAGAGTGAGGAGTCAAGATATAAAGTTTATAGTGAGCTTGAATAATGTTTTTGAGATTTGACATGGAATTGATAATGAATTACTTAATCTTCAATGACATTAGCAAGTATTTTTCTATAAGATATATCTTATTTTTATTTCATACTAACTCGCTTAGTGTTCTTACCAAGATCTAGAGTTGATCCAGAAATAAACACAGGATATTGTTTAGGATTATAACACTGAAAAATGATTTTTCTATGATTCCATACATCAGTAATACCTATAAAGATTGAAATTAAAATTACGTGTGGGTTCCTTAGTTCTCATAAGACGATTGGGGCCAAATTCCCATTCAATATCTGTTGGTTAATTAAATTAGGAGATTAAGTATTTGTATTAGAAATCATGAACAGGGATGTCAAGAGTCCAAAGATGCCCCTATTTAAGAGATTTATGTTACTTGATTCCATTACATTCTTTTGGCTAGTTGTAAAGACCAATTACCAAAGAAGTCAGAATCACCTGAGATATAAATAGCATCACCAAATCGAAGTTGATACTGTATTTAGAAGGATAACATGTATATTTAAAATATTTAATGATAATCAATTAAGATTATTGTCATCTCTTTTGTAATCATGAATAATAGTTCATATTCTCAATGTTACGTATCTAAATGAAATATTATATTTATTATTTTTTAATTCTTTTGTTTAACCTAATTACAATTATACCCTCTATAATAATTAAAATATATGGATATTATAATACCTCAATCTCCTGGATAAATGGTTTACATGTACATTTCAGCCAGAAAATTACTAAACATAGGTAATTCCGCTATTCAAGACTTCAGATGCCGAGTGTATTCAAAAGAAGACTTCATAGGAGAAACTGAAGTTTGTAAATCAACCGTTGATCCTGACTTCAAATAACCAATTCCTATATTGTATAAGTTCAATAAAAGATAAAAACTTGTTTTCTAAATTATTGATGCAGATCAAGAATTATCAAGTCAGTTAGTAAATCAAAATGCTTCTACTTCTATTGTTGGTATTTGTAAACAACCTTTGTCAAAATTAATGGGAGCCAAAAATTCTATAAGCTAATTGAATTTGATGAGAGGAGATTAAGTTGTAGGAAACATTATTATCCATGTCTCTAGAAAAGGACCTTAAATTATAGGATAAAAACAATAAGGACCAAAAGTAACAGAAATTAAATGGCGTTGGGGAGGTATTTAAAATCACTTATTATTATCTAGGTGTCAAATTACTTGATCTTGACTTTTTTAGTAAATCTGATCCATATGCTAAGTTTTATAGAGTTAATGGTCAGTAAACAGAGTTAATTCATAAGACTGAAGTCATCAAAAATAATTTAAATCCAAATTGGATGAGTTGGGAAACAACAGAGAATGAAATCTGTAAATTCTCTAGAAATCTCTTTGTTGAAGTTAAGGATTATGATAGATTAGGATCAGAGTTGGTATTGTTAAATAATATATTTAGATTGGACATGTCACTATTAATTATGACGAAATCAAAATAAACAAAAGAACTGAGTTTCCGTTATTGACAACTAAAGGAAAAAATGCTGGCACATTGAAATTATTAGAATTAGTTATAATAGAACCATAAGAGGAGTAAGTGGAAATAGTTTAAGAGGAACCAAAAGAAATAACATTTTTAGATTATTTGATGGGAGGATGGCAAATGTCATTATAAATTGGTATTTAAATAAATTAAAAATAATAGGAATTGATTTCACTTTCTCAAATTAACCAATAACTAAACCTGATTCTTTACATAAAGTGGATCCTCACAAATTAAATTACTATTAATAAGCAATAAAGGAAATTGGAGGAGGAATCATAGCATACGATTATGATAAATAAGTACCAGTATATGGATTTGGAGGAACACCAAAATTACCGAATTATACTAAGAATACAATGGATGATTGTTTTCCTTTGAATGGAAATAAAGATAATCCATTTTGTAATGATGTATAAGGGATTTTACAAGCTTATACAGAAGCAGTTCCAAAAATAGTATTTTCAGGTCCAACCTTTATTGCAAATGTCTTAAAAAAAGCATTGGAATTTGGATAAGAGAATGCTAAAAATAATACATATACAGTATCCATGATTTTAACAGATGGTTAGATAGAAGATTAGTATTTTATTAAATAAATTTGATAGAGATGATGCAATAAAAGTACTCCTTGAATGCCAATCATTACCTATGTCTATAATAATAATAGGAGTAGGAGATGAGAACTTCAAATACATGAAATAATTTGATGATCCAAAGTTCCTTAAGAAACACTCTAAAAATGATGTTAATATTAGAGATATAATTCAATTTGTGTCATTCTAGGATTACAAAAATGACATAGAATAAATGAGTTCAGCTGTTCTAGATTAATTACCTAGATAGTTTATGGATTATATGCACATTAATAACATCTAACCAATTAAGATGCAATCTGTTCATCTTAGTTAGGCCTATAAATGAATGGATATAGATCTATATTAATCATTAAAATTAAATGATATTTATTATATTATGAATGATTATCAAACTTGGATGTTTGAGAAGTCCACACTCTTAACAAGTGCCAAAGCTTACTCGCTAACTCCTAATTCTCTAGTGAATTCATTCTTGGTATTGGTATAGATATCAGTTTCTTCAGCATAGGTATTATTTTCTAATTCTAATTCAGCTGTATATTATTTTTAATCAGCAGCTCTTTAATCTCTGAACTCACATAATTAATCAATCTTTTCTAAAATAATATATATTATATTAATAATACCATTAGTAGCAGTCAAATCTACTGTGGCTCTATCAATTTATCTTTAGAATTCACGATGTTCATCATCTAATTATTCAAGATAAGCTTCATGATCAATAACATCTTAAGCTTCTTAAGCTGTTAAATCATTTATTTAATCAACTACAGCATTTCTAAATTCATTAAGAGCATCAACAATATTTTTTAATACATCTTAATTTGAAAAGTTTTGGTTTGATGCTAAACTTATCAATGCTTTAATCATTGGTGCCATTCTTGATCTAGATCTAATTTTATTTTCAATATTTTTGAGAGTATTTTAGAATCTTCTAATTTATAATAATGATGGATTAGTTAATGAAGCAAGAAGAGCTAATGCATCATCAACTGAAGCTGTAGCATCATTTAATTCAGCAACTTATGCTTCAAATGCTTCATGTTCTTATTCTCTAACTAAGATTGCTTCATCATAATTCTTTCTATTATCTTCTTAATATCCAAGGACTGAGTCTATTTTCTCTTGAATCTAAGCTCTTCTTGGATATAATAAATTATCCAAAGTATCTTATGTATTATTTACATCTATTATATTTAATACATATTTTTACCAATTACAGCATCTTAGATATCTTATTCTAATGAAACAACTAAGGAATTATGTTCATTTGTTCTAATTCTAAAATTCATTTCTAATTCATCTAATTCCTCTTCTAAATCATTTATTAACTCTTCAATAGCATCAACCAATTCTTAAACTGGTCCTCCAGCCATTGCATGTAACTCTACCAAATGAAGTAAAGCTTTTCCATAATTACTCTTAGCCAAATCAGCTTAAACTTTTGCCATGTTTCTCTCTTAAACTCTAGCTGTGAAAGCCACAGCAATAAGGGCAATCAGAATAATAGATTTCATTTATTTTATTATCAATCACATAAAAACGAATTTTTCACATTATCAACCTTTAATTAATCCAATCAAAACCGTCACTTTCTAACACTCCACCTATCTAAACATTCTCATCTCTTCTTTTCATCTCTATTCACCACTCTATATTATTAAAATAATCATATTTTTGCATATTTTTTAAAAACCAAAAACGAATTTTTCACATTCTCTCAAAATTTCTAATTACTTGTTTTCAAAAACATTTATAAGATATTAAATAATGCCCACTATTAATTCTAGTTATTTTCTTACTTTTGAAAGATATTATTTTATTTAATTATTTATTTCAACTCAAATTATATAACAAACTGAAGTTTTATCTAAGTATTTTCTTGTAATTTTTACTCAATACTTATTTATTCAGACACATCTTTTATATCATCCTTTGAATCAGAAAATCTAAATCTGAATTCTTTCTACTTGTTTTCTTCTATCAAAAATATTATATATTCTTCAAATAATGCATAAACACTGTTTTCTCAAGAATTTATATATATTCTGAATTAAATCGTATTTATTTATTATATTTTTATGTATCCTTGTTATATTTTTCAACTTAATTTTATAAGATACTCTTTAAAGGATACCAATTGCTCATTTTTCATTTCTTAGCTCAAAAAATAATAATCAAACTTAGCAATTGTTCTGATGCATGTTTTAATAATAAAATTTAATAGGGATTGAGAGGATATTTTAAATAATAAAATTAAATTTTTATTATAAAGCCACAAAAGTTTAACAAAAAAATATCTCTTAGAGAAACTTAAATTAAAAAAGGAATAAAAAATGAAATCTACAATATTGTGTATATGATACTATTTTATTGATTATAAAATATTATATAATTGTTGTCTATAAATAAATACATCNTGTTCATTTGTTCTAATTCTAAAATTCATTTCTAATTCATCTAATTCCTCTTCTAAATCATTTATTAACTCTTCAATAGCATCAACCAATTCTTAAACTGGTCCTCCAGCCATTGCATGTAACTCTACCAAATGAAGTAAAGCTTTTCCATAATTACTCTTAGCCAAATCAGCTTAAACTTTTGCCATGTTTCTCTCTTAAACTCTAGCTGTGAAAGCCACAGCAATAAGGGCAATCAGAATAATAGATTTCATTTATTTTATTATCAATCACATAAAAACGAATTTTTCACATTATCAACCTTTAATTAATCCAATCAAAACCGTCACTTTCTAACACTCCACCTATCTAAACATTCTCATCTCTTCTTTTCATCTCTATTCACCACTCTATATTATTAAAATAATCATATTTTTGCATATTTTTTAAAAACCAAAAACGAATTTTTCACATTCTCTCAAAATTTCTAATTACTTGTTTTCAAAAACATTTATAAGATATTAAATAATGCCCACTATTAATTCTAGTTATTTTCTTACTTTTGAAAGATATTATTTTATTTAATTATTTATTTCAACTCAAATTATATAACAAACTGAAGTTTTATCTAAGTATTTTCTTGTAATTTTTACTCAATACTTATTTATTCAGACACATCTTTTATATCATCCTTTGAATCAGAAAATCTAAATCTGAATTCTTTCTACTTGTTTTCTTCTATCAAAAATATTATATATTCTTCAAATAATGCATAAACACTGTTTTCTCAAGAATTTATATATATTCTGAATTAAATCGTATTTATTTATTATATTTTTATGTATCCTTGTTATATTTTTCAACTTAATTTTATAAGATACTCTTTAAAGGATACCAATTGCTCATTTTTCATTTCTTAGCTCAAAAAATAATAATCAAACTTAGCAATTGTTCTGATGCATGTTTTAATAATAAAATTTAATAGGGATTGAGAGGATATTTTAAATAATAAAATTAAATTTTTATTATAAAGCCACAAAAGTTTAACAAAAAAATATCTCTTAGAGAAACTTAAATTAAAAAAGGAATAAAAAATGAAATCTACAATATTGTGTATATGATACTATTTTATTGATTATAAAATATTATATATAATTAAAATTAATAAAAATTAATACTATAATTGTTGTCTATAAATAAATACATCACAATAATTCAACCTATACATTTTTAAAAATAACAATGAAGTGAAATTATAGGAGCTCTTGATTAAGTGACATTTTATCCTAAATATTTTAAGAAATTGAATTACATTTAAATTGTTATCAACCTAGAAATATATCTTTTTTGGATGCTTTTTGGCATATCTTACCTTAATAATGGATCCACTAATAATTTTAAGTTTAGATTATTAAGATTCTCTCTCTTAAAGAAGAGTTCCTGTTTGTGTAAGTAGAAAACAGCCTTCATAATCATTAAGATTATGATTAACATTTACAATCCCAATATTGAATATATAATCATCATCTTTAAGTATTTTTATTTCTACTTTCATGATAACTTTTTTTTATTCTTCTGTTCCTTTAAAATAAGCATAACATTTTTGATCTTATGCTCTGGCAGTTCTGTAATTGTTTGTAAATATAATTTCTTTGCTTGATTTATTGGCATCAAATTAATCATTTCTTTATTGAATTTATATTAATGGAATTATTTATTAAGATTCTTTCAGAATATTAGCTGGTTCCCGAAACTTTAATTATTTTTCAAACAAACCTAAAAAATCAGTTTTTTATAATTGACAAAAATTTAAGATTTAACTTTGCAATTTATCTAGCTATTGTTAAGTTTTTTAACTAATATCGAATTTTTTGATATAATTATCTAAATAAATATTCAGAATTTCTTTTTCTAAATCATCCTATTTGATTATAGCTTATGTGATTTCAATAAACATTTGACGAGGATGTATTTGTTCATAAAATTCATCAAGTTTTCTAGAATTGTTAATTGTACAAAATTTACTATTTAAAGGTGTTTTAAAAATTTTACAGAGATTCTTTTAATGATGTGATAAGAGTTTGAATACTATTAATGATGGTTAAATAATGCTATTCATTTTATAAACGAGAGAGATTACTATCATCAAAAAAAGTAATAATCATTTCTCTAAACTTATCAAACTTAATTAATTTATGTTGCTATTATGAATGTAATAATAATTCAGGAACAGTATCAATAACTCTTCCTAAATTACAATTAGGATCTGGGCATACCCATCTTATTATTTTTTGATTGTTCATTTTATTTTAATGATTATTTTAATAATTTGAAATGAACATAATTAGTTCCTTTTTTTTCATCTATATTTAAGAAGAATGAGAAAAGAGAATGATTTTTTAATTAATAAATAATATTTATATTAAAAATGTCTATCGATACAATTTTTATACTTTCTTAAAATGGGTATTCATAAATGTATTAAATAGTGAAATTTTGGCTCATAGAATATTTAAAGGTCTAAAACGTAAAGACACTTTACCTGAATTTTATACTTAATTTGTGTAATCTTTCAGAGGAACTAATTCTGTAAATTTGTGATGTTGAGTATTGTTTAGGATAAGGAATATCCAATAATAAGAATAAAGGATGCCCTTTACCCATTTGTCACATTTTCAGATATAATTATAGGAGCAATAGTAACAGAGGAGATTCCTGTATTACAATTATTTGCAACACTTTTTTTGATACTAGATATTCTAAAGTCTTCATTTCCTAATGAATCATCAGAGAAACTTAAGTAGAATATACATTCAATTGGTATAATGCTTGATTCTGTATTTGATTATGGTTATCCATAAATTACATAAAAGCACGTGCTTGAAAGTATTATTAAACCAGGAGGAATTATTGAAAAAATTGAAGAAAAAATTATAGGTAGACAGAATGTGTAAAAAGAAACTGTTTCTTTATTAGAGAAATATATTGATGGTTAAGCAGATGTTCGTGATTATAGTTAATATAGAATTGTTGAAATTAAGGGAGAAGAAGAAGTTTATTTTGATGTTATTGAATTCTTAGATTGTGTATTTGATAAAAATGGTAGAATTTTAATTGAAGAAATCAATGGAGAAATCAAAGTTGATTGTAATCTATCAGGAATACCTGAATTATTTGTATTTCTCAATCAAACTAATCAATTTAATGATTATACAGTTCATGAATGTTTACTACAAAAAATTGATACTTATGAAAGGGAACGTGTTTTAGCATTTGTTCCACCTTCAGGAACTACTACAATATTTTATTATAATATAAAAGGTATTTCAATTAGACCTCCCTTTGAATTTATTCCAAAACTTTAATTCTCCAACAATCAAGTTAAAATTGAATTTCTTCTAAAAAATAGACCCGTCAGAGGTCAATCTTATGTAGTTGATGAATTTCATGCAAAATTAACTGTACCCACAGGTGTAACTCTTGGAGAAACAGAAATGGCACAAGGAACACTTTAACAATTAGAAAATGTAACTTTTTTATATACATCGATTTATTTAGGCTATTCTTTGGAGAATTGGAAAACTTGAAATTGACTCTTCTATTAGATTGGCTGTAACCTTTACAGCTTCTGAAGATTAATTTAATATCATTTAATAAGGAAATTTCTTGGTTCAATTAAAATTTATTGTTAATACCTTCAGTCCTTCATAAACCAAAATTGATAAAGTTGAAGTAAGAAATGGAGCTAAAGTATTAACCAAAAAAGCTAGAAATATAGCGAAGAGTGGCTATTACGAAATTAGATTAAATTGATTAATAATTAAATTTGTATATTAAAATGATAAATTACCGTCGTCCATTTAAGCATCTTAATTTAAGTATCGATAGTTCTAAATGTCATAAAAATCTCAATAAATTATCTTATACTCTACAACCTTCTTCAAAAGTAACTGATGAAGAACTTTTGCTCTTTGAAAATACCTAATTGCAGTTTTAGATTCATTAAAAGGATGCAGAATTAAAAAAGTTCAAAATTAAATAAAAGTAATGTTAAGTAAATTAAATCTACTAATATATTAGCCTATTATAGGTTTAAATATTGATTCTACTTAACAAAAGTAAAATTTGAAAAAACTATAACTCTATATTAAATAACTCGAATTAGAATTATTGTAAAAAGGCAAAATAATAGAAGATATGAAAAAGTAGGTAAGTCTGACCAAATTCCAAGAACTTTCAGTAACTATAATATTTATTATAGATTGAAGCTCTCACATTCTAAACTGAATGTTCAAGACTCTAAAAAAAGTTATCAAAAATAACTGCACTACTTAATTAATAGAACAATGGAGTCAACTTATTTGAACTTTATGAAAATTTACAAATGTAAAATTAAAATCTTTAGAATGCTCATAAAATATAATTATCTGTTATAGATTAATTATAGAATTAATAATAAAACTATTAATAATAAATTGAGTAATTAGAACTACAAAATAAACATTTGTAAATGGACCATAAAAAAGTATTGCAACTTTTAAATTAAAAAATAACCCCTAAGCAACATAAATTATTTAACAAAACCTAATTTTTACAAGAAAATGAAGAAGTAGCCAAATTATAATTGAAAATTACTTAACTATAAAATCAATTGATTAAATATTAGGATAAAAAAGAGAAATACATACAAGAGTTACTATCAATTATAATGGATAAAGAAGATTAAATTTAAGCCTACGAAGCATAAAAAACAATAATTAAAGAAGTCTCTAAACCTGATTAATAGATATTGGATAAAAAATATTAATAGTGTGTTTAAAACATTAAATCTTAATATTCTGTTTTAGAAGATGTATCTTGGGATTTTCCTCCTTAACTTAATATAATAAAATAAGTTAGTACAAGGAAAAAATAAAATCCATAAGAATCATAAAAATCTTAATTTTTAGAATTTTTTAATTAAAATGAAGAAATATAAAGCTCAAAAAATTTAGATTAATATGATATGGTTCAAAATGAATATAAAACTTAGAGATTACCAAAAGTTAACTATTTTGAAGTTGAATTTATTGGAAAGAAACTTAAATGCTAATTACAAATAAAAATGATACCGCTAAGCTATATTGACTAGATATTTGATTAGGATGATGAGGGATCCTAAGAAATGACTGTTGAAGAGTTAATTATTATACTAAGTGCAGAGCCTTTTATGATAGGTGAAGAAAAAGATAGAATTCTTGTAGCTAGATATCTAATAGAAGACAATAATTAAGATTACTTTTATTATAATTTATTGAATACAAATTCTGTATCTATTATTAAAAGTGTTTTTAAGTAACTCTTAGGGAAATATTAACTATTTTCAAAATCGGAAAAATAAAATCTTGAGTANGAATTATTGTAAAAAGGCAAAATAATAGAAGATATGAAAAAGTAGGTAAGTCTGACCAAATTCCAAGAACTTTCAGTAACTATAATATTTATTATAGATTGAAGCTCTCACATTCTAAACTGAATGTTCAAGACTCTAAAAAAAGTTATCAAAAATAACTGCACTACTTAATTAATAGAACAATGGAGTCAACTTATTTGAACTTTATGAAAATTTACAAATGTAAAATTAAAATCTTTAGAATGCTCATAAAATATAATTATCTGTTATAGATTAATTATAGAATTAATAATAAAACTATTAATAATAAATTGAGTAATTAGAACTACAAAATAAACATTTGTAAATGGACCATAAAAAAGTATTGCAACTTTTAAATTAAAAAATAACCCCTAAGCAACATAAATTATTTAACAAAACCTAATTTTTACAAGAAAATGAAGAAGTAGCCAAATTATAATTGAAAATTACTTAACTATAAAATCAATTGATTAAATATTAGGATAAAAAAGAGAAATACATACAAGAGTTACTATCAATTATAATGGATAAAGAAGATTAAATTTAAGCCTACGAAGCATAAAAAACAATAATTAAAGAAGTCTCTAAACCTGATTAATAGATATTGGATAAAAAATATTAATAGTGTGTTTAAAACATTAAATCTTAATATTCTGTTTTAGAAGATGTATCTTGGGATTTTCCTCCTTAACTTAATATAATAAAATAAGTTAGTACAAGGAAAAAATAAAATCCATAAGAATCATAAAAATCTTAATTTTTAGAATTTTTTAATTAAAATGAAGAAATATAAAGCTCAAAAAATTTAGATTAATATGATATGGTTCAAAATGAATATAAAACTTAGAGATTACCAAAAGTTAACTATTTTGAAGTTGAATTTATTGGAAAGAAACTTAAATGCTAATTACAAATAAAAATGATACCGCTAAGCTATATTGACTAGATATTTGATTAGGATGATGAGGGATCCTAAGAAATGACTGTTGAAGAGTTAATTATTATACTAAGTGCAGAGCCTTTTATGATAGGTGAAGAAAAAGATAGAATTCTTGTAGCTAGATATCTAATAGAAGACAATAATTAAGATTACTTTTATTATAATTTATTGAATACAAATTCTGTATCTATTATTAAAAGTGTTTTTAAGTAACTCTTAGGGAAATATTAACTATTTTCAAAATCGGAAAAATAAAATCTTGAGTAGCAACTTTAAAGTATATTTTTGAAAATTCAATATAAATTTTGTGATTTTCTTTAATAGCAAAAACGAAAAAACAATAATTAAAAAGTGAATGAGTGTAGTGTAATCGATTTTGAAACAGCTCTGAAATCATGTGAAATTACCTTGCTTCCAAGACAAATCGAATATATTTATTTTATAAATTTTTCTTTATGTTCATAATTAGAAACTATACGTGACTCTGAGTTGCTAGATTATTTTTGTAATATTTAATCATAATGATTGACGTAATTTAAATATTAGAATATCATAAATAATATTTAAAAATATTGATTCTATTATCTATAATTGTATTAAAAAATTATAATTTGATGAAAATTGGAGAGTAAGAAAAAAAATAAAAAAGTAACCTCAATAAATTATTCATAAATTTTGAAAAAAAATTGGAATTAATTCTAATTTTTTTGAAAACTATTAAAGTTATGGATATAGATTATTAAATTTAGAGATATCGCTTAGATTTGAATATTATATGTTTATAAATATCACTAGAAATAAATTTAAAAAAGAACAAATCAAAATTTTGTAATTAAGTCTTCCATGTAGAGTATTTGATCAAATAATTACCAATATCCAATATTTTCTTCTCCTAGTATCGAGATTAATTATTTTCTTAAATCTTAATTAGAATATTCTAAATAGAAATAAAAGTAATACATTTTGCTCTTATTAATGCTAAAGCTTTATCAGTAAGATTAGATCCTAATCCTCCATCACATCGATATTTTAATAATTTGATTCTATCCTAAATCCTTTAAGTGATTTGATTTGATTATTTGATATCATCTTAAAGTAATTCATCTTCTTCATAATGATCTTCGTCTTCCACTTCTTCATTTTCATTTTCAAATTCTTCTTCAACTTAAGGAATAGCTTATCCAGCTAAATAATATAATAATAATTAAAATACTCTCTAATGCTTTTATTTGCATATTTTAAACTTATCTATTTTAATGTAGAGATTAATTGATTTGAGATATCTTAATTGTCTTTTCTTTAAGTTTAGTTTTAATCATATCTAATTTTTAATCAAAATCTCCATCTTCTTCATACTCTTCTTCATTTTCTATCTCTTAAATAGCATTGACTCCTTCACTATCATCTGAAATATCATATTCTTCTTAAACTTTTAACGAACTATCTTTTGATTGTCTATATTAAGCTTGTTTCCTTTCTTAAGCAATTTTTCTATTCTAAAAACTTTCTCTATAGATTTATTGTCTTTCCTTTTAATCTTATATAATCTTTTCTTCATCTCTCTTTTATTTTTTTTAAATCATTTTATCTTTAGCACTTAAAGTACTATCATCGCGTAATCTATCTTTTTCAAGAGATAAACTTCTTTCTTTTTATTTTTATCTTAAATCATTTGGTCTTTTATCCCTCTCTAAAGAAACTTTTCTTTAATTTATTCTTTGATAATCAGTTTTTGTTTATATTTCAGTTTTATGTATAGAATCAGATTTTCCTGGAAAATTTTCAGGTGTTCCTTTTGTATAAAGATTGGATTCAATATTATTTTTGGTAAGAATTTTTTATTATTGCTTTTATTCAAGTCTTTTAATTTCTTCTTCAAGTTTCTTTTTTTCAAATTATTCTTTTTTAAGTTATTTTAATTTTAAAGCCTCTTATTCTTAAATTAAAATAAGCATTCTTTATTCTGCTTTTCCTCCCTTTTCTAATTCATTTTTTATATCAGAAATAGTTGTTCCTTAAGACATCTATTTTTAATAATGTTGAATAAGAGGGAGTACTCCAATTTATTCTGCTTATTCATATAAAGTATCTACGTACATATCATCTAAATCAGTTGATTATGTTTCTTAATTATTATAAAATTATACCACTAAAGACTTCTAACATATAATATATAATTCTTAATTTAATGATTGGTTTATGAACAATCTCTTAAATAGTTGGTCTTGCTTTTGGATTTATGTTTAACATTTTATTTATTAAATCTCTCAATCCTTTAGAGTAAGATTAACTAATTGATGGATATGATCCTTTTAAAATCTTAAGAGCCAAACCATTCATAGATTATGCATCAAAAGCATGTCTTAAATTACACATTTCATAAAGACAACAACCTAAAGCCCATACATCACTCTTATATGAATAGGGTTTATATTTAAATAATTCTGGACTCATATAATATGGTGTTCCTATACAAGTATTAGCCAAGTCTCTTGTTGAATCCAAAACTTTAGCTATCCCAAAATCTCCTAATCGAACTCTTCCATTTTTCAAAAAGACGTTCTATGTCTTCAAATCACGATGTAGAATTTTCTATTCATGTAAGTAACACAAAGCTAATGTCATTTATGCAAACCAATCTAAAATTTGAGATTCTGGAAAACTTTTTTTATTTCTAATCTTTTAATAAATATCTCCCCCTTCACAATGAATCATTACTATATTTAAATATTACTCCCTATCCAAATAAGAATCCTTATATGCTACAATGTTTGGATGTCTCAATTTCTGTAACAGCCTAACCTCATTTTCTGTATTTTCCCTATCTTTTTAAGTCATATCTCTAATTTTAATTCTCTTTATCACATAAAGGCGATCTTCTCTCTTGTTTCTAGCTAAGTATACTTGTCCAAAAGAACCAGAACCAATTGATTTAACTATTTCATAAAATTCCATAAATTTAAATAATCCTCATTATTATTATTAACTACACTATAAGCACACTACAAAATCACCATTTTATAAATATGCATATTTGCTACAAATTAAACAGCAATTGTTTCCACAGACACTACATTCATTAATGCACTTCTAACACACCAATTTATTACACTCTGAACAATATATATCATCTGAAACTATTTTAATCTAGCAGTTCGAACATTTCTTTATAATCTGATCTTCGAAAATTGATTCCTAATCATTCACTCTCTTGTAAACTAATATTAAATATAAATTATTCTTTCTACATATGTTATTGAAATTTTATTTCGAAGCGCTCTTTTTACTATTGCTACTAAGGGGATCTAATTTTTACTACATACTATTTAATTCTTAAGCCAATTGATAATTGATTTCACAAAACACTTCTTATCTAACATTTGTGTAGAATGGACTTGTTCGAAACATAATTTAATTATTGATATCAAATTTTACAGCCAATCATTTTTGCATTAATCTTTATAAACTCTTATAATCTTATTCTTCAAATTTTGCAATTACGCTTCATAATCATTCTCAAACCCATATCTCTATTTAATCGATATATCTTTATACACATTCCCTTTTCTTTTTATTTATCACTATGCTAGATTATGAATACAATCTTAAGCTACTTCAGATACAATCCCATTTAACTTTTATTAAAAGCATTAATATTAAATGCTCTTGCTTGTCTCTATCATTTAAATATTTATAACAATATATCTATTTCAATTGTATAACAATTAATCTATTGCATCTATATAAGGATTTATTATTGTATACTAATAATTCAACAATAGGGAACAATAAATAAGCTTTAAATTAACAACTTGATTGATTTTTTCAAGATCCAATTAATTGTATGCTATTAAATTTATATACTAAATTTATTAAATAATTCAAGATATGCAAAAATTATTATTTATAATTTTTACATTTTAATTTTATTTGAATCACATTAAACTAAGAAATTTTTTTAATGCAAATTAATTACTAATATAATTTTAATTCAATTGATGAATTCACAATTAACATATATCTGAATTAACTTCATTTTGTGAAATTTTTCTTGATTTCATAGTCTTTTTTGTTTTATGCTCTCAATTTAAGATAGTATATACAAATGGAAAAAGTAGCAAATATAAATTAGTTTATTTTAAAACCCTTATTTAAGCATTCTTGGTAAAAAATATTAAAAATTTAAAAATTATAAATTTCTATTATATTATTTATACTAAATACTCTGTTAATTTCTTGATAGAATATTTTTGGTTAAAAAGTAATTCAATCAATCTCATAAACAAGGTAATTTTGCTTTATTTCTATTTAATGTCTTAAAATAAATTATTAATTTGATATTAGTCCTTCTAAACACTCTAAGATTGTCAAAGTTATAAAAATGGTAATTACCTCTTTTCTCTGATAAGAAAAGATTTTTAGATATACAATTTTTACAATTGATCCATTTTCTTTATGAAAAGGCTCATCTATGCATATATTCCAACTATTGGGCAATAAGAATAGACAACCACTCTCAATCTAAACTTGGAAAATATATCTTTCTTATCAATTTTCTTAATATTGTGTTGCCTTTAAAATTTATTAGAAATAGAAATAAAGAGAAATTATTGATCATTTAAAAACAGTGAGATTAGATTAAAAAAAGAATAAACTTAAAAAAAGTTCATAAAATTTCAGAGTAATATATCGAATAGAAAAATCAGATAAACTGTATAAAACATTAGATACTTTAAATTAAATTAAATACTATAATTAATTCATTTTAAGGCTTCAGTCTAACTTGTATTGTAATTATTAGGTGTAAAAGTACCTCCATCTAATAAGAAATCAGTCATTTAAGTTTTGGTACCTTAGAGGTCATAATTGAAAGAAACTGATTGTTATTATTAAATAGCTAGATTGAATAAAAAATATGATACTATTTTTTTTAGGTTTTTTTTATGGACTTAATTAAGGAGGGGATACAATAGGATATTTAGCAAGATACTTGAATAAAAATAAATATTTGTTTACCTCATTAAATTTATCTCTATTAATAAGTTTATTTTATTCTAAAGTTCTAAAGAATATATGTGTTAAATCTTGAATTTACTTGAGATCATAAAGTGATTGTAAGAAATACTTCATCAGTTTAATACATCCAATAGTATCAATAAGATCATTGAGTATTGGTTAAAGAATAGTATACAATTCAAATTCTTTGTAGGTTTTGGTTTAATAAATAAGCCTTTCATAAAGTGCTTCAACCAAATGAGACCTGGTTAATTTGGAGAATGTTCCCATGAAAATGACAGTAAATTCAACTCGATTATTAAAACTAATCTCTTATTCTTCAATAGCTACAGACATGCTTTAGTTAAATGATTAGTATACGATATATTAGTATGCTCAACTGTTATTCTAGCAAGTAGTTCATATAAAAAAGTAACTCTTTAGCCGGCAACCAAAATGACTATGTCAGACGTGATTTTAACAGCATTGACTAATGCTTTATAAACTTCTTCATTTTAATCTTTACGATAATTTGTAAGATTAATAAAGATTGCATCTATTGACATACGATTCCAATCTAATCTAAGATTTGCAAAGTTAGCCCTAATGATAGAGATATCATGAAAATTCAATTAAAATTACTCTAAATTCTACTATCCCATTAAAAGATGTTAGGTATTATAGGTTATAGCTATAACTGACATTCCTTGGTTGAGAAACTACCAATTCAGGATTTCAATACTTGGATAGAGTGTTAATTGAATTGACTATTTACTTCAAGGATACTTTGAGCAGGCTTCATTCTTCCAGCAATATATCTACTTAGATACAGAGGAGCTATTCTATTTTGTTTATTATCAAAAAGGATCTTCTTTTCATCTTAATGATCAAAAAAATGATAAGGATTTTATGAGTGGACATTTGCATTTTTACTGTTTGGAATTTGCATTGAAGTTTTATGAACCAAAAAACAACATTATTAAGTATTATCAGTAATTAATTGATATGGTGACTCAATCCATTAATTCATAGATTTTAATTAAATACAGATATTACTCTCTTCCATTGGATTCTATATCTATTTCTATTATTGATAATGTCCTTAATTCAAAGTTTATACTGATCTAGATTTAGGACGTTATTCATTATTCTCTTCTCCTGTACACACACAAAATAACTTTTTCCAAAAGCTTTGTTTCGACATTAAAAATATATATATAATTAATATACACACACAATACATCATCAAAGAAGTTTGTTTATTTATTAAGGAACCTTAACAGGATTTATTATTACACCTGCTTTAGTAATTATTTATGGTTAAGTTAATGCTTAATGACTAGTTAAACTATTCCATTCAGGACCCAAAGGTAATGTATGCAATTAATCAAATTATTCCGAATTTGTAAATTCACTTGGCAATTTAGGAACTAAATATTTTGCAAACTAATAAAATTAGTATAATTAATTACCTTTGAATCTCTTTTCTCACTAATTATTACATTATCTAATTTTGCATCTTGTCTCTTTTTTTAAATCTCTCTAATCTTTTTTATTTTATTTTATAATATTTATTCTTAACTTAAAGGTTTTCTCTCTTTTATACCGATTCCAGCCCAACATCCCCATCCTTTTGTATTTACAGGTTCTGGAGGTAATTCTTCTTCCATATCTTTTATTTTCTCATCAATAAATGCATTTTCATTCTAAAAAATAATCAATCATATTTTATACTTCATCTTCATCCAAAACCAAATTAAAATTCGCTAAATTTTATTATAACAATTCATCTGGATCTTATTACAATTACTTTAATTCTTTATTTGACAATTTTTTATTTACTTATTTTTCATACTTCTATTTAATATTTTTTATATTTAATCCTTCTATCAACTGTTTTTTTTCATCTTAAATTGTTAATTATTTTTCTGAATTATTTTATTACTATTATTTTTCAGATTCTAAATTTAAATAATTAGACAATGATGTTTTAGCATCAATCTTCTTTTTCTAAATATCAGTCAATTACTTTGTTTCATTAACAAAATTAGCTCTCCCAATAAATTCATTATTTTCAATAACAACTTTAGACTTATCTTTATTACCATTTTCATTTGGTTAATAATTATCATCACTATTGTATTCTTAATTTTCTGATTCTTCCATTTATATTGCATCATCATTTCCTGATTTAAGCATTGTTAATAATTTTTAAGCTATAGATTTTGATTCTTATAAATCTTATTTCTTTTATTTATCTAAGAAGCCAAAATTATTTTATTTCTCCTTCTCTCTCCTTTCTATATCTTATAATTCTTATTCCAATTAAGATATAGCTTATTCTCTAAAATTCTCTTCATCAAATTCCCCATCTTCTAATTCATTTAATTATGCTTTAGCTAATAATTAATGTTTTATATTATTGAGAAATGATTATTATTATTTTAGAGATTTCTTATCTCCTCCAAATCTTAGAAGCTAAGAAACATATTTATTTTTAGTTGAGTGTCTTAAAGTTATTCTCTCCTTTGCTCTTGATAATCTTAATTTTTCAATTTCTTTCCTTCTTTCTGCTGGTGTCAATTATGCCATTAATTTCAACTTCTCTTTATTACCTTTCTTTTTCTTTATTTATTTATATATTTTAGATTTTATTGATGAAATCTTCTTCATTTTTAGATCATTATAAAATTAAAGATTACTCTTCTATTAATTTGACTAAATATTTAATTATTATTATTATTCCACTTTTTCAACTTCTTCCATAGCATTCTACAATTTGATTCCTAAATTATTATTCAATAAAGCATTTGATGTATCAGAACTAATTAATATTATATTTAATAATATACATTTTAGCTCTCTATACATTTCTTTATTTAGTAAAATCAATTCTTTCAGATTCTCTATTTTTTTTAACAATGGGTAACCATTTTTTTATATCTTATTTCATCACAGTTGCAGCTACTTTACGTTCTTAGAAATCTCTTTCAGCTTATGTTTCTGGTTCTTAAACGATTCTCTAAATATAAATAAATAGATTTACTGCTTTTTCATTTACTCTCAAGAATTGAGTTTTAACACTATCAATCTATTATCCTTATTCTTCTAAAGTTGAAATTAAATTAGCAACATTAAAATCATCTTCTTAAGCCTCTTACAATTTGACTTCTTAATACACATCCTACTTTTCAATTTTTTTAGCTAATTATTTTTCAAGTCTTTATTCTTTATTCAATTTACCCATATTTAAATTAGTAATAAAATAAATAAATATATAAAAATTTTAATTCATTACACAAATTACCAAGGAGTCAAACCATCATGATTTCTTAAGCTTTATGCTCCCTAAGAAATCAAAATGTCAGCAATATTGAAGAAACTGTAAGCTATAGATTTATGCAAAGCCGTATCACCATTATTCTCGAAATTAAAGAGATACTATTACATTTTGTACATTTACAAAGGCTCCTTTATGTAAAAGTAATTCAACTATTTCGACATTTCCTGTTTAGGCTGCAAAAATCAGATATGTATTTCCATCTATTAATCTTTCATTGATAGGCAAATTAGGATTATTGGCAAATACCTCTTCTAACTATAAAATTAATAAATGAATGAAACATATACTTCTGATAACTTCTGTTCTTCTATCAACAATTTTACAATCTCCATAACAGGAATGGACTACCTTCTACGAGCTTCAGTAATTTGGGTTCTCATTTGTAAAGAATGTTTACTCATTGAAGATATCATTACTGCATTTCTTCTATCTTGACTCTTAGTAACATTTGATTTTATTTGTTCTTCTCTTTATGAAATAGGAGCAGTCGTATTTTAAATAGTTTATGTAGTAGCTTTCATTTTATTTGATTATGTTGTATTAGTATTACTATTTTCTTTGATACTATTTTCCTCTTATGGAGAATCACTTCTTCTTCTTAAAACACTTGTTTAACTTGATGTTGCTTCTAATAATTATTTTACTGGCTTATTCTATTAAATTATTGTTTAATGTCTAGGAGATGATATTATTTTAGAATTTGCCTTCTAATTTGATCTCTCACTTGAAGGAGATTAATCTTAATTAGACTTCTTCTTCTAAATTGGTTTTGCAGCTTTTATAAACATTTTTGCTATATCAATCTTTATTGTTGATTATACTGGTTATGGATTTTCTTCAAGTTCTACTTCAATTAAACCATAATCTGTATTCAAATTATTTATTTCATGTTAATCTTCGAATTCTCCTGTTAATATATTGTTGTATTGAAGAAACATTAATTTTGTTACTCTAATTTAGTCTTTGTGTTTAAGAAATCTAACTATAGAATTAATATTTCTCATTATTTATCCATCAAATGTAGGATGAATTTAATGATGAACTATTTTAGTATCAATAAGACTATCAGTTTCTTGTAACATCATATTTCTATCAACACAATCTAAACTGTTGATTATAAATTAAATATGATTATTTAGATTGGTAATTTTAATTTAAGATTAACATTCTAACATATCTGAAAATTAATTTTCACTGCTAAAACTTTGACAATTACATTCTGAATCATCAAAAGAATATTCACATTAATAGATTTAAGTTAGTAAAAAACGATTACATTCTATTTCAATTTAAAATGTTGGATTTGACAAGGATTCATGATTACTATTAGCAGGATTGGTACACCAAGAATAAACTCTACTAGATTATTAACTTTCACAAGGTTTAGAAAAAGAGATTGATCCTCTTTTTTCTTATATTAATTGTAAATGTAATAGGATATTCTCTTCTAATTTAGTGAAAATGCGAGACATCTTATTTTGTAAATACATCTTCATGAACCTTCTAGTCTTACTTCATAAAATAATTACTTTTTATAAATTATAAAATTGATGGACATCTTCTTACTAATTTTCTTCTTCGGTTATTCCTACAATTTTTAAAATAGATTTGGAAAATTTGGTTGTCATTTTCTTAGGTTATGAAGAGATCTATGATAATATTATATTTACTTACAAATTGCAAAGCTTACTTTAAAACATGCTTAGGTTTATCTGTATATTCTTAAATTTCATCTTATTCCTATAATCGTTATCCATAATCTGGTATACTGAAGGAGAATATTCCAACTTAGTTTTCAGGACTAAATACAGAGATAGTTAATTTTCTACGATTATTTTAAGGTAAAGGTTAGATTTCAGCTTTTTTCTCTTCAATAGCTTCTAGAACTTATTATACAATAGTTCCTGCTTTCTATAATTAGGTAGGTTAATTTTAAAACTAAATTGTTGATAAATGGTTAGTAAATGTAAATCGAGGACTTGTTAACTATGTTTTAAATTTATCTGATAAGAAACTATTTTCATTTGTATGAATATCATTATGCAGAATATGACTAGTAGTAATAATTTATCTAATCTTCTTCAAAAATATTTAGATGTTTATATTGTCATCTATTTAATTAAAAGACTCTTCTAGATTAGGATTTACCTAAAAGATTTTACTTCTCCATTCTTTTTTAAATTCTAATGGACCATCTAATATAAAATTTTTATCATCCTCTTTCTTTGACTTTTCTTCTGTAATGATATTTTTAAATTCAGCAGATGCAACTAATTTGAAAATTGATTGTTATTGTTTAATCTCATTCTCCGGAACACTTTCTTAAGTTTTTAATTAAGTTGCTTTTATAACTTTTCTAGCTACAACTCTTCCAGTTAGAGGAGCAGGAACTTAAATCTAAGGTAATAATGTAAGAGGTAAGGGAGGAATGATAGTCTTTATAAAAGATCTTTAAGTGATTCGATTAATAAAGAATGTTTTAGTATTTGAAACTTCTTAAATTGTATGTAAAGATTTGGCCTTGTTATGGTTTTTTGTTCTCATTATATAAATTTAATTAATTCTAAAAATATTTTTATATGTTTAAGGAAATTATTTATTTAAACATGTATTTAATTCATTTAAGGAATGAATAATATATGGCTGAAAATATAGCAAATATGGCTATTAGTAAAATAGTTAAAATAATAAAGCAACTGCAATCTGCTAATTGTTCATCACTTTATTCAGCCGCTACAAAAAAATAAATTAATAAACCTTACTCGCATTATTTATAACATTGTTGCATTGATTAAAAGTCTAATTGTATGTAATATTATTATTTATAGTCACAGGTGTGGAACTATTAATTTAAGTATTAACTGATGGCTAAACCTTCTTATTAAATTTATTTTTGTTATGCTATGATAAATGATATGATTAATACTTTCTAAGGAATTGTTTTTCTCTTAAATTACAACTTAGCCAATTCTTATCTAGCTAATTCCTACTCTTACATTTAAGTTGCCTTATCAGTATAAGTCCATTAATTTTATTTTAACCACTCTCTAATATCTTCTAAATTCTACTCTTAAATTCTCTTAAATTCATTTTAAACTTATGGATCCAATAAGTTTATACCATATTTTTACGCAAATTCATATAATTTCTAATTATGAATATAAAATATATATACTTTTTTTGGTCTATTAAAATCTAATTAAGATATCTTTTCTAATTACTTTTTTGCTGCAATTGCTTTTTTCAATTTCTCTTTTAAATCTTCAGCCTCTTTTAATTAACCATTCTGTTAATATATCTTTACCATCTCCATTCCTCTAGTCTCTATGAATCTTCCTAACTCTGACACTTCAATAGGTATTGGTTTAGTATTATCTAACTCATAACTTAATTCCTAATCATAATCTTAATAAGCCAAATGAGCCATGAAATCCTATTAAACATCTTCATCATCTTCTTATTTTCTATATTATTGTATCAATTCCAATTGTTTTCTCTATAAATCTGTATAATTCCTATATTCCAATTCTTTATATGCCAATAACTATGTTTTCACCTTCTCATAAAACTTTGCCACTCCTGCATTATGAGGATCAAGTTACTATGCGAATTTTAAATCCTTAAATGCCATCTAACAATCTATTTATGTTATATTATCTGATAAAAAACGGGACTATTGCTATATTTCTTATACTTACCTTTGCACGCAATATTACTGCATTTACACATTATGGACTCATTTGTAACCAATAATCACACATCTTTGTACATGCTCCTTATTCATGTTGTCTATAATAACATTCTGCCATCTTCTCAAATAATTTCACACGAAGTCCTTTATGCTTTAAATTATTTTATATACTGTCTATTTGAGATTACTCTGCATATTTTTATTAAGTTAACTCCTCAAATGTTGTCTCTTCCCATCTCTTTGGAATTTTAGCTTCTACAAATACAGACATACAAATCTCAAATTAATCTATTGCATTTCCAAATTGTTCTAATTTATTATTCTTTACTCTTATTTACCTAACTCATAAAATCTTAAACCACGTTCTAACAACAATTCACAGATTTTCATTTTTTACTAAAAGGATTAACGTTTTTATTGCTTAAAAGCCATACGAAGCATTTCTTTTAGAATATATATTATAATAAATTAATTAATTAAAATCTAAATTATCCTGATCAGTATCTGATGACTCTTATTTTTCAATAATATCTATAACTAAATTACAAATTCTCTATTTATTATTTCAATTAACTTTATTAGCATTGAAATTTTATTTTCAAAATCATTATTCATATTTTAACTTAAATTTTTTCATATTATTATTATTCTTATTGTAAATACACTATTGATTGCTTTCTTATTTGTTTTGTTTTATTTTATTACATAATTCATAAAAAAACCTGCCTACTTTATTTTGAAAATTTATCAAATTTATTTTAATACTAAAAAATTATTCAACATACAAAGTATTGGATAATTTATAAGAATCTATAAATTTAATTAAAAGTATTTTTGGCAGAGAAGATTAATTAATTCAAGAAACTAAATCTATTTATAAGAAGTATAGAATATAAAAGAGCATGAAATTTATGCATGCCAAAAAAAACCTTAATTAAAGCATCATATATCTAATTTTTAGACTATTTATAATTTTAATTTTTCTTAAAAAATTTGTACATTATTTTTTAATTAATGTCTTTTTCTTGAATTTTTAATATTGAGTAATATTAAAATATTAGTTTATTTTAAAAAGTATCTCAAAATGAAATTTACTATTATACATATGAATCCAGGATGAAATGAGCAAGTTGAAGTTGAATAAAAAATTGTGGTTATCAATATAGCGAAAGCATTTATAATCAGTAAGAAATTATATATTAATTATTGATTATTCAAAATATGATAAGAATTAACTTGGTTTGTTTTCTCTATTTTGAAGCATTCATATCTTTTTAATTGATTTGGACAATCATAAACACAAAGAATAGTTTGCTTTGGATTCCAATAGTTTTGCACTATGTTGGAATAATTTTTAAGTTGGCCCTCATAAAATATTCAGATTTCAAAGCCTTATGGATAGCAGTAGTAGGAAATGATGGAGTAGCCTTGGGGTTATTATATGGAGAGGAGAAAGATTTATCATTTTTATATGTAGTGTAGATTAAAATTTTTAGGTGTTCTTATTGATATAGTTTGAACTGCTATATGACACAAAAATGTTTTATAAATAAAGTCTAATGGTATTGTTTTGGGGAATGATTTTTTAAATTATATGTAATTATTCGGAAGTTTGGAGATTGATATTCACATTGGGAGAATGTCTTGTATCACTTGGTTTTTTATACTTAATAAATCGAAAAAAGAAAAAAACAAATAACACAAAATAAAAGTAAAGTGTGCAATTAGAGACAGCTGTGAGTGCGAAATAGCAAATTTTAAAATTAATGTATGAGTGATCAGTAAGTGAGGCCCTGGATGACAGATTAAAAATTCATAGTTTTGAACGATCATTTTAAATGTCTACATAATTAGTCTGACCTTTGTTAATTAATGGAATGTGATATAGAGGAAGCAATAGAGAATTTTTTAAATGTAAAATGTGACAGCTTTTCATAAAATCTAGTTAAGTTAATATTTGAAAATAATACTAACCTTATTTCATCTCCATTAAAAATATAATTAATGAAACCTGAAATTCGAATAATTCTATCGTCGTTATTATCTGATATGAATTCATATTATACTTATTTCATTCTTACTGACTTAGATAATAAAAATCTTTTAAATGTTAAGATAAACATATTTGTATTGAGCGATAATTTTATTGATTATTTTATAATCTAATTTGAACATCAATTGAAATCGATTAATAAATCTATGTATACATTTTCAGATAATTTTAAATTAAGCAATACAATTAATCACTAGAATAATTCTAATCATTCAAAGTAAACTTACGAAACTTTATCAAATGATTTATTGGGTAACATCTTCTAATCAATTTCCCATGAATTTGGTACATTTTTGAATTGTATTTTAACTGTTTCATCAGAAGCAATGGAAAATGAACTAATAAATGAATAAGTTAAAGCTACCTACATAGAACCAACATACATAAATTCTAAGTTATTATCGTATGTACTATAGAGTGTAAGAGATTTCAATACAATTTTATTGAAACAATTTGCTTTGAGACTCTAAGAATTTAGTCCATTTGAAATAATTTAAGAGATTTAATATCTACTGAATTAACAAACTACTTAAAGAAATAATTAAATTATTATCAATTGTCCTTAAAATCTACTGGTGTATAATGATCAAGATAGATTTAAATCAGTATTGTATTAATTGATGAGTAATTCCATAAGATTCACTGAGAATGGTATCATAACAGTTTCTATTACAATTTATAAGAGTAAAATTAAAGTGAAAGTTTAAGATAATGGTATTGGGATGAATTTAGCAGAACAATAGAAATTGTAGAAATTATTAAAAGATAATACAAAATTATTAAGAATATCACATAATTCTGTTGGATGTGGATTAGGATTAAGTATTTCGAATGCCACAGTATTGAAAATGAATGGAAAGCATGGAATTCAATTCACCAGTGAATTATAAAAAGGTAGTGAATTCTTTTTTACAATATCGAATTCTTAATAGTTATACAATGATAGTGTATATGTGGCTAGTCAAACTTATGTTAAAGTTTTAAATTAAACTTATTATTTAGAACAATAACCAGGATCTGAAAGTTCAAATAAAGGATAAATATAAAGTAGTGAACATAAGGAAGAGAATGGAGATACTTGGAAAGAAAAAAGATTATTTTAGAGTAGAATCAGATACCTAAAATCAACTGATTCCAAATCATAATTTGCTATACCTTAAAAATTGCAATTGGAAGAAGATGAAATTGAATCTAGGTAAGAAGAATCAAAAATTATGATTCCTTCTTTATAGGCTAGTTTTAAATCTGATATAGTTAAATTTAGTATTGGAAGCAATTGTTGTAGTAGAGTTCTTATAGTTGATGATGAATATTTTAATATTCAGAGTCTATAATTAATTTTACATAGATTTAATGCACATTGTGATTTTACTTTTAATGGATTAGAAGCAATAAAAAAGAGTCTTTAAAAAATGAAACAACCTTGTCGACAATGTTAGAATACTGGTTATGTTGTATTCTTTCTTGATCTCAATATGCCAATAATGGATGGATTTGATACAGTCAAAAATCTAAAGAAAATGATGCATGATAATTAGATTCCAAAAGGAATATGTATTGCAAATACTGGTTATGCAGATTTAGAGAGTAAATAGAAAGCTTTGAATTCAGGAATGGATTTTTATATGATCAAACCTATTTAAATAAAAGAATTAGAAATGTATTTAAAGAGAAGATTTCCTTAATGATATATATATATATTAGAATATTTAAATATATATGGAATTTGTTTTTTTTAAAAAAAAGTATTTTGAAAAGATGGAACAATGATGAATATTGTATTTTGATCATGAAATATCCAATACGGAATTATAAAATCGATCATCGTAATTTTGGATACGACATATGTTGAATTTAATTGAATCTGCAGCTAATTGATTTACACATTCTATTATGCATGTGTCAGATTCAATATTTATATGTTTTACTAAACGAGGATTAACAGCATGACCTACAGCTATACGTAATTCTTCAATCCTTAAATCTTGAGTTTAAATCTGCTTAATTTTCAATTTCACAGGCTCTTCAACTAGTTCATTATTCTTTTTCTATTTGAGTTACTTGCACTAATTTTTGTAATTTAGCCAATCGATCTTACTCATCACTCGTAATCCACCTTTGATCATTACTAAATTAGACTCTCCTTACTTTTCCTCTCCATAATCTCCTTAGGAATTAAGTTGTTGCAAACCTGTATGGCCTTGTTTACACTCTCGATGTTAAAAAAGGTAATGAATCCATAGGCATCGAATTTCTTTACTTATAGAATCTATTTATCTATCTATTTATAAAAAAAGACAATAATACTCTACTGAAAATCTAATGCAACATTTATTAATCTACTAAACTAGGAATATTCTCTACGTATATTGTCCTCTCATCCATAAACTGACTGTTATCAACAAATGCAATTTTACGTTTCACCATATTTCGATCCTCATCTACCTATAATATTTCACTTCTTTTCAACGCGTATATTAAAATCAAAACTTGCTATTTTGATCCTTTCGGATAATTTTGAAGTATAACTTTTATCTTATTACATTCTAAGAATGCCTCCAAAGGAACCCAACCTTAATTTTCTTAGAGTAAACGTCTAAAATAATTGTCATGCAATAAGTTAGCATCCCCCAAGTAAAATTCAATTTATTTACAAATCTTTGGTAATAAATAGTCATCCTTCTCTTGTCTAGATTATACCACTATTTTAGCTGTGGGGTCATATTAATCACCTAATTAACAATCAAGACTTTGAAATTAATTTATGTTCTTCATTATTTAATAAATAATTTTCAATATTATTAAGTCTATAATCATAAGCTATAATCTCAAAAGTTCAAAAATGAATAAAGGAGAATTACAATTATCAAAATTGATTATTAAATTATTATGTCATTTTTTGAATAGCAAGGTTAAGAGTTGAAAATAAGAAAGGTTGATTTAGATGACTATGATAGTTCAATTGATATTAGATGAAGATGAAGAAAATATACAGTTGCTATATGCCTATCCAAAAATTCTAACTTTATTTGGATGTTCTTATCTTTCTGTAACAGTTCTTGATTCTTAAAATAACATAATTGGAAATGCAGTATTTGATGATTGTCCTTAAGGTGTAACTGGATAAGTAGATTTTAAACATGAGAACTTGTGGGAATAATGGAATAATGGATTCATGATGGATGGAACATAGATTTTCATGTAAATTCATTTAATTGTCTTTGGATGACTTTCTTCATTCTTGGTAAGATCTCTACTCTATAAATAAGTTCAAAAACGATAAGTGAGGAATAATAATTACAAATAACTAAAAAAATATTCCAAAAAGTTTATGATTATTTCAATGTTGTTAATGGTATCTTCTTTCTTAGAAGAAATGAAGCTAAGGATGCTACTCAATAAGAACTTGATATTCCTTTAGAAAATCTATTTGAAATTTTACCTAAGAGATAGGATTTTAAATTAAAGTAAAAATTGCAAGACTATTTAGTTTATGTAAGGAGTAAATTAAAATTGTGAAATATATTATTCTCCATCTCTTATGGTAATTGATCTTTTGGATATAAGAATGGCTAGAGAAGAAGATCATGATGATTTAGCTGTTATTTTTAATAGATAATCTGATGTACTATTGAGGAATTTGGAGAACTCTTTATTGCAGATTTGATTGCAACTCAAAATTAAACTAGAAGATAGGCAGAAAATTATAGATCAGATGGAAAAGCAATAGTTGCTTAGGTAGTAGAGAAAGCTGTTGGTTTGATGAGTATTTCAAGTGATTTAGAGTAATTTAATACAAGTACCAAAAACAGCATAGAATGCCGTAGTTATAAATCTATTTTGTATTGAGGAGAGATTTGAATCTAGATCATTGGATTTTGTCTAAAGAGTTTTTAAATTATTTCCAGATAGAGAATATTTAGTACTAACTTAACCATATACAGTCTAAGAGACTACACTCTTATAGCATTTCTTTAAAGTTCCAAGAAACAATAATTCCACTTTTGAACATGTTCTTTACATCTATCATAGAAATAGTTTAGATTCTCATCTGATTGGATTGAGGAAATTAAATCAAAATGAATGGGCTTAATGTTAGTTTTTGGTAGAAAATTTACTGGAAAGAATAAATTGAAAAAGATATTAAAAATTTAAACGAAAATGAAACCTTTATAGTTTATTGCAAAGAAGAAATTATTGGTTTGTATTGCATGAAAAAATATGGAAATTTGCAATATTTAAAATCACACGTCTTCAGGATCACATCTAATAAAAGAACATCCAAAATATTTACATATACGGTTATTAGCAAGGATTTGAATCGTCTTTTTACGAATCATTTTAAGGGAAATTTGTAGGTTAATGGATAAGACATGTATAATGTTGGAAATACATGACAGAATATTATTTCCTGATATTTTTCATGAGTTTAATTTTGTTAGAAGTAGAGCATTTCCTCATTTTAAAAAATAAAAATGGGATTGGACTTGGACTTTAGATTAAGATTAACGAGAACGAATGGGAGCAATTCTAGATGATCGTGATCCTTATGATTAAAACCAGGCTCTATTTTCATTAGCAATGTTAACAAAAAAACAGTTGTCAAGTGTAAAAGTATCGAACAATTTAAGGATTGTAGTTGTTGGAGCATCAGATACAGGATTATCTTTTATTGAATCTTTATTAACTATAAAAGATATCAATTTTACCAATATAATTTTATTAGCTCCTGGAGGATTATTAACAATGCAGATAAAACATGAATTCGAAAGGTTAAAAGCAATGAGTACAAATTATACACTTGAAGAATTGAGAACATTAATGTTAAATGCAAGAGTTTTAAGTTGTAGATGCTAAGATGGTTAAATTAGATAAAAAAGGAAATAGAATAAAGATTGATAAAAATGCATTCATTCCATTTGATTATTTAATAATTAATGTTGGTTTGATTGATACAGAATTGTAATCAAGAGAAAAGTGAGTTTTGGATTATCTAAATCTCCATTTTACAAAATACTCAATTTATTAATGGACTTTATAGCATTGATGATCCTTATTTGTATTAGCATTTTAAGAGAACTGGATTTAAAAATAATAATATTGATTTATTAACAAGAAAGAAGAAACCATAAAATATTGCAATTTATGGAAACACTCTTTCTACAATAACATTTATGAATGGGTTGCTTAATAGAGGAGTACATCCTTCTCGTATTCATTATGTAATACCACCAAAGACTTTTAAAAAAATAGACAAAATTTGAAAATAATAAATAAAGATAGGAATAAGAAGATAAAATGATTTTNTTAATGTTAGTTTTTGGTAGAAAATTTACTGGAAAGAATAAATTGAAAAAGATATTAAAAATTTAAACGAAAATGAAACCTTTATAGTTTATTGCAAAGAAGAAATTATTGGTTTGTATTGCATGAAAAAATATGGAAATTTGCAATATTTAAAATCACACGTCTTCAGGATCACATCTAATAAAAGAACATCCAAAATATTTACATATACGGTTATTAGCAAGGATTTGAATCGTCTTTTTACGAATCATTTTAAGGGAAATTTGTAGGTTAATGGATAAGACATGTATAATGTTGGAAATACATGACAGAATATTATTTCCTGATATTTTTCATGAGTTTAATTTTGTTAGAAGTAGAGCATTTCCTCATTTTAAAAAATAAAAATGGGATTGGACTTGGACTTTAGATTAAGATTAACGAGAACGAATGGGAGCAATTCTAGATGATCGTGATCCTTATGATTAAAACCAGGCTCTATTTTCATTAGCAATGTTAACAAAAAAACAGTTGTCAAGTGTAAAAGTATCGAACAATTTAAGGATTGTAGTTGTTGGAGCATCAGATACAGGATTATCTTTTATTGAATCTTTATTAACTATAAAAGATATCAATTTTACCAATATAATTTTATTAGCTCCTGGAGGATTATTAACAATGCAGATAAAACATGAATTCGAAAGGTTAAAAGCAATGAGTACAAATTATACACTTGAAGAATTGAGAACATTAATGTTAAATGCAAGAGTTTTAAGTTGTAGATGCTAAGATGGTTAAATTAGATAAAAAAGGAAATAGAATAAAGATTGATAAAAATGCATTCATTCCATTTGATTATTTAATAATTAATGTTGGTTTGATTGATACAGAATTGTAATCAAGAGAAAAGTGAGTTTTGGATTATCTAAATCTCCATTTTACAAAATACTCAATTTATTAATGGACTTTATAGCATTGATGATCCTTATTTGTATTAGCATTTTAAGAGAACTGGATTTAAAAATAATAATATTGATTTATTAACAAGAAAGAAGAAACCATAAAATATTGCAATTTATGGAAACACTCTTTCTACAATAACATTTATGAATGGGTTGCTTAATAGAGGAGTACATCCTTCTCGTATTCATTATGTAATACCACCAAAGACTTTTAAAAAAATAGACAAAATTTGAAAATAATAAATAAAGATAGGAATAAGAAGATAAAATGATTTTTGATCCAGATTAATTTGAGAATGAAGAAGCTAAAAACAAAGTATTTGATATAATGGTGAAGATGGGTATAAATATTCATTATGGATTTCCATAGTTTGAATTAAAGGTAGGAAAAGAAGGTTTTGGATTAAACAGTGAAGATGTTTTATAGTAAATTATATTAAGAAAATAAGCTGATAATTATGAAGAATTTAAGATAGAGATACAGAGAAAAAAATAAGAACTCTAAGAATTGAAAGATAATTCAGAAAATAATATGAGTAAAGATATGTATGGAGAGTAAGAAGAAGGAGAAAATCAATTAGAAGTTCTTGCAAGGGAAATAGAATAATTGAAAACTAGTGAATATGATTATTTAGAGTTGGAATCTAGATTCTTTCTTACAAGTGGGTTAATAGATATAGATATAGAGATTTTTAATATCATTCATGAAAATGGATTAGTTTAGTAATTTTTAAACAACCTAAGAAAATATATTTGCTTGTGGAAAGATCTGCGAATTCTCATAAAGATATAAACATCATTCTGTTGGAAAGAGTCTTCATTTAGATAAATATAATGGAATAGAATTGGGTTAGAAATTAAGTATATGTATTTTGGAATAATTGAATTTAAGTTATTTGACATCCTAAACTTATTCAGTTGATGAACTACCACAATTATATATGCCTATTGGATAAGGAGGTATAGTTCCTTATAAACAATATTATTATCACATGAAAAAGAATGATTTTTCAAAACCTAAACATCTTTAATAATTACCATCTAAACATATAGATCCTAACGAATTCATTGAAAGTGTTACTAATTTTGGTTCAGAAGCTGTCCATATTCCAAGTTTATTGTAATTTGTTGAATTGTCTGTTAAATATTTGAAATAATTAGATTAAAAAGGCAAATTAATAAATAATGTATCTGAATTTCTACAGTATGTTATTAAACTTTTATTAAAAAATCTATTCATACATAATCTGGAGGTAAATCTAATAAAAATAATTAAAATAAAATTAACATTAAATTCATCAAATTACAGATGTGCATCTGAAAATTGGGCTATAGCATTATATCATGAATGGTTCAGTGAATTTAGACATATTACTAAAAGTGAGATGTTGAAAAATGAATTGATCGATTAAGTCTTAGAAAAGGCTTAAGAATATGCTCGAGATGGTCGTTATATGGACGAAAACTTCTTTGAAGAGATAAAGAAATTAATCACAAGAGATATTGTAGAAAACATCTAAGTAAATATTATTTTTATTTATTTTAGGAAGGTACAATAGAATTCATTAGACAAAAATTAAAACCATTTGCCAATGTATTTTGTACCAAAAAAGAAACTTAATTGATATAATATAGATTATTATTATTTGCTTTAAAATGAAATCACAATATTTAACAAATACACATTCATTCATTCATTATTATTATTATTTTTCTTCTTTAGGAAGATTGGCATGATAGATTTTTTCCCAACTAATAATTGTATTATCAAGATTTGTTATACTCTGCTAAAGATAGCCATCCTAAAATAATGAAATAATTAAATACAAAAAATGTGTTCAATGTGAACCATAAAGGTCTAACAATAACTTTAAAGAATCCCATTTCAGATTTAGCCATAATATGTAATTTATCCAAGTCTTTCAAAAATGGTGTTTATGGAATTCCCAATCTTCCTTCCTCATCATATTAAGCACTAAATTCTTTATTAACTCTCTCTGACCAAATCCTAGATATTTCAAATACTTTAGCTCCTCCATTAAAATCTGCTGTATGAATAATCATTCCAGTTAATAATTTTAAATCATCATCTCCAGTACCAAATGGTTTAGTTACTTCATCTTTAATTCTACTCTCAAAATCTTTTAACAATGTGAAATGGACCTTGATATCAGTATATAGAATATTATCAATTAAAACTCGTCTAAATTGTTAACTTTATTCCTTTGTTAAAGACTTCAAAAAATTAAGTGAAGGATCTTTCAACATAAAAATAGTAGTTGCAGCATGATGTTATTCTAAAGGCTTTAATAATTAAATAATTAATTACGCTAGAATCATGATAACGAGTAGCTAATTTAGAATGACTATTGATCATGAAAATATTGGTACGTCCAGTATGAGAAACATCATGACATAAACCTGATATTATAGTTGACATTCTTCTAAAATCATCAATAAATTGTTTGGCTTTTCCACATTATAACATAAAATGAGAACTCTACATTACGGCAATACCATGATCATAATTATGAAATGAATTATTTCTTTTATTGTATTTTTTCTATAAAACACTCAGGAATTAAGCCAAACACTATTTATTTAAATTGTATTAGGAAATGAATCCATTCTTTTCCAATATACTAAAAACTAATCTATGTTTCTCTTATGATGAATCCAAAACTAAAATATTAAATTCAAATAAATCCAATTAAGAATCACTATCATTTACTTTAAATTGATTAGCATCCACTGGCTCTAATTATTGTTAATACTTAATATAAACACTAGATCCTATTTTCTTCTTTTTTTATGGAGGGGCAATCCATTAATCACTCTATTAATCTTTGCTTTATTATTCTGGACTTCTAACATCTGTTTTACGATGTCTAATCTATTATAATTCATTTTCAGGGATGAAAAGTGCAATCATAGAATTTGCTACATCTTAAGTTTCGTCCAATTAATTTAAAAATTTAAATGTTTGATGTTTGTTATATTGAATTAAGATTTGTTTCTAAATATCTTCCTCTAAAGATTTATTAGCTTCAGCTTCTTTTTAGACATCGTTTGTCATATTGTCAATTTTCAAGGCCATAAAATACTATTTTAATCTTCTAGCTTCATTTTCATGAAAAATTACAGTAAATCCTTTAAAGTCATTATCAACAACTTTTAAGAAAATTTCAAACTAAGGGTTCTCTAAATTGCTTAAATATTGATTTCTTCTATTTTCATGTATGTTTTAAATGTTCACCTCTATATTAGAAATGATACTATTCTAAGCAAAGATGTCCTGATAAGAAATTTTATTGTAAAGAATAGCTTTAGGATCAAAGTTAATACTAAATCTTTCTCTATAAAAATTAAACATAAACTAATACTTTAATGATTTAGAGATTGGTCTGCTCAAAAATATTAATTCTCCTTGTTTATTAAAATCAAATAGTAATGAATCAGTTGTCCGTAAGAAATATTTATAAAACGCAGACTTTTCATAGCACAATTTAACATAACCATCATATTTTTCTTATGTTTAGATGATCTATGAAATAAGAATTGATTATTACCACTTAATACAAGTGTTGATCTTATTCATTTTTTAAATCCATGTCTTTAATTTTTAAAGTAACAGGATTTGAATCTTTTAATTCAATTTTTACACACTAGGACTCCTTAAACTTTTTAATATTCTCATCAGTAGAAAAAGTTTATTCCTTCTCTACTTCAAATTTAATGCTGAGAACCTTCTTGATTCCTTCTACCAACAAAAACCTAGATATACGCATAAAACTGATTCCTATATCTTAAACCTAATCAGCAAATCTAAGAGGGTTGAAGAATTAGACTTTGGCTGTAATGATAGTTTCAACCAAAAATTATGCAAGATGAGTAACATCTTTATTAAATCCATACATATTAGCATAACTTAAATATTGAATGTACAAAAATACTTGATAAACTTTCTTTTGATATTCTTTTTATCTTTGTCAGTCCAATGGAGACAAAAAAGAACTTCATAATTTTTTAATTGTAACTAAAATTTTACAATAGATGTTTATGCATAAGAGTTGGTTTTGCAAGTGTCTTCAATTTGAGGATATTATCTTTATTTTGGGTCTATTCTATGAATGCAGAATGGACGAATGTATGCTAATTCATCAGTAACACGTTAAGCTTCTTCAGGAGTCACATCTTTTATAGAATCATTAGAGGAGGAATAAACTTCCCATTCTTTGTCCCGATGAATAAAAAAAGTGAATTCATCTGCATCAACGAGGATTTTAAGTAAAAATTTAAGGACTTAATATAAATTCTCATAAGAAATGTCCTCTTACATAAGAAGTAAATGAGTATGCAAATTTCCAGTGAAAATACTCTTTAATTCTTTATAGATGTCATCTATTCCTTTGACCATCTTCTCATAAACATCTTCATCGCTAGAATCTAAATCCTTCTCACTTATTTCAGCTAATTTACTATTTTCCGATGAATATCTGGCTCTAAAGGGACTTATTCCATCTAAATCAACCTACTCAGATGTGAGCTTTGAAATTAAACTGCACAGTTATATAAGCTTTTCTTTATCTTCAGGTACAAGTAAGCTATGTTTATCAATATGTTTATGTAACACTCCAGTTAATTGTTCAATCATTACGGCTGCTGCACTTGCTAAAGGTTAGGCTGATGATTCTTATTGAGGCATAACTTCCGGTTGTTTCTCTTATTCTGCTACGTCTTTCATAAAATGAACTGTCTTTGATTTATGTGATCTTCTTCTCTATATTTATTTGTTTTAGGCTGATAAGTAATCAAGTAAGGCTTCTCGTAATAGCATTTCTCTACAAACATGATAATCAACTCATACTTCCCAGGACCACTATTTTATATAAGCACTCGACAGATTTTCTCTTCCTTACGAGTAAGATTACTTTTCAGGAGGGACTTCTGTTCAGGACTGATTTGATTAGTCTTACAGAGATTGGTAACTACAATGAAGAATTAAGTGTAGTGACTCAATTATGGATCCATTTTTATATTTTATACAATCGTTTCAAAGTAATTTGCACTTGTGAATAAACAATGAAATTGAGAATACTCAACTGCCTAGAGTATTTTTCATTTAATAAAATATCATCAAATTTACATCTTCTATTGAAACAGTTTCTCAAATACCACTCCAGGCCCTGAAGGATCTTAAAAGTGCTGCAATCTCAAATGATTTCTTTAATATTTTATGATATCTTACTTGTTGTATTCCCTTACATCTTTACATCCTTATAGGCCTTTAAGGTATTTGAGTAAAGACTCTAGTTCTCGATCCTCCTTGTTATCATAAAATGGAATGATAGGTATTCCATTCTCCAATTGCCAAGCGTAGGAATAAGAAGCATTATCCACCAAAACTAGTTGACTCAATGGTCTATCGAAAATTCTAAGATCCTTTGTATACATGCCTCCAGTGGTCATTATACAATTATCTCTATATAGACTATGAGAAAAAAGTGTCTTTTAGGGATCCAGATGTTCAATAACTTTTTAAGCATAGCAGGGATGGGAAGCTGTAAAGACTATCAATTCGAAATCATTCACAAGCAATTCTAATAACTTTACAACTCCAGGTCTAATATTTATGCCTGCCTTAATAGTTTCCTGGGGAGACACCTGAATCGATAATATGATATCACTTGGTATCGCTAAACTCTCATTGCAATGGACCAAAGTCTCATCAAGATCAAATACTATTGTAATCTTATCTAATAATAAATTAGAGATTATATGATTACTTTTGTAGCAGTCCTTCTATTTCAACCGTACTTATTTATTTTGTAAATCATTTGGATCAACTGGTTGTAAGTATGATGCAACATAGATTCCTTGATAAGTCTAAAAAAAGTGTTCCCTATACATTCGACTAAAGTAATCATCCGTCAATGGCTTTGAGAATGCATTCTTGACTTTTGTTAAGTAGTATTCTTGAGATTCGCCTTATAATTTTTAAGTGCTCTCAAAATACTTATTTACACTCAAACTCCCCTTTCCAGTACTTTTAGGTGTCACCTATTGAGATTAAGTCTTTGGCTTTTGAAATAATGCTGTTTGAAGCTTTTGTAAAATCAAATCCTTGCTTTGACCCATTGATTACTGAGGACGATGATGAGGTTTCTTTTCAGTTGATGGTCTATATGATTAAGTTCCTGTAGGTGTAGGTGGCTTAATTGGAACGTTGATATCTAAAGTAGGTGATACTTTGGTCACTAACTGGCTTAGAATTTTGGATGATTGAGTCGGAGAAATTATTGGACTCATAATCTTTCCTTCCTTCTTTTTGAGTAACTAAAAGTATTTCTAAATTGCTGCATTCACTTCTGAATTGCTTAGTTTCTTAGCTGATGATTCTCGATTAGGCTGAAATTTTTATAGCAAATTATTCTTTGAGAGATTGGAATCCATTTAATATCGTTGTTGTTTCATATATTTTAAATTTATGGCAACCTAATTGAAAGGTTAACCTATGATTTAATATTAATATTGTTCATTTAATTCTATCGTACATCCTCCATCGGCTATATCATATGATAATGCAATTATCTAATGCGACTTGTAGGAGCATGAAAAATTGTATTTGGGAGTTTAGTAAATTTTGCCAAACTATAAGGATCTTACATGCTTTCAGCCTTCCTCTTGATCTTCCTTTACTCCTTTATGAAATTCACTTCCTCATCTTTGACTTTTCTCACACTCTTAGCCTTCTCCATTGCAATAGAACTCTGTCTCTCTTTTCGAGGAGAACCCACTTACAATAATTGTAACATAAAACTAAATTTCTCCTTGTTTGAGATTCCTTCATGCTTTAACTTTTCATGAAGTCTCTTCCTTTCCATTTATTCTCCCATACGTTTAAATAAACCTTCTAATGTTGTAGGAGTAAAATATGTTTCATCTTTTTTTGGCTTGAACAATCTTTGTAACTCAGCATTATGCAAAAGTTGATGAAACGCTGCTTCATTTAAATAGTTCTTAGCATTCTAATGACAAGCTTGATTAGCTTTACGAAGGAGCAAACATAAATTCGAGAATGGTACTTCATATTACCAAGTCTTTTTTGATATTATAAAATCATACTCGAAGCATTTTAAAAATGCGCTCTAGTGTAATAGAATCATCATTTTCACGTATGAGATTATAGAGATCTTCTAATTAGTATTGACAATCTGGAGGATATCCATGTAAGTAACATTATGATTTCATTCACTTTTATAATTTATGATCCATTCAATGCATTTTCAATGAAATATGATTGTTATCATTATGATATAAATATTAATAATAATCAAGTTATGCGTCTCTTACTTGATGTTAAATCAGAACTTTCTGTTTTTAATCCTCCTGATTGCATGAAATTGTTATTCATCAATGTAGAGGCCTTCTAAGGACTTGTTCTCAGAGAAGTCTGTTGTTCTAATCTTTTTTGTAATTTTGTCTATTTATTGTCTTCAGATATAATCTTATCTAAAGAACGAGGTTTCTATTATTAAATTGAATCCACATTTTTCATATGTTCCTTCAACAATCTTTGTTAATCTACTATTCGTACATTTTCTCTGTAATCAAAATAAAATTCATCAAAAATTTTAAAATCTTTTTTGAAACCAGCTTTTCCAATTAATTTCTCTCTCACTTCCAAATCCCCTTATTAGAGATTTTTAGTTTCGAAATTCAATTTTTAAATATCTGGTTTAATAGGAGGAGTCACTCTTTTCATAAGAATATCAGTCAGATTGACTTTCTTAAACCATTTATGTTGAAGGATTTCTCTTACTCCTCCTCTTACTCCTAATCTTTTATTAGGGTCTTTAGCTAATAAACCAGCCATAAGATCTTTAATCTCTTAACTTAAAAATTATGGGAAAGTAACTTATTCATTGAGTATGGAATCATAGATTTTTTGAGTATTTTTACTATAGAAAGGAGGTAATCCTGTAACTAATTCATATAGAAGAGCCCCCAAACAATAATGATCAACTTATATTGTGTGACCTCTTTTAAGCAGCATTTCAGGAGCCATATATTCAGGAGATCCACAAAAGCTGTAGGCAAATTCATCAGGGCTGGTTAATTTAGAGAGTCCGAAATCAGAGATACGAATATGTCCATCTAAGTCGAGAAGGATATTTTCAGGTTTTATATCCCGATACATTATTCCCATCTAATGCAAGTATAACATGCAGATGCATATTTCCACAAAATAAAATTGAGCTTGCTCTTCCGACATTCTTTTCAATGTTTTAAGTTGATAGAATAGTTCTCCCCCACTACAGAACTCTAAAATAAAAACAATAAAGTTTCTACTCTCGAAAGAGAAAAGCATTTATATAGTAAAAGGATGATAGATGAATGCCATTATATCTCTTTCATTTTGGAGTAATTCTATAAAACTCATAAATATACAAATTACCAGCTTTTTTATACTTAATGATAAACTCTTTATCTACTAACTTCATAGCGTAAAAATGGCCATTCAACTTTGATCGCACCAAATAAACTTTTGAAAATCCACCTGCCCCTATGCATTTTAAAATTTGAAACTCTTTCAACGAGACATGTTGACTACCTTATACAGATTCTTAACATTCTAATTGCAATTCTGGCCATATGATTGGTCGTTCCTCAAGAGTAAGATAATAATCTATCAGGATGTTATGGTCAATAGTTGTAAATGCCACAATCTTCAGTTTTAACTTCTACATCATAGCAGCGCGCATTTATGTCGTAGTGATGTTGCGAGTAAATGTGAATCGAAATTGCTACTGTCCAACATGTAAAATCACCAATACTACATCCATTATCTATGAGTTCTGAAGAGTCTACTCTCTCTTTACAAAGGATCCCTCTTAGGTTGTTTAATTTGTAATTAGCTTAGGTGATACCATTAACTTCAGTAATTCGCTATTCTTTCGAGTTTTGAATGAGAGTTTCTACTTTTCTGGAGAAAGTTTATGACTAGGGCTTAATGAGGATTTCTAAAGTATCCTAAACCCCTTTTGAGAATTGGATTTAAAGAGATTCATTATTATATTATTATTTATAACTAATCACAACTTATTGTATACATTATATTTATTATAACTACTCTAAGGTCTTCTCTAGCAAATATAGTCTAATAATTATAGCAAAATTTTTCATATAAATTATTCATTAATAATGATTCCTACTCTGCAACCGTCGCAGCAGCTTTAACCAAAATACATATTTGGATTGAACAGTAATCTACGAAATAATCTCTACTTCATGGATGATGCTCGAATCATCTATCCTGCAGGGTTTCATATAGTGTGCTACTCATTATAAGATAAAAGCCAAAGTTATTTCTAAGGATTTGAACATTATAGAGGATTCTCTTGTATGACTCTCTCACCAATGAAGAGATTTCTAGCTGCAGGAGTTAAAGGAGAAAAACCTGCCATTTAAATTTACGATACAATGTCTTAAAAGAAAAAAAGAACATTAATCTATCATGATGCTCCAGTTAAAGAATGGGTATCTGTTGCTTTTGGACCTAATGCAGAAGCAAAAACTTTAATTGGATTGAGCGGAGGAGTTTCTGTGAATGGAAGTCCTGTAGATTCATATTTATGTTACTTTCAAACTGATACAATGAAATGTTTAGCTTCGGTAAAAGTGGCTTCTGGGAATAATGAATGTTTAGAAGTAGCTTTTTAACCAAATGATGCTACATTCATCACTGTAATAGGAAAAGGAATTTTTAAATCATATAAGATGATTCAAAATGAAGGGGAAACAAAGAGTTACACTTTAAAATAAGTAGCAGCATCCCTACAGAAAGCCCCTACTGAATTATCAAATAACTATTGTTGTCATTCATGGATGATATAACATCCTGATCATTTGGTTGTATGTACTTAATTGGGTGAAGTATTTCTTTGTGATGAAAATGCAGAATATGTTAAGTATTTGAAGAATCCTTATCACTAAAATAAATAACCTTTTTTGATTGAAGTGATCTAGGCAATGTAATAAGGATTTGCAATAGGAGGAGATAATTCGACTATTTATATATATAGCAAAGAATATGAAAATATATAGATGCTTCATGTAAAATCAATATCTGATATCAAATGTTAAATAAAAGGAATAAGTTTTACTCCAATAAGTGAAGAGACAATAATAGTGACTCTTTCAAGCAATTTGATTTATAGTTTGAAACTAAAGACTGAATAATATTTAGAAGAATAATAATAATTTGAATTGGTTTCATTGCCGTTCCATTCATGTCCTCCAGTAAGTTCAGGGATTCCAATAAATGGGATGGATGTTTGTGTACGAAAACCTTTAATAGTAACTTGTGGAGCAGATAAATATATTCGTATTTGGAATTATGAGGAGAAAAGTATGGAAGCATATAGATTTTTTAATGAAGAAGCATATTGTGTAAGTATCCATCCTTCAGGATTTCATATAGTTGTAGGGTTGACAGATAGATTGAGATTAATGAATGTTTGTGTTCATAACAATTAAATAAAGCATTATAGAGAGATAGGTTAATTCAAATAATGTAAGGAAATTAAATTTTCAAATGGAGGATAGTATTTCGCAGCAGTGAATGCAGCAAATACTACTTAACATATAATTCATATATATAGATTTTATGTAGGAGATAATCCTGCAAATTTATAATTCAAAGGGCATAGTGGTAAGATAAGATGTATAACTTGGAGTAGAGATGATACAATTTTAGCAACTTGTGGTTAGGATGGTTTAATATCTTTATGGAAAGTAGGTGCTGATACTACAGGATAAAGAATGCTTGATATTCATGCAAAAGCTAATGGGAAGAATATACCATAATCAAGTGTAGCTTTGACATTTGATACAAAAATAGTTTATGTTGTAGGAGAGGATCGTCATTTAAGAGAATTTAATTGTTAAGAGCCAACAGAAAATAAAAGAAATGTTGAAGCTACTCTTTCTTAAATATGTTTTTCGAGTAGTAATAAAATATTGTTTGCTGGTGTTTGTGATGAGAATAGATATTCTGGAGCTGTTAGATGTTATAAATATCCTTTTGTTGGACCTTCTGCAGGAACTAATGTTGAATATTAAGCACATGATGAAAGAGGTATTGAAAAAATGAAAATTACTGCGGATGATTAATATCTCATTACTGCTGGTAGAGATGGAGCTATTATTGTTTTTGAAATCAAAGATAAAGATGCAAGAGGATAAAAAAATAAAGAAGGATATCAATAAAGATATGCTGATGATATTATTGTTACTAAAGAAGATAAGGCTGATCTTAAAACTACTAGAGATAATCTTAAAACTTAATTATAAGATATTACTGCTCCATAAAATGCTATTAACATTTCATCAAAAGAAGATTAAATTAAATAATTAACTGATAAAGAATCTACTCTAAAGTAATAATATAAAGTAGCTTATGATACTTTAATTGAAAAAAAAAGAGAAACTGAAAAACATATTTAAGAAACCAGAAAATAAATTATGGAAGAATTTGAAGCTGAAATTTAAGAATTAGAATAAAATTAATAAAGTAAAGTTAATAAAGAAGCAGAAAAATATGAAAAAACAAAAAATGAAAAAGAAATTCATTAAACTAAATATGAAAAGGAAATTGGCAAATTATAAAGAGAACATACTGACGAACTTAAAAAATTAGAAAAAGATTATGATGCTAGATTATTAGAAGAAAGGTAATAGAGAGAAAGAATGGAAAAAGAATACAATAAAGAAAAAGAAAAATATAGAGATACTATCGAATAAATTAGAAAAGAAACTATTGGTGAAATTGAAGCTCTTGAAGAATAAAATTAATAATAAATTCTTTAAAAAACTGATTAAGGTCTGAAGGCTAAAAGTGAAGTTAGCATGACCAAGAAGAAAATTTAATCACTTTTATAAGAGGAAGAAAAATAAAATGAAAATCTTAAAGATTATAATGAATAAAAAAAATAATTAGAAGAACAAAATTTGTAACTTAAAACTGCTATTGAAGAATAATTAAAATAAATTTAAGATAAGGATAAAACTATAGGAGAAAAAGAGAGAAAAATATATGAATTAAAAAAGAGATCTCAAGAATTAGAAAAATTTAAGTTTGTTTTAGATCACAAAATTAAAGAACTTAAAAGAGATACTGGACCTAGAGATGAAGAAATTAATAGAATGAAAGAAAAAACTAATATGATGGATTAAAAATTAAAAAATTTTGCTTATTTAAATAATAATTTAGGCAATGTAGTTGATGCTCTTGATTAAGAATTAAAAATTATGAAAACAAATATTAAAAAATAAAGACAATTAATCTCATTCTAAAATGTAAGAATAAAAAAATTTAAAGATTCTGTCTATTAAGCTGTTTAATTCATTCAAAATTAAGAAGAATTAACTAAAAAAGCTCAGGAAATCTTTAAAGAATTCCATAAAGACGATGTCAAACCATAATAAGTTAATGCTGATATTTTAGCAGAATATAAAAGTCAGAAGCAATACTTAGAAAAATCTGTTGAAGGATTGAAAGCAAATCTTCAAGCAGATGAAGAAATACATAAAGCTGAAAACATTAGAATAATGAGAGGAAATGTTAAATTAATTATCGAAATCAATAATTTGAGAAAAAAAATGAAGTAAATTAAATCAACTCATAATAATTAAGAATAAAAAGGAGATAAAAAAATGTCTCAAACAGGTATTTTATTAATTATATAAAATAGCCAACTCTGATATTTAAAAGGCAAAATAAAGAGTTATTTAAGAAAAATAACTTATAATCGAATAATAACAATTGGCTAAAGATGCTTTGCTAAATTAAATTTAAGAATTGGAAGCAGAACTTTCAATAATTGGAGAATGAAGAATTTTATATTAATTATATTTTTATTATAAATATATTACCTTATAATTGTTAATATAATCTGGATAACGTATTAAACGATTTTTCAATGCCTTTTTTCGAATTTATAATAAATGATTCTAAGAACAATGAAAATCAAAAAAAATCTTAAATTTAAAATTTGATATCATCTTTAATGTCTTATTTTATATAAAATAGTAAACATGCGTTCTTAGATGTTATCTTATGTAAATCTATCTTTTTGATTTAGGAATCATTAAATTCAATCCATTCATCTTATTTTTTTACAAAAGCATTGTAATGTCGTAAAATAGTCTATTTTCGATGGTCATTCTATTATTTTAAATTTATGACAGCATAAAGGTTATATAAAACATCTTCTATTCCATTTCGACAATCCTTAATATTTTAAGATTTTATTTCAAAATGTACCACAGTATTTGTTAGCTTTGGTAAAAAAATAACCAAAATGATTGGTGCTACAAATAAAAAAGTTAAATCAAACAAAGGGATTTTACAATTTCCACAATTTTTTTTTAATTCATAGATGTTTGTGTATTATTTTAGATAATCTTCTAATTTGAAATCATAATCTGATTTTATTTTTAATTATTTTAAATATTTTTAAGTTTAATTCCATACTAAAATTACTTTTGGTTTATTAGCATTATCAAATTTTAGTAGAATAGGATCAACTTCACACTTACAATTAGTTTAAATTTTATCTACAAAAGTTAATGGCTTTTTGCAATTTAAGCATTTATTGTCTTTATCAACAAGTTAAATTCTATAAGGAAATTCAGGTTAGTTAAAAAATTTCTTAACTTCTTCTTCCTATCCTTTAGTACTATTAAACTTCGGTTTAACTTTAAATTCGTCCTAAAATTAATAATATTTTACAATATTAATGAATCTTTATATTTATTTATAGATGTAGACCTTTAATTCCTGAAATGTAATTGATTTGATTGGAATTTAAATGATCATCGGTTATAATATCTATTTAATTTAATAATATTTTGATTAATTAAAGTAATTATAAACTTCAATTTTCATTGTATTCTACTAATATTAAACATTTTTTCTAAATTACGAGATATCTTGATTATTAATTCTATATTTTTAATTTTAAGAAATATCTAAAATTTCGTACTAATTTTCTAAAATATCTACTATATACCCTTCTTTCCATAGATTATCCTTTGATTTAAAATTTACTATATCATTCAATTAAAAATTTGAAGTTGGATAATTGAAGATTTAGGAAATTTCAATAAATTCTCTTTTTGCTTGATCTTAATTTCCTAATTCATAAACATATATTGTTTTTTTACTAGTGATACCCAATTTGTATATTTCCGATTAATAATGATTTTCAGAAATTGTAAATAAGGCTCCTTTTGAGCCTTATTTTTTAAATGCAATTTCGTATTCATTTTTATTGAGATTAGTGATTTTAGAAATTTCTTCTTATAATTGTTTAATTGTTTGATTACTTTTAAGAGTAATTCTTTTTTTCTTTAATTCGATTTCTTTAGATTAATCTTTTGTTTCATAGAGTTTATATTTTTAAAAAAACATGAGTTATAATCTACACTCATCTTTCATTTCTAAAACATTCAAATTTAAAATATTTATTTTTTCCTCTTCCTCTTTTACATATCCACATTATTAACAAAAAGTTTTTGTTTTTTTTATTCCTTGGAAAAGTGTATCAATAATAGTATTTTTTTCTTTTTCAGATCTTTTTAATTCGCTTGAAATATGTTCTAATAAATCTTTTAAAAATTCATTTGAATCTGCAGTTTCATATAATGGATATATAGGCTATTTACGAGAATCTAAAATATTTTAAGTTACAGCTTCAATAAAACTTTCTATAGAAATATGTTATTACTCTCCGTCCTATAACTTTTTAACTAAGCGAGACAATTCCTCTATTAAAGTAATTTTTGGTGGTTAACAATTTTTTTACTTCACAAGTTAATTTTTTTAAGTTATAATTTTTTGTAAATTTGAATTATAGAGAAAATTACTCAAAAAGGGAGTTTCTGCTAAACATTGTAATACAGCATTCATATAACAAATCTGTCCTTCATTCTATATACCTGTATAAATAATATCTTTTTTTTAAACATCACCAACATTTTATAAAGAATTTTGTGTTAATTATAAATTAGTCTAGTTGATTGGAGGACTCATTTTAAGTTTTGTCATAGTGAATAATGTTCTTGATGGAAGATTTTAAATAGCATCATCTAAATCAGTAACTAACTTCCAAATTTAATCTTTAGATGTTCTATAATATAGAAGAAATTCTTTTCCATTTGAAGTTTGAATATTAAATCTCTTAAATAGTTTTTTTCTTATGTCGTGCATAGTAGAATCAGTATTCATTTTTAGCATTTAGCTTTTATCATATAAATTTTCTAATTTTAAATTATTATTAACCTCTTCTACTTAAATTCCTAACATTATTTTTGGATATAACTCTGAATCAAGTTTGTTATGAATATTTTCAAAACTTCTCTTATAGATAAGTTTTTGATCTGTAATACTAAATAAATCAATTAAATTTTGCCAAACCTTATGAGGAACAATATTATAATCCTCATCCTTTAATCCTTGTCTTAATTCTCCTTCATTTTCTCCTGAAATATCGCTATTATCTATTTTTCCTGGTTCATTTTAACTCTCACTTAATTCTTCAAGATTTTGTTAAGGTCTATGTTAAAAATACGAATTACTATTCTTAGTTTAGTCCTACATAGCATTTTAATTTATTCAACCATTTTGCACTTATTATAAACATTTTTACACTTTAATCTTATGAGATAATTTCATCTACTTTTTATAATATTTCTCTAGCAATTTCTTTCTTATTGTTAGATACAAAAAGACATTTTAAACCGTTTTATAAATCAACTAAATTTAAATGCTCTTGTGCCCATTCATAAAATTAGTTTTAGTTTAATGGTTGAATTTATTGTTAAGATTAGGCTTTTAACAAATTTAAATTCTCCCTTATAAATTTATTGAATTCTTTTTTACTCCATTATCTATCATTATCTAAATCGTAAATTTCAAATAATATTTCCACTTAAGTAAGTGGATTGTACATTTTGCTAACAACTAAATACATTTCTTCAAGATTAATTCTATTCCTCTTTTATTAATCAAAAAAATTAAAAATTCTTTTCAAAAAGTACCCTTATTTATGGATAAATCTTACCTTATTAATTTAATGGTATAATTTAACAAAATTCTTCAAAAGTTAAACCTATTGTTTATCCAAATTCCTCATATTTTTATTTAATTATTTGACGATATGCTCTTGGTAAGGAATTCTCAATCTTATACCTCTCTTCTGGACTTAACAGAGAATGTTTAAATTTAATTCGTCTTTTAGAGCTGCAGATTATTCCCATATTAAATTGATCAAATAATTTATAAATAATTAAAATTACTCATTTTCATATCAATAATAATTTTTAATTCTAATATTTTTATTATATTATGTTTAGAAAATTATTTTGTGGGTTTTGCAATTAAGTTTAAAAAGTTAGCACTTTTAATTAATTGAAAAATATCATGAATCCTCCAACACCCGAAAACTATTAACGATTATTAATAACAGTTTAATAGTTGATTTAATCAAATCCTATAAATTGGAAATTTGTTCATCGTCTTCAATAATTAAAATAATAATTTAGTTTAGAATTAGATATGCCATACCTACTTTCTAAACTTAAAGATTAACCAATTGATTCTTAAAAACAATCTTTTGTTATAGAAATTATGTAATAAAATTTTATGGTTGATGAAGAACTATTTAAGGATGTATTTAATTAATTGTTAAGAATGGATGATTTGCAATACTCAACATAATTAAAAATGTTAGATACATACTTCAAATATTCAGAATTTTTTGATCAAGATAAAGTTTTGCCAAATCTACTTTCAAATTTGATTGCCTTTGATGATTTAGAAATATTAGATTTAGTTAATTCATTTTAAGTTCTTACTTATAAAGATTCTTAATTAACTGAATAGAATTAACAATTACTTGAAAATTTTAAAGATGAATTAAATGATTAAATAGTAAAAATACTTCCTGCTCTAGGATAAAAATAATTTAGATAATTATTAGTTGTTTTAAGATCTAATGACTATCATAATGAAAAATTAAAGGCAGCTATTTTTTAATATTTTTTTGATAATAAAGACATTTTGGGATAATCCTCATTTGTTGAATTGTTAAATCTATGCAATCTGAAGTTCTTTTATAATGAAGATATCAAATATTAAATCTTAATTTAACTCAACTTTCTTAAAGTGAAAGGAATAAATGAATCAAGATTAATTAATAAATATATTCTGCCATCTGTAATAATTTAATACTTATTTTTAGATATCATTAGCAGAATAAGAAATGATGGGAAATCTAATAACTTTGTCAGGTATACAATTAGATAAGGAATATATAGATACACATTTTACAGGCAGCAATTCTTAGAAAAGAGAAAAACTTGAATAGATGAAACTTAAAGAAAATTAAATTAAATAAATTGTGGATGAATTAATGAAATATATCGATGAATAATTTGCATATTTATTAAAGTAAATAGACTACTTAATATTAGTGTTATGAAAATAGTTTAAACTTTTGGTTTATAACTTCCAGAATTACTTTAACCATTAGCTGAAGAATTAAAAAAGATTTTATCCAAATAAATTGTTAATTCAGCAGATTTACTAGCAATTTTAAATTATTTTGATGATTCTAACATACTCTTTGATTAGCAAGATTCTATAGGAATGAACGAATTTAACAATTTTTTGAAATAAGAATACTTTTCTTATGCAAAAATTAATTATTTACAAAGATAACTTGCTTTTAGAAAAAACTAAGACTTCATGCTTGAGATGTTAAATAAGAGTTATAAAAGTGGATGGAATTTAGAATTATGTTCTAGATAAGCATTAATCTTTCAACATTATAACATACCATTATAACAAATGTTTTTAGATAAATTTTAATAAGTTATAGATGATTTTATCTTAAAAAGAAGAACTGCTTATGATTAAATTTTGTTTTATAAATATATGGTAATATCTGATTGGAGTAAAAATCTTAAATAGGAACAGAGAACTTATTTTGATGAATCATAAAGCACGGCTTAAAGAATGAGAAGAGAGAAAACTAAAAACTTAGATTAATCATCTTTTCTTGAATAAGAAATTAAAAATGATCTTTAGTAGTATATGCCAAACTCACTCAAATTGTTATCTAATTAATATGTTAACTCTATGGAAATCGATTTTATTATAACGAATCAAAAAGGAGATAAATTATTTGTTTAAATTCATGGCCAGACTCATTTTTATTATAATTCAAATATATAGAATTATAAAACGTTATTAGAAACATTTTATTTAGAAAAAATAGGTTAATTTAGGTTAATCAATTATTTTGAAACAGATAAATGGAAACAAAATAAATAAAAATCAGTGGAAAAATTAATAAGCTGTCTAATGTGAATAAATATATGAAATATAAAGTATATTGGGGCGAGAATTTTATATTTATTATCTCGTTATATTAGTAATAAAGTTTTTGCTAATCTTTTTAAAAAGTGACTTTTTCACTAATTCTAACCTGTTCTAGATAAGATTTTTTTTGTTTAATAAATACTTCTACAATTAATGAATTTCTAAATAAACGTATAAATTGATAAGAAAATAATAGATATTTCGAATAATAATTTAATAACTAATTTAGCTATTCTAGATAATTTATCTATGTTCTTTACCCTATTAAATTTATCAAATTCTGATATTCTATTAAACTCAACTCTCCTTCAATCTTTTAAAGAAAGAAACATTTTTCATACTCTCTATTCATCAATTTAAGTAGATTTGATAACAGTTTTTCTAAAATTTCTTGACAACCACCATATTTATCAGAATTATTATTTTATCATTTATTTCTCTTTTATTTTTAAAATTATCTAAAAATTTGAATTGTAATATTATTGATTAAAGAAGTTTCACCCAACCATTCTGAAGGATTTAATTACCCTTCTATTAATTTTTGATCATCGTTTTGAATTTAGATTAAGAAATTAACTTTATTAATCTTAAATCTCATTTTCAGGTACTATATCATTCTCTAATTGACATATGCTGGAATTATCTTAAGTAGTTATAAAATTATCTTTTAACTTCTTAATCTATTTAATTATTGATAGATTTTGAACTATTTAACTTTTATTTTTAAGCTATATAGAAATCAATTAATTTCGTAAATTTGATAGAGAATGAAATTTCAAAAATTAATATGATCTCTCTCTTTTGGCTATTGTAAACTTATATCTCATTATAACCTCTTTATCAGATACATAACATTACACTCTCAAAAGGAAAATCAAAATGAGAGTAAGGCTCAGAGTTTATTATCGATTTATTCTCTAGATTTGTTTATTCAAAGTAGTTTAATTTATGATTTCCACTGTTAATTCTTGAAGCTATATTGAATGAAATATTAAGCTTAAAATTTCAGGTGTTTTTGAAGCTGTTTTATATTTTTTAAGAGAGCTCTACTAGAATTAGCACATGTCATTTTTTCTAATATCTATAATTAAAACACAAGAGCTAATTTAAAACAAATAACAAAAGATTCTATATTCCATTTAATCAAGGGTTTTTAAAACCGAAGACAAACAATATCAAATTAATTCAAAAGAAAGATTTAGATTAATTATAAAAATTAATGAATCTCATTTAAATTGCTGGATACAACTTTTTTTGTTCTAAAATACCAGGATTTTTAAAGAGAGAAGAACAACAAAAGTTGACGATAATTCAAAAGAAAAGAAAACATAAACTATAATAATTTATATGAAAAATAAATTAACTAATAAAAACCTCAAAAAATAAAAGGTAGAATTGTTTTTTTTATTTAAATGATGTCATTCATCCAGCTCCACTATTTCTTGATGGCAACTTCGAATATTTGCACTAATGCCTCTAAATAATGATAGCATTGAAAATAAGGTTGTGATTATGAAAGCAGATTAAAATTAATAAGTTTATTTAATTTGACATTAGCAGAAAAAAAAATTTAGTCGAAATTTATGTAATTCAAATTCCAATAATGTGAATCATCTTTAAAGGGCTGAAAGCTTAATAAAGACCAAAAATGAATCAAAATTATAAGAATTATGTAGAATCTTAAAAAATTAGCTTATACTCTTGAATTGCAAGATAAATTATTCTCATTTAAATAAAAAATCAAAGTAAAACTTTTGGTTGCTCATGTTGGTAATCATAAAGATGAAATTATTAAAAGAAATCTATTAACTATAAAAATTAATTGATGTTATTGTATCTAGAGGATATCGGTTATCAATCATTAGATTAGCCATTCCCCAAATACATAATCAAAATTATAAAAAATAAGAATGGAAAAAGTAATTTGCTTTGAAATGAAAAAATAATAGATTTCTATGACTTTACCTTAGATAGACGATTATGTTAATTTATCATAAACATCTTATTTTCTTTATGTAGGGATGCTTCTATTATAATATTAGGAATTTTTACAATAAAATAATGTTAAAATTGAAAGATTTGAAAATTAAAATTTATGATATTCTTAAATTATTCTTAATTTGTCTTAATACAACTTGAAATCTTAGGTAAATTATATTTATAAAGGAAACTCATTTATAGAGAGTTTAAAAAAAAGAGTAGGAATAATAACATTGAATTAATTAAAGCATGTAATTTTAATTATCTAAATTACTGGTTTTATAAAATTTAACAAACATAAATAAAAATACAAGATTCTTTATTATACGGAAAAGATAGGGCAAAAATCATTATAAACTCAAAAATGATGGGTCTTGGCACCTTTTACAGTTTGAACAAGGTACCATTTATTTATTAATTTGGGATTATAACAAAAGTGTATTATTACAAGAATCTTCTTGGGTTTTTCTAATATTAGATTTCTTGAAACTAAGCTGATTATCCAATCCCATAATCATTTATTGATTGATACTTTTTTTGTTTTTAATTTCTCTCAATTCTCTTTCTTACTATTTTAATATATCTTATTGATCTCTCTCTCTTTACAATCGTTGATTAAGCAGTTTTTCTTAAAAATCTCTTTCCTTTTTTTTTTAAACTTATTCACACAAATTTTATATTAATTATCTCTATGTATTAATTTTTTCTAGTTTTTCTTGTTATAAAAAATGATCATAATCTCTTAAAGCTTTAATTCTATCTTAAAAATCTTTTTCCTAATCTTCTTTTTTCTTATTTATCTTTTTTAATCTTTCTCTCTCAAAATGAGTCCAATTATTATTGACATATTGTTATTAATAATTTCTTCTTTGTTAAACCTCTTTTTCTCCTTAAGATTAATGCCTCCAATAAGGATCATCAATGATTTCATTGTTTTAATGATAATTTTGCAAAGTCTATCTTTTTTTCTCTTCTATCTATTCCTTCAATTCTTATCCGAGGTTCTATAATTTTTATAATTTTTGCATTTTTTCATATTACTCTATTTCTTAGTTTTTAAGTATAACTTCCCTTTGAAATTCTATTTCTTAAGCTTTCTGTTTTTATTGCATTTCTTATTTCTTTAAATAGTATTAACTTGATAATTATAAATTATGCTATTCTATCTATTTCTTTTGGATTATTTATTATTGTTCAAATTTAGATTTTGACTACTCTTCCTTCAGATTGATTTCCAATTATTTTTTAGTTAGGTTCTAAAAGTTTATAAAATATAAGACCTTTTCTAATTCACTTTCTTGTCTTTTTAAGAATTCCCGTTACTCATATAATTTCCTATTATAACAAGGGCTACATAATAAGGATTATGTATTTTCTAATCGTTATTAAGACTAACTGATTTGAATCTGATATTTTGATTGACTCATTTAAGATCTAGCACTGTTGGATCTTTTTGGATTCATGTTTTTGATTTATTCATACTTTTCTCTCATCTATTTGATATTTTACATTTGATCGATAAAAATTAAAAATAAAGTAATTTTATTTTATTGCTATCATATTTTCTTTTTGAGAAGTCTTTTTAAATTCAGCCTTAGATATTTGAGTTAATCTAAAAAATTATCATTCAACGGTTGCAATTAGAGAGGGGTTTTAGGACATTTCTAATATTCATAAAAAAATATAATTATATACAGGATTGTCTTTGAGATCCTGATCAACTTCTTCATTGACTTCTTTGAGCATTAGCTCTAAAACAGTAAGTTATGAATGAGACTTTTTGGTGTTTGATTGGTGTTTTAGTTTTTCTACCAAATAGTCATTGTTTGTTGGAATTTTGGTAATACTACGCATTCTAGCAATTTTGGGATTTGTGTATATGTTTTGTAAATTTGGACAATAGTAGCCAATTGTCGGATTTGGAGAGATAATAGGTAAAATAATTCTCTTGTGATTGATTTTTGGTCTGGTGCAAGGTTTTATTTGAGGCTGATGCACACTCCAAATAGATGGCTGCGATTAATTTCTGATTTAAAGTTTATTTATATTCATAATTATAATTTTGTACTTTTTTTATGTATTTTAGTATTTTGATAGATGGTACAAAAAATAACAGTTAATATAGTACAAAAATGTTACTGTGGAAATGAGTTTTAATAAATTTAAAGGTCGTTTGAGAGTAGAAATTAATGAAAGTGTTGATAAAATAAAAATAAAAATAAATGGGTAATTAATGTTGCACAAATCAATCTATAGAGTAAATTTGTTGAATGATTTGAATAGATAGGATAAGCAGATTGAAACAAAGCCTGAAGATATGACGAAGTTAATGTAATAAGAATCTAAGAATGAAGAGGAACTTCCAAAATAAATAACATGTAAGGATAGGTGATAATTTGAGCAATTCCAACTTTATCTGTGTAGCCTTCGTTGTTTATTTAAATGAAGAGAGAAACCATATATAGTACTTATTAAGTTGGTAAATTATTGGGGGAAGGTATGAGATGCGTTAATGATAGGTGCATATGGACAAGTTTCGATGGTGACTCATAGAGTGACAGGGATGTAAAGAGCGATGAAGGCAATACGCAAGGACTGTTTATTTGAAGAAGAATAGGCAAAATTATTTTCTGAGATGACTATTTTGAAAAATTTAGATCATCCACATATAGTGAATTTATTTGAGTTATATGAAGATGAGAAGTTTTATTATCTTATAACAGAGTAAGTTTTGGAGGATATACGTAGATATTTACGTGGAGGGGAATTGTTTGATCGTATTCAGAAAGCAAAAAACTTTAGTGAAGCTGATGCTGCAAGATATATGAAGTAAGTAATGTAGGCTGTATGTTACTGTCATTCGAAGAATATAGTTCATAGAGATTTGAAACCTGAGAACATAATTTTTGCTTCAGATGATCAATATTCGATTTTGAAAGTGATTGATTTTGGAACGTCTAGAAAATTTGAGCATAATTAAAATATGTCAAAAAGATTAGGAACGGTATATTATTGGTGATAATTTTGTAACAGCCATATTACATAGCTCCAGAAGTTCTGTAGAAGAAATACAATGAAAAATGTGATGTATGGTCTTGCGGAGTAATTCTTTATATTTTGTTGGCTGGTTATCCTCCATTTTATGGAAGAAATGAAACTGAGATCTTCGATAGAATCTTAAAGGGTAAAATCCCATTTCATAGTATATGATTTAATTAATGAAGCTGCCGAATGGAATAAGATTTCGAAGGAAGCCAAGAATTTAATCACTAATATGTTGTGTTTAGATGTGGAAAAAAGATATTCAGCTTAATAAGTAGTTGATGATCCTTGGATAAAATAAGGATAAGAATCTAATTTGATTGATGACAATTTTTTAAAGAATTTGACAGAATTCAGTGCAAAGAGCAAATTAAAGCAAGCTTTGTTGACATTCATGGCTAGTTAAATGATACAACCAAAAGAAGTGGAATAAATACAATAATTATTTAAGTAATTAGATAGAAATGGTGATGGAAAATTGTCTAAAGATGAATTGATTACAGCATTCTAATAGAAAGTATAAAGCGCAGATAGATTAATTGAGAATATGGAAATTAAAATCAATAAGATAGTCTCAGAAATAGATGTGAACATGTCTGGATACATAGATTACACTGAGTTTATTGTTGCTTGTCTCAAATATGAGAAATTGTTGACCATTGAGAAAATCAAGCAGACATTCAAAATCTTTGATATTGTAAATACTTAGATTTATTTTAATTAGGATGGTGACAATTTCATCTCAAAAGAAGAACTATAACATATTATGGAAGGAGTGGATGATGAAGTTTGGAAATAATTCTTAGCTGAATGTGATCAAGATAATGATGGTAAAATATCAGAAGAAGAGTTCATCAATCTTCTATCAGATAAATTTTGATATTTTCAAGAATCATGAATAATCTCTATATCTGCTGCTTCTGCCATACTTTCAATAGACGATTCATCTAGTCCTCTTTTCATTCGAAATCTACCATTCTCTCCCCATTGTTTACCCCAACTATTCTGTAATAACCAATATTTAATGCCATTCTCTTCTCCCCATCCGTAACACAATACTGAATGATCGACTTTTTCCTTTTATATTAATTTTATCAATCATACCCATTCAGGTTTTGCTAATCCATTTATAATCCAATCTGGAGTTGTCGAATGAAATACTCCACCAACATAAAACATAAAATCAAAAGAGGGCTCAAAATTCAAAACGACTGGACCATTTTTATAAATCTCTTCCATTATATTCAGCTCATTTGATTTACCATAAGCTCCTCCTATAAATCTATTATTAACAACTCTGAATCTTTTCTTTTTCTCAGCTATTTTACATTCTCCTACCTAACCTTTATAAGGGTATTCTTTCTCTTCGAAAATAAATCCATCTTATTCTGTCAAATACTTCTCAACCAAAAATGGATAACCACCATCACAACCCTAATTATAATAATTGCAATCAATTGATTATTAAGGTGATAAATCAGCTTTCAAACCCTTTATCTTCAATCTGGCTGAAAGCATAGTCATCGTTGAGATTGTATAACACGAACCACATCCCTTTTATTCATAAATCTTCTTTCCTAAGTACTTCTCCCAAGAGAATTCTTTTGGTAAATGACTTAAATCATATTCCAATATCTATTTTCTTTTTTTCTATTTTTCTAATAAAATTGTCGATGAATGCTTTTTTCTACCAGCATACTTATTTAACTGATTTGTTGTCAACCCAATTATTTCACCATAAGCCTTTGCTTTCCATTATAAATTTGCTCGATTTATCTACTCAACAAAATTTAATGCATCAATTCTAGACCAAACCTTATTTATCCCTGAATTCTAGTACTAAAAGAATTAAGGCTAAACCACATGTCCATTATTTGCACCCTCAGACACTTTATGAGTCTTTTCTACTTTATATGCTTTGTAACATCCTCTTTCATTTGTTTCTGTATTCTAATACCACCCAATTAAAGTTTCTCCACAATATGAATATGCTCCAGAATAGTTTGTCTTGTATTTCGAAAAAGCAAAGCATTTATAATGTAAAAAATCTACTTCAAAACCTTCATCATACACCATAGTCCATTTCCCTTGCATTCTCTTTTTTTATACAACATTGTTTTTCGCAGTCAGTATTACTTCGTATGAAAAAGCTTTTTTAAATGTATTCTATCCTGCAATTTATGATGTTCGTTCATTATCTGGTACATTATGCCCACAAGTCAATGGTCCACTGCCTAGGTAAATCATTCAATTTACCTTTAATTTAAGGTTCTGTAAACTCTAATTGCCATTTCCCTACAATCTGATGACGCACACAATGTACTGGCAAATCTGCACGAGCACTCAGAACTAATAAAAATAAGAATAACATAATTAATTCGTTTTTTTAATCGATTTCAAATACATAATTATAATGGTTAATTCAAAAATTTCTTTAAATTTTCCAGTCCTGGTCCTTCTATTTAAGTCTCTCTCATAAATTGAACATCATCAGTTTGCTACTACCAATACTTCAAATTCTCATGAATCTGTTACAAACAAACTTCTTCCACTTTTACGCTATGCAGACTTAGACTATCATGTACTTCTGCAATAAAGTAACGAATGCATTAAACATTGGTAAAACTATGGCTTTTAGAAACCCCTCTTAAGATTTGGTTACACATTAGTTTCTGTCGCACATTGGTGAAACAGGTACTTTCAAATAGGATTCCAAATCTCCTTGTAAGAAGAATTCCTCAATAATTCTTCTACTCCAAAGTTTGTGCATTTTTAATTGCTTTGCTCCATGACCAACATCTTTATAGATAATCAATTAATACCTGCACATTTGATACAAATAGACATTAACAAGTTTTTATCCAGATCTTATGATTCTGTCAATTCTAAATAATTTTAGAATTTGTTCATCAATTAAAAATGTTTTGTTAGATCGGTGTCCAAAATTAGATTCAAACAATATTTTCTAAATCCTTTCTATTCGATATATGCCAAATTCTAAATTAAATTAAATTGATCTTAAGAGAGTATTTAAAACAATAAAAAAGAATGATAATTTTCAAGCACACTTTAATCATTATCTAAATATAATCATTAATTATTACATAATAATGCTAATTTGCATTTATTACTCGTCAAGAATCCATTATTTAATCCAGGATGCCCAATATCATGTGCTAGGGATGATAATATTAAACAGGCTTATTCAAAATCATCTAGTAGTTCATTCAAACCATTCTCCAAGAAAAAACCAGTTGAATTCGTTACATCAAGGGCATGCATCGAATTATGGTATAAATTATTATGGTATAACATATCAATTTTTACAGCAAATTCTCCAATCATTTCAGGTTTTGTGATTTTTAAAGTTTAGGCTATTTTAAATTTCTTAAAATAGTTTATTGTATTTTCGAAAAATATCCTAGTTTAAATATTGTCTTAAGATTTGTTTCTGTAAAATTAAAGAAAATCTACATTAAAGTCAATTCTCTCCAGTTCATCCTCTTAAACATGATCTTGATTATCTTAAATATATTCAAATGATGGCTACTTCTGTGTGAAATGAGATAATAAAAATCTATGAAATAATTTAGGTAAAGTACTATTTAGCATCTACACTGAATCCTTCATGCTCATTTATTAATTAATTACTCCTCAAAAATTTTGGTAACCATATAGATTCTTTTTTTCCAGAAAGCAAATTCAAAAGATCATCAATATCTTCAGTTGTAATTTTGACTTCCTCAAGATTTTTCTCAGAAAATGATGCACTGTTAGAGTTTTCGTTGTTTCTATTATTTTAATCAGTTGCACTTGTCATAATTCTCTAAGATTTTCTTCTAAATTTTGGAGGATTATTATTGCTTTCTTCATTTTAGAAATGATTATAAGATAAATCCTATTATATAGAACTTTATTCGTCTTGAATATTATTTTCAGGTAATTATCTAAGTGAAAAGGCATTCTAATGTATTTCAGATAATTTTTTTTTAGGTTAACAAATTCCTTTTTGAACTGTATTATTTTTGATTAAAAGTTATTAATATTTAATTAATCTCAATTTCTTTAACAAATCATTAGCTCTAGAAGATAATTAATGTTAAACTTCACTTTCTTAATTATCTTAGAATTTATTTATCTATTCATTATAGTAATCTCTCATTAAATCTAATTCTCTAGCAAAATCCTCCATTTTGTTATTATATTCTAAATTTGTAAAATGTGTTCTCCAAATAGTTCCTTCAATAGCAATTAAAGCGATAGCAAAATACTTGATAATTTGAAAGACTTAATTTTGTAAATACAACTGTGTAATGAAGGATACAAGTGAAATTGAATAGGCGATTTTTCGAATTTGAGGAAGTTAAAATCGAGTAGAAATAAGTATCAGGAAAGCAATTGTAATTAGGTAATTTTAACAATGCTAATTGCTTAACAAATATTGTTATTCACAAATACCTTTGCTTTTGATATACAAAAATAAGATTGGTGATTATTTGAATGCTTATCCCAAAATAAACTTAAAATTTAACATAATCTTTTCTTCTTCTTTAATGATTATTTCTTAAGTTGTTTGCTAATATAAAGACTAGAATAAATCTGATAGTCAAATGATGCTGTTAATTTTCTTGAAATTCAATCAATGGCCAAATGGCTAATATGAGAAGAAGGAGTAAGATATCTGTAAGTTTGGTTTGGTTAATATTGGATTCTTTGGTAAAGACTAAAGAAAACTTATGTTTGATTTGATCATGAACTTCAGAACTCATATAAAATTAAAGATAAAAATTATTTTTAATAATGCATATTCTCAATACATCTTTTCTAGATACATTAATCCCTCTTTGATACATATAATTATCCACTCTATGTTTGGTCTATTATGTGGATCATGGTGAAGACATTTGATAGCAAGATTGCGGAGGCATTTCATTAGATGTTTTGGTCCAAAAGTTTTAACAAAGTCAATATTAGATCTTATTTGATATGTTTTGTTTTTATATCTTTCTTATAAATTTGAGAGATTACTTTTTTTAAAATCCTATTATAATATAAAATTGTTACAATGGGATATTGTTCGAATAAGAATTCATACATCAATATACCAAAAGAGAATATGTCAGATTTATGATCAATTTTAGATTAATTAGTTTTTAAATTGTTTTAATCTTCAGGTAAAGACTCAGGAGCAGCAAAAGGGAGTGTTCTTCCATCACCTCCTTATATTAAAATTTAATCTTTTTTTTTATACATAGCTTCTCCAAAATCTGTCATTTTTGCATTATAATGTTTAGAAATCTAATAAAGTAAAAATTGAAATAAGTACCAATATATTGCCAGGCTTAAGATCATTGTGTATCACTCCATAAGAGGATAAATATCTTAAAGCATGAGCTATTTAAAAAAGTATATATAGTCGAGTATTTAAACTCTAAGTTGTCTAGAATTTTGATCTAAAATGATCTAAGGATGTATGCTGATAGAATTCCATAAATAAATGTTCATTAAATAAGGGCATATCATTCTAGTCAGTTGTGTCTGCTTTGTAAAATTAAGCTATATATGGACAATAACCATTAAAAATTTATTTTTAATTTTCATACAAAGGCTATGATAAAATTTCTCTAGAAATGAAATTTAAATTTACAATATTTTTTTTTCTGAAATTATTCTACTTTATTGTTTTTTGTCTCCCTACATTGGTTTCTCCTTTTTGATCACTATTGTTCTCTTTATAAATGCCTATATATCTTTTTAGTCAGAATTGTTGGTAGCTTGAATTTATTTAATTTATCCTTATTATTCCTCAATCTCAAGCTTTGTTGATTATCCCTGTTAATTTTGGCCTTAACTTTATACAAGAGAGAATGCCAATTGACTCTTTTTGACTATTGAAAATCCACCCTCTCCTATTAACTCAGATCCTTCAAGACTATCAACCTACTCAGGATTAGAAAATGTTATAGTGTTCATGATCTTAATTGATGGATTTAGCTGTTTTGGATAAGCAAAATGTTATTAGAACTATTTACTCTCCTCTTCACTTATTTATGTTGTGCATTTACTAAAATAAATAAATTGTTACTTCTAAATTATTTCATTCATTCTCTACAAATATATATCAAATTATGGATGAATTTTCCTATATTGATTTTACAATTTCTATTCTAAAAATGGGAAGACCTTGTAAGACAATTTATTAATTAAATGCATTAATCGATAGATATGATACCCTATTGCATAATGAGATGTAAAATGTAGCACCTTTAAAAGACTTGATAATGATGGTGTATTTTAGTTTTCCATCTATTCTGGATTTACACATATTATATCTGTCCAATATTCTTAAATCATTATAGAATTTAATTTTAATTGAATTTAACCTGTCTCATTTTCAATGCAAAAACAGCCGAATCTTAATGTGTTGTTAATCCTGCAGAAGTATCTTGCCAGTAATCGCTATAAGTACTTAATAAAAATAAGATAGAATTTTTTTACTTTTTCTTTTACTTGAATCAATTAACCATCAGGCTTTGCTATGTATGATTTACAGTCTATACGCTTTCTTAAGAAATTAATTGTTATCGTGCATAATGCTAAGAATTTATTTGAAAACCTAAGAAAAATTATTATTTTTAACTCACTATTCAAGAGTAATTGTAATTTGCCATTGCTTATTCTCCTCATTTTAAGTGATATCATAATGCTTAAAATTCAATTCTTCAAAATGTTTTTCAATTTGAGGTTTATTCCAAGCAAATTTATCAAAATCGCTTTACTCTACATCATTCAAATCAAGAAATTTAAACTCAACTTCCATATCTTCATTGCTCATAAATATATTAATATAAAAATAAATAATAATTTTTGTTTCTTCAAAAAGGCAATATTTTTAAATAAAACACAAGAAAATGATTTAAAAAATAGAACATTCAATAAACTTTATCTAGATAAGTCAAACAATCTTTCAAAACTAATATAATCTTATCTATATTTGGTCTTTTTGTTGGATCTGGTTACAAACCTATCAAAATACTAAAAAATATTTACATTGCAAGCACAATCTTCCTAAATATTTCATTAAAACTTAAGGTCCCAATAATTTATCATATTCTTCATCATACCTTACAAAATAATTCAATTTTTATAATTTATCTTCCAATGGTTTAAAATTTTGTTTTCTAAAATCCTAATATTAATCTAATAATTATTACAATCGGATATCGATCGAATAAAAGTTCAAAAAAGAGCACTCCAAATGAATATATATCATAAGCATAAGTAAATTTACTGGTTTCAACTTTTTACTACATTTCTGGCGCACTGAAAGGCAAGGTTTTACCTGGTTTCTCTTTCTCAATGTTTTTATTTGTATTAAGAGCTTCACCAAAGTCAGTTATTTTGGCCATTAATGTTTTTGCTATTAAAATATTTGCTGGTTTTATATCCATATGTATAATTCCATAATTGTGAATATATCTTAATCCCATGGCAATGCTGTGTGCAATAAAGATTCTTGTAGATAAACTTAAAACTTCTTATTGTTTGGCCTTAAAATAATCCAAAGAAGAATGATAATATCTTTCCATCAATAGAATATCCTATCTCTATTTTACATAATAAAATTAGGCAATATATGGGCAACATCCAGAAAATTTAAAGTACTTTAAACGAGCACTTGATTCCCTATATTATTTACAATTTTATATTACAAGCCAGTATTATTAGTAATTGTTTCACTTAATCTAGCAACTATATCTGCTTCCTTTTTTACTCTATCTCCTGCTGAACTCTTATCTGTCTTAATAACAAGAGGTCTTTTTTGAGCTTATTATTAAGTTTAACTATCCTTTATTATCTAATAAAAAATATCTTTTGAATAGATATTGCAAAATCCTCCTTCGTTTATATGAAACTTTTAATCTATTTCCAATTCATTCAAATTAGTTGGTAATATTTCAATCAAACATTTATTTTCACTCATAACTTATTTTTAGAGTATTGGGCCATATTGATCATATTCTGATTTGTTAAATTCCAAATGCATATTACTATTTAAATATTTAAAAATAATTTACTTTTTTACAATTTATTTGATTCTATATAAAGTCTGTTCAGCATCCTTAGGAAATTTTCTCCAATTTATAGTAGGTTCTTGGGGATATTTAACCTGTTCTATATATACTTCATAAAGTCTGAATAGTTTTATATTTATTTTGTTTATCATGAATAGAATTCGCATAAAATGAAATCTTAGAGAATGAATAGCAGTTACTATCAAACTATCCATGTAAACTTCAAATTCACCAATTTCTTTTGAGGTTTGAAAAAAAAGTTCAGATTTGTTATTTAAACATTATAGATTAAGCCCTAAGTGACCAAAAACTGGATTTATGAAGAAACTTCCAACACGTAAGTTGTTATTCAGTCTGAGCATATATCTGCACATTTAAAGTCGAAGAAGCTAAAATAAAATTTTTAATTAGAAATTACTTTCTAATGCACAATAATTCGACCATCCTTGTCAGCAAAATAGACGTGTGCATTAATTTATTTTTTTTTTAAATTTATGGTTATTTCAAATTAAGTTATGAGCACTCCTTAATAAATCTCTAATGGAAATGATACTAATTTTGTGCCATCTCCAATTTCTGAGACGTTAAAAAAAGCTTAAGGGTACCTTTTTTAAAGTGCATTTCTTAATTCCTCTATTTTTCCAGATGGGGACTTAAATTTATTTAGATCATTATCTCCGAAATTGGATTAATCTTTTTAAATACTTTCTGCTGCATTAAGCTGGATAGTTTCTAAATCTTAGTTAATATCTGGGTAACCAATGATATTTAATAAATTATTTTCATTCTCTTGTTCCATGTTTTATTGAGAATTTATATAAAAATATATAAATAAATATTTAATTTAAATATCACTTGATTTGTTTCTTATGTTTAAGTATAATATTGAAAGTAACACTTTAATTTCTATTAATCAATAATAATAGAAATACCTATTTAAAAATTTAATTGAAGTAACATAAAAATTAAGGTAAATTAAATTTTGCAAATTATTTGATATCTTATTATTTTTGTGAAATTATTATTAAAGAAATTTATAATGAAAAGAAAAGAATGCTTATTTGAGAGATAGCAACATAAACTCATAAATAACTGGATAAATTGTGGTCGAATAGTTAGCTTATAAGAGGGAGATGAATCATGTTTATTTTTTGTGAATTCAATAATGAAAAAAGGAGATGTTTTAATTGATGATTCAAATTTTCCTTATATGGAGTTAAAAACACTTTACTCAAAAGCTGTTTTCCACAAGGAGAACTATTAGATTTACACAAAAGAGATTTTCATCAATCAAATATTATTGATGATTAAGCAGATTATTATCAGATAGGAGAAGATGTTTAGTAAAGTTAGGATATTCATTCATATGCTATTATAAAATTGAATTAATAAGCTGATAAAACAGTAAAGTAAGTTCTTGATTTGAAAACAAGTATAACAATTTTGTATATGCGTTATAGTGTAGTTTTAATTGGAGAAGGAAAGTTATGCAAAATAGGCAGATGAATTTAGATGAAGCTAAATAGATATTAAAGAATGCTGAAATAGAATAGAAGAAGAAAAATGGTAAGACCACACATTTGGTAGAAAATAAAAATTATTAATATTTATACAATGAAATAATAACAAATTTAAATGAGGGAAGCAAAAAGGAATCAAAGAAAATAGAGTAAAAAATAAAATAAGAATGATTACAATAATTATGGATAATTTAAATCTACTAATTGTCACGTTTAATTAACAATTAAGTGCTTTTAGGATTTTTAGAAGTTTGTCAATTCATTAAACATGGGCATAATTAGTAGTTGAAGTGTTTAAGAGAATAGAAAGTAGAATCTGGGGAACCAATTATAAAGGATCTTATTTAGAAAATGTGTCGGCATTTCCAGCATCTAACCATATTTTTAAATTAGATGACGATGTGTTGAAAATATCAATAAAATAATTTGGAAAAAGTATTGCAGAGTAAAAATATTTTATGCGTTTTGACTAAAGTCATTTTAGTTCTTCTTATTTTTTAGCTAGAAACATCCTAAATATTTTTTTTTAAACCTAATAGTTAAATGAGGCTAAAAGATCTTACTATTTTGCATGGCTTAAAAGTCTTTTCATTTCTATGTTAACAATAAGTATTTTTTAATGCTTGTTTGAATTATGAGCTCTTTCATTATTCATTAGAAATAACATATGTTGTATTTTTATAGCCTTAATTTAAAGCTCAAATCGTTAACATAGTTATTTAGGGCTTATAGTTAACACTAGAATTTCTAATATTATGTATATGCTATCTATAATTTTACCAAATTTTTAACATTAAAAGTTTACTAAACAATACCAATTAAATGTGGTCCATACTTAGTTGATCCAAAGGATATAGCATATGAAGTAGTTGGAGTAAAGTAAGTGGACGACACGATGTCAAAGATTAATTTGTGATAAACAATATATGTGAGATTCAAGAGAAGACTGTCATTAAAATTGGAATTCAAGAAAAATTGATAAATGAATCATAGAAAGATGAAAAATCGATTTAATAAGAAAAGAGATATCAGTAGGTTTAATCTTTTGAGTATTCTTTAGAAAAGCAATTAGAATGGGGAATCCTTATAAAGGATGTCCTAAAGAGAGATCAACTAATAAGAATAGCAAATTTCTTATCGTCGAAGATCAAGAAATAGAATAATTAAAAAAAACCTTTGAAGTAGTTGCCTAGAACATATATAACAATTGCAGTGTCAATTTCTTTAGATTAGGAGATAAGAAGGTAAGTATTCCAAATGCAACTGCATTATTGGTAATTGTTTAAAGTACGAAGTTTATGAGCAATAATCAGATGATCCAATTGTAGTAGGTGATTGTACTTTTAGTAGAGGATGAATACAGTTTGAATGGATTATTTAATAGTGATTAACAAGACGATAATGTTCTTAAAAACATTAGTTTAGATTATGTATTTAAAATCTGGTTGATATATAATTATAATAATGATAAAAATTGCACCTTCTATTTTGACATGTGATTTTTCTATTTTCTATGAGGAGTGTGATAAACTTTTGAAGATGGGTGTAGATTGGTTACATCTAGATGTAATGGATGGACATTTCGTTCCAAATCTAACCTTTGGACCTCCAATCATCAAGTGTTTGACTTAAAGATTGCAAAATCGAACATTTATTGATTTACATTGTATGATATAAGAACCAAGAAAATGGATAAAGGATCTCTCAAATGCAGGTGGCCACTAAATGACTGTGCATTATGAATCAGATATTGGTAATATTGAAGAATTGTCATAAATGATCAGGAATGCAGGCATGAGACCAGCTCTAGCATTGAAACCTAAAACACTTATTGATCACACTTTAATAGAGATTTTTGATAAATAATTATTTGATATGATTTTGATTATGACTGTGGGTATAAAATCACCTAATCAAAGAACCTGGATTTGGTGGATAGAAATTTATGGCTGATATGCTACCAAAAGTTACCTAATTAAGACAAAAATATCCGAAAATTGATATTCAAGTAGATGGTGGTGTGAATTGTGATAATGTCATCAGTTGTTATTAAGCAGGAGCTAATGTAATTGTTTCTGGGAGTGGAAGTATCTCTTATCTATTAATGAATAGTTGTCAATGCTAAAGATCCATAACAATCAATCAATCATATGAAGGAATGTGGATGCCAACATTATAAATGGTGAATTAATCAATCATATACATTAAATCATTATTCTATTTCTCTAATTTTAAACCCTTTTTTTATCAGCTAATTATATTTCTACTGATAATTCCCAGTCTTTCTTTCCTTGAAATGCAGATAGTGTTTATACCCATTCACCTCTACTATTGTATTCGATTTTGCCAAAAAGAAATCACAATGGTATAATCTTACCTCATATTCTTTAATATACTTCCTCTTACAAACTCTCTTTATATTATCTCTAAAAACTGGATTACTGAAGAAGTATTTATCCTTTTTGTAGTTTGTTTCATGAGGCTGAATGTACTGCAAATAATAATGCATTTTCATATGTTTAATCATTTGTCCTTTATAAGAATTCAAAAGTCCACTATTTTCTGTCAAAGCCAAATATAATAGAAAGTCTGGGACATCATTCTAAGCTGTAACTTTGTTTAATTGAACAGTCATTGGAATCTCTTAAGAGATATTGTGCTTAGCTGCTGCAGCTAAAATCGATTATTAATAATTATTATCATTCTGCTTCAAGTAATTCTTATTAAATCATTCATACTTTCATCAAATTCTAAGCAAAGACCTTTGTATTGTCCTAAATGAATATAGGAATTTTAGATTTTAAATAATAATTCCCTTAAATTATTTATATAATTTTATTTATAATTTTCATTATGTTTAATTCTAATTTCTAATAAAAAATATTCCTGCTGCAATTGCCAAAATCAAAAGAATAAAGAAAACTGCACTTGTACTTGAACTGCTTCCACTTGCTTTTGGTTTCACTCCTTTAAAATATTAATATATTTATACCGTGTATGACCCCAATTTATAATGTTTCCAATTACTTGAACACACTTTGAGAATGATTTGCGTCGTGGAATGCTGCTGTTGCATCATCACCACCTTTTCCCAATAAAATTGCTGGACCTCCTGGATGATCATCTTAAAAATCTGTAACATCATAAACTTTTCCTTCTATCACCATCCATAAGTCATCTTTTGTATTATGCTATGCTAATTCTTCCCATGTAATTTAACGATTTGGATTAACATTATTCTAAGGTTATTATCACACTTATACTTTTTGTTTTTTAGATTTGACAATCTTTAAGTAATCACTTGGTTAAGAATCTGAAGTAAGTGTTCCAACTAATCTAGCATTTCTTAGAGAACGAGCATAATTAGAATGGTTCATTTCTTTGAACTTTTCAGTCCCATCTAATCCACCATATTTAAGCAGAATATCATCACCTCCTGGATGTTCTGCTAAATATGTTGTTACATCAAACACTTATCCTTCTATCACCACCCAAAGTGATGTACGATTACAATGATCTGCTAACTCATTCCATTCAATTATTCTCTTCTCACCTTACATTTTATTACAAAAATATCTATTTAAATTTATCTCATTTTCTGAACAATATTTATATCACTCTTTCTTTTTAAAAACTTTTTCTATCTATTATATACTTATTAATNCTGCAAATAATAATGCATTTTCATATGTTTAATCATTTGTCCTTTATAAGAATTCAAAAGTCCACTATTTTCTGTCAAAGCCAAATATAATAGAAAGTCTGGGACATCATTCTAAGCTGTAACTTTGTTTAATTGAACAGTCATTGGAATCTCTTAAGAGATATTGTGCTTAGCTGCTGCAGCTAAAATCGATTATTAATAATTATTATCATTCTGCTTCAAGTAATTCTTATTAAATCATTCATACTTTCATCAAATTCTAAGCAAAGACCTTTGTATTGTCCTAAATGAATATAGGAATTTTAGATTTTAAATAATAATTCCCTTAAATTATTTATATAATTTTATTTATAATTTTCATTATGTTTAATTCTAATTTCTAATAAAAAATATTCCTGCTGCAATTGCCAAAATCAAAAGAATAAAGAAAACTGCACTTGTACTTGAACTGCTTCCACTTGCTTTTGGTTTCACTCCTTTAAAATATTAATATATTTATACCGTGTATGACCCCAATTTATAATGTTTCCAATTACTTGAACACACTTTGAGAATGATTTGCGTCGTGGAATGCTGCTGTTGCATCATCACCACCTTTTCCCAATAAAATTGCTGGACCTCCTGGATGATCATCTTAAAAATCTGTAACATCATAAACTTTTCCTTCTATCACCATCCATAAGTCATCTTTTGTATTATGCTATGCTAATTCTTCCCATGTAATTTAACGATTTGGATTAACATTATTCTAAGGTTATTATCACACTTATACTTTTTGTTTTTTAGATTTGACAATCTTTAAGTAATCACTTGGTTAAGAATCTGAAGTAAGTGTTCCAACTAATCTAGCATTTCTTAGAGAACGAGCATAATTAGAATGGTTCATTTCTTTGAACTTTTCAGTCCCATCTAATCCACCATATTTAAGCAGAATATCATCACCTCCTGGATGTTCTGCTAAATATGTTGTTACATCAAACACTTATCCTTCTATCACCACCCAAAGTGATGTACGATTACAATGATCTGCTAACTCATTCCATTCAATTATTCTCTTCTCACCTTACATTTTATTACAAAAATATCTATTTAAATTTATCTCATTTTCTGAACAATATTTATATCACTCTTTCTTTTTAAAAACTTTTTCTATCTATTATATACTTATTAATACTAAAATATTAATTAATCATATATTATTTTAGAAATCTAAATCTATTGTTTCAATCAACAATTCAATATATCAATCTCATAATTTTTAATTTTAAACTAAAACTACTAATCAATCAATCAAATTATTATTAAAAACTTCTCTCTCACTCTTGCTCTACATAAAGGACACTCTAATTTTGTTTATAACCACTATTTCCAACAGTCTTAACAGGCAACATGACCACATTTTTCTGATTTGCACATTATTTTATCAGGTGTATTTGACCAACATATCACACATTTTAAATCATCCATTTAATCTTCGGTTTTGTTAATATCCTTAGTCTCAGTTTAACCAATCAATTGCTCAATTGTTATTTTTTCACATTGTTATTCAACTGGAAGTGATTTCTTTTAAGGATTATAAATATCTCCCAATAGTGTTTTATTTAACATTATCTTTCTCTTTGACGTTTATATTTAGACTGGCTACTTAATGTGAAATTTTATTGTTTAAAACTTTTTAGTCTCTATTATTTTCTAAGTATCTTTTCTATTTTCACATAAATTCTCTGATTTAACCAAAGAAGGAACTTACTTTTTATAATATTAATTATTTACTTTCATTAAATCTTTTATGAGTTCCTGAAATGTTACAACATTTGGAAAATTCTGATCTTTCCATAATAATTTTTATTAAAATTTTTCATCTAAAACTACTAAATTACACGGAGTTAATTAATCAAGAATATGTTACAATCTTGAAATATTTCTGATTGCATTAACCATACTAAAATATTTCCTATCATACTTTAATATTTGAATTAATTACATTATTTGTTAAATTCTTTAACCACTCTAATTTCAAGTTTAATTATACTTAAGGTAATTATTCATGTCCATTCTCCTATTAATACATAAATTAACTAGCCCATGGAACTCCAAATAAAAACACAGTTATTTAACTTTAATTTTTTAGTGTTTGTGGATATTTTCGTTATTAATCTAATTACTATTAAATCGCTTCTTATAATTGATCCAAAAATAAATCATTAAATACAGTATAAATTGAAGGCATTGTATCACCAACATTTAAATTCTACCTGCATTTGTTGAGAAAAAGACGAATAATCTCGTAGATACTTTTTTTCTAATAAAAATTAGCTAATAAATACATTTTAGTATTTGATCCATTATAAATCTTTATTTACACCAAGGGATGAAAGTATGGAATGTTGACTCCAAATATCTTAACATTTTTGCATGAATGATTTAGATGAAAAAAGAGTAATAAATCCATGTTCACTTAATTAATAATTAAGCTATTAAAATTACTTACCAATTTCAAGTATCATGGCATCTTAATTTTATTCAGTTTTATTTAAATAATCAATGTTGTAATTTTGAACTTTACTAATTAGAGCTTGGTTGATTTTCAAATCATAAACAGGAATTTGAGGATAAAATTAAAACGGAATATTAAATTCAGTCTTGTATAATTTAGATGGGTATGAATGTTAGGTAATTATTATTATATTTTAAACTCCATTATTTTGTAATTTATTCATTCCGCTAAGTGGATTTAAACATAATAGATTTAAATTGTAAGAGTTTTAAATATTATCAATGAATAGAACTAATCTATAATCCTTAAAATTTTGTTGTTCAGTAGCCTAAATAGATTTATCAATAGATATTTTATCAAGAGTTGTAGCCAGTACTTAATTATTTGATTATTATTATTATACTTTTATATCCTGTTAAGTGAAATCTTGTAAATCAAAAGTTTATTTTATAAAAATATACCATTGTTAAAAGAGATATCTTTGCGGTAGTTTGAATATTTCATCCAAATATTATTCATAATTTGAAGAATCAATACACTAATACTTAGGCTTCGTAAAAGTTCCATCCGATTTAACAAAATATTGTTATAATTAGGAAAAAAATTCAGAATCTGGGATTCTTTAAGTACATTATGTTAGAATTTAGGCAATTTTATTAGATTCAAAAATAAATTCATCCTTTTGGTTATTTAGAGCCTAACAATTAAGAGATGTATTACTTATGCAAATTATACGATATGTTTTCCAAAGGCAATTATAGGCATTAAAATGTCATATTATTATTGGGTGATGGTGCAAGTTTGAAAGGTGTTATTGGACTGAAATTATTTAGTGAGTAATTTGAGTTTGTGATTCATTTATTGATCCCATTTAGAAGGAGTTTTTTAAGGAACTAAGAAAGCCTTGATCATTTAAGATGCGGTATGAGAACTAAGAGTAGCATTCATAGCCTTTTCTAATTTGAGCGGTAAATCATGTCCGTCTTCAAAGATTAACGTGGCATTATTGAATTTTTGGAAGAACTACCATATCCTTACACATCACTTACCAGATTATCTAAGATATCTTAATGTGTTCCAACTCTAAAAGTGGTTTAATGTTTTGTGAAATATTTATGGGAGCAAACCTAATCAAATTCGAGTTGCTTATGCATAGTTTCAACATCGATAAAATCATAAAGGTGAGTAAGTTGTTTATCTTTATCACAAGTCCGTTCGCATAATCGTGTAATGACAGTCATGCCTTTTTTGAATGGACTGAGACAAAGAGATGAAACACTCCTCATAAGATAGTAGCACTCTTCCAAATCATTTTTAGTTTGTTACCAGTAGGAAAAAGTGGGAAGCAATTAAGACCCACTTTCGATAATTGCATTTTCTTATTTTTCTAAAATTTATTCAATATTCATATATTAAATACTGATAAATAAATAGAAATAAATTTGATTATGAGAGAGAGGATAGATTAATATTAAATTGAGAGTATACATAATTCTATAATATAATAATCTAAGTAAATTAATATATTTTTGAAAACTACAGAAGTGTAAAAAATGAATTCGTAATACTTGATGACTAGTCTACACAAAAGTCTATGTTATTTGATCTATTCTTTATTTCAATAGATAATTTTAATAATGCTGCTCATTTATGTAAGATGATGAATAATTAATAAGGTCATTTTGGATCGAAATATGTACTATTCATATTCTAATATATCTACAGTTTCGACAAATCTCTTGTTCTGATTTGCGAAAGACTTGTTAGCCTCTAAAATCTGAACAGATCTTGTGTTGAAAGTATTAAAGAATGGAAGAGTATTATAAATTTATAATATTTTTACACTTATTAAAGGAATTATTCTCAACTGGCACCGATATATTAGACTTTTGTTTATTTTTATCTATCATCTTGTGTATAACATTGTAATATGAAGTATATTACAAAGAGATTTATGTAATTCCCCTTATATATATGCGTTACTTGTCATTAACAGTTTGAATGGTAGTCTTTCTGAAACAGTATATTAGATTTTAATTTGATAGGTCATATTTTGTATAGTTAATGTAATAACAATGAGATATTTTAATTTTTAAAAGATCCAAAAATCAAGATCTTAGTATCTTGAATATAAGTTCCGAATTATTAAATGACTCAAAATGTGTTGAAACTATGAAACTTGTTAGAGAATGATATTATAAATAATCAATTTTATTTCACTTTTAAATAAGATATTTAAAACCAATTATATTTTGTTCATCTCAAACATTAAAAAAAATTAAATTAAAACTAAAATTCATAAGACATTCAACATGCTTCCACATTCTTTTCCTTATAAATTCACTTAATACCCTTATTAACACCCTCCATACATCTACCCATAATTTATACCTCAATCATATTACCCTTATAATTTTCTACATTTCAAACCCCCCTAATATCAATAGGCATAAATACCAACAACAGAATAGAATTTTATTATCATCTCTGATGATGAAGAATGTGTGCCTGTTCCAAAAATTGAAAAACCTGTACTCACTCAAACCATTAATGTTCCTCAGTCTTAAAAATAAAAAGCTAAATTCCTAGACCTTGATACACTTGAAGCTTAAGGAAAGTTATATGACTATGAAAGTTCTCCATCTCCTTTATTACCAAAAAGAATTATTAAAAAACCATAAAAACCTTTCTATAAACCATAGAAGAAGAAATAAATCAAAAATCGTAGAGAACCAATTCGACATTCTTATCAAAAGATTAAACACGTATTAATTGGAGCTGAAAGATAATTACTTAATTATCCTTAATCAAATGTTAAGGCAAAATTCATCAGATTTTATGAAAAGTAAGAAGATAAATGTACGTATCATTTTATTTTTCATAGTTTCTCACTTATTTGAAAAATTTAAAATTAATTTTTAAGATGCTAATGATGAACATGTAGCCATTCTTCTTAATATTGCTGGAAAAGATTATCAAAAAGCTGAGACATTCATAGAGCAAAATGGAATATTCATTCAATCATATCTCTAAAGTATTCAATTTTATTTAACTAGATTATAAGGATTTATCAGAAGACGACTCTACTATCAAAAAATGAAAACACAAACAATAATTATATATAATATTACATAAAATAATTAATTTCAGGAATTTCAAATGCGTTGTAGTCATTAAAACTAAAACTAATTGCAAATGCATTATTAAAATTAATGAATTCGCCATATCATTATAATGACCTTATAATTTTTGATATTTCGTAAATATTCTATCTTACTTTAAACTAAGCCAAATCCCTGATCATATACTTTTTGATTTTTTTAAAAATAGCTATTTTAACTATCCCAGTACAAAAAGAAAATACAGATGAAATTAAACTCATTTCAAATTAAAAACTTGAAAGGTAAATATTATAATTTATTTTTTCTATCCAAAGACATTAAATTTGAAACTTATTAATCCCATCAAAGTCCTTTAAGACATTTATTTAAAGTCATAACAAACTAGAACTAAAGAAAGACAATAAAAATTAAAGAAATAATAATAAATTAATTAACCTGCCAATTCTATAAAACATTAAAAATAAAATGAGTTTCTAAAATAGCAATATGAAACACTTAAAGAAGACATTGTAATAGAAATTTCATAATCTCTAATCACTTCAATAGAATAAAACTTAAAAATAGAATAAATGCATGATATTATTTAAGATAAATAATCATCAATTTCATAATTGCAATCTTAAATTGAAAATTAAGATCAAAATAGACGAAAGATCTTGATTCAGTATTGCAATAAGCCTCAAATTTCATATGAGAAGGATTTATTGGAAAAACAATCACAAAGTAAGAGATTGAAGAATGATGAAATAAATAATTATTTTGAAATAGGTAAAAATATTAAAATAGAAATAACAGGAACTAGAAATAGAGAGCTTACTTGCCTACATGAGAAGATGATTTTGATTTGTAGATTGCTGGCTTTATAAATAATAGAGCCGACAAAGAGAAATACATCCCCTTATTAAAAAACAATAAGAAATAGTATATTTAATTGGGCATAATAATATATTATTAAATAAGAATAAGGAAGGATCTTGATAAGTAATTCAGGAGGCTATTAAACTATTGAAGAAATTTCTTGGTTTGAACGAAAGTAAATCAAATATCTTTTTACTTATTTTATAAAAAGACAACCAATATAAAAATTAAGAAAGAATGAATACGATTAATTGATTTGAAACATCAAATAAATTTTATACCTATTAAATTCTATAATTTACCTTATTTAATCTTATTCAATTAAAATATATATGATATTTAAATAATTAAAGAATCAACTGAAGTAGTATCTAAAATATAATTGGAAGATAAATACCTAAATCCTAATTGTCTCTATGATTGTTTATTTTATTACCTGCACCATTTTAGTGTCGAGTCTTTTGAAATTGACAGAAATATCATCAATAAACAAAAGAGGATTAAAAATTATTTAAAGCAATTAATAAAATTTAGAAGACAAGAACATCATTTAAACATCTATAATTTAAAATCATTATTAAGAAATTCGATTGTGCTTTCTCAAAAACTTCTACAAATGATATAATTAATGAGATTGACAAAAATGGTAAAGTTCTTATATCAAAACTTTATACCATTAAAAGTTGACTAATTTGTAATTTTTAAGAATTTTTGAATCTTTAATTGATATTTTACATTGTTTTTTCTAAATTAATTTATCAGCAAGTCTAAATATATCATTCCATTAATTTTTTTGTGAAGAATCAATTATTATATAGAGATAATTTAAATCCAAAATATTTCTAATCCTTTATAAATTATAGGGTTTTAAAAATAATTATATTTTCAATTTGGAAGTTGATTGAAATATTAGCCTCAAAAATTTAAATAAGGATAATTTAATTATGAGTTTAATGTTCCTATTTTCATTCTAATTTATTTCAAAATAATAATTAATTTTATTTTTTTTATTAAATGAATAATTAATGATATCAAAACCTATCTATTTAGATAAAAGAAAGAGTTTATGAAGATATTCTAAATTAAGCATACTTAGCAACATAATTATTTAAAAAAAAAAAGTATGAAATCGTCAGAAAGTTTTGTTGAAAACTTTACTTATTATGAATTTATAAAATTTAACACATTTCTTCATAGAAAAAGCTTATAAGGAATAAAGTCATAAACATTGCAACAACTTTTTATTTTTATATAATAATTATTATTCATTTTAAATCTCTAACTTTTAATAGCTTTTATTGAAAAAGGTATAAATAGTTTATTTATTAAACAGATAGTTCAAGACTTGATCTGATTTTCTAATTTTTTCTAAGTCACATAAATTGATAATAAATATTTATATAAAAATTATAGGCTTTCTAAATATTATCATAACCAAAATTTTTTCATCATTTACGTTTAGGTAGTTTATTATAGGTGATTACACCTTAATGAAACTAAAATTATAAAATATTATTTAATTAATCCTTAAAATATCATGATGTTAGATAAAACAAAACTTAAAGGCTGTTGGTCTATAAACAGAAATTGGACAATTAAAAATCAAATTTTGGGGATATCTTCCATCATTTCATCATTAATATCTCTTATTCTCCTTGTAAGCATATGGCTTAGTTAAAGATAAATTTATGAAAATCTAAAAAGTGTCTCTGAAGAAATCTTTATCAGGCAAACATCATAATAAATAAATAATATTTGGATACACTAACGAAGCTTAGAATAAATGATATTTTACACCAAAGAATAAATTCAAACAATAAGAATTCTTTATAAATAATTCGATCATCTAATTCATCATTCAAATTAGAATTTTAAATTTGAAAGTCCAAAAATGTGTTTAAACAATAGGTCTGATCTTGATTCCTATTGTTTTTAGTCATCAACAACATGTGGGATATTTGGAACAAATTTAGATTTTATTAAGGATGAGGAGAGTAGAAGCATAATTGCAACAACATTTACTTTAACCTCTTTCCGTATAACTCTTGATCATACTCAAAGTGCTCCACTTTATTATTTTTAGATAATGATGCTTAATTCTTTTGTATTACAACTGGAGCTATTTTTCCATAATAATTCAAACCTAATGAAAGACCATATTATATAGAATTCAAAAAATACATTAATTAAGATACATAAAATGATAGTATTTATTTTGCTAGTCCTTTTAAAATGATTGCAGGATTCATAAGAATTCCTATAATGACATCTTTAGTTAATCAATTTGATCAAATTGTTGGCATGGTAGCAAAAGATATAGATTTTACATATGCATCAATAGCTAAATCTTAAAATTCAAATACAGTTTTATATGTGATTGATCATTAGGGCAAAATATTTTAATCCATAATTTATAACTAAATTAATTTAACAGTTTACTATTTTAATGAGACCAATGTAACTGGGTTTAACTAGAAAGACTTTTAGTAATTGATGAATTAACATAATAATGTTTCTTTTGAAAATGATTGTCCACATCTATAAAGCGATATCTTTTTATGTAGATTTAATAAAAAATCAAAATAATACCAAATTATAAAATCTTCTAAAATTCAAGATTCTCCCTTAATTTTAGTTGTTTTATTAGACACTAACAGTATAATCAAATAAAGTAATGATAATCTATTTTTAATATATTAATCTTAAATTGAATTAGCTCAATAGATAACACTTTATTTAATCGTAATTCCTATTGGAATTATTATTTTTAGCAATATACTTACATATATGATATTTCGATAATTTAAATATCTACTCAATCTTATTAAATAAAAGATATTCACAAATAAAAAAGAGCTTTTTTTCAATCCTTTTGAGAAAACTAAACAAATTTTTAATTCAAGCTGTGTAACCAATTTAATTCATGCATCTATCTAAAAATTCAATAATTTAGAATCAGAAGGTAAATCGAGAGGTTGTCTAACACAAGAAAAAATCAATTATCCCAGAAACATTCATACTTAAATGAAAATTTAGTAAAAATTTGTTCTGGTTATGCAATTTTTTAATCAAAATCTTGAAAATGAATAAGAAACAAAAAATACTATTTTCGACAGTACAAATAAATTTATATTCAAATAAAACATGTGAATTTATTTATGTAAGGCAAGATTGTTACTAACTTCCCTCCATTATTTATTTATATTTATTTTAATTTAAACTGATAATATTTTAAATTACAATCTCAATTATACTTTTTTTTTTGACTCTAACTCAAATATTTAGTAACTTTTTAAAATCACTTAAGTTTTTCTTCAGTTAGATTAAAAACAAATTTTAGTTCTAAACACAACATATTATTTTTTTTTAAACTTTAAAAATATTTTAACAGTGATTTATTAAGGTCATTTACTAATAGATTCATTGAAATGTGTCAAAAATACTAAATAATAAATTGATTTTTCTTATGTTTAAACTTTTTAATTGACATTTTACAATTTATTAAGCTGTTTCCATTTTGAAAAAGTTCTATTTGATTTTTCTTGATAGAAAAATGAATTCTGTATAAAATTTCACTAGAACTTAGTATTATTTCAAGTTACAAACATAATATGAATTTCTCGTTATAATAAGAATTTAATATATTTCTTAGTACAAATAATAATTAACCAAATTTCAGTCCAACAGAAGTTTATAAACAGCTATAATCATCTTGTTGATATTAATAAAATCTTTAGAATGTTTACAAGTGCTTTAAGTTAGATCATAGAATTAAAGAATAAGGAATATGATGCTTCTCTAATAAAACAGACTATAATAAACTTAAGTAAATTGAACTTAATCGAAATAATGGCTTTAATGGAGGTTGTTTATTAACTAAGGCTATGTTCTTAAAATGATGATAAAAAATAAGAGTTATTGAATGAAATATAATGTTTTCTGTAAAGTTAAATAACAGCTGATCGTGCAGCTATTGCTAATACTAATAACTTCTTAGAATACAAAACTAAATGTAATTCCAATAATACAGGTGTGATAATTCTTAATCATCAAGGATAATTTAGTAAATTAGTATATAATTTTTAGTTCTCTCTGATCAGATTTCTAGAAATATTTTAGAAATAAATTCAAAAGAGGAACTTGAATAAAAAAACTTTTTTTCTCTTATCAGTAAAGTTTCTGAAGGAAAACTAAAGCAAGTACTCAAAAATAGTTGTTTGTTGTAAAATGGACAAGTAAAAGATTGTTTTGATGTGACCATATATTCTGATAGAAATAGAAAGAAAAGTCTTAAATACTTAAATTAAATGGCATAAATACCTTTGAAAAAGAAGATAAAAAAAAATATGACTGAAAGTATAAATGAAATATTATTTTTTAGAAGATATTAAAGCCTTACCAAAAGAATAAATGTTGATGGCAAAGTATTTAAAATCAATAAAAGTAACTATATTAAAAGTTACAATATAAATTCATAAAGAATTTATTGATTCTTTTTCAGATTCTGATGATATTATTTTAAGTAATTTAGATACTTTGGGTTAATCAGCTGTGAATTAGTTAGCCATATGTGAAGTAAAAGAATTAGATGAACACATTAAATTATCTCTTTAAGAGTTAATGTAAGATCCTTACATTAATAAACATGAAAGTATTGAAATTTAAATATTTTAGTTAAATGGAAAAAGAGAGTAAGAAAGTTTAAAGGGCAGAATTCAGATGATGAAGACGAATTTTGAATTATTTTTTATATATAATTATATGCTTTATTTGGTTGATGTATTATTTTAATATAAAAGAATTTAATTATCTGATCCTATGAGTAAAATTTAAAATGTTAATGAAAAAAATGGGAACAATGGGGATCGAACCCATGACATTAAGATCTTCAGTCTTACGCTCTCCCAACTGAGCTATACTCCCAAAGTTAATATTAATTAGCTTGATAGGTTAATAAAATGGCAGAGAAAGTAATTCGTAGGAATATTTTCAAAAAGATTATTCTCATTAAAAAAGAAAATTCTGATCAAAAACATAAATATCTAAATATCTTTGTCTAATGGTTTATACTTTATGTTTAATTTAAAATTTAATCTAGTTAATTTATTCAAATAAAAAATTATTACATTTCACTATTTATTGACATTATCATTTAATTTTTTAATTGAGAAATGAATCAAAAAGTTTGGATTAGCATACCATAAAGTATAATTTCAACACATAATCCTGAATTTATGCAGTGTATTCTTAGTAAAGTGAATGGCAAAAAAAGAGTATTATATTGTTATAATAAATATATACTATATGGAAAGGTTTTAAAAAATTTTAATAATAGGTTGGAGAAATAGCTAAAAAATACTTAAAACTCGAATTTAATATAAAATTTGAAATACTTTACTAGTAAATTATTAGAAATGGAGAAGAAGAAGATTGTTTTGGCTAAATTATTGGTATATAATTTCATTTTGATTATGGAATTGGAATGATTAGTTCAAAATTAGGAGGAAGTGAAAATTAAATAAAAGAGTTAAGAAATTTTTTGAGATCAAGAATAAATTAATTCAAATTTCATAAATATTTCAGAGTATTTAAAAAAATAGGAAAAGGAAATTTTGCAACAGTATTAACGATTAATTAATAAAGGTTTATTTTACAGAGAGAATTGAAGATGGATAATAATTTGCAGTAAAAGCATTTTCAAAGTAAGTGGCTTATAATGAAGAGAATGGAAAGGATTCAATAATAAATGAAATTTAAATAATGAGGGAATTAAACAATAAACATTTAATGAAATTGTATGAGGTTTATGAAACAGAAAATTCTCTTTATATGGTATTGGAATTGCTATCTGGAGGTTCATTATATGATCTGATAAAGGATAAAAAAGGATTAAAATTAAAAGAAGTTTAATAATTATTAGCAGGAATAATGTTAGGATTAGAAGAAATGCATTCTAAGGATATTATGCATAGAGATTTAAAATTAGAAAATATTTTATTCAAAAAAAAGAAGTAATATTGATAATTTATAAAAGTTAATTATAATCAGTAGTGATAGCTGATTTTGGATTGGCAACTCATGTTAATTAAAATTAATATTTATATTATAGATGTGGAACACCAGGTTATGTGGCTCCAGAAGTCATTAATTATAAAGATAATAATGAAAAATATTCATCAATTTGTGATATATATAGTTTGGGTCTAATATTTTATATTTTATTATCAGGTAGGCCAGCTTTCTTGGGTAAGACATATAAAATGATTGTAAAATAAAATAGATAAGCTATGATAGATTTTTCAATAAAATAATTTAAGAGTTTACCAGAAGATGTAATGGATTTATTGAAAAAGATGTTAGAAAAGGATCCTAAAATAAGATCAGATATTAAAATATGTTTAAATCATTCTTTTATAGGCAATGTTGCTAAATAGATTTAAAATACAGAATTTAATGAAGATAGTGATAATGATGATATAGGATAAATAGATGAAGATAATGATGTAGGGAAAAGGATTAATCAAATAAATTAATAGTATGATCTATTCCTATTATAGATATTTTGTCTTTGAAGCAAGTAAAAATTTGAATTCTCCAAATTCATCATCAGATGATTCACCAGGCCTGATTTTAAAGAAAGCAACAAAAAAATAAAAGGAGATTGATTCATGTATGTATCTCTCTGGTTAATCTCCTTTATTTAAAGGACAAATTGATACAATAGGAAGTATTCATTCACTTGATATTTAATCGCCATAATTGAATTAATAATTATCACCTGTTATTAAATAGTCGAAATTCGCTTAAAATAAATAGAAAGGAAATTAGGGTATACTAAAATATGTTACAAAAAATTGATTTTTTAATATTAATAATTTTTATTGGATGAATTTTATCAAATAAACATACGTCATTATTATTGTTATCTAAATTTCGATTAATATACAAATTTTGCGATTGAAATATTCTTTGTAATTGATAATAATCAAATAATTTAAAAATGTAAAATCAGATAGTTCATGAGAGTATTTCAGAAATGAAGAAATACGCAAAAGCGTTATAAGGAAATAGAAATTACGTTGCTAAAAAGACTGCAGAAGATCCAGAATACTTTAGAAAACTGGCATAAGGATAAAACCCTAAGTATTTATTGATAGGTTGTTCTGACTCAAGAGCTCCACCTAATGAAATTACAGAAACTGATCCTGGAGAAATATTCATTCATCGTAATATTGCAAATGTAGTTGTTCCTACTGATTTAAATGTATTATTAATAAGAATTCTTTTAGATTAATTGTGTAATCTAATATGCCATAGAACATCTTAAAGTTCATAATATTGTAATTATGGGACATACATTTTGTGGAGGTGTTAAAGCAGCTATGAAATAAGATTCTGTTGGAGGATTATTAGATTTATGGTTAAATCACTTAAAATTAGTTTATGAAAAACATTAAGATCTTATTAATCAACTAGATGATGAAGATGATAGAGTTGCATGTCTAGCTCATATGAATGTTAGAGAATAAGTACTTAATGTATGGAAAAATCCTATTGTCTAAAAATCATGGCAAGATGGACATCGTATTTATATTTTTTATTTTTTTTTAGCTGTTATGGTTCATGGATGGCTATTTAGAGTTGAAACTGGTTTCATTGAAGAATTAGAAATTGAAGAAAGCATTCCTAATAATCTATCCAAAGTTTTCCAATTAAAATTTAAGAATGTTTAATCACAAAAATAAAAATAATAAATTGAAGAGAAAGAAGATGATAGAGCTAAATCTCCTTCAATTAGAAAAAGATTCTAAAGAATGCAAAATCGATTAGAAACTGAAATTAGAAGATTAACTATTACTCTTTAAGATCCAAATTAAGATGTTGAAAAGGAAGTTGTTGATTAAGTTTCAGAAGTATTATAGAAGGATCCTAATTTCAACACTGAAGATCACTGATTTTATTATATGCCGAAATCAATCTTATTTTATTTTATTATTAATATATATATATCAATTAACGTAGTAGAAATTACGGAGACTTATTACTTGTATAGTAGGGTCATATTTTCCTTTATAGCCAAAATTATAAAATCATAGTTACTAATTTATGAGGATTGATATAATAAATCAAATATAAAGATGAATATGTCTCTCAAAAAAAATTCAAGGAATATTAAATGTTATATTTATAAAATAAAAATAACCTCTACAATTTGAAATTCTAACAATTTTTTTATTTAATAATTATAAATCCATTCAAATAGTAAATTTCACTCTAATTTAATGTTTAAAATAAAATTGAAGAATTAAAAAAAAATATTGATTGATATTGAATAAGGAAAATCAAATTAAATTTTCTAGTTATTATATTGTATCAACTAATATTCATAAAAATAATAATCTTTTAAATACTCTTAAATTTGGATAATTACATGGAGTAGATAAAAATCAATTTCTAAAATAGTAGTTGCAATTTTTATAGAATTTGATTTTTATTATTAAGTAAAAACTTCTAAGAAATTGTTAAATCAAGCAACCAAAGAATTTATTAAAAAAAGAATAGAAGTTAAAAATAATTTTTCTCTTTTCTCATAAATAGTTTGTAAAAATAAATATATATCCTAATTATGATTATGACGAGTTTTTGATGATAATTTAATGAAAGCTGAACTTGGTTTTTGGTCTCCGAAATTGTAATAGTATTCGTATATTGGAATTTTTACTCTTTCATTAGGAAATTAAAATTTCGTTTGAATCTCTGATGTATACACTTTGATATAAAAATTAATTTTAATATAGTAGCTGTAATTTTGTTAAATACAATTGTGTATACCTTCCCATTTTTGGACAATTAAATTATTTCAAAATAAATCAATTTAAAAATTTTTATAAATTCAATTAATCTTTCTGCTTTATACACATTGTATGAAAGGTTTTTTTCCTTTACAAGAATAATAAAATGTAAATGTATAATTTAATTGTGATGGAGTTATGTTTTTCGAAAGATGAAAAATTCCATGAATATTTAAGGGAATTTTTAAAATGAAAAGAGACATGGCAAAGGCATATATATTTTGTATTCTATTGATTGAAGAGAGATATATCGATTTTCAGGATTTCGGCAAAATAATTAATCCTCGGTTATGGTTCTTTAACTAATAAAGAAAAAAATATTAAAAAAAAATTTTTAATTAAAGGTCACAATATACATTTATAAACTTAAAAGATTATGCGATACAATAGTAAAAAAAGGAACTTAAAGAAAATATAATTGATCAAAATAATATTTTCTTATTATAAGTAAAATTAATTCTTCTAACCCCATAAAATCCTTAATAATTCCAACAATCACACGCAGGTTAAATTAATGAATTATTCCAATAATTTTCTTTTCAATATGATAAATAAAAATTAATATTCCATATAAATTAATTTTTCAGTGAGGTTTTCAAAACAATTAAAATTTCTTTAATTAAATCAATTTTTTTTAAAAAAAAGGAAATTGAAATAGAATAGAATATCTCGGATATTTTAAATTACATTAATATAAAAAGATTCATAAATCTAAACGTTTTCCAATTTTTTCAAGAAGTTATGCTTCTGTTAATGTTTGCATCTCTTCATAAAACTAATTAAAATCCATATTAATATCTTTAAATTCTAAATACGGATTTAAACAAATAACTAAAAACCATCCTAATTAAAGTAAATCTTTGTAAACAGAATCCGTTTCTTTAGTTTACTTGATAGTAGCTTTAATAATTTCTAAACTTTCTTACACAACTTATTAATATAATTGTTAAAAGAAAGGATTTTAATCAAAATTAACATCTAAAACTTACTTAATTTTTGATGCTCTTTTATTATCTGGTTAAGCCAATTCTTTTTCAATAATTTATTTTTCCTTCTTATAAATTTCTAAGTAAAAATCTTCTGTGTGTTTAATATCATTTTTAGTAACGGTGAGTATTTTTTTATATTCTTGACTGATTAAATATCTGCCCCAAGTTTCTCTATCAAATTTATCTGGATTTTTGGACACTAATTAATCAGACATTCTTTTAAGATGAACATTTTAATTTTTGGAGATACAAAATATTGTTGTATAATAGAGTTCTTAATTTAATTTCAAAATTCCTTAATGTGACATCTTAATAATTTTTTGGATGACATAATTAAAAAAAAATGCAATATTTCTTTCGAATAGAAAATATGTATTATATTTTAGCATAGCTTTACGTCTTTTTTGTTCATTATCATATTAATTGATAATTTATAATCCCTAATACTAAATAATGATATACTGTTTCATGATTAATATCATCAATAGTTTATTTTTCTTCATTGCTGTGAGTAGATTAAGGTGTAGAAGGTTCTTAAATAATTTATTCAGGTTAATCAAGATATCCAACCACTAAATTCATTTCCATGTATAATTTATTCAAACTTTCTGAACGTGATAATTCATCTTTTTCTTTCATTAAGTATTCTAAGTTATTTTTAATTTAAGCTTCTTAGATCTAAATGATTTCATGATTGAATATTTATTCCCAAGAATATCTATCCTAAAAATAATAATCATAAATTTACTTTCTCCTAAACCACTAACATATGTCTTAATAATTGTTTAATTTTATCACTTCTGACAGGTGCATCTGGTAGTACTAGAGCTGTTTTCTTAATATTCTGCAATAGACTATATTAATTATCTCCATCCCAAGGTGCTTTACCATAAAGCATCTCAAACAACATAATCCCCATTGACCAAACATCACATTTAGATGAAAAAGGCTGACCTTCAAGAATTTAAGGAGCCATGTAAAGAGGTGATCCAACTCTTGAAAAGTAAGCAGGATCTATTTCAGATAAATGTATATGTTACCATTCATTCCCGTATCAATTACTCTAGCAAATCCAAAATCAGTTATTTTAGCAACTCCTTTGTGCAATAATATATTAGCTGGTTTAATGTCTCTATGTATAATTTTAAGTTAATAAAGTGTTCGAAATCCTTCAACTAGATGCTTCAAGAAAATTACTGCTTCAACCTAATAATTTAAGGAAAAAGAAATACTTCACTTAACCTTCTGCCATATTTAGTTGACAAATACTTTTTTAAGTCTCCATCATGACAGTACTCTAAGAATAGATATAAATAATGTGGTGTTCTAGCAACATCATATAATTTGACAATGTGTGGATTATTAGCTTATTATAAAATAGAAATTTCTCTTTTTATATGTTCAACCATTTTAGCAGAATCTTTGATACTCTAATAGACAATAGATGTTTTTATTACAGCTATTGAAATTGCCTTAACAGCCACTTATTTTGTTTCATCATTTTTTTTAAAACCTCTATAAACAGTACCAAAGGCTCCATTTCCTAGCTTCTTATTGACTATAATGTATTTATCAATTTATTTAGTAGTCCATTCTTCAGACATTAATTTGTATATATAAATAATATTAGTTTTTATGGTTTAATATTGTGAATAACTAATAAGTTTAGTGGACTGGAATAAGAATGTTATATCAGATGATTAAATAAATAAATAAAATGTATTTATTATACTGTATTGATATTAATCTACTCAATAATCAGATCATTCTTTTGGCAAGATCATTAATAAGATCTTCTCTATTTCCCCAATCTCCTTAATTAATGAATGATCTTCTCTTAGCAATAAATCCTCCTCTTGGTCCTCTTAATTTAAATGCCCTATTAAATTATTTATTTATTAATTACCATAAAAATCTATTTGCTTCTTTGAAATGAGGTCCAACAGTTGTAATTTCATGTATAAGATCTTCAATTCCATGAATATTAAATTTTCCAAGTGATTCATCAATAATTGTA